ATATTCTTAAAAAGGAATAGGCAAAGATTACACTAGCTAATTATAGGAAGAGTATCCTAAGCTAGTTAAAGCGCATAAAGGAAGTTATCTAAAACAAATGCAGGTTAACTTACTATTAATTAACTATAACGCTAGAAGATAGGCCTTAACATAGGCTTCTTATAGAACTAAAAATCTTTTAATTTAGGTAGCAATTAGTCAAGTAACCTCTTTCCTAAATAGGCTAACTATACCCCTGCAGAGCTTAGATTGTTGAGTGGCTAATGACTTTTAGTAGGCAACTGTACATGTTATTATTCTAAATACTATACTTAGCTTTAATATTTTTTATAAAGTTAAACTAGCTTTAAATTACTATAGAATTTTTATAAAAAGCTTTTTTATAGTTATACTTATACTTAAACTTTACTTTAAGCTTTAAGTAACACTTAATAAATGTATTAAGCTAGTTTATGCTAATATAGCCTATATTATGCTTAGCGCGTAAAGAATTAGCTATATTAGCTATAGCTGCTAGCTAGAAGAGAAATCCTTGCGCATCTAGCTTAAGTATGTGCTAAATAATTACCTGCTTCTTATTATTATCTAGCTTTTATAAGTTAGCTATATAATTAGCTTAGAAAGGTTATCTAGCGCGTTAGTTACTTATTATCTTTTAAAAGACCTTATAGATAGCTGCAGTGTGTTACTTAAAAAGTGTTATATTTTATTTAAAAGCCTAAAGTGTAAGCTGCATCTAATGTTTTTTTAACATATTTAAGTAGTGTTATTAAGAATGCATTAGTGTAGAAAGAGTAGTGTAGTAGGGTCTTAGCAAAAGTAAGCAACTTAGGTGTGTAAGTAACTCGCCTATAAAGTACGTTACTAGTATACTTATTTTTATTTTTTAATTAAATTATATAAAATATAGTTACTATATTATTTTTTAAGTGTCTTAAAAAACTAGTAAAGGCAGCTAATAGTAGTGTAAGTAAAGATTTTAACATAAATCTATATAATATATTATAAGTACGTGTTAATACATGCATAGATCTTTACACTATATAGTTTTAGCTTACTATAGCTATTAATAGACTAGATAAAGTTTAGGCTAGAAATAATATATTCTTTATAGTGTTACTATAGGTTGCGCTTATAGCGCTTTACTATCTTATAGTTTATTATATAATAGATGTAAAATAACTAGTCTTATGTAATAATATAGCTATATTAATAAAAGTGTGTATAAAGATACTTTTACTTATACTTATTAATAACACTTTTCTTTTTGCTTTTAATTAATAAGTTATTATATAAGCTTATTTACTTACTAGCTTTATTTAATACTTTATACTTTTTTATATAATTTAAGCTTAAATTAAAGTTATATAAGTGTATATTTTTTAATTTAAAAGCTTTTATTATATATTATATAAAGTATATCTAAATTTTTAAGCCTAACTTTAAAAAATAGTACTTAAATTTAATTCTTAACTTTATTTTTAATTTTAGTAAAAAAGTGTTACTTTATATTTTATATTTAAAACTACTACTTAATTATATAAAAAGTAATATAAACTTAAAACTTTTTAAAAAGATAAGTAGCTATTTATGTATATATAACACCTTTATAAAAAAACCTAAGTAGATAAAGTTAGTATAGTTTAAAGTTAATCTTAGAATGTCTTTCTATATTGCTACTGTCGCATACAGCTATCCGTCTATATATATCCTTCTACTGTGCTAGCTAGAAGGTTAATCTTTTAGTAAACGCAACAGTTATAAGCCTAGTTTACAGCATAGTGTAGATAGTTAGCGCTTAAAAATTTACGCACTTCTACTCTACTAATAGGATTGCATTATCTCTAAGCACTGTGTGTTTAATTCCTATGCTTAGTAAAATGCATTTAGGCAGTGCACCTATTATAGAGGCTACCTTGTATTTAGATCTGTCTCTAAGTTCTGTTGCTTAGGCTAGGGAGGGTGTGTTAAGGTTGTTTTACTATGTTTCACCTCTCTTGTTCCACAGTTTAAGCTAGGGGGTGTGTCGCGTACAGCTATCCGTCTATATATATCCTTCTGCTGTGCTAGCTGGAAGGTTAACCTTTTGGCAAACGCAACAGCTACTATACTAGTAAGCACTTGTATAATGTAACTATTTAAAAGACGCTTACTAGGCATTATAAAATTAACATGTATAAATATGTATAAAATAATTATAAAGTTATAAGTAGCTAAAAGTTATAATTAAGTGTAGGGTAAAGAATTTTTAAATTAGCAATTAGTTTTTTTCCCTTTACTAGCTAACAGTCCGCTGTACTAGTGATTGCTCTTCAGGCCTCGGTTGCCTGTCTTCACACCCCATGGCCCCGTCGTCGGTCCAGGCAAATACGCCATGCAACCAACCTCATTACGCTTATTCTCGTCTCCGACGCGTTTCCGAATATGTACAACGTCTTCGACACCTTTTTTACGGACACTCAAAAATTCGAAACCCCCAATCGTGGAAAGGCGGTCTGGCAGCGGTTCGGTATTGGGTACAATTTAGGTGGAGATGGCCTCATGGTAGGTTCAGGACACTTTGCAGATATAGATTGAAAAGAGAAGGTAGATTGCACGCATCGTGACGACAAAGCAATGATAAAAAGGATTGATTCCTCTTCTACAATAGTTACCACTGCTCTCTTTATATGCTAAAGTCGTGTCGAGACGTACGCAATGGTCTTTGGAACCGGGCAGCAATTCAATACTCAACTCCATCGGCATCGTTTGTGGAACCGTGCCGTGGAATACTATACGTTACATACTCGCATTCCGCTTAAATAGGGACTGACTTCACTCATTTCCTAAATGTTGATCCTCACTGTCGTCCATTGAGTGGTCGTGAACGTAACAGGTGTGTATGACCAGAGTGATAATCGTACAAGAAATTTTAATTTTCGCCATAGTAGGCTTTTTGCACCCATTTTTATAGTGTGTACCTAATAGCCCACCATTCATCTTAGACATTGAACTCCCAATTCTTAGGTCTGTGGAAGTCAGGAAGGCGTCGTAAGGTTCCTGTATATGTCAATATCGTCATGTTAAAGTCACATCAACTCAACTCTAGGTCCCTTCTATTCAAGCGAATACCTCACTTTTCCTTGGCACATGTCCAGCCTGCCCAACTTTTATGGTCCTCCACCTCGTCACCGAGCGTTGAAGAATATCCACCATCCAACCAGGCATCCTCGATAACAATAGCCGGGCTCCAATCCTTGCTGGTGTAGAAAGGAGATTATTTCGGACTCGCTAGCCAGATCAGAAACAACTACTCTAATGGCCTTCCCTTTCTAACCCCCTTAGTTGTCCAACTCGAGTATAACCTCGTATCCGTCGCCTGGGGTGACATAAAACTTGCGCAGATCGCTGTTGTCGTGATATTGCGGGTTGTCCCAGATAGAGATGTTTAAGGGTAATGCTCCAGTAAGTAAAGGAGAGATGGAATTAGGTGCATTGCCAGTGCAGTGACCTTTGGGTTCTTCATTACCCCTCAACAGGAGAGAGTTGTGTGGGCTTTAGGACATGCAGTTAGTGAGAGACGAAGTCATTGTGGTCCGGAAATTCTGCAACCTCGTTTTGTTGAACTTGTAAGATGGTAAAAAACAGACACGATTTTACGGACAGTAATGCCTATTCAAGCACCTTCCCGGAAGGTATTGTGTACTGGCTTATGCCCTAATCATTACCGTAAAATGAAAGCGCTCCATCCTTCACATCAGTTCTCGAAACTCGGAAGCTTGCGATATAGGTACATAATCCCAACAGCTCAACTCCTATGGTGTTGTTGAGAACGAGGATTTGAAATTCTTCAAACCTCCGTATGGAGTCTGCTGTGCTACAGGGAAGATATACTTATTCTCTCAATCTTCCGATCAAATCATCACCGCCTCGCAAAAGTAGCACAGGTGAGCAATCAAGTCCAAAACTCTACCTACTACAAAGCTGTTTCTCCACTGCGCATCCGAAGTCTACTTGGATAATGAAATACCTTCTCATTACTAGGTCTCTTAAGTCACTGCCGCATTCATGACCTCGGACGCTCTAGCTGCATAATTCGCCTAGCAAGCGGCAGGTGTTATCAAACTTACCCAAAGCTCGCCAACCTATGAGAACAATTTCTTGCTCTCGTCTCGTAATCCCACAGAAGATTCATTTACGGCGAGAGAACCAATACCTTTCAATTATGCCTCTTTTTCAATTCGCGCAGCCTTTCCGGTTCCCTGGAATCGCTTCGTTGCTCTGCCCACCTGCTAAGAATTGTCGTTCCATTTCCTGGTGATAAAATGTGACGTCGAAATCCCTGGTATGGTAGAGTATTAAGGTGTAGAGGCAGTTTAGACACGTAGACTCCAAGTGATGGACAAAGCACAATGCCACAAGTCTATCCTTTGCTCATGGTAATCAGACGGGAAAAGATATATGGCTCGAATCGCTCAATGAGATGAAAGTGACTCCTTTCTCATGCACACCCAATCGGTGTGCCCTTCGATCAACCTTTCTTGTCACATTTCGTCCTAAGTTTAGTCGGATATATGGCTTTGTGGTTCCCAGCATGGCTACCGACAAGATTTTGAAAACTCTAATTTATTTCCCCTTATTTGGCGGGCCTAAATTCGTTATCCCATCCCTCGGCCAGGGCGGATTTGAAGGCGGCGCTCTGTTGCCACTCAGTAGTGTGCTGGATCCAAGGACGGAAAACTTAGAGATCCGAAGAGCCCGTGGTGGTTGAGATAAGCGTTGGTGAGCCGGTAGAAAATCGTGAATAGTGTATAGACAAGATATACTTCAGAGTGGTAGGAGAGATCTCGGACAGAAACTGCAAATTCATGGAATGCCAAACTGGTGTCCCTGCTCTTGACTGAAGCTTGTGCCAGGCGAGATGCTCAGGGGTGAGAAAATATTCCTAGATTTGAATGAAGTCTACTAGTATCTCATGTTAGGTTAAAAGATTGTACAGAATCAGACTTTTAGGCAATGTCTTAAGGGGATAGTCCATAAGCGACTCCCTTGTCTACTTTTGAATCGGTTCATAGGTCCACAGGCAGCAAATGGAAAAGTAATAAGATAATACAGACCCGACCTCGGAATTTTTAAGGACAAATCCAGATTGCCCGGTCTATTTTCGCATATCCTCTTTCTCTCATCGAGAAACTTGATCTTCGCATTAGGGCCTAGAATCCCACACCACGCTGCTTGGGCTCCTTCCCAAGGTCTCCAACTGTCTCCGTGCTAAAAGATCCTAATCTAACGTAAATATGCTGCATCCAATGGAAACTTTGGATTAGAAGATATTAGTGATCTAGGCGTGCCACTAGGAGACACCAAAGTTCAAAAACACAACCGATAAAAGGGTAATAAATCTCTCAATCCCGCTACAGGACCCTCTATTATTATTGAATAGGTTCAAGATACACCTTCGTAGTTAATGGAGGCGCTTGAAATCTTCCACGGCACCCATTAGGGGTGATAAAAAAGTGATGATGTCGGGGCAGTGATTGAAACTGGTTATGAATGACAACATTAGTATTGAGAGGGTAATCTTCAGAGGCTTAGGCACCGCCGACGGAATGTGTTATCTCTTCTTCTCGTACTTTAGGTTACCTTTGGCCTCTAGAAGGCCACACCATCGTGTTGATAGAACCATCTACCATCAGGTTTTTCTGAAGCGGTTTCGAAGACCAGCTCTTGGAGTGAGGGGAATGGTGCGACGGGATGGTCGGCAATGCCTCAGACAATCTCAGGGTAAATTACTAACTACTAAAGAGGCGTAAGACGGCTAGGGACGGAGAGTTGGCAAGGTGCTTAAGGATGGAGAACTACGACTCTTTGTCCCACTGGGCATGGCCCACGAATTTATGGGCCGACACTCCTTCGTTTTCCATTATTCTATGGAGGATATCTAATTGCATATCTCGCAGACAATCTCTATGGAGACTGCGTATAACCGCTACGAAGCCCAGAATTGCTAGAACATTAATTTGAGATAGCAGAGGCCTCGCAAACACTACATTTGGGCATAGGCTAAGCTCATACTAGTCATTCGCCTCAATGGCCAAATTCTCTAGACTCGTGAATCGCTCAACATTTTCCGAAATCCAAGTGTAGTTTAGATGGTGCAAGCAGTAGCTTACGCTGAAACAAGGATCGTCATATCATTCAGCTTTGGAATTGGATCCCGACTGACGAGTTCAAACTGTCAAACTTCGCCCTCGCTTTTACTACTATCTTTTCCTAGTGCTGACTACGTTTACTCTCATATGGAACCCGCTTAGTGGCTCACACAGTTGGGAGCTTCAGGCCCCATATGCATCGTAAAATATCAGGGACATGGACAGCGTTCCTGCCATTCGAGAAGCCAGATCCGAAAGAATGGAAAACGCGTTAGCTACCGAGGCGGAGAATGATGGGTAGAATGATGCGTTAACTTCACGATCGGGGATCCTTAGTATATTGCAGCACTCACCCCCAATGGGCATGGGGGAGGTTAAGATGAATAATATAGAAGGAGATGTGAACACTGCCCGGCTCGGAATGTTTTTGCCAACTAAAAGTGCTGCGAAGGTACCCAAGTCCGTGATAGTAACTTTGAGTTTCTTGAAGGTGTGCTGCTCGACATAGGCCTTCCACCATCGAGAGATGGGGAATATTGCGCTAGTGGCGCATCTAGTTGGATCCTAATATATGTTGCTTTCGCTCTTGGCAACCTCAAATGGAAATCACATTTAGCCTTAGGTCCTCGGGAAGTCACTTAGTTTGAAATAGTAGAGAAGATTGAGTCCTAAGGTTTGTTGTAAATCGTCTTCGGCGTTTAGCGCGAGAGTTATGTCGCTTAACTACAGAAAGGAGTGATATTAGCTAAGTTAGCTAACTAAACCCAACCTCGAAAAGAAACGTCACAGCTTTCTCCCCAAACCAACCACTTCGACTACTGGCAGCGCGCACCGCCTGAAATTATAGACTGAGCATCAAGAAACAGCTCAGTCAACTGCGAATCCACTTCTTTCCTCCTAAATTTTTATGCAATCAGAGCCTTCCAACGCTTTCAAAACCGCTACACCCCCAAACGCTACTGCCGATAACCACCCAACAACCTCCCAGCATGGAATTCGCGACGATGATCAGTCAGCCTCTCTGCCTCCTCACGAAAAGGAGCCGAGAGTGCCATGGGCCGATATCTTTGGACGGAATACAGGCTCCGCGTCGCTTTCACCGGAACGTGTCGCCGAAGGCAACGAATCTACGCGACTGAGTCTTGCTTCGCCATCCCCCCGCAACAGGATCGCAGTATATGAGAATGCTTTAGTTGAATCACTAAGAAAGAGAAGCAATGGCCCTTCCTTTGAGGTAATCAAAAAGAACCGGAATCCCGACGACAAGAATTCCCCGATCTCCCATCTTCCCAACGGTAAGCAAAGCAGACAGTCCTAGATGCGCTGCGAGTTGTGATATGCCTAACCTTAGTATAGAGATCTTAACGCATGCCCTTTCGCATCTGACTCCTAACGATCTGGCTGCCATCTCTCTTGTTTCGCGTCGTTTCAATGGCTTGGTCACGACTCCCCATGCCTGGCGAGTTGCCTTCGCCCGCTACTTTCCAGGCCCAGAAACCCTCCTCGAACCATCGATTCAGCTTGCTATCCACAATAATGGAGACATCGTTCGCTCAGAGAGACGTTCGTTCACGAGGCTTACGGCACTTGCTTCTTGGCGCAGCGAATACATTCTGCGAACCAGGCTTCTGCGCTCTTTGACTAGAGGCAAGCCTGTTCAAGCACCACAAACCGCGTCTTCGGCGCGATCTGGCCAGACACAGACTACACCACCTGTCGTCATGTATAACGCGCAGACCTTCACCACCGTGAACCACCTCCATGCCACGTTTGGCACGGGACTGAACAAGCGAGTCCCGCGGTTTGTTCACGGAGCGGACGATATTGGTATGGTTACCAGCAGCGACCCCACTACCGCCAAGGTAGATTCTTGGGGGCAGGGCGATCCCAACTTCTACGGCCAGTTTTCTGAACGCTTTCCCGGAGTATCCGAATGGGGCTTAGGTGCAGGGGAAGTGGTAGGAGTTCCCAACGTTATGGACGTATCCCAGCCCTATGGTATGGTTTACGGTCAAGGTTGCCCGGAAGGATCTTGCTACTACCGAGCACTGGATGAAATGCGTGGCCGATTCATTGCAGAGCCTACTGATTTCTTCATGGCCGAGGCCGGGATCCCAAGACTAGGTGTCGATGGTGGTGCTATCTGCTCTGCCTGGATTGCTAAGTCACCAACCATACCTTCTCTGTCGGAGGGGCTCATCGGAATCATGATGGGATCCGCAGCCGGCGTTGTTACGGGTTGTAGCCTCGGTGCGGATGGTCTACGTGGGAACCGTTTACAGCGCGGCGAGCTTACCGCCCGCTGGGTTCTTAGTCCCGGTGTGCCAATTATTGCGATTGCTGTTGATGAAAATTACTCCCTCAAACGGCATGCTCAACACCGTATCTGGGCGGTTGCTCTCAACGCACTTGGTGAGGTCTTCTACCTAACCAAATTCCCCACCCGTACCTCTGCCCCAAAGACAAACATTGATGAGTATTCTGAGTACCAAGCCTGGCTCACAGGACGAAGTGTTTACTGGAATCTAGTCGAACCTAGTAGGCGCACCGCACGCCCCGACCCATACAATGATGAAGAAATCGATGGAAGTTACTCTCCACGGTCTTCCTGGGACGGTATGTGCTTAAGCAAGGAACAGATTGTTGCCGAAACGAAGGAGATCCAAAATTTCATTCGGAAACAGCCTAAGAACTTCAACAGGGTTTGTCTAGGATGGGACATGCGAAGACGTCTTCAAGTCGACTTTGCTGGTGATGATGGAAACTACGCCGGCGAAGCCATTGTGGTGTTTGAATGTGGTATTGAAGAGGGTGATGTGGCTGATATCAAGCGCTTCACTCGATGGAAGACTCGTGAAAAGGAGAGCAATGGTTTTGTTTCGACTCCTTCTATTCCTCCTCGCGGCTCTCTTTTTGGTGGCTCCAACACCCCAGACCCGAACCACGGACGGCCTGCGCAACGCACTCGGAGCTCATCTTACATGTCTTCTGCTAGCTCTCCCGAAAGGACCAATCTGATTGAAGAATGGCGATCCTCAAAGCTTTCTTTCGGCGGGCTAAGGTCTCTAGAGCTTACAGCAACCGCCCTTGACCAGTCTACGTTTGCTACTCTCACAATGTCAGAGGACCCAGCTCTGGGATTCTCGACAGTTTCAACTGCATCTTCGCCATATGCTTCGCCAATGTCAGTTGCAAGCCAGCCATCATCTCCCTCTGACATTCCTGGTCAGAGAGCTCGTTTCATGGCCGCTGGAACAAAGACTGGGATCATTCTGGTTTGGGATGTCCGATCTCCCGTCTCACGCAATTCTGAGTTGATCAATTCCTTTGACCCAATCCGGATCATCTATACAGAATCGCCAGAAATATCTTGCCTAGCTTTGACGGGTCTCTATCTCGTCCATGGAGGTAACGACGGTCTCGTGCAAGCGTGGGATCCTTTGGCGTCGAGCATGCAACCTATCAGGACGTTAAATTCCCGCTTCTCATCCCGCGCTCGCAGGCGGCTTGTGCAGGCTCAAGCTTCTGTCCAAGGTGTTGGTATCAACCTCTTTGCTGCTGGAGCCATCTGTCTCGACCCAGATCCTACTGTGCTTCGAGGAGCGGTATCACTTGGCACACAAATCCGTTTCTGGAGCTACAGCTCCTCGGCCGCAGATCAATACAAGAGTAGTAAAAGACGACTCCGTCGCTCCGAACGTGGAAGTAACAATGGTGGCGAGCGTTTCCCCGGTACAGGCTCTGCTAATCTAAAAGATTACATTGCCAATGAGAGATATGAACTCGAGCGCGAAAAGCAGGAACGCCGTCGACAAGCAGAACGCATGGCGGGGCGATTTGGCGTCGATCTTCTGGGAAGCGAAGAGGAGGCTCTAGCATATGCAGCTATACTATCTCAGGAGAGCCTGGAAATGGATGAGAAGCGTCGAAAAGAAAGCGAGAGTAGTAGTGCTTTAGGCAGCGACACAGTCACCACTGAGCCTAGTATCCACAATCAATCTACCTCGCCGAATATAAAAGATGATGAAGAGCTCAACGCCGAAATAGCTGAGGCTATTCGTCTTAGTCTCCAAGACAGACCGGGGTCAGGCATCTATGGTTCCGATAGTCCAGCACCCAGCTCGATCTTCGATATTCCGATCAAGTACGCCAAGGGTCGCAGGTCCTCACCCCCGTCTTCGAGATTGAGAAACAGCCCTAAGATGAAAGGGAAGCAGGATGCGGAATCGAGCAAGCAGACTGAGATGTCGGGTCTGGAGTATGCATTACAGTTAAGTCTGGCGGAGGAGCAATGCAAGAAAGAAGCGCAGGAGGACGATTTCCCAGCCCTGAGTCCTAGCCCAGGCAGCCGGGCTGGCAGGAAGGGAAAAGGAAAGGCTGTCTAATGGCGAAGTTGGGATTGTGAGAAGTGGTGCACGCTGAGCGATGTTGCTTTGGTCCGTGGGGGTTTCACTTGGTCTATTGAATTGCGTTTGTTCAAATTGCCTTATCCTGTCTTTATCTTCTACTCTTTGGTTGGGGTGATACAAGTGGATGCTTAATACCTTTTTTGGGGGGGGAAGGGATTGTACTGCCCCTGGGAGCCGCCACGGCCGCCTTTTGGCACCACAAACTTGATAGTTTCGTGGGTTGCACAGCTATTGAAGTCCTTTCAACATTTCAGCTCCTGCCCCCACTATGCGTTATGTGCTTGGGCTATAACGATGCCACATCGATATGTCCTGTCTACCCAGCGCGTGGAAAGTGAATGTAATATAATGTAAAATTCATGGTTGATGACTAAGCTGGGCGTACACTGTTCCGCCCTTATGCCTCGGCTCAAAAGTGCCAACTCCTGCGACGCGACGCAACGCAATGCTCTCCAGCGTCCGACCCAACTCCAACACGCCGAGATGGAGTTCATGTCGAGTTTGCAGAATGGTTTGGATGAGCTGAAACCCTCGCTCTTTGGTATGCTCTTCTGGAATTATCACGCCCCTTCCCTTTATTTCGCGTGACTCCCCATTTGATGCCGATAATACGAAGACCTTTGCTAATTGCACATGTAGAGCTCCTTTCTGAAAACCAGCTTGCTTCTCTGCTTCCACCATCTCTCCGCTATCTCCTCGCTGTCTCCACGCATCGATACCCACGCTATCTTCTGCCGGTCCTGAACTCCTTCGATGAGGTCTACGCACTTCTTCTTCTGCTCGTTGAGCGGCACTTCCTACGCACATACGGGGGCTCGTTCACAGAGAACTTCTACGGCCTCAAACGCGCGCGTGTGCTACGGACCAAGGGCGGAGAGATCCCACGCGCCCAGCTCGGCGCCCCAGACTCAGTAAGGGAAGCAACACAGCTAAGAAACGGAGACGTGTGGCGGAATTTGGCAGTTTTAGTAGGATTGCCGTATTTGAAAAGAAAGTTGGACGAAGGATACGACATCTATGCCGCACATTCGGACATCCTAGGACCGGGCTACAGTCGGGATCGCGAAGGTTTGCGACCAGGCGCGAGCATCAAGGAACGTTTGCTATTTTACTATAAATGGTTCCTGCGAAAAATTTACCCCAGCGTGAACGCAGCGTATTATTTCTCGCTACTAGTGTTCAACATGGCTTACCTCTTTGACGGCTCGAAATACTCTTCCCCATTTCTCTGGATGATCGGAACAAGGATACGAAGGCTGGGTGAAGCAGATTATAAAGCCATTGAGACGGCAACGCAAAAGGCTTCTGGAGTGGGGCCGGCGGGACCCGGGGAAGGAGGGAGCATTTTCAGTCCAAGGAATATGGCTAGGAGTGTGTATCCGCGGTTATTATCGAGTTTGAGGATCTTGCTCCCGACGAGCATCTTCGCGCTGAAGTTCTTGGAGTGGTGGTATGCGTCCGATTTCGCGAGACAGTTATCAAAAAGAGCAGCGGAGAGCATTGAACTCCCCCCACCCATTCTGCCAAACCTCCCCACATCCCCAAAGCAACCATTAGAACCTCAGGAAAAACAGGGTCCCGCCGATGCCCTGAAACGTCTATCTTTATCCTCATCAGAAAAAGGGAGGAGAATGGACCCACCTATCTCCGCCTCCTCCCTTCTCCCTATCCTCACAGTTCCGCATCCTGCACCCGCTACATCCCACCTATGTCCCATCTGTGCGCTCACCATCACCACGCCCACCGCCTCCCCAACTGGTTTTGTCTACTGCTATACGTGCATACATCGCTGGCTGGAGGGCACACACGATCGTCAAATTGCGTTTATGGAGGGTGCGGCAGGTCTGAAACGACACGCTGGGGATGGGGATGTGGATGATGATGAGGTATGGGCCAAGGAAGAAGGAAGTCGCGAAGGCAGGTGGGAGAGCGGTAAGGGCCGGGATGCTGTGACGGGACGGAAAGTACTTGGCGGAACAGAGGCGCTCAGACGGGTTGTGGTCTAAAAGGGTTTTTTTTGTAAGATTAGGGCTTGGATAAGGCGCAATATGAACGACACGGACAGACAACTGGGAGTCTAGGAGCACAAGAAAGTGTATGCAGCCTGTCTGGTCAGTGGATAAGATATGATGCTTTCTACAGTCTCTCACCCTAGAACTATATATAATCTAGAAGTCAACGGCATCGTTATTTGGTGTGTTCCACTCGAATCTCATTACACCTTGACTTCCAAGACTCTAAAATGGTTATATGGTTTCGAGATATATATTATCAGAATAGCAACAGTTGTGTTCTGCTCAAGAAGACGCAAAAGTTCATCAAGTTTGTCTAGGATGAGCTATGACTGTCAAAGTCGGCAGTACCATTTCGTGAGATGTTGAGGTATGTTCGGGGATTTATGGCAGAAATTTGTATCCCATTTCTGTGTTCTCCAGTTCCAACAACAGATTTAATATATGCGGTCTTTCTAGTCATTTTCCATGTTATTTAAGGGGGCCAGTTTCGAGGTAGCGGGAGAGTGATTGGTTGACATGAAAAAGCAACCACCTTTGATTGTAATTTCTTCTTTCCTATACTAGCATGCAAAATTTTGTCATCTAACCCGGAGAGAAGGTCTTAGGAAGGAACGAGAAGGTGAGAGGGCGGGTTATACAAATGAGGACTTATTTACAAGACAGCAGACGCTCTGAAAGTGTTCAGATGTACCAGGGAATGAGGCATGCTAGCCTAGTCTACCGATTCCGCATCTTTTCCGATGCCTCCGAGTCGGCCGTCAGGCTCGTGTGGTTCATCTTGAACTGTGTCCAGATCTCACAAAATAGAAGGACTGGCCAAGCCTAATGAGAGAACTTGAAAGGAAGACCGAGGCCTAGCTTGGATTCAGGCAATTCATGCTTTCGCTGCTTCCCATCACGGTTTTAAAGAGGCATACCATAGTAAGCTCAAGCCTCTACCATTTTTTGACATTGACTGACCCTCCGCGTGGACAGCATGGCAGAGATGAGAGGCAGAGAGAATTATGACCCAAGTCTGCGTCCAAGCCAAACATGGTGAACAACATCTTAAGACTTCATCGTTATTTCTGCTTCCATCGTCCGCGTAGGTTGTTGTAGTAGACGTGACTACATGCATGGATAGGAGAAAAAGGAAGAAAGAGACACAGAATAACTTCGTCTTGAGACTCTTCCAATGAAGATGAGCAAGCATACTTTTCCTGAGGTCCTGCCTTGGAACTAAGGCGGGACCGGCCCGGACAAGCAACCAGAGAGGAAGCCACAGCGGCTGATATGCTCAATGCCCGAAACGTCTTCGCATCTTCCATGCCACAGGGGGTTGCACGACAGGCTTATCAGACAACCCCCAACCTCTTAGCACTGAGTTCGCGACCATCCACGCTGCAACACGACAGCACTGCAGGCGTCACGAGAATTAGTGAACGATGTTGTTCAGGTAGGCCTTTGTCTGTTGTCACAAACCTAGGTCCAACGCAGCCAAAGTGGATGTTGGGTGTGGCTCGTCTGCAGGTCCGGGCGTTCGGGTTGTCGGATCGCTTCGAGACGAATCAACAACGAGCATAAGTCAGTGTGACCGACGGCCAAAAGAAACGCGCGAAACCGTTGGTAAGAACGAGAGATAGAGCTTTTGTTCGCAAGGCTCTTCTATCTCAGCGTCGGCGTTGCTGCACGTATTTTTACACACGGCAATTTTGTAAAGAAAGGGTCTGACGACTGCGGGCCAGTCACCGGAGCTGCTTGGCTACATTCTTTGGGCTCCCATGAGCATGCAATCGCCCTATGGAGAACCCGCTAGGCTATATAGAGGAAGATGATCCGTGGAGTCTTATCAACACCAAGACCCTTAATACGAATCTTCACCAATTTATAGACGCACCATCCAGCTTTGTTCCCTTCCACGAGCCTTGGCCGTTTAAGAACTGCACATCCGCGCTGTCTCGGCCTTCGCTTTCCCCTGCAACCACCGGTCTAGGAATCAGACTGAGGAATACGCTTCCACGTAACGGTCTTGGCGTTCTGCGATTTTGAAACCCAATATCTCCTTATCAGTGCCAAGGCGGCCTCAGGTAGACAATGGGGGCACCGGTGGGAACATGTGGAGTTTGAGACGGACGATGAAGCGACTGGACCTGTTACCTGGAAATTGGGGGTCGGAGAAACTCGCGGTGGTACGTATCTAGGGATATATGACTCTTAGGACACCCCTACGCTTCGTTTGAGATCTAAACCAGCTCTATTTACTTAAAAGCAGCTTCCCAATAAGGAAGATTGAGAAATCGAATCAACGCAGGGCAAAATGGCAACACCAGTAGTTGTAAGCAACACCAAGACATAAATAACTCTTCCACAACCAGCAAGTGCGTTTACTAACAACGTCTTTCCAGCCCGAGTTCAACCCAGATCAGCCCAATGGCGGCGACTCTTTATCTGTGGATGTCAACGCGCAATATTCTGGCCTTGAGTTCCACTACACGTATCTCGTCTTCTGCGGCTTCATCGTCTGGCTCATTATCCCCGGTATTGGACTACTCTATGGAGGTCTTGCACGTCGGAAGTCTTCCTTGGCTATGCTTTTCCAGTCCTTGATGGTCTGTGGAGTGTACGTGAAGACACACATCAAAGACTGAAATACTGATTATGATTTTAAGTGTCTGTTTTCAATGGATGTTTTGGGGTTATTCCTTGGCCTATTCCCGCACCGCGAACGCCTTCATCGGCGATCTCGCTAACTTTGGCATGAAGAATGTTATGGCTGCACCATCTCCTGGTTCGGCGCTCCTCCCGGAAATTGTTTTCTGTCTCTACCAGATGCTTTTCTGCGCATGTACAGTGCAGCTGGTCACTGGTGGTTCGTTCGAACGTGGCCGCATTGTACCCTCCATGGTCTTTGCATTCTGCTGGGCAACCATTGTCTACTGCCCTATTGCGTGTTGGACTTGGAACTCTAACGGATGGTTGTTCAATCTTCCCTCTCTCGACTTTGCTGGAGGCGGCCCTGTCCACATTGCCAGTGGTTGGTGAGTTGTTTCGTTCCCCTTTCTTGTCGACTGGCTAATCACCTACTCAGGTCTGCGCTTGCGTATGCATTTGTTCTTGGAAAACGAGTTCACAAGGGTGATAAGATTCACAACAAACCACACAACACCACCCTCGTCTTTCTTGGTACCGTCCTCATTTGGTTTGGATGGTTTGGCTTTAACGGCGGTTCAGCCTTGAATGCCTCTATCCGTTCCATGATTGCTGCCTTCAACACCAACACCGCTGCGTCCTTCGGTGTCTTAGGCTGGGTCCTCGTTGACTTCATCCGCACCAAGGGCCATTTCAGCGTCGTTGGTGCTTGCTCGGGGGCTATTGCGGGTCTTGTCGGTATCACACCTGCTGCTGGTTACGTTTCCGTCTGGCTAGCAGCTCTTATCGGCTTTTTGACTGGTGTTATCTGCTCCTCTGTCAAGAACATCGACCAATGGCTTCATATAGACGAGGGTATGGATGTGTTTAAACTTCATGGCATTGGTGGGATGTGTGGATCTTTCTTCACTGGAATCTTTGCTCAGGCTTGGGTGTCCGCTCTTGACGGTTCTTCGACATACTCGGGTGGTCTTGATGGCGTGGGCATCCAGGTTGGACGCCAGCTCGCCGAGATCTGCGCCATCTCTTCCTATTCTTTCATCGTCTCTTGCCTCCTGCTTTACGCGCTCAAGTACATTCCTTTCATGCACCTCCGCGTCAGTGAGGAGGCTGAGATGATTGGTCTTGACCTTGACCAGTTCTTCGATGAGCAAATCGGCGACTGGAGTATGATGGAGGATCACACTATTGCAGGTATCAAAGCTCCTGGTGCGCATGCCAGCAGCCAGAACAGCGTCAAGATTGAGCCCGAGGTGGGAACCAAGCAGGCGTAGCTGACCGGCTCTTATAGTGAACAAGCATTGGAGAAGTGTGTATGGTGGTTGTGATGCAGCCCGAGGCTTTTTGAATATTGACATCCCCCTCGTTTGTATCAAGTCCATAGAAATTTACAACATTCTAAGAAATATTATTAGACTGCCAATTGATTTGAAAAGTTCTTCAGAGTGGTGTCTATGAAGGTTAGAAGCTGGTTCCTGGCTTCTGGAAAAGCTCCATAAGCACTAATGGATGAAATGTAGTTTGGCGCAGGTTCTCAACTGACCGAAACTCATTTATGTACCTTCCTCAATACATCTTCGAGGCTCATCCTGCATAGTTGCCCTAGCAAATTCGTGTCCTCATGAACGGCAAGTGCCTCCGGAGTTGCCGTGTCAAGGTTGCCCAAGAATCCAAGTGACCAACGGCAATGGCACACAACGTTGCATCGGTTATCCTGGAGGCTACCTCATTTAAGACAGCAATCAGAATTGAGTGGTCACGATAATATGCCTTCCGACCAGATGCGGTCAATGGGGCAGCCAAAAAATGTCAAAACTATCCGAATCATCACCCTTGAACCCTTCACGGCCTTGTGCATTTCCTAGTCAATAGGCTTAGAAATGAGTTATGTTCTTCGATTGAAGGCATTACACTGATGTGTTTCGTCGGTATCGGACTAGGCAGGATGTATTCCACCTCCTGCAAATGAATCTACAATGGCCTAAATGGATCCGCGCTTATAGTAGCGGTTTAGCGGTCCTTGTTCCTAGGTTTTTGAGCTGGCCCCCTTTCATTAGCTTCATCTACCCTATTCCTTTCTTCAAATCCATGTTCGCTACTTGCGTCTTTGTCAGCCTCTCCTTGAGTTAAATCCCTAAACATTTTCGATACTTTAATACTATACATTAGAAAACTCCTGATATTCAAACCATGATGACGATCTTGCCTTTCTGGGAAATACACTGAGCATGGGAAATGCTAGGCTATGATTGCACATGTTTGGTACTGGTATGTTACCAGAATTCTAGACAATAAATCATCAAGCTGACCACATTTGGCCTGCAAAGCAATCAGACCATCATCCGTACATTTACTCATATGCACTTAACATGTCAGTTGACAGTATCTACTCGAGTACAAGAATGTTTCATATGTGCCCAATGGCTCAGGCCAAGATCGCAGGGGGGTAAAAGGTCCTGGACACCCTTCCTTACACTTCTCTGCTTGGTCGTTCTCATATTTGTTCATCCTAGCGCGGCTTGGTTAGCGAGGTGACTTCGAGGAATGATTTTATGATCGCTCCGAAAGGTAGAAACGTAGTTGTTCCACACTCAGGCAAGTATATCACTCCCCGGCCAGCTTTACATTGCCCTCTCCCTCCCACCTACAAAGCGAGCGCGTTTGGGAGCTTACTGCCATAGATCACAATGCCGCTGGTAAGGTAGCATCGCGCGTGACTACGGAATGTTTTCCCATCGTGTAGTTACACCATGCACCCAGGCTCCTACAAGATATGTATATAGCATCTTCCCCGTTCCATACCTCCTCCACCAGCCCAATACACTCCTTGACACTCCCCTTCTTGATCCTCTGGCTCAACCTATTGTTTGCAGACGTTCGGAGTGTGAACATGCATACTTCAACCCTTATATTGTCTCTTATTGCCGGCTCTAGCACTGTCCTCGCGGGCTTCGACCCCAACTCTAACTCCAACGTCGCTGTGTATTGGGGTGTGTGAACAACTCTACAATCTTTCCCATCCCTGAACTAACTGGCACTTGTAGGTCAGAACTCCGCCAACAAGGCGGACTCGCAAGACCGACTTGTGCACTATTGTGACAGTGAGTACTCGATATCTGTTCTATAATAAGAAGCTCAAGCTAACAATATAATGCAGACTCTAATGTTGACGTATGACACGTTTTGATTCCCAGGGTGGCTATGCGGCTAATGGAGAATTTCAGGTCATTCTTCTCTCCTTCTTAGTCGAGATTGTTAAGGGCGAAGGCAACCAACCCGTGCTAGTAAGAGAGACCCTTGTTTTTACAAGGATATAACACTAGCTACCATGTCTGTAGAACTTCGCCAACCAGGGCGACAAATGCTCAAAGTTTCCTGGGACAGAGCTCTTCAAGTGTCCAGAAATAGAGTGAGTGAAGCAGAAATAATACCCACAACCGCCAGAATATCAACAACAGCCTTTACCCACCCAGACAAACCACCCTGCCCCTATACCACCTTTCACGGCGGTCTAATAATTCCCGCAGAGAAGACATCCAAACCTGCCAAACAAAGCATAACAAAACTATTCTTCTCTCTATCGGCGGCGCCACGTACTCTGAAGGCGGCTTCATCTCCACCAACAGCGCCGTTTCTACCGCCGACAAGATATGGGAGATGTTTGGCCATTACACACTAACCTCTACCATCAACAGGCCATTCGGCAACGCTTGCGTCGACGGCTTCGACTTCGATATCGAAGCCAACTCCCTCAACATGGACGTCTTCGCCAACAAACTTCGCAAAAACATGGACGGCGACCAACACTCTAGCCTCACAGCTGGCAATGATGGCAGTATCCGCAGATTCTACCTTAGCGCTGCGCCGCAATGTCCCCAGCCCGATTGGTACACTAAAGACATTCTCGAGAGGGTCCGGCTAGACATGGTCTTCGTGCAATTCTACAACAACTACTGCGGCGTATCTGCCTTTGTGCAGGACGTTGACGACCCGCAACCATTGTTCAACCTCAAGGACTGGAACAACTGGGCAAAGCACGACGCAGTTAATAAGAACGTCAAAGTCTTTGTTGGGGTTCCGGGGAATGCAAATGCTGGCAGCGGCTATGCTTCTCAGGATAAGCTAGGTGGTGTTGTGAAGTATAGCACGAGGTTTGACAGTTTTGCGGGGATCATGGTTTGGGATGCAAGCAGTGCTTGGGGTAATGGGGACTTCATCAGTGATGTGAAGAAATATTTGAAGGACGGAGGGGGGAAGGGGCATCGGGTTGCGAGGGGCAGGCTTGGGGGACGGGGTTAACAGGGATATGATTTTGTCCTCCTCCTTACTTCTTGAAATTAGTCAGTTAAACTGCTTCTCGTCTACTGTTATGCAATGTTCCAAGCCCGATCGGAGGGTTATGGGCTCAACACATTGAGTAGATATTTTTATATGATAGGATTTCTATATGACCCCAATTTCCTGGAAGGTCTGCAAAGATGAACGCCACTAATTCAAAGTCCATATGATACACGAATGTACAAGACCGTCTGGGATATCGGTGATCATGCGGCCTGCTTGGGCTTCTTCGTCCCGTATTTCGACCTCGATGTGAGTCGGTTACCAACGCCTCCCTGCATTATGTGAGCACGGTCAGTTGGTGGAGAGGCCAAGGGGGTCTACGAACCAAATCTAATGCCCCTCTCACCAGGTGATATTTCACACCCGGGCAATCCTGCGCTCTGCCACCGCGCACTAGAACAACTGAATGCTGCTGGACATTGTGTCCTGTAGGAACTTGATCAGCCTTAAAACTGCTATTATAAGATGCTTTATATATCGATCCCAACATACCTTCCCCAGGAATATATGCCGTAACAACCTTTCCACTACTCAACCTCACCCTCGCAATCTTCCTCTCCCCCGAATTCGGTTTCTTCGGCTTTGTCGTGCCGACTTTGAGACACACACCCTTCATCTCTGGTCGATTCTTCAACGCCGGTGAGCGCAGCTTCCGCGCTCGCTGTTTTTGTCGTCCGCTGCGCACGATCTGAATTAATGTGGAGGAGCGAGAGGGAGAGGCTGAGAAGGTTCGGATGGGGAGCACAGAGGTTGCATTTTGGGCTGCGAGGAGGCCAATTGATGGGGTGGTAGTTCGAGGGGAAGCGATATGTGTTCTAGGAAGGATTAAGGGCCGTACGAGGCGTCGGAGGAATTGAAGAGGCATATTGCGTAGTGTTGTGTGGGCTCATGCTATGTGATGGACAAAAGTCCAGGTGCGGATAATTGCTTGGCATGTAGTGGTCCGTGCACACTACGCTTCCACAGTGAAGGTTCAGCTCGCCCTGGTATGCCTCCCCCATGCATGACAATTGTCTCTGCAAAGCTAGGCACTGTTGCCCTGTTCACCTGAGTCTGGCAAGTGTTAGATGTCTGAGGTCTTCGTGCATCACTTACGCGTCCTCAAGGCAACCACATTACTCCTAACAGCCAAGGTCCTTTCGTTCTTCCTAGCAAAGATTTTCATTCATTTCCCTTTCATCCAGCATTTTCATGTATTTCATCTGATTTGTTCCGCATAATGGAAGCCCCTCGAACATTAATTACGAACACTATGCTTGACGCTCTCCAAGCACAGCTCCTCCGTCTGCCTCGCGAACTCCGCGACATCATATACCGCTACGCCTTCTTCTCTTCTTCTCCCATCTATTTCTCCCGACCAGTACACCCACTGTTTGTATCATCTCCCTATACTCACCCTACTATCGGCGAAGAAGCCCTCGAAGCATTCTACAGCTGCAACACCTTCGTCGTGGGATCTCCCAGGAGCAACGATCAATGGGGCAAATATCTATCCTACAACCCTCTCATCCGGCACCTGGTTATTCATGTCGAAGAAGAGCTTAATGAACCAGCCATATCTACTATTTCTGACGTTCAGGAGTACGAGTCCCGCCGCCTGAGTGGTGCCGACCCTGTACGAAGGAACTGGGAGAAACTTCTCGAATTTCCGAAACTGGCTACTTTAACCATCAATCTGGAGAAAATCCGCGATAACAGTTTCTCCTTCCGGACCTTTGCGCCGATTATTTACACTCTCCGTGCTCAACATCCCAAACTCGTGCTCAAGTTCTGCGTGTCGTTCGACACAATTCTGCAGTCAGCTTGGGACGATCCTTATTGGAGTCACCCGAATTGGGCTGTCAACGGTATCAACGAAGAGTCGTTTAATGAAGCTGGACCTATCGATGTTACTGAACTCATCGCGCCACCAAGCGAGGATGACAAGAAGTATGTCGAAGAGTTTTTGCCAAATAGGAGAATGCCAATGGGCCGGTCTGTGAAGCGAGGTTTACTGGACTGCAATGTATCAGAAAAAAAGGCTCTGGCGAAGCATTATGTAGTTAAGGAGCCGGCTTTGTTGAGGGTGCTCATGGAGGAACATTATAAGATTTATCAAGAATATCAGAAGAAGGTGCGGGAGACATTGAGAGCAAATGTTCAGGAAGACTGTTGAAGATTGTTCAAATTGTTAACGAAGAGGTGTTGGGAGGTTTACAGGGAGTGTGGAGGGACGAGTAAGGACTGGGAGAGCAATATTGGCTTCTCATGTGTGACGATCTCTACTTGGCACTGCCATTCATTTCTTCCAGGCTCTACCATGTCCTCTACCTTGTTTCTCAAAAGCTGTCAATAGGCACAAATATCGTATTCGTTCTCGTCCATGTCCTTGTGCAACCTCTATACGAGGCCAATAATAACATGGGTCCTTCCATTTCTCCACCTCTGAGCCCATTTTTTGTCAAATAGGCTTTGCTTTTAAGGCATTGGAAGGAAATCTCCCTCGCCGAGACTATGGAAGGGAAGGTGACGTCCTGTTCTAACTCGCCAAGAGTAGATCAATGAATGGTGAGCTCGAATTAGGTAGGCCAAGAGGATATACGAGGGCTTGAGGGGAACCACATATCGTGACATCGTCTTTGTCTCCAAAGAATGGGGACACGCAGATCATGGGGCGAGACCCATTAAACTAGTTCCAAAATATCTGTCACGCTTGGAGTTGATAAGTGTGGGCAAAATGCTGCTGATTGAACACTGAAGCATCTTTCTACACTTCACGTTGCTGTCACAAACGATCGAACCAACTCAACCAAATGCTGTTCAGCACGATTCTCTTGAGTCTTTGGTAAGCTTCTTAACCTACAAACCTGCCATCTCCACTAACAGACTATTCCAGCGCTCTCGCCGCAGCTCACCCACCATATCACAAACCCTCCAGCACCTCCAGCATCCCTTTCCCCGTAACCTGCCCAGCCAGCACCCCCTACACGACAGTCTACGTCACCACAGTTACCCAAACCATCTCCACAACCGCCCTCCGCGAACGCAACTGTCCCTCCTTCTACACCGAAGTCGACACCCCTGCCCCGTGGAGCACGTGCACTTTCAACACAAATACGTGTACGCGGCAAATGTGCTTGATGTTGAGCACAATTACGCAGCCGTGTATTACTGATAAGTGCTGCACAAGGACGGCGACAGATACGAGTTATCAGAGCTGTCCGACGAAATGTCCCGAAGGGTGTGGGACCTCTTGGACGGTTGTTAGTGCGAGTTGTACGACTACGAGGCCCGTTCCGACGGTTACAGTTGTTTAGGTGTTAGTTGAAGGTTGGGTACGGTACGGTCACTAGTGAGAAAGGTTAAAAAATATTGCAAATTTGGTTTTTGAGTTGGTGTTGTTGAAGATTGGCGACGTTAGTTTTTCTAAACAGCTTGTCCTGCTTTGGACCGTGGAAAAATCACATTTCTTGAAGCTCGCCCAAGCGTTCCTGAAGCAAAGAAACGTGTCCATGAATGACACGTTCGAGAATATTACGATCGGATCCTAATACAAGTTCACACTTTCTCCACACTCACAACCCCGTGAAGTACCTCCAAACCTTCCGAGTCTGACCGCCACATCTCCCCACCACCCATGCCTTTATTCCTCCACCACTTTCCATCCAATCACGCGTCTAAATTAAATATTGCCGACCATCGTATTCGAGAAGAAAAGGTTTTCTTTTGAAGCGAGTCAATAGATGCATCTCGGAATATCAACCGTTGATCTGCATAAGGAGCTATTTATAGATTACAGTACGATATTCGTCTTTGGCCGCTTTCCTCGCGATTACTCCTTGCTCATTACACTTCAAACCCGCCATCAAATCCAACCGGATTCTCTAGGGTTTCGTGACCTCTGGTTAGATGAGAAGGAAAATTGCGCTCGGATTTTACGCACTTCCGCGTATGTATACTAGAATAGTCTGTTAGTAGACTTTTCCAAGGGATTTGCAGCTGGACAAATCTTCCTATCTGCACCTGCATCTGCATCTGCGGACTTTACTTTCCAGCTCGACATACGAACACGCGTTCGCGGCCCGCCGTCGACAGCACGTAAGCGATTCCTCCGCCGGCAGCCGGGGCTGGAATCCGGGGATGAAATTTCGGTGGCTGGTAAGCGTGCAAGGGACTTTAGCAACAGGTAAATATGCTGATACGCGTGGTTCGAGAAACATCCTTGGATATTTAATTACAACGGTGTGGAAATTAGAGGAAGTGGGGTTATACGAAGGGCTTCTTACATATTGACGGATAGTTAGGTAGATGGATGGGTGGGTAGGTAGATATATGGGTTCTATGCTGCTATACTCTTCAACCTCTTCTGTCTACCTATTTTAGAGGAAAATCTGGCTGCACTTTGTCATATCAGACATTTCTAGAACAAGATGACGAAGTTCACTATCCTCGCTGCCATCTTCGCAGCAGTACTTGCGTATGAAGCTAAACTCTCCCTCCCTCCATGAGATTCCAAGCTCCTCATCTCCAGAGCTCTGCCCAGTCAAGCCTATCCACTCAAGCAAAACCGAACCTAACAGTTTCTTGTCAACAGCAAATCCTCCGCCACAGACTTCAATCCCCCGAAAGAATGTCCCTGCTACACAGCAACGGCGTACGAGACTAACAATGGATGTCCTGCGTTCTCGAAGCCATGTATTGTTCCCATGTGTATGCTGCTCAGGTGCGCTAGAGCAATTTCCTTCTCACTCTTTCCCCTTCCTCTTCTATTCAAAGATCCATCATCTACTTCTCTTGTGCTGTCAAAGTACGCTACTACGATGCTAACAGCAAATCCAGCACATCAACCATCCCCGGCCCCAACACAGCGTGCAAAAAAACCCCGACAGTAACATCCTACCTTCCCTGCCAAACCGCCTGCCAAAAAGGTTGTGCAACCCACACAACCACCGAAACGGCATCAACCTCCTGCCTCGCCCTCACCACCCCTCCCCCACCCTCCTCTCTCAAATCCTGCTACACCAAGACCGTTACAGCCTCGAAAAAGTGCCCGGCTGAGGATGCGTTGAATTGTATTGTTCCAGATTGCATTATGTTGTTGACAACAACGGTTCCGGGGCCGGCTAAGGAGTGTACAGCGACACCGACTGTGACGGTGACGAGGACATGTAAGAGTAGTTGTGAGGGCGGGTGTGCAACGCAGTGGGTTACTGCCACGGCTACACCTTGGGAGGCGTGAGGATGAGGAAGGGGAAAGAGGGGGAGGGGTTGGTGTGTTGAGAGGGTCTTGTAAAAAGTCTTGGTGGGATGGAAAAGTGTGTTTGCTGAAAAATGACACGAGTAGGATGGAGGAAGAGAAATTATCATGACAATAAGTCCGCTGTCATCACAGCTCGGACCAAATTTTGATATACGCCACTGTGCATGCATGGATGAAATGAATCTGCTCCTCCTTTGCCACCTGTGTTCATTCTTCATCTTCCATAGTCATATCTTCCAAATCATCCAACAGCTGCTCCATCGGCACTGCCAGCCCCTCATCATCCCCAATCTCACTCTCCTCAATGTCCATCACATCGATCTGTTGTTGCTCTTTCTGCGCCTTATACAGCGCCAACCCAGCTCTCAAATCCGCATCCTCTTCCACATCACGCAGAAACATTTCAAAGTCGCGATCCATGCGCTCTTGATCTTGTTTCCGGGGCAGCATCTCGTTTTCCTCCTTTGCCAGGCGCTTGAGACGCCAGTTCCTGCTCTTACCTTTCTTCTTACGGGCGTAGTGTTTCTTAACGAGCACAACGTCAGGGATCGTGGACGCGTATTTAGAGTCTTCTAAAGCATCGAACAGGGGATTGTTGAAATTCGTTCCCGTGAGATGATAGCCCATGACCGAATCACCCACATGGAGAATTCCTCCTAAATGCGTCCGTGTGTAGTATGTCTGGTCGTTCGTACCCATATCGGATGCCCGGGCTACCGTTGCTTCGGCGAGGAAAAACCGGCCTTTTGAAGTGCCGAGGGGTTCGATGTCCAGGATTATGAATTCGACGAGGTCTTGCATATCTGCAAGAGGGCGGAAAGGCGCACGCCAATAGATGTTTGTTGATACGTCTGCGGTTTGGAGGGTGGTCGGGTCGATGAGATTGATGGAGGTACCGACGCGGTGGCAGAGGGTCATCGGAGCGATGTTGCCGATCTTTTTGGCCATGGGGACGGGAAGGACTACGAGATCATCTTTGCACTAAACCTAATGTCAGCCGAGATCTCACAGGCAGCTTTCTAATGGACGTACGATAGGCACAAGCTCTGCACTGTACGAGAACTTGTAGGACCTGGTGCTTGTGTGGATATCCATACTTATCAACTCCTGACTCTTATTAACATTCACGGGCACAACAGCCTTTAAGAAGTCCACAAAGCCCTCAGCATGGTTCCTCTGCGCAAAGTAGAAGTCAATCCCGTCGTGGACTTCCTTGATGTTGATGGTATCCTTGTGCGCTCCATGCTTTAGAATAAGCTGCTCGAGGAACAAAAACGTCCTCTTATGTGGCACTTTTTGCCGAACCTGGACCACAGCCCTCCAGGTGTTATGTGTATAGCTCTTTGCACAATCTGGGCACTGGTGGTAATTCTGCACATATTCGACTTCGAAGGATTGCTGCATAATAGCACCCTCAGATATCTCCGACTGGACGGTGATCTTGACTTTTATCCTCCGAGAGTGAGGTTCGGTCCAGATGAAGCTCGCATCGATGATCCTAAGCTTGTTCAATCCTCGGAGTTTCTTCAGACATAGAGCCAATAGCTCTCTACTTTCTGGAGCCGCAACGACCCAGGAAGTTGGTGGTGATAGCCATCGGTCACAATCCCGGCACATGTGGAGGGTTGCTTCTCGCTGGATGCCTTGGGTGACATCGGTCTTTAGTTTGATGCAGTCGTAGCAGAAAGCCCCTGAAATTGTTCCATCTACGGGGGCTCCGCAGTCTGCACACAAAATAGTGGCAGCGCTCTTCGTTCCGGGGTTGAAGTGGACGGGAGTGTCGACCTCCATGGTGAGGCTGTCGACGGGTATCTCAGCGACAAACAAAATAGAATTGTGTTTGAAGGGAAACAAAAGGGCGACAGGCAATATAAAAAGAGAGAGGAGAGTGTTGTGGAAGCTTCGTAACTATGTGACGGCGGCAAATGCTTTGAAATTCGCCCCGCCAAAATTTCGTGAGTTGAAACTGGGGGGGTTATCTTATCGCCACGTGACTTTGCGCTGCCGGTGAATGTAAGCTCCGATGTGAATTTCTTGAGGAGCTCTTCGTCGCCGTTGGATGTTTCGTATGCATCTGCAGCGCGCACAATGGCTTTATCGCGGGCCGTTTCTTCGAGATTAGGATGCCGTAGCTGCAGGAATGCAATTGTGTCATCATTCATACCAAGTCCAACTCGCAGCTCCATATCACCATGGCGCATATCCTGCCCACCCTTTGCCCGACCCTACACGTTGACATGGCTACGACTCGAAGAAAGCAATGGGTCACAAGCCGCGGATGCACTCAAGCAAGAACTGAAACCAAGCTTCCCCGAAGCCGACAAATGCATTCCTGTACCCTGGTACCTCCAAGCCGCTCGCAAAAGAGATCCCCAAGCATCTCTCGGTCCTAGACGCGAACTCATCCCCGACCTCCCCCCCAATCCTCCCCCTCTTCTCCCTGTACTTCTGCACTATATTTCCATGTCTGCTGGTCTCGATGACCTCCTAGTACTCGATCTACGCCATCTCGATCCACCACCAGCGCTGGGTTCTAAACTTATTATGATTATCGGCACTGCAAGAAGTGAGAAACATCTCCACGTATCTGCAGATCGAATGTGTAGATATTTACGGAGGACACACAACCTAAAAGCCAATGCCGCTGGCCTGCTGGGCCGGAACGAACTGAAGATCAAGCAAAGGCGGAAGGCTAAGCGTATGAGGCTGCTTGCCAATGTCGGAGGGCAGGAGCCTGTGGGAGACATTGATGATGGGATACGAACGAATTGGATCTGCTGCACAGTGGGTAGAATTCAGGCCCATCCAGACGACACCCACATTCCTGGCGGCAACATTGAGAATTTCGTGGGCTTCAGGGAAGCCAGTACGGGTGTGAATGTCGTGGTGCAGATGTTTACCGAGGAGAAGCGAGCCGAGATAGACCTGGAAACGCTCTGGGGAGGCGTGGTGAAGACCCACGGCCGAGAGAATCAGAGGATGGATGAGAAGCTGGAGATATTAGAAAAAGAATCCACCGAGACGTCAGAAGAGTCCCGGGAGCCTATCAAAACACCACCACAAGCACCTACCCCGGCCTTGTATCGACGACCTAGTGACCCGTTTCCAGGCGATTCATCTGCTGCCCCAGCTCAACCCAGGCAGACATGGAACAAACCAATGCCATCGACAAGCGACATCTTCCCACCTGCCTCTAGCAAAAGACCTGCACGGCAAGCGCGACGCATGCACACCTCAAATTCATCACCGGCATAAGCCTCACCCCTCTTCCTCTTCTATCAATACGTCCAGTCTCCAGGCCCTCCACATCCCGACCCTAGACCCTCCCCCCGCCGATCACAAGCCCCTCTGAACTTAAACACATGTCGCACACCCTCAAACTCCCCATCCTTACCCCCACCAGCCACCTCATGGCCCTTGCCTGCCTCCACCATAAATCAAGTCCTCTCCACATCTCAGCCCTCTTAGACCTCCCCTTATTGCGCTCCTGACATCCCAGATCGCCCGACTCATATACCTCAACATAATGCGCTACACCTCTACCTATCATCTCCCTAATCGTCTCTTCACGTGCCCAAAAACACTACTCGCAAAATCGCGTTCAACGCCAAGGTGGAACGACAAACCCATATCCATAGTTCTAACCTAGAGAACGCGGATGCCGACGTGCTTAGTTTGTCGGAGAAGGGGTTTTAGGTCCATAGGGTTTAGATGTTAGCTGGAGTGTTGTCGGAGCTGGTGGATGTATTCTTATGAGGGTCTAGAGAAGGAGGGGCCTTTGGTGGAAGGCAAACAAAACCGGGGCGGATTTGAAGTCCTCCAAGGGTGAGGAAGATTCCATCCCAATGTAAATTATGCAATGTACAGTACATGCAAGAACGGATAGAGCTAGTAGAGCTAAGATGCTAGGCGCGCATATATACTATCAAGTTAGATATATATGGATCTCACTCACCATAACCGACTATAAACACACGTACGCACGCGTGCAGGCAAGTAAGATAGAGTATCTACTCCAACATCTCCATTTCCATTTCCATTCTCGATTCCTAAGTCCACGTCCATCCATGCAAGGATGGATGGCCTGGGAAGAAGTATTGTATCTATTTATCAGACTGGCTCTCTAACTCCTCCCCATCACCATCGCCCTAGCGCATATGAGCATATGAGTGAGGAAACTCACTCCATGCCATGTCATCTTCGTATTTCAGGAAAAGAAAGAGAAAGCCGTCCCACCTAAGACCCGACCCATCCCATCCCAGACGATGCCAAACGTATTTAATGTCTGCACAGGACCAGACGGAGAGACGGAGAGACGGAGAAGACAGAAAGATGATAAGGTATCTCCGGACAGCCTAAGCCATAGCCATAACCACCCATTCAGAAGCGGGAAAAAAAATGTGCAGGATGAATAACCCGAAATGAATGCATGCCCATGAATGAAAGAAAGCCAGAGACACTTGATCTTGATCATCCACACATGTTTCCCGGACTATACAGACCAGACGTAGACTCTGTGCTCGCACCGTACCATGCTGGATACAGACAGAGAGACGGAATCCCAGTTATGAAAGTATGGCACCCAGAAGACAGCAACGCAACCGTAGTAGCCGTCCATTGACTAACCCTTCCACGCTCTCTACTGCTCAAGGGGTGTCAATACATCCCGGGTGGAGGTCTCCCAGCCTGCCTCGGACCACCCTGCTGTCCCGGTCCAGGACCCGCAGCACCAAAGCCCTCAAACTCAGGCCGTCCACCCATCATCATCCTCGGATCCTCAGCCCCCCTCATTCCCATCGGCGGTCCATATCCTGGCAGCGGCGGAAAGTAGCTCTGTGGTGGTGGCATCTGATTCTGTGGCTGGCCCGGAAACATCCCGCCCATGCCGCGAGGTGGGGGAATACCGGGCGGATGCCCAAGCGGTGTGTTTCCAGCTGAGAATGATGGACCCATTTGCGGTGGTGGACCACCCTGGGGACCAACAAAACCAGGCGGTTGGCGCATGCCTACTGGAGCGCCAAAGCCGGGTGGAGGGGCGATATTGCGGTCTTGGGGAGTCGGTGCCATTCCCGGGTTTCCTCGCATGTATGGCATGTCGGGGATGGGTTGAGATGGGATGCCCATGTTTGTCATCTGACGTGGAATTTCTCCCGCGGTGTTGCGGCGCTGAAGACCTGCTAATGATGGATCATCATAAGGCATGCTGGGAAGCCGAGGGTTATTCTTGCGCATGGCTTCTTGTTGCTGCTGCAGACCTGCTTCTCGCATGATCTGCTCACGATTCCGAGCCTCTTGAATCTCGCGGAAGTTTGCCGCTTCACGGCGCTCAGCCTCACGCCTCTCAACTTCACGCCTCATCAACATCTCATTATCTGCGAAGAGGCGAGGGTCGTCCATGAATCCTGGAGGGGCACCACGTCCCTTTGGCTGGCCTTGAGGTCGCTGTGTAGGTTGATCAAAGAATGATGGTAAGTTCTGGTTCTCTGGGGTGGGTCGAGGAAGGTTCTGGTTCATTAGTTGCGGCGGCGTACGGGAATGCATGAGATTGAGAAGGAATTGTTGTTTGGCCTGATCACGGCTTGTCTCCTCTCGTGCGCGACTGTTTAGCAGAGCATGCAGATGAGCATCTTGGGCGCTACTGTTCCTTGGGGGGGGTTGTTGCATGGGGAATTCGTCAGCGGGGTGATTCGACTCAGGCCGGGGAAGTCCAAATTGCTCGATGAGTGCACTCTCAGGTGACATAGCATTAAACCTTCCTTGGGATAACCTGGTCTCGGGAGCAGATGGCCTTGGGGCTAGGATGTTCTCTAACATAGCCTGTTGTTCGACCGTCCGCGGAACCTGTTGGCGGGGTGGATGTCTCATTTCCGGTGGTTCCTCTGTCTGAGACTGGTAGGGGAGATCAATTGAGATACCACCCTGCCGCGCACCATTAAGAGGCGCAGTGGTGGGTGGTTGCGAACTCTGCGGCACACCAATGCTAGCCCCACCGAGCATTTGGAGAATACGTTGGAATCCTTCCTTGTCTTCCTCATTGTTGCCGTTGGCGCCGCCTTGTGTGGGAGAAGCTGGTGTTGGTAGCGGCGGAGGTTTCGCTGACTCCTCCGGCTTCGTAAACATGTCGGTGAATCTGGATTTCGCCTTTGATTTTTTAATTGTCGCGGCAGGCTCAGGCACACTCGCTTCTGGCGTCTTCTCTTTGCCCCAATTACCAAAGAACCTGTCTTGGCTTGGATCCAAGCCTAACGGCGTAACCTGCTTGGGTGGCGCCGCCGCGAAAGTTGTCCGAATTGAAGGTTCAAAGGATGACTGTTCGAAATTTGGAGGCAATGGGTCCTTGATCTCCTCCTTCTCCTCTGCTGGTGCATCCTTCGCTCTCATCTGTTCTTTCCAGCGCTGAAAGTCCTCTTGGGTCTTGGCCTGCTTCTTCTCGGAGCCCACTTTTGTGTCCATCCATTCCGGATCTTCTTCCAACTTGGACCCTCCTCTATTCCAGTCGCGATCTCTATCACGGTCTCTATCGCGCTCCCGGTCCCGCCAGCCGCCCTGGCCTGATGTTCCAAACCTATTGCCGTCTCCTTCTTTCGCGCCAGAGTCCTCACGACGGCCCCAACGAGACTCGAGCTTCTCGCGGCCTGCCCCTGGGCGTCGCACTGTAGAATCATTGTTGTCCGTGTCGCCCTCCTTCTGGCCCTTCTCCCGGTCTCGATCTCCATTTCGACCAAAGCCTCGATCAAAGTCGTCCTGGCCCAAGCTCTTACGAGACTTCACATTTGTCCAGCCTTCGCCGTCTTCGCGCGCATTGCGCCGTCCATTTGTGAAGCCAGCCTTGTCGCGTGTGCGCTCACCGTCGCGTTCTCCTCGGGTCCACCGCTCGCGAGCGGAGAAGCGATCTCCAAGCTGGTCCCCGTCTAGCGCGGTGGCTGCGCGCTTCTCCGTGTTTTCGGAAGCCTTTGCGTTGCGAGATGCAGAAGTGAACGAAAGCTTGGGTGGACCAAGAACGGTGTCTTCAGGTTCTGCAATGGACATTAGAGACACCATCACGGCATTTATGCAGGGCGACTTACGGGTGCTCGCCCGTCTACCAAAATTGCCCATTCCAGCATTGGTAAAAAGGGGTCGATCGGAGCGATTCTCGCTGCTCAAAGGTGCATCCCCTTCTCGCAACACACCTGATCGCGGCCGGCGATTGGTGGTTGTATTATTGTTTTGATCGGCCGGTGGCTCCATCCACTGTTCAATAGAGGGGAGTCCATCGGGTTTTTGGACGAGTGGAGAGCTCCGTAGGTGCTGTAGTTGCTCTACAGTGTATGATGGACCTCCCATTCTTGAGAATATGAGGCCGCAACCTGACAGGGTGAGGCGTGGGAAGGGTTGGAAGTCCGAGATCGTGCGGGTTTGTATTGTGGTGAAAGTGGTGTGAAAAGTTGATGGTCACAAAAGACCTTACCAGGTGGCTGCCTCAGCAGCAGGTTGCGGGCAAGCTTCTAATATGGTGGTAATTAAACACTATCCTTCCTACGACTCGTACAGCGATTGTAGCCAGACAGCTGAGCGCGGTGTGCGCAGACAAGGGGAAAATGTGGTGTCGAGAGAGCAGTCTAAAAATTGATAGATGGTCAGCGTTCGTCAAGCCGCCATAGGTACAGTCCGTAGTAGCCTCGAGGTAGGAGACGGATCAGTGAGTGGGCGACGTACCTTGAGCACCCCTGCGGGCAGTGATAGTGAGGTGGGAGGGGGTACGGAGGTGAAGCTCGTGCGACGTCGGGCGTGCGATTGCGATGGTGGCAGATTTAGGAGATTATGAGTCGGGTATTTGAGTAGAACTGTGATTGATGGAATAAGAGCCTTGTTTGTGGTTGTCGTGTGTTTTGTCTCTCCCTCACCGTCGGGTCGAGACATGCAGCAACGCAGGGCGCACGTGCCAGGAAAGCTGGAGAAAAGTATACCCGGCTCCACTCCTAGGCATAAATAGTGGTGGCTTGCGCCTGCTCGGCTCGTTACTATCTTCCGACAAGTCACACATGGCTAGGCAGAACCTTCTTTCGCTTTCTCTATATTGCCAAAATTCAATATCTCCTAACACTGGTAAAGCCCAGTGCATGAAGTCTGCATTCACTTTTCCCGCACAGACACATGAGATCCCCAGACATAATGGCAGATTCAACCATCATTGCCCGTAAGTCAGCCACGTTGCTTATCGATCCGAACTTTTCCTCTGAGAATGTTAAGAAAGATCCCCTATGCGTATCCCGTGCCAACCTTGGCCAACAGAGAAATGCTATCTCCAATTGCCCCGCCACTCCACTGCTCCACCTTCTCTTTGTCGCATGTGTTGTAAATTCGTAGAGCCAATGCCTTCAAGGTCTGGTGTCGATGGTCCGCGCTGGACAGTCTCATTTGTATCCAGCTCAAAATTCCACATCGAGTGATTAGAGTTGTGCTTCCCCCAACACCTGCCCCGCGGAATAGAATTTTAAGAATCTTCTCCTTCGCCGTGATCGCGCATGAAGGGGATTCGTAATAGGAAAGAAGAGTCTCGAAAATGTTCTTAATCCTGAAGATTTCCATATCCTGCGGAGTTCGTAGTGAGTCGAAAAGGTAGTCAAGGAACCAGGCTACTTCCTTGTGATATGAATCGTCTTGCTCTGGCTCATTCCGGATGATGCTCCTCCCAAAGTACCGTGGAATGTTTTCAACGACCCACTGTGGTCGTTTCAAAAGAAACATGTTGACCTTTCCGAACAGAACATGGGTTGGGTCGGCCAGGACTTTCACGACTCGAGCAGCGAAGACACCACCCACATATGGCAGGGGTGTTTCATCTCCACTTCGTCGTACTGTTTCCAGAGTCTCGTTTAGGAGTAACGTCACTTGTGCTAAGTCGAACCCTTTATTCGCCTAGGATTCGTTAGCAGTACGCACATGAATGACTAGAAGGGAAACATACCTCGAGTTTCGCAACGAGCTGGCGGATGTTCACGGCAGCTTGCATACGAATTTCGATGTGTTTTGAGCAAAGGCACAAGAGCAAGTCCCCAATGTCTCCATCATCAATACTCTCCTCAATATCCTTCTTCCTCCAGCGATTCAAACCAGCGTGTTTTTCATCCTCTTCCGGCGGAAGTTCAACGTCAACCATATTCACACACTTGCTCGGCTCTATTGGGCGATCTGGTGGGTTTGGAGAAGTGCTAGACCTTTCAGAGCCACTAAAGTCTGCACCAGTGGCCATCTTGAGTGCCTCTTTCGCCTTCTCTTTACTCATCTTCCAAAGGAAACAGTCCTTCAGGATATCTTTATAGGCTGTATCCGCGAATGTAACGAAGGAATCCCGAACAAGGGCGAGAGCCACTTCATCTTCCCCAACAAGTTTCAGTAAATAGAGCAGCTTTGACAGCCAGTGCGCAATAGGTTCTGCGGGATGACCTTTTTCAGCTGTGCCACCTTTATATGGCCATTGTTCGACGAGGGTCATTAGTAGTGGACTCACACGAGCGCGTAAGTAGCCATGTGATAGGCCTTCATATAAGGCGTCTAGATCATCGAAATACTTGATGGGTCCTTTGATGAAGCGCGCGCAGCAGTCGTCAAGGAAATCTAGCACCTCGAAGCTGGGTACCGAGCACCCACATGAAGCTCCGAGACTTGCGATAAGAACATCTAGAGCGTCTGGGTTCGTGGTGAGCTGTAGCATATCGTGGTCTTGTATTATGGAAACTAAAATCGCTTTGATCCTAGCATACATTTCCAGGCCTGGGGATGTTGCGAGCATCTTAAGTAGCGTCATGAAAGGCGAGTGTTGGAGAGACTCTGTAGAAATATTAGCTGCTGAGACTACCCATCCAACAGTGAGGTACATACTAGGCTTTTGCCACCAGCGCATAGTGTTAGAACGCCGTGCAATCTGTATCCAATGCTCAACTTCCATGATACGGAACGCCTTGTCCTCTGGTGCTCCTATAGACTTCTCTGCTTGCACTAATGCGCTGCACAACGGTACAGAGACGTCGAATTTCTCTTGAAGCGCAACCTGAGGTGTAACTTCATAGTATAGTCTCAGCAATCTTGTGATGGCTTCTCGCATCAAGTCCTTCTGAAAAGCTGGGCGCCTGAATGCGAGGATGACAGCCTTCACCTGAGGGCAGCGCTGGCAGAACTCCCTAATAAGGCGAGGGGAAGTTTGCTCCCATAAACTGGAGGGCTTTGCCAATGACGCGGTTTGCAATGACAGTAAAACTGCGCGAAGCTTGTGGAATGCGGCAACGAGGATGCGAATCGCGAAGAAATTTACCAAGTCCGAGCTGTGGTTCAGACATCTCGTCAGGACTTGTTGAGTCAAGGGCTGTGGTAAAATGCTCTGGAGCAAGACTGGAACCGGAGGTGGGTACTCGCGATAGCCCCACCTACCACCCAAATAGGCCGGAACGGGGAGCTCTATCGTCTGGTACAGGAACGCTGAATACCCGACCCACGTGGACGTGAGTTTCGGGTCGTAATGGAAGGATTCCTTGTGGAGGAAATAATTGGCGACAAGCTCCGGGCTAGCCTTGAAGATGGCAATCAATAATTCTTGTTGCAAAGTGTTTGCGTACGGTCTTAGAGACTGGATGAATTCTCCCAATATCACATTCCGAATGCGAGTTTCGCTCTCGGGGCCATCTGCTAGATCGAATCCGAAATCGATTGACAAGTCTGCTGCATCATCTATTTTTACGTCCCCGTCGTCTCTATCACTTATCGGAGGATAAAATCCAGTCGATGACAACATGACGCCACATGTTGGAGAAGTGCATACCATGCATAGGAACTCATGGGCTGCTACATCAGGACCTTTCCTATCGTTCGAGAGGGATTCTTCCGAGCTTTGATATTTGTAGAGGCTAGCGATATGGGAAAGCGTCTTCCCTGTCAGGATGCGACTTTTGACCCGCCTTGGAATGGCCTTATCCTGAAAGACATGGTTACTCATGACATCCAAGATCTCCAGCACCAGGAAAGGTGGGTCAGAGTGCAGGTGGTCAAAGACAGCTCGCACAACGATGGAATTTGAAAGGATGTCGGCTTTAGCGAATTCATCCTGGTATCTCAGGTGCGCTAGAAGATATCGAACTGCATTGATTCGGATGCTTGGTTTGCGCTGATCTTGGCCCTCTCTCCACAACCCAAGGTTCCTGCTAAGCACTTTTGGATCAAGCGTGAAGTCCCTCTTCGCATAGACAGCCTTTGCATGAGCGCCCTCGTTAAACTTTGTGATTTCAGTCAAAAGTCGCAAAACCGGCGAAATGATATTCTCCTTGGAAGGAGCGGCAGACAGGCTGCGATTCAGGCGTCGGGCAACAGATGGTTGTAAGATTGTTTTGCAAAGAAGCGTCGCATACTGGTGCAAGGCCGCATCGCTGGAGAAGGCCTTGAACAAGAGAGCGAGGGTGGCCGTGACCTGGAAAAGCAGAGCCTCGAAATTGGTCTCGACCGAAAAGTCCCATGCTTGGATGAAGTTCGGAAGGAACATTGTGTCCTTGCCGTCTCGTCCCTTGCCCTTCTGAGAGTCGAGATAGTCTCGGAGGATGGCATGTCTGCGGGGAAGGTCCTCTTCGTCAGCTGGATAGAGGATGGAATCCAGGAACGACTTGAACAGGTTCAACCCTAGACAAGTCAGCTGCGGGAGCTCATGCTTGAGAGGTCAGACATACCAGAGCGAAGACCAGAAGCCGTGCCTTGCTCAAACACAAGGCATTTCTGCAATTGGTGTGCAGACGTCACATCCTCTGCCAGGACGGAAGGTGCAGCGGGATTGCACTCTGTGAAGCCCGCGACGCGCTGTCGCTTGAGGCTTCGGCCGTCATGGGTGTTTTGCAGGTCGGTCTCAAAGGCCGTACGTTTACCCATGACTGCAGTCAAGGCATAGCTGTCAGTCTAGCAATCATGTGAGCTTGCAACTATCGCGGCCTTTGAATCTGCTGAAATTTTGGGGAACCCTGCTTTGCGCTAACCATTGTGGGAATAGTCAGGCCGGCGTAAATGCTGTCTAGGCCGACCTTGTTCTCACACTAGCACCCATTCGCCGCCAAGAATTGTGTTCTTCGAGTTCTGCCATCCTCTCTCACTTTGAAGTGTAGCCATTTGCATCGCTAAGTGACCGTGTGCGGGGATTACTAGCACCCTACCTGTGCCCCTTCTCGGCCCTTAACTTTGCGCATAGCATCCTTGCAAGTTCTCTTGCAACAAGTAACAGCTAGTCTTTCGGAGTAAACCTTTCTCTAGAAATGGTGCTTCTTAGCCTTCTTCTTCAATAAAGAAGAATCCATGCCCTATTGTCTCTGTCTTAATGTAAGGTCTGTTCCCCTATAAAAAAAGAGCCATGTTTGACTTGTCTTTTCTCACACTCTATCGCACGAAACCACTCAAAATAATCGCGTGTCCGATTTAACAAACAGCAAAACAGAAAACCCCTCAGAATTTGAGAAGATCAGCCGATATAGCCTTGGAGTTTTTGGCCCTATATTTGTGAAGGCTTGAAGGATAATTCGAGGTGGATTAATGAACGACTCGATGCAAAGGCGTTCTGGAGGCGCTATCTATTTAGCCCACCGCACTTAAGAGTGCTAGTTTGAATCTTATTAGAAGGAGTGTGAATTTTAGAGTTTATATAAGACTTGAAAGTGAAGGTTTTGGGAGCAGATGCTCTTTTATCTGCTGATTTAGCGATAAGTTGAGGGGAGGTGAGATAGTGAAATGTGGTCTTTCGTATGTGAAGTTAGATTGCTTTAGGTGTGGGTAGATGTCATGTGCGGTGACAGTATGTCAATATACTATGACTTCTAGCGTGAATCGAAGTAGTCACATTCTCTCTATTGCCCAATCGAATCTACATATAGGGGGCTCTTCCAGGACGGATGTATCACACCCAAACAGCTCGTCCGTCTCTCACCTCATGCGCCGTTTCCGCCCCCGCCTTCGTCCCCCTCCCATCAGCCCTCACCTTCCCAAATCCCCAACGAATTACCGCCGGGCTATTCCTCTCCTTCGTCCTTCCGCTCCCCACTCTGGCCCGCCGATCCGCCTTTGCCCACCTCTTCTTCATCCACGGCCCAACACCACATCCGAGAGCCAAACAACAAAACACCACTCCAACCGCCGCACCAACGCCGATCCCAGTCTTGGCAAAAGACGAAAGACCTTCCCTCTTTGGGGCTGTTGAAGCTGAGGGAGTGGGGAGAGTGCTCACATGCGTGATTACTGTGCTAATAACGGTTTGTATGCTCTGGGCAATTGTTTCAGTTCGGATGATGGTTGCGGTAGCCGCGGGAGTCGCGGTGATTGTAATAGCAGCGAGGCTAGCGCTATTCGCTGCTAATGCGGTATTCAGTGCGGCTGAATTTGGGTTGCTGTTTGAGTTGGAAAGATTGCAGGTTGTGGGTGCCGGGTTTGCAACCAGATTCCCACTGACAAAGACGACCAACACGGCCGCATATCTATTCTAGCATCAGCAAAATCCCATGCCCCTCACCTAGCTGGTATGCTTCGGAGTTGGGGAGTGGGGAATAGTCTTACCCAGCAGTGGCAACAAAAACATCCTGCCGTCTCGCATTTGTGGCCGCGGCAATCGTCGCTGCAAATGCCACGGTGAAGGAGCATAACATCGCTAGTCTAGCTCTAGTACTCTCTACAAAGAACAGTCCAACAACTGCGCCGACGAGGAACAGTGCTGTGAGGATAGTGACGAAGAGTGTGACTGCGAATGCAAGATTTTTGTGATGCGTCACTGGTGTTGGACACCCGGGGACTCTATCCTGCATGGTGAAGGTTAGTGAAAGGTTCGTGACGTCTATTCCGAGGTCTGATACAACGTACCTGAAAGAATGACGGGAACCTCGTCTCAAAGAACTGGGTCAGAAAATCCGACTCTCGAGATCGTGCCAGGACACTGAGATCGTGCTCATTTTTTGGATTTAAGTGTTGAAAATTAGGGGTTGAGTGCGCATCAAGGCTCATGGCAATGTTTTGCATAATCTGATATGTGGAGTGGATAGCACGTTTTGAAGGACGGGAGAGCGATAGCATGTCTGATGTGCGGAGCATCGCTTCGTCTTATATCTTGTCAACTCGGGCATTCTCTGCATCCAACACAGAAGGATGAAGGAAAAAAGCTGGAGCACTTACAGTACTCCCTTATCTTCTCCCTCAATTCCAAGTCTACATCTCTAATTTCCTTCACTCTGTCTTTTGCATCATTGTTTTCCTCGTCAACCCCACCATCAAACTTCATATCCTGTCCCTTCCACTCCAACTCCCCATCAAACTCCTGTTCTTCAAGTCTCTCGAGCTTGCCTTCTAATTCCGCAATCTCATTCTCTAAAATCAACAAGTTCCGCATATTTACCCTATCAAAGCGGCGGAATATAGCGCTCGACTTTTCCGGATCAGCCGACATGTAAGTCGCGAGGCGGGAGTAGCATGACGTCTTAGGTGTTTTTGATTCTAAGCAAAGCGGTGCGATTGGAGTAGAGGAAACTTGTTTCTCGCTTCTTCTAGGTTTCGAGTCGAGATCGAGACTTATGCGCGTAATAGAGATGGAGTCATCGTCTGGCGATGTGGTCGAAGAGGAGTCGTTTTTGGTTGCCATTGCTGATTACATCCCTTTCGATCCCAAGATCGTACACGAAATTTCGTAAACGAAAGAAAGATTCGGGAGAGAGCTTGAAAAGTATGTGCGATCAATCCAATTAACAACTTTCTGTTCACCCATCCTCCAAAGTACTACCAAGGCTCTGGAAAGTTATCGTGCACAGCCCCAATTCACTGCAGCTCACATGCGAATCCTGTGAATTGGCGATTTCCACCCTTGCAAACACTCTGGGCGGAGAGAATAGTGCCTGCAAGGGAAACCTTACCCCACGCCGGTGAGTGTTTTAGTCACCTTTTGGTGGCGGGCGAAGTTGGATGGTTCGATGAGGGGCTGGCAATTTTAGGCAGCAGTGCTTAGGGCTGAGATTGCTAGGATTGCTAGATAGTGCAAAGCAGCGATCTCTCAATGAGGGAGGTGTTGATATATGCATTGGAGTTGTAGTTTGGGGAAGCTGAGAAGAGAAATATACAAATGCGATTAGAATAAGTGTGAAGGAGTAAGCGCCAATGCAACCCTTAATGAGGCTGTCAAGGAGAAAGCCATGCATCTTAGCCCCCTTTGCGTGCGGTGTAAGAGAAGATCCTGCGGACAGCTCTGCCAAAATTCGGTTTCCTCTTCGGTCTCTCATATTCTCTCAACGACTCTGGCGCGACTCCCTTCACCCCAAGCCCTAGAGCCTCTCTCTAGTGTCGAATCTTTCGCTATCCTTGAGTGTTGTTGGCGTCGTGGCATCCACAAACGTTAGCTGCCAACTGGATGTTGGAGTTTGTTTAGAGGCGTAATATCTAGCTTATCGATATATGGAGCCTGAGGAAATCGAGTCTATGTCTATGTTCTCCGCACCGCGGACATCATGGAGGGAACTGTATACTTCTGTATAGGAAGCTCGATCAGTCCTTCTCTTGCTTGTCAGCAGTGGAATCATGAGTCTTCTTCTTAGATATTGCCAAGTTGGTATTTAAAGCGCTCAGTGCACGAACCCTCTCGACCACTTTTCAGTTTAGTTTCCGCCGCTGGGTCCCGGTCACTCGCCGTTATGGCGGAAACGGGCTGAAGCTCCTCAGAAGCGGAGTCGTAATGAGTATTCCGAATACTCTCCATCTTTTCCCTCTGGCTCGGATCATCACTCCCTACTTCCCGCTTGCCTCCAGCTTTAGTCTCATCAGAGTCAACCTGACTAGGGATGGGAGTTTGAACTGGATTCAACATTCCGACAGGCGTAGCTGAGCTCACGATGCGCACATCCATCGGCTTGCGGGTCCCCGAACGTGATATTGGGTGGTCTAGTTCTCTACTCAGGCTCCTCCGAATACGTTTTAGCATTGCAGCTATCGACTGCTCTGAAGAGTGTGCAGATTGAGAATCGTCGTTGAGAAGGACTGTTATCTTCTTCCTAACCCTCTGAGACCTTTCACCATCTGCGCTAGATTCGTGGATGCTAATATCTTTCAACCGCTCGATGATCGTTGGCTTGTTAGCGTCGGTTGAGTTTTCAAAGCGGATGGCTTTTATGGGATAGGTTTCGGGGGCCTTTGTGGGTTGGATAGGCAAATGTGTCTTGCTTCCGGAAAAGTTGCTGAAGAAGTTCTTAACCGAGAGGTTGTATTTCCCCTTGAGTACGTTCACGCGATCAACTTTCTTAGGATTGCTGAAAGAATTCTTAGCAATGCACCTCATAGTTTATAGCCAAGCTAGATTCCTTGCGTACCTGTTGAACTCAGGTGGCCTGAGGAAACTGTCAGTAGGTAAATTACACGCAGATCTAACCGAGAGGGGTATACTCGACATACTTGGGCAATGACCGAGGTTGTAACTTCCCACTCCCGCTTGACGGTTGATGATATACTTGCTTCGGTGTTTCGTCGGGATTCCCCTTTTGCGCCCGGGCTCTCTTCTGAGCATCCCTTTCCCCTGGAGCATCTTGCATCCACTTTAGAGTCTTCCCTCGATAAATCTGGCCATTTTGTATGCTCCCTTCTTCAGGAATTTGAGCCCTAATGCTAGGGCTGCGGACGAATTTCCCCCTGTCAGTACGTTCCCCTTCATTCTCTGGCTTCCTGACATTGACACCCTGGACTGTTGAGGCTTGTGCCGTTCGGATCTGTATGGCATGAGAGCCTGCCGCAGTTGTTGGTAAGCGAGACTCTATTCGGATCGGAAGCTTGGGTGATCCAGATCCTTCCTCCCTGTCGATGAGTTTACGAATTTCTTGATACACGCAATTGGCGATGAGATCGCGCACATGATTCGGTATCCGTAACGGGTCCGATAAACTCGATGGGTCTTGCGGCATTGCGGGAGGGCAAATATCGCCCAAGTCTTCTTGTTCATAGAGATAGCGTAAATAATAACCAGTTCCGTGCCAATTCTGTATTGTGGCCTTAATTGCCCCGGGATTAGGCTTGCTGATTCCCCACTCGTCAATTGTTAGAACATGACAGAGGAAGCGGCGGACAATGTGGTAGCTGGCGTCGTTGGGAGGTAGAATCAATTTCATGTCGATAGCTTTGTGAGTTGACTCACGAATAATTTGATCCCAACTTGGGATCTCGAAGGAGTCCGGTATTTGAGATTTCCGAGTGGTGTGGAGGGCCTCATCGATCGGTAGCTCCCTCCGGCTATTGCTATTTTTCAGACTCCTATTCAACGGCTTGGGGCTTTGATTTTGAAGTAAAGGGTGGGAACCGGCTGGAACATCTTGTTCTTGGAACCTCTTGACGTCAGGCTGAGAGAATTGTGAGTCATCTTGATAATTGAGGAGAGACAAATCCATTCCCACGGCGGCTTCATGATTTGAATTTGTAGGATATGCCTCCAAAGAAGAGAGGCGATATTTGCTATAGTATTGGTCGTTAGAGGAGGATTGCAAGCCCCCACTGGGGTCGACACCCTGTTTGTTTGGGGCTAATGCGTGTAGGTCTATGCACGGCCCGATGCATATATTACATTCATTGTTGTTGTAAGAATGTTTAGGGTTCCGTAACTGCTGGTCCTGCTGATTCACCTCCATCTTGGAGTCGAAGGAGAGGCGTCGCGAAACGATTTGAAGAAAATATTGCCGAATTCAAAAGGAGGCTCAGAAGTTGGCAATGAGTTGGACGATCAGGCCGGTTTTAAGACCGCTTAGCCACAACTGTACCGTTCCAGTTTTTGGCTGCGGAAGTTGGAATTCATAGTAGCTGAGTTCCGCAGCCAGGCTCAAGTCTTACCACTTGGACGTTGGTGGGAAACATCAACTTTGGTACGAGGGGTTTTCCAAGACAGGACCTCAACACCGAGATCAAAGCATAGTTCCTGGCACTCATGAGTTGAAACCTCCTCGCTCTCCGAGACTTCCTGTTACCCCCAACTGGTAGCCAACGAATCCTTACACGGAAAAGAAGGAATTACTCATTCACTTCTGAGCAGCATATATGGAGATTAGAGTGTGTCCAATGGAGTTCTTCTTCCCGGCCACGCTAGGAGAGAAGCTGGGGCCGTGGAACACCATTCGGCAATATATGCTAGACTCAACACTTGCAGTGTTGGGATACTTATGGCCATATTCCATTTCTCCGAGAGGCTTCTCTGTCCAAAATTCTGAGCATGTCCTATACTCAACTCTGCGATAAGTTATTTATACAAATGTTGAGTACGAGAGACACGTCTCTCAGGAAGGAAGGTGACTTTGAGAAGATTAGTTCCTAAAGAACCTCATCTCTAGCTAGCTATTGGCTACAGGAGGGTTTTTAAATCCTACGTCGTTCTGTATATGCCGTAGGTTCTGTTGGAGACTCTTCGTCTCTCTTGAGAATCATGAGTGTAGTCTACAGCCATTACTTAATCAAAAGCCAGTTAACATTATTTAGGAAGTCTACAATGCTAGCTTCATAATATGCTAAGTTAATTCTGTTTAGAAAGGCGCCAATTTGGCTGGGGTGCAATCTGCGGGAATGCACATGCACCTGCCCCTTCCCTCGGAAAGAGCATGGGTAGAGGTGGACTTCAAAGTGCACACCTCAACCCATGAAATTTCATAATTTGCCCCTGTATTTCCCCTTCTCATGACTGAGAGCTTCCCATATTGCGACCAAATCCTGCAGGGCTCACAGTTCCCTCCTCCTTCTGGATAACACCTACTCCTCTCTTGGTCTAGGAAAAACATGTGCTAAATTTCCGCATGCAAGATGATTACCTCTTCACATTGCTTCAACGCCCCCAGGCGACTTGGACTGTCTTGCCTAGGATTCAAGTGCATGTACCGCTCATAACGGGTTTTCCAATGACACCTTCAGACACCAACAAACATCGTATGTGATGCGAGGTTGTGGCCGGTCCCTCTCCAACTCTTGCATTTTCTTGTGCATCACGCCCCAGCGGGAGGTGGTTAAACATATCTTGACATGATTTCTCTAAATCCACAGAGGGGTTGTCTTTCCAGAGTTCTGACCATGCAGCAAGAGGATCTGCTTCTGAAGGTTGCGTCTATTCATCACACCCAGAGGAATTTCTAGAATTTCAGCTTTTGTGGATACATTATTTGGAAGAGAAGACGGAGGATATATGCGGATAATGTTTGAGACGTTGACAATGTACTAAAGTCTCTCGATTAAGAAGATTCTCGCATTTAGATCCTGTGGGAAAGTGCTAGGGTCTATTGGGATGAACATGATACTCATGATTGAGTCTTCTCCTTTGATCGACTGAAAGGCTTCAGGAAGTGAAAGGGGAGTTGTGTCCCAATAAGAGAGCTGGGCGTCTTGTATATATGGTCTGGAGTGTGCACATCAGGTGTCTCGGGCCAGCTCCATTCATTATAGCGACAGTGTGAAGTCTTATGAGGTCTCGTGTGTGTGTGGCGAATGTAAGGACGGTGAATCACTACCATGTTTTGATCTCGACAAAATAGATCTCGAGAGTTGACGACAACTGGAGTCCAAAGTCCCAAGGTATTGTTGTGTTTAGCTCAGCACCAGGGTTGGAACAGCTTGCGCACAGACCACTGTAGCCAAAATTGGGCGGAGATTGTCAAGAAACTTATCCTTTGAATCCTACCTCCAGTCAATCGCACATTCAGCTTCCATCTATCGAGTGCCATACTCCATCTTAAATTTACCACTAGTTACTCTAATCGAGTAGACCTTTGATCAGGCGCACCGCTATTTTAACAAACTGGCACCCTAAGATCTCTTGGTTTCCAGACCCCTTGCCACGGACGATATCATGAATTCTCACCAGACGGCCCACGAACCCAGAAATGGGATGATTCAATTCCGAAACCATGTGAGATAAATTAATGTTTCCCCAAAAGTGCTATTTCTGGGATTTGTTCAGGGATTTAGCTTTCGCTTGGGGCCGTTTGAAAAGGAGCGAGGAGGGATTGGGATACGAGCTCTACTGATTGCAATTTATCTTGGTTGCTGAAGGGTCTGATTGAACAACGAATGGTGGATAATGTCGCACTAGACAGGGACTGGTATTCTGTGCAGCCACATTGTCTGAGCTCCCCACATTTCGAGGAGACCTTCCGCTTCAGCTGGAGGTCCTTTGTCTGGGCAGTTGAACATCTTCTTACTCTTAACGGTAGGCACCTTTCAGAGTCTGTTTCTTTCTTACTTCAACATTTTCATAATCATAACCTATCACGTTGTTAAAGAAGTTAAATTACCCAAAAATCTATGGACGTGTTACCACCCTCAGAGCCTGAGAAATCAGCCAACTCTAGTAATGTTGTTCTTGGCACGCGGTATGGCCCACCACCCGCTGATTATCCCATGGAAAAAGCTGGCCAGGGGCGACAAATCTTCCGGTTCAGTGCGTGCTTGTTTTGGTGTATTCTTGCGGTCAGTCTGTATACAATAGCCACATTGTTCGTCCTAATCTGGGCATTCCGAGGACCACAACTTCCGAATCACCAACGCGTCTTCCGTACTGGGAACCTCAAAGTCAATCAATTTTTCTCCGGCATGGCCTTGTCTGCGTTATTGACACCTGCTGCCATCTTGTCTCGGAAACTTAGTTACGACTTCATGTCCCTACATCCGTTTGCTATTGCTGCAAGAAGGCCTGTGAGGATTGGTGACCTAGACCGGATGGTTGATTTTCATGGTGGTCCGTTTGCTGTTGCAGCACTATCCCGGTACTCGGCCTGGAATGGAGTCATGCAAACGATTCTAATCGGTGCAGGAATGCGTACTTCTCCCAACATGAACTCTGGAGTAGAAGTAGTTGGCTAACCTCGAATTATAGTCCTTGTGCCCATCGGCACCCTGATGATAACTACTGGCACTTATGCACCGCCGACACCAGGCCATGCCGTTATAGGGATTCCTACTTTCTCTGGCGGCATATATACATTGTCGCATGCTGTAGCCTATACAGGTGAAGGACCGCATAATCCTTCCTATGGCCCAGAAGACCAGTTTCTGGCCATGATCGCCAACAAGCTCAGTGGTGACATAATGTCCCAAACTGGATTCATATCTTCAGGTGGTAGAAACACCCACATTCTTGGTCCCATCTCAACTGCCAATATTACGTACAAATCCGGAGTTGAATATAAGGGAATCGTAACCTTCAAATGGAATCCAAATTGCTCTCCAGCACGAGAGGATATATCCTATCATAGGGGGAACAACTCCGTCACCTATTTTACGTTTCCGAATGGCACGGTCCTACCAGACGACACCGCCGAGAATGGGCCGGTACCGGATCTGAATATCTTCTTCTGGAGCAATGCGTCTAGCTACACTAGTTCAGGCATTCCTCTCGGAGGTACGACTTTCTTCGCTCTAAATTCAAATAAGCAAGCCAACAGTGCCATCACCATCAAGCCTACTCCTGAGAACGGCCTTGATCTTGACGGAGATACTTGGATATCAAGAGTGAAGTGCACGCCAATTCTAAAATGGCAAATAAGCAGCTGTACATTCAACGAAACTGTTTTCCAGAACTGTACTGAGACGCCGAACAGCAATACTACAGCCCTAGATGTAGTGGGCCTGGATGCATTGGAGGGGTATATGACTGCTGTTCCTTGGTCCTTGTATAACGCTTACGACATGTTCACCGGCATGACACTCTCACAGCTCTACAATGCCCTCAGCATCGACCAGTACGAAAGCATTCTCTCGTCACTCGCTACCGGAATTGTTGCAATAGCTTCAGCAGGATACTTCGGCACAGCGACCGTGCCTACGGTTGGAGAGCCTCCAAGAGATGTCTATATCGCACGTTTGCCCATTGTAGCAATTATACTGGTCATCTTGATCTCTGTTGTAGTAAGCACATGGGCAGAGATCACATACTGCCGATATTACGGGTTGCCGTTTCGCCGTACAACATTCCTGACCATTGCAAATGCTGTCAGAGGTCAATGGTGGGATGAAGAATTGCATGGTGGTTGCGTGTTACGGGATAAACAGTTAAGGAGAGGTGGAAAGACCGTGGTGCAGTTTGGAGTTGATGCGGCGAATGTGACGCATGTCGGTCTGGCACCTCAAGTCTTCCCTATCCAGAGAGAGAAGACGTACTATGGTGTTGGGGTGAAATCCGATGATACGTTGGATGACTAGATATCGGTATTGTCGTGGATAATGACTCGGAGAGAAGCAACCGAAACCGAACTTAGAGTGTTTGGAGAGAGCTGAATGGGTGAAGTCCCCATCTGGTTAGCGCCATGATATGAATCTCGTGTCTCGCCCTTCACATTTTCGTAAAACTCCCAAAGGCGCCACCAACGCTCTTAACACGAGACAGAATTTGATCTGTGTCTTAGATGATTCACCGTTCTTCATAAGAAAGTAGATGGCCTGGTCTAATTGCCTGCGGCCTTCGCCTAGCCGTCAGCGGCAAGTCAGTCGTGGCGGATGCCTGAATCTGATTCCTTCGCGGACGCGCCATCCAATTATCAGCAAGGTTTCGAGGCTGAGTCACGTCTGTCTTTTGGCGCATAACTATATCTATATTCTAGTCTTTCCACAGCTCTATATTCTCATTCACTATCATCTTCCATCTTCGGGGCTTAATCTAAGCCTTATTTGTTGTTGCGATTGCTGATCGTGCGAACAAAACCACCCATCTTTGTAACTTAGACGTGGGTATCATTTCCAGTACACGACTCTATCTAGGTTTCCGGAACGCGACAGTACCCTCACTCTAACGAGCGTAAATTGAGAATTTGTGACAGCAATCGGGGTTTAATCCACCCCAATTGAGCTTACTGGGGTTCGTTTTTCTCACGCCGTATGCCTTCATCTTATCACTTCACGTGGAACATAGCCAAGGCAATTCAGGACAGAAGGTTGCGTACTGTTCATGTGCTTCCTGGTTTTTACAAGAGGCTTAAAGGATCAAATCTGCCTGGCTAATGTTCCACGGTACGTGTGAATATACTGTTTAGTTGCTGACAGAGACCAGCTTATCAAAATGGCTTCTTGGAAGGTCATCCTAGATCCTACAGAGAATCGCATTGAGTACACTCCGTTCCTTAAGAGCCGCAAGTTCTTTGCGGTTGACGACTCCGGATCAACCGCAGGATCCATCCTGAAGCGAGAACGTGCCTTTGTTGAACACCTCTGGAACAACTTTGCGAACCAGGATAATTCCATTTCACTGTGGGGATCTAAGTGTGACGAGCCGACAAAGAAGTTTGGCTCTGTCAAATGGAAGTCAGCGCATATGGGAACCTACCCGACGGAGATTCTGAAGAATGCAAGCGCTTTGGCCACGATTAAGAAATCCGATGCCTGGTTCCTCATAACAGACGGCGAAATCTATGACGGAGCTGTACACCAGCTTGCAGAGATGGCTCACGGATCCAACATACTTAACGTGCCTATTGTGTTCGTGATCGCTGGTTCCCGTGGTCGCACTCCGGATACGACCAATATCTCAGTCGGTATCTCGTTCTTTGCTAGCGCTCAAGATACACTCATCTTGTTCAAGGAAACCGAAACTGGGAAGCTGTTTGTTATAGCTGGGAAGGGTTGTTTTTCTCCATTGGGAGGATCCTCAGCCGCACAGGATCTTACCAGCTGGGGTGATATACCAGTCTTTAGTGGCGAAGACGAGTTCTTCAGTCACTGCAAAAAATTGGATGTTCAGGTTGTGCGGACCGAATTCCGAAAGAATTTGCCCAAGGGAGTGAGCCTGGGGCAAGATTGGGAGAAGGCCCATGACGGTGGGCCTGTAATGGTTGACCTAGATCTCCTGCCTCAGGCTGGGTTCCTTTCCGATGACGATGCTCTCAATCTCTTTGCCGAAGAAGCATTCAACAACCTTGCTGTAGCCTACAAGACACGCAAACGTATCCCTGAGCTAAGATCCTTTGTTCAAGCCCAGAAGATTGAGCAAGTAGTACCGAAGCTTGAAGATGTGTCAGGAGCAGGGGTAATTATCTCGCGAATGGGAGATCCCGCGACTACTCAAGACGAGAGGAAGGCCTTGCAGGGGCAACTACGGGAGGCCCATGCCCAGAATCGTGAACATTATCAGAAAGTTATCACAGAATTTACCGGGTCTCCGAAAGAGCAAAATATCAAGAAGCGCAATCAGCTGGTTGACGCTGCCCTCCGATCCTTGGCCTCGATTGAGGCCGCCAGTTTTTCCGCAGATATCTTGTCCCGAAGGAGCAACAGGGCTCGTCGGGCCGAAGTCGTTGCCTCAGACACAAGTGTTGCAATGGCAAACCTAGATCTATCAGGCCCCTCTTTCAGGGGGTTCTGCCTTGTCTGCTGTGGCGAAGACGAAATTATGTCCATTTGCTTGAAGGAGCTTAGTTCTGTTGACGCAGACAGCAACACCACTGATTTCGCTCTCAACTTTCCCCTGGCAGCAGGTAACACTGCGAAGAATGTCAACAGCGTCTCCAGTCAAAATATATGCTTCCAGTGTGCACTTCTAGGCCCGTCGGGCATGTCAATCTACAAGGAAAAGCTGAAGGCAATCATTCCGGCAGTCCATTATGAGGGAAGCAACAAGAAGTACATCAACGATCAGCTCTACCTTGCATTGACTGCTGGACTACAGACAGGGGCTGCCGGAGTTGCTCAGCTCTTCATGGCTGTTCTTGAAGAGATCTTGAAAACGAAGCCATGGGCTGGAGCCGGCCTGCAAGACTCGCAAATGTCAGCGGGTGAACAGCACGAAGCACTGCAGAGGAGGCAAACCTTTCGATGGATGCTCGATCAAGTCGTGCAAAATACTAGAACCCGTCAAACATTCACTGAAGTTGGCGATTGGGTTAAGTTCCCCGAGGCTCTTACTTGGGTAGCGGAAGACTTCAAGAAGAACGGCCTGGCAAGCTTTGTAATCACCTATCCGGCAGTGGGGTATACGAATCTCTTGTCCCTTGGCCATCGGACCGGCGCTTTCCCTGTTGAGATGGTCCGTTTAATGAGCATCTCCAAAGCCGTCCACTCCATTGCATCAAAGTACCTTGCGGATTTACAGGCGGCCGGTAGCCAGACGCCAGACCTGCAAGATGAATGGAAGCAGAAGTACATGGAGGTCATCTACCAGGAATTTAACTTCACAACAGTTCCCAAGGATATTGGGGGCCTGCAGTCTCTCGTCGTGAATGCCGACACGTTCATGGGCCGTCTGTCCGCCTGCATCAGCCTCCCAGATAATCCTGAGGGGGCTCCAGGTCCAGACAGACAGGTTATGATGCGGAAAATCCAACTCGTTCTTTTCTGGCTAATTTACGGGCAAAAGTCGCATTGCACAGCACAAACCTTCTTCACAAAGATTAACCACAAAGAACACCTTGCAAGTGCTGTGTTAAACCCATCCCTGAGTGTTCCGGAGTCAGAACTTCATGCCACACTCCTGTCCATTTTCATCAGGCCGGGGGGAGAACTTATCAACCCAGAGGCAGCCGCTCTGCACGCTTCATCTATCATTCCTTTTAAAAATCCATTCGGAGCTAGTGTCATATGCTGCGGCGCCGATGCTTGCCGCGAATCCTTCCTTCCTTCTCACGAACATGGGAATACCGCAGCTGTGGTGGAGAAGATCGAAGAAATCCGCAACAACCGCACCCAGCATCTAATCAAAGTCTTCGGCATCCGAGGCCGCTTCGAAAACGCTTGTACTGGTCTTCCGGAAGTCACATCCGCCGGCAGTCCACCAAGCTCCACGCATACAAACCTTCACATCGCTGTTGTTAGGACATGGGCGGAGCAGACACCAGAAAAGAAGCGCGGTATTATCCACTCTAAGGAAGACTGCGAGGGATTTGTAAAGGCAGTTCGCAAGCGCATATGCGACCAGCGGAGGGGCGACATCTTCAATGGGACGATTGACGACGATGTTCGTGCAGTGTTGCCAAGTTTCTTCAATGTTTTGGGGGAGGCGTTGAGGTTGGAGGGGAAGGGCAATGAGGATATTTCGCTTTACAAACATGACTTTGACCAAAATAAGCTGGATTGGAAGATCGGCTATGAGCTGAGGGCATCTGGGTTGGCAAGAGCCTGAGTAGGGGTCGAAAAGATTGCGAAGGTGGGATTGGATGAACGGGGGCGTTAGCTTACTTTTGCATACAGTTATTTTCCCTTTATTTTGGAGGTGGATACCTACAATAATGATCTCATAAGAGAATAACGAAGTTTCCATAATCTAGATATAATGCAACACATCACCTGACGGAGAACATAACAGGAGGGTATTGTCGCGCGTGCACTTCTCTCCGCCTATATATATTCTTCGACACTTTCAAAGGTATCTCAAGACAGAAATCTACATCCTATTAACTTTCTCTCTAATTCCAACATATAGTTTAACTGATTTACCTCAGCCTAGTAAGGTCCAGTGCTATGATATCACAAGCTAAATGAGATTTTATCACACAATTATTTTGTTGCTTAACCTGCGAAGGAGCTACTGTCGATTTCATGCAAACCACATGTGCGTCTTGCTTTCAACCATTGAAGTATTCCAGAAACCAATCCCTGGAAAGTCACAACGACACATGGAGAATTTTCTCTCAAATATCCTTTCATAGACGGTGCTTTTCCCTGAACAAACTTTCCCTGCTCGCTACTGACTCTACAATCTCGGGGCTGAGTCTCAGCCGCATGGCGCCTCTTCGTTTCTCTCGCAATTTGGCTGGCTGCCTAAGCCCTTTTTTTGCGTTACACACAATCTCCATTTAACGAGACCAATTCCGCGTTGACCTTTTGTGCACACTCTGTCGACATTCTCACCATGGGAAATAGCCATTCGACACCGCCCGCCCCGCCACCAAAACCACAGCGCACCACGATCACGAGATCGCCCCAACGCCAACTCAAATATGTCCATTGTATGAGAACCTGCTCCAGCCAAGACCGGCCGAACGCCCACAGTTCTTTCCGACAACCTCCACAGAGTCATGCCGCAGATAGCAGCAAGGCTAGCTTCCTTGACCTCCCATCTGAAATCCGGAACAATATCTACTCGCGGGTGCTTGTGTGCGATGGGTACGTGAAGCTGATGCCTGCATATTCGACAAAGGTACCTGGACTTATTCTCCTGCAAACCTGCAAGCAGGTGCACGATGAAGCAGCGTCGATATTCTTCGCCGCAAATGCATTCTATATCCACATGCAAAAGGAAGTTAAAGTCAAACAGAACACGCAGGTTCAGTACCCAGATACCGATCAATTATATGTACCTCCTTGGACCCGCAATGGAGGGGAGGAAAGAGGAGGCATATTCTTCCCAGCACCCCGCTACCACACGTACCTGACCCGTCTCACCATCGATGCTAAAGTCAGGCTGAACTTCTTCCACCCAGATTATGAGCGGCAACCGTTTTATCGATATCATTCAACTCCTGATCCCGTACCTGTCCAGCAGTACGAAGATATGAAGAGGTTGTCGGAAATGTTGAACAAGCTGTTCAGCGGGACGTACATGAAGGTGAAGGAATTATGGGAGAAGCGGGATAGGGAGTGGGAGGGAAAGATGGTGTGGAGTCACCATGATCAGAATTCGAGGGAGTTTCAATTTACAATGAGTTTTTCAGTAGAGGAGGGGGAGGAGCTGGCGACCAGGGCTGTGCTGAGAAATTGGGAGTTTGGGGGTTATTGAGGGGAAGAAGACGAGTAAATGATAATGCGTAAATATTCGAGGGCCCCTTGCCCTTTATTTCTCTCAAAAGTAGGAGCGCGAAGAGAGCAGATGTTAATTGATACCTATCAAGGAAACTCAGGGGGACTGTAGAGGGTTTCACGTGACAGATCGGAGCGGAGATGTCCAAGCCACTGAGCGCCACAACGCGCCCTCCCAGCGAACGCGTTTCTTTGTTTTAGATGCCAATCCAATGCAAACTTGTGCACTCCTTTCCCCATTGCACCTGTTTCACCATCCTTTCGCGCCCGTTGCCAGTGTCAATTGCCATTTTGATGTCATGCTTTGTCAATGGCATTTCCGAAGCTCCATTTCTTTGTCCCGCGCCTTCCAGACGGCGTTTGCTGCCGCAGTGGGTGCATGCAGCAGCAGTGATAGCCTAGCTGCCCGGGAACAATCATCGTGACACATTTGTGGCATTAAGCTCGCTTCGAAGAGGCTGGGTGTCAAGTCCTGTTTTCTCCCTGTTCCTTCTTCAACCCCAATTCTTCTGTCAATTGCGTTCTGGCGCCATGGGAGCGAGTATGCGATGGATTACAATCTGCCTGTCATTACCAGCCTTCTCCTTCGCTCAGGCTACGCTCTCCCTCTCCCCTGCCACCAAGGCAGCCTCTGCAGGCGTCTCCGCGCCTCTTGATGCAAGCTTTGCAGGCTTTGGCATCGAGCCTTCGAATCTCTTCTCGTTCACTGGCGGCGCGAACACGAACAAGTTCTCAGTCCAACTGCTGCAGAATCTCGCTGATTACTCTGGTACACCACCACATATACGGCTAGGGGGAAATACCCAGGACTATATGGTCTTCGATGATTCGTTTGATGCCTTTGAGTGGAAGACTAACGTGCAGTCGACGGCCCAAGGTACTATTGCGGCCGACTCAATGATCATCGGCCCTTCCTACTTCAAGGCCCTGGATCGGTTCCCAACGGGTACGCCAGTCACGTATGGATTGAATCTGGCATATTCCGGGTCAGACTATGTCGAGAGGGTGGTTGCGGGCGCAAGAGCGGCGTTGAATGGAATGAAGAATGTAAAGTTATATTCGTTCGAGATTGGAAATGAGCCGGATCTATATCTTCAGAATCAGATGCGAAGTGGGTCGTGGGGCGGACACGTTTACACAAAACAGTTCCTGGAACGGGCGACGGCGGTTTATAATCAGGTCTTGAAACCTGCGGGGCTTCCGGCGTCATTCTTCGAGGGTCCAGCAACAGCTTCGACAATTGGAACGACTTTTGAAATCGATACGTTGGTGAAGAACGGCTTGATTGATAAAGTGAATGGGAGTAACTACATCTCAGCCTGGAACCAGCACGATTACTTCTACTGTATGTCAAACCCCATATTCACCCCTCAAACGGAATATAAACAGTTCCTAGTCATCGGCGTATCGAACGTCCCTCTCACACTAAATGATCTTATGAATCTTGACAACACCAACTCCCAGTTCGCCTACTGGGAGAAGCAAGTCGCAAAAGGCCTGGATACCGGCCTTCCCTATGTCCTTCGAGAAATGAGCTCCGTTGGTCCCATTGGTATGCACGGGGTATCCGACGCTTTCGGCGCTGCACTCTGGACACTGAATTTCTTTCTATACGCTGCAAGCCTAAATATTTCCTCCGTGCAATTACATATGACGGATAACTCCAACGCAAGTGCCTGGCAGCCCATCAACATGTACGGCAAAGATCCCTTCGTACGCCCGCAATACTATGCGCATGTCGCTATGGCGCAAATCGTTGGGAACGGAAATGGGACTACACAGATCGACGTTTTGAACATAGATAAAGTACCGTCAGACTATAAAGGGCGGCTGCGTGCATTCACAGCCTATGCGAACAGCAACCTGCAGGCCGTTATATTAATCAACTCTAAACAAGCCAACGCTTCATCGACCAACAAAGTCAGCTTCACATTCAAAGTCAACTTCGGCTCCAACAACGCGGATAAAGATGTATTCCTCTCATATCTCACAGCTGATGGCGCAGACTCCCTTACCGGCACAACCTTCAATGGTGTCTCGTACTCCGATTTGGACGGCAAAGCCAGCACCGTAAACGATACTGTGACTACACTCCGTACCTCCAGTTCAGGATCAGTCTCCATCTCCGTCCGAGATTCACAAGCCGTGATCGCGAATCTAAACTGGTTACTTGGAAGTAATGCAGTCCTGACCAGCAATTCCACAAGCGCAAGACCTACGCCGAAGAAAAGTACGGCCGGGCCGACGATGATGGGAGGTGCGAGTACGGCGGTATTTACGGGGGTCGTGACCATGACTCTTGCGCTTGCGAGTTCGCTATCTGGAGCGGGAGGACAGGCGCAAGAGACCGAAGTCGCGAAGCACACGGGCGGAGCGCAGAGTAGAGTTGGGAGCTATTTGAAGGCGGGAGTGTGCTTGACCGTGGCCGTTGTTGGTTATATTTGCCTAGCTTAAGGCATATTTTCCCAGGAGTTTGGGGCCATTGCTTAGGGCTCGGAAAGGGTATTAGAATGACGTTATTAGAGTGTATACTATTGAGCATTCAGGACTATGTATATATGGTGGTGTCCTAGGTTTACGAAGGGCTTGATGCGCGTTAGGCATATGCTGTCATTAAACAGATTTTATTCCCACTGCTCCTCATCTTCTCTCATATCTCATCCAACAGCAATCACACTGACTGCAACTCTCTCATCGCGGACAAAGTATCCCTCGGCCAAAATCTTGGAACGGTCGGCATAGCATCTTCGAATCGCTTTTTTCTCTTTTCACAACTATTAGGTCACCAGGACTCGACATGTACATAGTAGGCAAGCTAACAAGGCGCTCACCCCCTCGGAGACGATAAATATCCGAGCAACGGTGGTGCAAAAGCTGACAAGGATGTCGCCATGGTGTTGACTTATTCTCCAGTCTCATCCATCGCAGCTCCGTCCGCAACATCCGCCACCTTTGCAACAAAAGTCCGGCGCACTTCGCAAACTCCGAGATGCCGATCTCCGGGCATGGACCAGCTCGTGACCAGGCTTAACCTAGTTCAATCATTCTCTATCCTTTTGATTGGACGTAATGGGGTTTTTGAACAGGCTCAGCCGCTTACACCCTTGCTCAGTGGTTACTAGCGCAGTCTTGAACTTATCGCCCGCGTGGACTTCATGGACCATTGATCGGGCACGGATGCGGGATGAGTTATCGTTTTGCAGGGAGTGCTTGACGCCGAGGACCGGTGATAGGGTGAGTGCTGGGATGAGTGGGGTTAAGGTGCGCGCCATGGGGGTTTCTATCTCCATGTCTTGGGTGAGTGTGCTTGGGATTGGGGATGTATATAGTTTGGGCGTCCCCGCTTCATGCATCAAGAATGAAAAAGTCGCACAAAAGTCTCCAAGCGATTCATATTCCCTCCAAGTCATATCAATACCACTCACGACTATTGTCAACCGATTAGCCATTAAAACCGAATATCTACCAATCACTTACCACCCCATCCACCACAAACACTACGGCAATGTCCTCCCCAACCCCTGTCAAATACGTCTATATCCCCAACCTAGTCGGCCGCCAAATGCTCCGCATCCCGGTCCTTCTCTGCGAAGACACGTTCGAGACTGCAGACGCCCCGACAATCGCTCCAACACTTAATCTCGACATTCCCGCAGCATCAGTAGCAACAACTTCATCTTCACGAGCAACATCTCCCGCACCGAGCGTTGAGAGTGTAGAGGAAGAGGAGTGAGTGAAAATGCTTGGCTGCACTTGACTTGGGTCCTGGATTTTATGAAAGATTCTCGTGTTCGATATGGTATCGTGTCGAACAAGGGCTTCAGTAAAAGGGACGAATAGCGAGCGAGCAGAGTACTAAGGAACTGGCAAGCCGCAGCACGCTACGCCCGACAACCTCAATCAATTGGAGGAAAAGCACTAGGGCGGATTTTTGAATTGAATTGGGAGGTCGACTGATCTTTGAGGATAACTGCAGAGGGAATAGATGAAGGCCGAAGGAGGAGACCAGACAAAATGGACAATCGAGGGTAGAATACCCTATTCACGAGATTATGGAAGGAATGGACACAATGCACGACGTATATGATATAGCTACTCTATGATGGAATGCGACTTTAATAACATACTTAGAGAATCTTTTTCAATCATCATTTTCTTGCGTCAATGTGACCAATGCAACATTGCTCAAACCCCTCCTCACAGCTTCGCCTTAATTCCATCTCCCTCTCTCGCCCTATCCCTCAACCCCCTCCTCAAAATCTTGCCAACCGCATTCTTCGGCAACTCATCAACAAACATGACTCCTCCCCTGAGCTGTTTGTACTCTGCCAAATGACTCTTCACAAACACCTTAACATCATCCTCACTCAAAGCCCCCGGGTTCCTCGGCGCCACATAAGCCCTTGGCACCTCACCGCCACCCTCAACCAGTACACCCACAACGGCAGCCTCAAGAATCTGCTGATGCATAATCAAATGATTTCCAAATTCCGCCGGTGCAATCTGCAGGACTTTGTATTTGTTTAGTTCCTTCTTACGATCGACGATGTAGAACTTGCCGCCGCGGTCAACGGCGATATCTCCTGTGCAGAACCATCCGTCATGGAAAGCCGCATTTGTAGCATCTTCGTTGTCGAAGTAGCCGTTTGTGACGAACGGGCCTCGAACGATAATTTCGCCTGGTTGCCCGGGGGTCACGTCATAGTCATCGACGATGCGCATTTCCATGTTCGGTAGGACGGGTGAGATGGAGCCGGTTATGTCGGAGGAGCCGCGTGGCATGGCTGTTACTGCGCCCTGAAAAAAGGTCAGCCAGTTCATTTGCTTTCCATCTTCCTTCTTGCCCAAATCAAGGAATAAAGAACCCAGTGGGTTAGGGAGGCTTCAGTTGCAAGACCTGTACTCACTGTTGTCCAACTCAACCCTCAAGTCTAACTAATCCTCGTCTTCCCCTTTCCCAGTTTCCTATTCGCCGCCTGTTGTAGTTCAGCACCTATCGGTGCTGCGCCTGTGATTGCGATTTCAACGCTATCAAATTGATCCGTCACATCCGCGCTCTTCGCAATCTGGAGAAAGATACTCGGCACGGTGTAGAACCCTGCGATCTGTAGCTTCTTGAAGTACTCCAGAAATGGCATCCAACTAACTTGGGCATCCAGTACACAGAGCCTGTGGAAAAGAATGGGGAGATTAGGTAGCCAAAAAAGCCAGCGATATGGGCTATTGGGAGATGCGCGAAGGTCTTGAAGGGCAGGGGTGGGTTCGCCGGCTGTGACGGCGGCGGCGACGTGTGCGCGGGCTTGGATTGAGGGAATGTAGAGTTGGGCGAGCAGATTGTGGTGGGAGAGCATTACGCCTAGCTAGGAATTAACATCTGAGTCCTCGTCCTTTGTTTTGTTGGAACTTTGAAGTCTGACCTTTTGGCACGCCAGTAGTCCCCGAGCTATACAGGAGTACAACCAGACTTCTCTTCATCTCCTCTTCATCCGTGACTCGCCGCCAGGTCATCCGCGCTCCATTCTCAACATCCATGTTCTTTTCACCTTCCAGACTCCTTACCTCCCATTTCGGCTCACTATTAAGCACCACGACACGGACTAATGATAGGCCGATCAGCTTTGCAGCTTCCTTTCCAACCTCGATTTTATCTCGACTAACAACTAACCAAAAAACCCCTCCAGCAGCGATGATACCGTAGAACATGGCAGCTACGGCAGGTTGCCCTGACGAACATACCACTACAATGTCCTTGTAGTGGCCTCGCGAACCGACTGATAGAGAGTGCCGAGGAAGTGCGCGATGCGTTCCGTGAGAACTTGTAGTGTAGCCTTGGTAAGATAGATATCTGGGTTCGCCGTGGAAAGATGCAGAAGTGTGTCTTCTTGTGCTAGGATGTGCTCTGAGTCTGTAATTGACTGATCTTAGAGCGTGGGGGATGGGAAGTTGCAGACGACTTCGACAGGAACGTACCAAAGAGCAGACTCGTCGAGTCCATATTAGGGATATCCACCGTATTTTCGTTCCGATATATCCGCATTCCATCTCGAGTGCTTGATGTTAGCCGCGGGGCTGAGGCGGGGATCGTCACTGCCACCGAGGTGTTTGGAGCTGCAACGGGCAACCTAGCAATTGGAGTCAACAGAGGCATATGGTGGCAGTTGGTGGGGCATATGGCAAGTTGGTGGATGCGTCCAATATCTATGCATGGGCACGAAAATGAAGTGTAAGGAATTTGAAATTAGAAGATTATCCAGCTGCAAATGCATGTTGGTATCTTATAGAACGAAAGGAAAAACTAAAATGAATAGTAGTAGCACGCACATATATATATATATATATGTGTGTGTGTGTGTGTGTGTAAAAATTAGAGAGAATTGAAGCCCTTCATGCAAACGGGGGGATCGAAGGACCATAGACCTGCCTCTGTTCCAGGGCGATCTCTTCAACCGTCCGCTGCCTGTCAAGGCCACCTGATATCGTCCTATTCGCAGTAGTTTGTCTCGAGATTGGATTGCTGGAATCCTCGTGAGGTCTCGAGATAGCTGCCTCTTCATTCTTGGCTTTACTGCTGCCCTTTCCGTCACCAGTCTGTTGTTCTTGCTCAAACTTGTATGCTAGATGGCAAGCCCGGACATGTGTCGCACCTGTGGTAATATTTGTGAGAACCCACCAGCTGAATAGAATAGGGAGAGCACGATACAACCGATTATCAGCTCCACCGGTCCAGATGGTAACGAGGACAGAATAGGCGTTGTAGCTTGGGAGTGCAATTCCCCAGTGGTAGAAGCCGGCTTGAAGCTCCATTGGGCTGAGTGTGCTGGCTATGTTCAAGAATACCCATAATAAGACTACGAACGGCATGACTGGCAGAGGGGCAATCGTTGATATTGAGTCTAGGATGAGATAATGAATGTGCATCAACACCCAGAATGTCATCCAGGTTAGCACAAACTGGTTTCCGTTGACCTGCCAATCCTCTCTAAATGCCCAGAAATATGCTGTCTGGCAGAGAGCAGCACCGAGGGTGAAGAGAATTCCGGCTGCGCGACGGATTAATAGGCTGGAGCGAACAGTCATTTTCTTGTAGAGCTGGTGTTGCTGTGATACACCGTTGAGGACGAGGAGGAAGAAAAATTGCTGAAGGATGGGCATTGCCACGGATATGGTGTTGAATAGAATAACCGAGCCGAATGTATCTTCCTTGATGTTTGTGGCCTTTGCAGTGATCGGATTTAGGTATGCTTGTACTGCTGCTGTATCGTTTTTGGCAACGAAGGGGTAAGCCTGGGTGCCATTCATCTTAACATATGCGACACGTGTTGCGGATACTAGCTGCTGAAGGCCGGCTTGCACGACTGAGTTGGCGAAAGTGGTGTAATACTGTTGATTCCAGATGTAATGGAGAGCGTCCACGGAGTTGTAGGTAATAGCAGCTTGGCCACCCTGAATTGCGTCTTCGAGTCGCTCCGAGGCCCCTTTAGGTGCAAGTATAGCCGCCCAATAGTCCCCTTTCCATACGCTTTGGAACATGTCTTCCTCCGTGGGGAACTCTTTGGGGGTATGGAAGTCCAGGGAGATAAAGCTGGGTCCCCGCAGTTGCTGGTAGGCAGCCTCCATTGCCTGTCCGATGATTCCGCTGTCGTAATTTACTGCCAGAACGTGGAAGTTGGCATGTCGGGCCGGAGACTTGTAAAGTGTGCCGTATACGTAAGAGCAGCAGGCTAAGAACCAAAGCATGAATGCAATACCTCCTGCTGTTGTCTGCCCAATAAACTTGGTGCGGATACCTTTCCATTCATTGTGGGTAAAGGATGTTCGATTTTCGTTTGCGAGAGTTGACTTTTGCCTTAGATGGCGAAGGCTCGGTATGCCGATGTGAACCATGCTTCAGGAGAGAAGGTTTGAAGTGTTTTGTGAATAGAGAATAGGTAGGATAGGGACTTAGTGGGTCAGATTATGGAAAGACTCTTGGATTGAAGTTGGAAATGCTGATGATGAATGAAACATGGTTACACTTACTCTGAATATATACCCATATCCGCCTGTGCCAGGTCGCTTGTTGAAGGAGGAGCTGCGCCGAGGCATCCTCGGCCGAGCTAAACATCACCGGCTGGTGATAGTATCTTCAGCGCCGGCCTCAGGATTAGGCGTAGCTTCGTCATATCTGTAGCGAATGTCGGCGTGAAAGTAAGTCTATAACCGCCCTTGCATCCTAAGCGCCTTGTACATTGCGACAAGCTGTTAATCGGATGGAACAGAGAAGGAGAAGGGAGCGCGGAAGTGTCCGCATCGGCATGTCGGAGTTGAACTTAAGCCCGGAGAGGCCTGCGACGTCATTCATAGTATTTCGGTCGGTATCTTTAAACAATGTCCGATGCGTGGAAACGCAGACGGAGTAAAGCTTAGCAAGGCGAAATTCGTCCGCACTAACACGACCCGTGTTAAAAATCTTGACTTCTCGCAAATTAGATGTCCTTGAATCGGCGTCGGAGCACTAAGGTACGATGGATTTCAGGGGAGGTTAGCAAAGCGTCTTTCATGGCCAGAATGAAATAATCCCCCGACCTCTAGAGTACGTTTCTCTCTTTTGGACGCGTGAAAGAGATTTCCAAAGACGCCCACACAGACTAGTACCAAAACATGCTAAGCGAACACGTAAGTTGTATTCAAGTACGGATCCTTACCGTCGTCATTCTCGCCCTCACCTTTCTCCACGCATCCATTCATCAGCGCACCGCCTCTCAATATGCAACGTAAAACCAGAAGATCCCCCCGTCTCATTCCCAAACTTGACTTTGTGAGGCTGACACCATGCCCGTCAAATCTACCCCGGTCAATCTTTACTGTGTTTCAACCAATCATACCTCGATAGATTACTACTCATCCACATCGCAGCATTGTTACTATCCAACCGGGGGTGATCCTTACGATAGTTCTAGAAATTTGTAACGGTTCGCTTTAGAGCCATTGTAAGCCATGCCTAACACGTCCGCTAGATTATCAAACGTATCCCCTATCACATGAGTAGACCTGCTTTAGTGAGGCGGCTGGGATCTTTTGTATATGGTGCAAGGAGAAGTCCTGTCATTTGGCTAATGATAGAGCCTCTACTATGAAACAGAATACTTAATGCTTTAAAATCGCTGTAGCCTGGTCGAAATCAGACCAAGCTTTTACATGTTTATAAAGCAAGCCACTGGTAATTTCTTAGTTCCGACATTGGTATTCATTTGCCCTGAAAGATATGTCGGGATCCCAGTCCACTTTCGTCATTCCTGGGGTGAGCCTTCCTTTCCGCATAGACTCCTGTTCTAGATAACGTACCATGTGAGGTTATGGATGGAGCGTCTTCTCATAAGCCAACAAAGTACCTCCCTTTCATATCTGCCTCCTTTTGGAATCTTTGAGCGATACCGGCCATGGTGAGTAACATGTCACTAGGGCTTGTAAGATTTTTAGTTTTTTCTCTGGACAGTAGCTGTCTACTGTCAGAGTGTATGCCAACGGAATTGTCCAACGACACGATGTGTGGCATATATAGAGCCCTCCTAACCAGTACCCACATTCCTAGAGGATATTTAGTGAGTAAGAACAGTAGGGTGTTGACAATAACCGTTCTTAATGCCCCCATACGTGAGACTCGATGACTCCTCTCGAACCAAACAAAGTCAAGTACCAGGCCTGGATCAACCCGTTGAGACAATCTCCCTTGCAACCACGCTGGAGGCATACTGATATAGTCTTGGAAGGGAGGGCCCTTGGCTAGAGTGGTCGCCCCACAAAGCAACGAGCGCCAGATTAGAGTTGACATATACTTCCATCTCCCCAGCCTCCCAGCTCTAATATTCTTGTGCGTCTTTTGTTGGCTTTGAATTATGCGCAGGGCATCTACCATATAGAGGAATAGCCCAGTGTCATAGTGGCAAAGACAGCATATTGGAGCCTTTGACCCGAAGCCATCGACATGCTTTGATAGATTTTGAGGAGTGGTTGGAAACTTCCGTTTCCTATGACTCAATAATATGGCAATGCTATATATGCGCCTTTCTGAGTGGTACCATCCGGTTTGGATCCAAAGGCGCACTTATTCTTGTTTTTCTTCACTAGCACACAGTATGCGCGTTGGAAAAATAGGCTTCTTATGACCGAAACAATCATAGAAAGCTTTGAACTCTTCGATATAAGTCTTCAAGAGGTTGGAAAAATCCTTCGAGAGGGGATAGCTACATTCTGGAAGGTGGAGACCGTTTGTTACCAACAAATTAGATAGTATTATTGGCACTATGTGGTCCTCACACCAGGTTGGATTCAAAGGTGTCGAGTTTCAAAGTCCTGTAGGGCCTAATCCGTCTTCAATAGAAGTAACTAACCTTCTATTACATGTAAATTGTTACTAGAAATAGAATCAATAACAATTCATTAGTACTATAATATGAAATTATATAATTTATTATTTGTGTAAGCCTCTAGAGCTTCAAGAGTTAAAACCATTGATCGCCAAAATCTTGCATTACGTGAAGTGCACGCTAAAACTGCGTATTGTCGGGCACGTCAGTTCTTTTTAGACTAGTCTTGGAATTTGGACCCCATGGTCAGACTTCCAGGCAACAGAATCGCAACCACACATCGCACATCAAAAATTTCGCAATACAACACGTCGAAAACTCAGAAGCCATTTTCATCCGCGACAAGCCAGAATGCGGGGAGAGCTAGCACACAAATTATACTCTGATTTCCCAGAGCTGTAGGTGCAACGCAGCCTTCCAACGAGCGAAACCAGCATGTACTGTGGATATCGAATGCGATGACGGTTGGTATAATATTATTTCCCGTCTCTCTTTTCTCGTTGCAAAAGCTATCGCAATGGTCTCGACGCTCGATGCCAAGGATTTCACGGTATTCTGCATTAAGGGGAAATTCGGAACATTTCGATTCTACATGTCAAGATACACGACTCCGATCCATAGCTTTATTGCGACTGCAATGGAGGAGAGTGGGAAAGTATGTAAAACTTGCGGAGGAGAGAGTAGAAAGCGTACAGATGAATGGATACGGACAATACGTAATAGTTGTGAAGCGGAAAGGGAGACTTGTGTCGCATTTCTGGTACAGAAACCTTCCTTCCCTGTGCTTCAACAGCCCCTACTGCTGTTACTATAGCTCCTACTACCTTCACTATATCCCCTTAGCCATTGCCATGGCCCTCACTGCCCCTGCCATCATAGATGTAAATAATACCCTGCAACAGAGCACTTAAACTTAGACCAATACACTTTACTTCATCAGCTTTCTACATAACTGCATGCTTACACCACCTCTCCATTTGCAACAACTTGGGCCAGCAGTTTTGTATGAGAATGAGGAGGAGAGATTCTGGAGTCATGGACACTGATTAAAGCCATGGTATCGATATTCAGGAAGCTATACTATCTCAGCTTTGTGTCAAAGAAGGCTTCGTCTATCAGGGAATGAATCTCTTACCGCATGTTGGCAACTATGATCGTCGCTTCAAAGTTCAATTTAGGCCGAATTTCTACTCTCTCCTAAAGCTCTTCTTTAATCTCGCAGCAAACCCGATACATTGAGTTCTCCATATTAGCGTTCCGTGGAAGACGCGAATATTCAGAGCCTTGGTTTCATTCATGGATCTACATTTGTTGGTGCGGCCCTAATGTTCGTGGCCGCTCTACACGTATTTGGTTCGCCCAATTTTTTTCCCCACACTTGAAATATCTGCCTCTCTAATCCGTCCTTACATTCATCGCTGGCATTGACTTTTCAACTCGACTTTCTACAATTTCGACACGCTATTGTCGCTACACATGACGACCCCTGAACTCCTACGCGACACTGTTCATCTTGCTAGTAGTAGAGATCCACTTCCTCCAAACTCTGGCAACTTTAATACCTGAAGGCTTTTAAGTTTTGAAAAGATGTCTACCCGTAGCCAGAGGCCATCCAACCGCGCAGATACCAGCTCACGAATCCCTCACCTTACTGCCCCCATCAACCAAGTCGGATGGATGCCGCCATCTCGCTCAAACACTCCTACGCAATCCGTTACAACTATCGGGGCTCGAAGGGTAGATCAACTTCCGCGAAGCAGGCTTAGTAACTTCGTTTCCACGTCTCCTCCTACCACCCCCCTACCCCCATCGCCACCTCTTCCGGCCGTTCGGATTATATCAGACGTGTCTAGGCAAGTAGGCCCACCGCCAACACTTGCACGGATGCCACCATGGATCGGAGTGAATACATCAAATGCTTCCAGTGGCTCTAGGGGTGCAGCCTCGAGCTTGCCTATTGCAACCTCTAAGGCACGCAGTATTCGTCCAGTATCTACGTCTTCTATCCCTGTAGCACCAAAGACTTTACCTACCACAACCACTCACGGAAACGATCAAATTCCTCCTGTATGCCCTACAAAGGACCAGAAGCAGGCACCAGAGGCCTATTATACCACTAGCCTCCAAATAGACGTTGGAAAGCTGCTGGTGGTTTCCAAGGAGGTTCCAGAGACGGCCCCAGAATCACTACCTCCAACTAAGTCATCTAGTTCTGAGAGAAGCTTTCCAAAATTTTTACCTTTCCATCTTAATCCAAATGCTTGGCTTTCTGCTGGCTCATCCAATTCCGAGAAAATTCCATCACTACGAATCTCTAAGCCACGTCTTGAAAAGATGCAAGATATCTTTGACACCATGAGCAAGGAACTTCAGCTGGATATTGAGCGAGCAAGACTAGGTCAACCACTGTCGTCCCGAAAACGCTTACAGAAAGAAACCTCGGCTTTAAACGGGATCGATCAGGAACAGCCTTCGCAAGAAACGATTCCCCTTACCATTTTAAACAAGGTTGACCAATGCAGGCAAGATCGGGTTCAGGTCCAAGAACAGCAAGACGAAATAAAAGAAGAGAAAGCAAAGATTGGAGATTGTTTCATTTCAACCAAAGCACAGAATCTAAATGCAGCGACCATTTTAAATGGACAAATGAAGAACAAGGGAATGACCGAAGAGAAATCTGAGGCTCAGAGATGCGTCTACACCCCGGGGATCCCCACATTTCAGGTTCGAGGAGCGAAAGGCTCTTCACCGAAGTACAGTTTTAAATTTGGTGATGAAAATGGTGCTACCTCTGCTCCGCCATCTGAGGCTGATATCGACAAATCCAAGGACCAATGTGATCGTGCCTCTTTTATGCCATCCGAAGCCAATATCGAAGGCCCCTTTTTAAACAGGGAGGATTCAGCTCATGAGGACCAGAAGATATCTGAGTCTGTTCCTGGCGTTGAAGATGAACTTAAATCAGGCGATGCCCAACAGTCTCTTGAATCTACGGAGCGGAATCCACGATTTGTACAGTTCAATACACTCGTGCAGAACTATAAAGATGAATTGAACTCTAGCGGGTTGGGGCAAGCAATGCAGGGGGAATTACCCCGGAAGCTTTGGGAGATACCAGCAAGTACCCTCTCTTCAGGATATGCCATTGAAATTGGTGACAATATTGTCCTAGATGAGTCTGAAGACTTAAACTCCTGCTCATCTCCTGGAACCTGTGGCGACTCTCTCCCATCATCAGATGCATCGGAATGCGGGAGTCAGAGAAATAACGCCGCGCCAGGCAGTGATATTCCGGAGCTCGAGAATATTCAGACCAGACAGATCGTGAACTATTGGGAGGATGATCTGGTTGCTGTTGAGCCTACTATTACGTATTACGTTGATGACAATGCTTTGGAGACTGAGGTCTACATGGAGCAGCCAACTGCACCAGTCGAACAAGCACTCCTGGAATCTGAGGATCTGCAGAGAGGACCCATCGGTGGCATAGAATCTCCCAGCCCCGAGCATCCGTGCTCGGGGGTTCATGAAGACTACCCAAAAGACGAGGATAAGCCTGACGCTCCGTCCGAGTTGGAAGCTGAGACAGGCATCCTATGCCATTCGCCAACCCACGAACAAACGGAGATCCCAGTTGAACCCTTGTCCAATCATCAACCCATCCCAGCTAGTTCTTTGGAGGAATATGGGAATGGCCAAGAAGCCTCCAGGTCCTTGCCAGAGGACACTAGCAGTAAGGATATTGTAATGGACTCCTTGCTCAATCCTCAAACTACTCCAATAACCCCCTTGAGAAATCTTGAAAATGATCAAAACGAGCCCAGCCACTTTCCAGAAGACGGTGGTTGTAACCATATTGCAATCATCCCCGATAACTCAAAGAAGTTCACCAACTACAACCGAGCAGTCAAGCACGTTGATAAAGTTCTGTCCTTCGAAGGAGTCGGGATAAAGTGTTTCGGGGAAGCCATCCTTTATCCGCAGAATCGTAGGGAAGCGCTTGAAATCGTCAGGCAAGCCTTGCGTACCAAGAGCGTCCCGAAAGAATGGCAGTGGGTTATCTTTGTGGAGACGCTGGATGGGAAGGAGGTGGGTATTGGATCTGCAAAATGACGAAGGGATGTTTGGACGACAGTGCTGTGAGCGTATTAGGGGGTTTGTATAGGATGGATGATATTGATTGTGCATTTAGCTGGAGGTCTTGGGGAAAGCGTTCCTCTTTGTTGTCAAGATTAGGGCTCTGGGATGGAATATCTTGCGTTGAAATGGGGCTGGTACGGAGCTGGAATGCAGGATTGAGGGGACAATGTGACAAACATGGCGTTTGAGAGCCAATTGTACTCTCCTTTCATGATTAGATTAGATTGTGACTACTTTACGCTGCCATATGTACCCCGCAACATGATACGAATTGCTCTGCTCTGAGAGCATGCGGAGGCGTCCTTCTACATAAAGAACCCGGCATCGAAGCTCTTACAAAATATCACTATTTTTCTACGCTGCCTGAGGAAGGCCGGTCAGTCTACATAAGTCTATCATATGAGGGTGCTATTTTCTTCAGAGTGCAATCAGGACGTTCAAAGTTGCTTGTCACATTTGGTCATCCTGGTACCTGGTCTGCACCACGCCATCGGGCACTGGCGAGTCTTACGGAATACTAGTTACCTGTTCCTGAACCGCCATTTGGTATATTTTGTGCCCTGCGGCCCCTGTCTGCAGTTTGGTGCTACTACCTCGCAATGAAGGGGTAAATGGTCAGGTCAACCAGATATCTTCCTCTTTAACGGCGAGGGATTTGACTAGCCGCATTGGCGGCATCGTTCTCCGTGATTCTTTATCTCTAAGGTTTACGTCCATTGATCGCCTTGGCTCGCTTTCTCTTTTATATATTACAAAGCCGGTCCATTGGTGAGGACATCAATCTTCAGCTTTCTCTGCGCTATTTAATGCGGTAAATTTGCGGCATGTTCTATGTCGAAGCGAGTTGTTGCAAAGGCTCGCATTGTTTTGGAACTCATCTCATGGTGCCATAAACTGCCAAGGGGATTGGTCCAAATACCCGAGAACCTACATCTCTCTCGCGTCCTTATTGGAGAAGTCTCCGCATCTTCGATCGTGGTAGGTCATGGTCTTAGATAGGTTGTTCTAGGATAGGGTTGCTTGGGTAGTGGAAATCTAGTGGAAAGTTTGCGAAGTTTGATTCATGTTTCTCGTAGTACCCGTTTCAGAGGGTTTATCTTCTCCGGGATTCACGGCTACTGGCTTTTCTCTTTATATATTGCCTAGATCTTGCACCTCATTTCCCACCCCCAAAAGTTGTAGCTTCAATAAAAAGACCAAGGCGATTTCAACCCGTCCTGAAGCTTGCAGCCACAAGATATGGGGGTGCGGTCATTCGCCTTCTACCCGCGACCCGACGGATGAAAAGTGGTAGTGTAGATTCTGCAGCGTATCCACGATGGAACTTTTGCTGAGCCAAGTGACTACCCCGCAGTAACAGCGGGTGTGAGAATGTAGTAGTGGTATTGTCAAGTCCGGGACCATGGACTCGGACGATGTACTAAACCATGTACCCTTCCTTCTATGATGTGGGTTCATATCTTGTAATGTTGCACTACTAGCTCCGATGTAGGAAGGTTGGCACAGTGCAAGTGGAGGTAATCGTGCAGCGGATTGTCAACGCCGTTTAGGAATGAACAAATTTCGACCGGCCGGAGATGATAGATACAGCTATGCGCTAAGAAATTGAGAATCTTGACAACTTTCGGAGCCTGTTTAGAACGCTATCTGTTCAGAGTTGCATGGAATCATGCATGAGTTTAAACAGGGCTTTCAACGGGCCGTATAAAGTGAACCGTAACGTTCACGTGTTCAGTACAAATGTACTGAGTTCGTGAGCTGCAATGTATGTTAATAGTGCCCTAGGTATGGTACGTAGTACATATTGTATTACCTTTTTAGGGAGTTTGTATAGCAATTCTAGAGGAGTTGGAGGGCTCTAGTGAGCAGTCTGCTTATGGCGCGGATTTAGCTGTCCTAGAGGAGCAGGGCAAGGTAATCTGCCTCTAGCTCTGCTGATAGTGTTATAAGCAAGGCTCTTAAGGCGCTGCAAAGGTGGTGGGTAGCTATAGCTATATTGTTTAGCTCCTACTAAGAAAGCGTAAGGTTAACTTTGCTCTTAATTTCCTTACTATCCCAGCTACTAGTTGCGAGTGCGAGAGGTGTTTTAGCGCGACTAGTTATATAGTAACTAACAATTAAGGCTATTTAACTCTAAAAGAACTAGCTACAGTACAAGGCAGTAAGCAGCAAGCCTTTAGACCTTAACCCTGCGTCTCTCGAGACGTATCATCTTAGCTGTTTTAACTAGAGTACAGCGTACCTTAATTGAATTGTACTACATGTACATGGTGTTTAATAGAACGTAGTACTGCTCCTACTGTTACTAATAGTAACAATCTCTTGGCAGTTAGAACGAAAGTGAATTGCCTTCCGTTACTGTACGGTTAATAAGGCTATAGTTACTTCAGTAACTGCCTATACTATCCATTGTTAGTACAGAACAGTGAAGTAACTCCTTGCACTTAAAGCTCGCAGCCAGTTTAACACCTCGCAAGCTCTCGTTGTCTTAAGAAGTCTAGGGCTGCCTCTAGAAGCTCTTATAATTAAGGCCTTGTCCTCTAGTGTTTCTATTCTTACAAGTTTCCTAAGGACTCTCGCCTTAACAACACTAAGTAGGACAATATCTAGACTTGCGACCTCTAGCTGAAACCTTGGGGCCTTAGATATTGTGTGAAGAGCATATTAGCAAGATTGTGTCAAAATTGAGCCCTCTAGAGCCTCTAGTAACACCAGTTACTGCAGTAACTGCACTAAACAGTAACTTTACTATTAATTAACTTAGCAGTAACTGTTACTGCCTGTAAGGCTGTTTTAATTCACTCTTTCTGTAAGAACAAAACCCTATTGCCGCCAGTAACGCCTTAAAAACACTACTGACAGTAACAGTTACGTTCTATTAAACACCATGTACATGTACAAATTACGTGAGCTGTAACAGTTACGATACGTATACCTACCTCTCCTCCTTCCTGTCGTACGAACGTACACAAAATTTCACCCGTACAGGCCTCAAAATTGCCTAATCGTACAGTACTACGCCTCGTTGGAAGTACTGAGTTTAAAGTCTGTATAGTGGGTTTTCTTAGGAGTGTTTGCGGAGGAAATCAGAGTAAGGATCCAGGCTAGAATTAATGTGCTATATGTAGAACGATTTCCTTCAGGCCTCTAGGTTAGAGGTTGTGAAAGGGCTGGCCACGGCCAAACGGAGGGGGGATCAAAGAACTGGGGATGTTGAGAATTGGCAAATTCAACTGAGCTCCTGGCAATAGTATCATCTATATTGGGCATTGAAGTGAAATCCTCTTATTAGTAGGTTTTGGGAGCAAGTAGTCATCTAAGAAGGGAGGTTTTTGGACGTGTATGTGAGCGGATGAAGAGCGCAGAGCTGACACAAATAGTTAACTTGACTAGTTAACGTGTTTCACCAATGGATGACTAAGCCACTAAGGGAAAATACCAGGGGCAGGCCCATGTTCAAGTATCAGTAATGCCATTGGTTTGCTTCTAAGAAAGTAAACTATGTAAATGCCCGCTAACCACCTACTGCCGTACATATGGCTTTGACAAATATATTAGCTCCAGCAAAAATGGGCCCAATCTCGGGAGCAAAAGCCACAGCTTCCAGTGTCCGCTGTAAGCCATTGCAGAAACTAAGATTGGGACCCGAGGGAGCCTGACAATGTATCTCGTAGCGTAGATTTCCCGCATGTGCATCTTGCTCTTCATTGCCACTTGGTTGCACATTTACCGCATCCAGTTGCACACTGGAGACGTATGTTGTGCTAACGACCCTTGTTGAACCACGCACACATTCTTTTTGCCCATGCTCGATATTGCGCCACTGATCGCAGACCCACTTCCAGTTTTTCGTAGCGAATGATTCCTTGTGGGCCATGAGGTCGAGCACAGAACTCAACTTCGTTATCACGCCTGGGGGATCCTCGTGGCAGATGAACTTGATGTTGCATTCGGATGAGATGGCGACTTCCTGCTCGCTACACCCGTGCCCTTCCACTCGCTGCCATAAGTGCCACATTGCCCACCCCGGATCGACGTCACCGTTTACGTCGATTGTATCGTGGGAAAGGGCAGCATCAATGCGGATGCTATTATGAACCTCGCTGTGGTCGCACCAGTACACTTGGCTGCATTGTCCACCGCCTTCCATCTGATAGAGGTTTGGTTGCCAGTGTTTCCAGCAGGTGAATGAAGAGGCAGAGTTTTCTCCAGATCCAGCGTAGCCGTATTCGGCAACTTGGCCGCTGTTGATATGAGAGGTGAACACGTTGCCGTCCTGGAACGTGGCAGATACAGTGCGACCCTCCCAGTTGACTGCTTGGTCCCAACTGGTGGGAACCGTCGCAATTGACTGAGGGTAATCGCCGTTTCGTGGGTTCGAATGGTAAGCGATTTGGGAAGATTTAATGCCCTGGGAGTTCTGGCAGTTGGATAGCCATATTACCTCACCAGCAATAACCACTGATGAGAGTAGAAGAGTGTGTAGGATGACCGAAAGTCCCCTGAGGGGGATTCCGAAGGTCATTTGAAGGTGGTATTCGAAGTACGAGACTGATGAGTAGAGATGCTGTCACAAGAAAACGGTAGGATTGATAATAAGATATCGGTGAGTAAGCTGTTTGATAGTGCCAGTGCTTGAGCGATGGACCTGCTTATATACTACACCTCTACATAGTTGTCCCTGAAACTGTGAAGTACTCTGTTCGCGTACGCCGAGTCTAGAGGAACCATCAGGGATCTCATTGAACCTTGGGTCTAGTAGCTAACCATTTTAAGCTTAGTCGTTTCCAAATAAGGCAAGGGCACGGCTCAAGAATGAATACAAAGCTACCACCGTATAAGTTTGCTAGCACTGGCACGGCTGCTCTGTTTCCGCTGACTGATCGAGTGCTAACGTCACGGCCATCCGACGCCAATCCAATGAGATCACTGGCACACGATGGCGTTTGTCTTGAAGGCTAGGGTGCATGTGTGCTCAGCCTCATGGGGCTGAAATAAAAAAGTTCAAAATTCTTCCCCAATCACGGGCGCAGCAGGATCGGGGCTGATCGAGTCGGAGCGGTGAAACTAATCTTGAGCAAAAGATCCGAGAATAGACGGCTTACATTCTGTGAGGAGGAGCTTATCTCGGGAGCGATCTGATCCGCTGTCTTAGCGATCGAGCGACTCTTAGAAGAAGGAATATGTTTTGTGCTTCATCTAATTGGGTCAGACAGAGGAGAACGCAGCCCCAAAATGAAGAGCAGATTCTTTCCGAACAAGTCTCACAGTGGGTTACTAAGCAATTCACCGAGTCTTGGCAATGACTCAAATTCGGCACCACCTCTACAACGCCCTAAATTCTCGCAACACGACATGGTACCGTGAATGCTGCAGAATCGCGGCCTACGGTTATACAATTGCTTTTCGCCTCCGATCGTGGATCTTAGGAACCCTATCAACGGAGCAGGAAGCAGCAAAAAATTCCTGAAGGGCCCTCCACCTCTGCGCGCTGGAAATTCTTGGATATCCCCCACCAAATTCCGCAAAAGCACACTGCAGACAACACACCAGCTTGACGGTAACCAAAAAGATTCTCTAACACAGGATATTACTCTGCCTTGCCAAAATGGACCTCGAAACGCCCACCGCAGAGAAACCTCGCTCGCCAACCTTCGACATCGTCTCTACCTATCGTGATCTCCTAGCCTCTGACCCGGATCTCACAATGCCCGTTGCTGCAATTGAAGCTCTCGTCGAAGCACTCGCCCACAGTACTGTGTCTACTGTCGCCGAAACCCTCCAGCTCCTTGAGCGGCACACCAATACCCTCAAAGCCTCTATCCCCAACCCAATCTCTTTGTCCGCAGGCACCGACCTGTTCCAGCGATACCTAATAACTTCGTTGACGAGACCGTCGAGCTTAGGAGGGCTTGCAAGTGTTCATCTTGGCCCAAGTGATGATTTCAGGGCCATCCGGAACCATCTATTGTCCAATGGGAGGCTGTTTGTGGAACGGGCAAAGGCGAGCCGCGATAAGATTGCAAGCTTTGGGAAGCACTTCGTTCGTGACGGTGCAACTGTCCTTACAAACGGCGGCTCTAGAGTTGTAGGTGCTCTGCTCCGGACTGCAGCGGAGTCGAGCACCATTCGCTTCAAGGTCATCTACGTCCTTTCGACCTCTAGCTCCTCCGATTCTCGCGAAGGCCTACAGACTGTAGCAGAACTTCGGTCCCATAACATACCTGTTGCGACAATCCCGGATGCCGCGGTTGCCTATTCACTTGGCAAAGTCGACATGGTTATTGTGGGCGCAGAGGGGGTTGTTGAGAACGGAGGCATTATCAGCAGGATGGGGACATATCAGATGGGCTTGTTGGCCAAGAGTAAGGGAAAGCCATTTTATGTGGTCGCCGAAAGCCACAAGTTCGTCAGACTCTATCCATTGAGCCAATTTGATCTCCCTATCGATCAAAAAGTCCTCGACTTCAAAGTGGCAGACGATAGGATAACCAAGAATGAAGAGAAGGCGTCAGAGGACGAAGCCGTTGCCGACCTACACACAGAGGATGTTCGATCAAAATGTTCTGGAAGAACCGCGGAAGATGCTGTTGATTTCACGGTGCGCTCTTCCTCAAGCCCTTCCTAGAATATGTGCTAACATTTGCTTTCATAGCCTCCGGATCTTATCTCTGGTATAATCACAGAGTCTGGTGTTCTGACCCCGTCCGCTGTCTCAGAGGAATTGATCAAGATATGGTTCTGAGCCCCACTGGCCCCCGCATCCAAATACTCCCTTCCTTGACATACTTACCACATTACCCCTGTGTCGTTGCATCCCCTGCACACATCAAGTTCTCGCCCACCCGTGTCTTTGACGAAAGCCATAAAATATTGTACTCACTATATCTACATTAGGGCTCTCGGCTTCGGGCTATCGGTTTTCGGATCTCTGTGCAGCTCCAAAGACGACAACGCTGAGGAACCCACTGGCCGTGTGTGGAACGGCGAAGTCTTCGAGGAGTGGGCTGAGGTATGTCACAGTGGACTCCAGATCAGAACTCCTGACTTCGGATTGTAATTTATGGTCGAGAACGCGTTTACTTGCTGAATAGGATGAAAATGAGAAGTATGGGGTGTGGAAGCTAGCGCAACTGGGTATTCGAGGACAAGGCATTACGAGGAGACAGGTTGTGTTCGAGAGGGTCTACTGAAGGAGCTTCATCCTTGGCCTCTTTTGATGTGCGAGCGAATCTGCTTTGATACCGCAAGACAGAGCAGCGGGATGAGCAGACTTGCAAAAAGCTGGGGCCTGGCGGGATTCTTGCGACATTGGATTTTACCCCATGAACGATATTAGATACCTAAACACATCAAATCCTGCAATCTCCTATCTCGTCTTCAAAAAGTGATGCCTAGATGTTTACGTATGTCTCTAACTCGTTCTAGTGAAAGTTTCGAGCAGCCAATTAGCGTTGGGATGACGTTTCTCGCAGGTGCAACCGAAAAAGCTTGGCTGTTCCGGAAGCTCTTAGCAGGGTTAGCAGCATCGCGCCGACCCAATCTCAACTTCAACACCGATTTCTCGTCACCTCCTGCGCCTGTTCGATACTGTCGATTATTGAAGCTTCGAGGCCGTCTCATTACTCGTTAATATTGTGCTTCTGCAGTCACGATGGACTTCTCGGATATCTTGTGAGTTGTTCTCCGGAGGGTGGAGTTTGAGTCGCTGTCAGGCTTCGAAGCTTCCGTCCCCCGACCTCCGCTTCATCATGCGTGGACTATAGTTGAGACTGACTGACTGTGTGCCGCAGTCGTATGGTGAACCTTGCGGTTGCAGTGTTTTTGGTACTAGGCGGCATTGCGCAGTTCTTCGACATACAAAGTTTGTGAGTTTACCCCGTTCTACGGCCAGCCTCTGCGTCGCATCGAAACCCCCGAGCGCATCAATAACACATCCCTATCGGTCAAAATATGTCACAGTAGTGAGGTGTGGATGATATGTGGCGGTCGTCGCAACACCGGGATGTTTGATTTGCAAGGGACATGGCTTCGATATGGTTCGCAGCGCTGATGATGCGTTTTAGTTCCGATATCATCAAAGGTGTCTATCTGATTATCTTCGGTCTTGGTAAGCCCCCCCCCCCCCCCCCGAGAATTGCTGGATATGATGATTTGCTAATTGTACATAGGAACGGCGCTTCTCGGTTCGTGCTCCTCCTTCTCTGTTCCCTGCAATGTCTGCTCCTCCATTCCCCTACTACGATTGCAGCCATGTTAGGCAGTATATCGCCGATGCGAATGAACCCTCGTCCAATGTCGCTGGACAGGACTTCCTAGCGCAGGCCTCTCTACAATCTCTCTCGACCCTCCGCGACATAGCTAATATTTGTTACAGAGTTCCAGATTCCACCACAAGTGGCCCGATATGCCTCGTTCATGTTCTCCTTTATTGGTCGTGGAATATGTAAGGAGAGGCCCATATTCAGTCCATATGCCTCTGTTAACTTCGCCTAGTCTATATTTTCCTTGGCTCCGTGATGGTTGGCCCTGGATGGTACCGCATCGCTGCAGGTGTCGTGGTTGGCGTTGTTGGAATCGCCTACGTTATCCTAGAGTACATTCCCTCCATTGAGCCGCCGGCAAATATGCGGTAAGTGTGCTTCAATACGAGCATATATCAAACACGTTGATGCTAATTTTGACCACAGTGATGCGGATGCTGGCTGGGGTGCCGAGCAAGTCTAGCCTCGCCTCGCAAAGACCTGAGGATGGCGGTGGTTGATTCCTCAAAGGGGACAGGTGAAAGAGGCATAGAAAACGGATTGACGACGGGGAGTGTGCTATTCTTGTACGCATGTATGTGTTACATGGGAGCCCCATCTTGGAGCTATTCTGGTTGGATTTTCTGTATTGGCGTCAAACGAGTCTATACCTTGTACGTGTGTCATGTTGCACTGGATATTTCTGAGAAGGGGATGGGAGCGTGTTTTCTGGTTCACTGGACTACTTAGGGTAGAGTGCAACTGGATATGGGTGGGACGAAGGCCGACTGGGATTTGTTTTAGAAGGTTGAATCAACTAAGCCACAGTCTGGGATGACGAAGCGTGCTTCCTTTTGGTCAACGGTGGTGCGCGAGACTACGATGTGTGGGCAATGGGCATGGCGATGTGATTGGAGCTGGCGGATCGCTTGGCTTGGTTGAAACAAAAGCCTTTTGCCATTGTGGTGTCCTGGGGCAAAATGAATTGCGCGGCCCTCGTTTGGGGTGAGAAGTTTGGTTTCAATGTGGCCGTGGCCTCATCAGGGCGAGGCTGGGGAGTTCGTGATGCGCACTCGTCGCCGAGGTGCAAGTGTCTAGGGCGTTGCTTATAATCAGCGCGCCGCTGATTGGCTGGGCAGCGGCCAAATCTCCATGCCACTTTGACCTTCACCGTGAGCGCATAAGCTTGTAACGCAACCACGAAGCATCCCATCACGTATTGCGAGGCGCGCCGGGTGACCGAAGTCCAGCGCAAGCCGGGTGCCGTACCCGCTCTGGTGATCCCGAGACTCCATAAGAAGCTTGATTGCTCCGCCGGTGCCACGCATCAAAGAGCCGTGAACCAAGCTCCAACCATCCCACATCTCCCCAGATCACGTTGCCGCCCACCCCAGTGGCTCCGTGGACCTCGCTTCCCGTTATCAGATCCATAATCTTTCGAGTTTTGTGTACCAGCCTGCTTCATTTAAGCCATCACCCCACTCGTGAGCAGCACGCCGCTCCGGGCCTTCTAATTCACTGCGGCTTCGCATCGGCACGGCTGCACGTCTCGTGCTCGCATGACCTTGCTGTAGCCGGCCCCGTCGATTGAGAACGATATGGCGAACGTATCGGCCAACGGAGGCACATCTCTGGCTCCGACTCCTGCACATCCGCACCAACTTTCACGAGAACCGAGCAGAGAAGACATTGAGATGGCCGAGAACCTCAACCTGCTGAACCACTCCCGAGAATCCAATCCGCCGAGGCTCCCTGAATCAGGTGCTCAGGGGCAGCAAGTCTCTTCCCCTCAGGACCAGAATTCCGAGATCTACCATTCTCTCGAGGATACGCTGCATTTCCAGCAGTCTGAGCCGCCGGAGCAGCCACCGACTCCCGCAACTACGACCTCCATGGCTCCCGGAAGTGCAGTTGGAGGGAATGCGCCGGTTACAGGCCAGGTTTGCAGGTACGATGCTCAATATCTCTCTTGTGCATAATCGCCACTGGGGTCTTGGATCTCTTCGCCAGCCTCACGTATCTAGCTCTCAAAGCTGATGTGGTTGCAGTAACTGCGGGACGACGCGGACCCCGCTCTGGCGTCGCTCGCCCACCGGCGAGACAATCTGCAATGCCTGCGGCCTGTATCTCAAAGCGCGAAATCAGTCTCGTCCTACGAATCTGAAGCGCAATGTCCAACCCCAGCCTGTTTTGCCCGCTCAGCAAGGTACAGTGCAAGGACAGAGTCATGACAGAAGCACTTCACCTGGAAATGCCTCTGGATCCCCGAGAGGAGCAACTTATGTCGCTGCCGACCAGGTAGCCACTGGTACGTGCCCGGGTGGTGGCCGGTGCAATGGCACTGGTGGCCAGCAGGGCTGTAGTGGGTGTCCCGCCTACAACAACCGAGTTTCCAAAACCGCGCAATTTGCACTTGCCCAAGCGAATGCAGCTCCCGGCGCAACAGATGCTGCTCCTGGCAGCGAAGCTTCAGCTCAAGCGGGGACGGCGGGCACAGCCGTTATCCCGGCCTGCCAGAATTGCGGAACCACTATCACGCCTCTTTGGAGAAGAGACGAGGCTGGACATACTATCTGTAACGCGTGCGGTATGTTGGACGAACCCTCTTTTCCTTTTCCATGCTTCTGGTGTTACTTGTCGAACAGGCTTACTAATGTGTTTAACTAGGACTTTACTTTAAGCTCCACGGCACACATCGACCCGTTGCAATGAAGAAGCAAGAAATCAAACGTCGCAAACGCGTTGTACCAGCCATGCCAGACTCAACTACACAAGGGTCATCATCTATCGCCAGCTACTCACCGCAACAACATCCTCCGCAAGCTCCAGCATTTGAGCACTCTGTATCACCAGACCCTTCTACTACCGTCGAAACAAGCGAACACCATTACCCGCCAGTGACCAGAGCTCTCGCCGTCGACTTTACCAATTATTATAGCGCCACAGCGAGTATGTCACGCCCACAAGGACCCCCAACACCGTCAACGACACAACCGTCTGCCCCTTCCCCTCGAAAGCGGAGTCTGAGTGCTACTCTGGATCCGGAGATGCCGTCAGTTCCGCATCAGCATCAACCTGCAAATCCTGTCCCCCATCGGCCTAGCTCCATATCTTCTATCCTAAACCCTTTTAGGGCTCCTGATACAAACATTGATCCTTCTTTGTCCAGCATGTCGAGGCAGGCTGGAGGAAATCCATCAACACCGGGCCTGACTGGGAGAGAGGATAAGGAAACGAGGAAGGAGAGGCTGAGAAAAGAGGCGCAAGCCATGAGAGATGAATTGGCGAGGAAGGAGCGGGAGTTGGAGGAGTTGGGAGACTAACCCTCGTGTTTGGCCTCTTCCTTTCCTCTCGCGCTCGCATGTCTTACCGAGGTTTGGGGATAGACATCGGGTGGAGGATGGATGAGGCGGTTGTCTTGCTCGAACAATGGGATGGATATGCGTCTATCATTCTCAATCTTTCCCTTGCGGTTTTCTCATCTAGGATTGTATTTGATTTCGGTTATATGATGGACATGAATGAATGGTATGCGCGTATCGATACGGCCTCGACTTAATTTCTCGCGGCAATATCAATCGGTGTCGGTGTTGGGTTTCCACCGGGGGCTTGGATTCACCTCTCTGTCTTGTCCTATCCGATATGCGACTGCGACTGCGACTGCGATAAAAAGCGAAGCACTCATCTCATAGCACGGCGTAATAGGTTCAGAGGAGCTGGAAGTTTTCGGCCTTTGCTGTTCGTATAGCATAGCCTGCCTACCTGCATTGTTTCCCTTGGTTTGGATTTGGATTGGTTGGGGTATCAGGCGCATCTTGTAGGCGAGCGATGAGGTGGTGCTAGGGCAGGGGCTGAGGGTATGATCTATCTATCAGTCTGCCTGCATGAATGGTGTAGATAGCAAATTCCATATCTGTCGTTCATTCTTGGTGTATGTATAATTGAGGGCTAGATCGACCCATCACGGAAGGATTCACGGGCATGGTTTAATCCGTTATTACTGCTGGAGTAAACTTAAGTGTTATCGTCATGTGCTGTCAGAAAACCTATCCATCACGCGATATACAAATTACTACATCATTTGCTTCACCTCTCTCAATTTCTCAGAGTGCTCGGTCAAGTATTGTTTTCCATTTCCATTCGCCTACCTAAATTCCAATTATTACCGAAGGAGTGTAAAATCTTGTCTGGTATCTAGCTATCATTACGATTTGATGCATTGTCCTCGACCTCCAACTCCGTTCTACTCTTCCCCCCCCTCCATATAGTAACATTTTAAGACAGCAAAGACCGGTCGGATCACGCGGACATACATGAGACATGAGAGAGAGAGAAAGACAGAAAGAACTCCCTTTTCCATGCACGTGAGATAGCTATAAATGAGGCGTCATGAAATTACAACCAGGAATCATTGAACAACCGCCATCCGTTTGCCGCGCTTGAGGGGGGGGGGGGGGATCACGTCGCGTCGCAGTGCATTCACTGAAAATATACAGTACTCCCACCTATATGTTAAATATCCGTACCTCTCCACATCACCTCTATTCTTCCTCACCCACGTTACACTCCCTCATTTCCATCCCTTCCCATCCACTCAAGGATCCGCACTCTTCGGATCCCTCAAATAAATATCCGGCACCTTCGGCACCTGCGGGCTCCTCTGCAACTCCTTCATAAACCGCTCTCTTGTCCTCTCTCTCTCCGCTTTATCCCCCCCACCGCCCGTCAGCCGCCTCATCCCCCTCCTCATCCCGCTACTGATGCTCCGGGTCGTCTCGCCTATCGAAAACGATTTGTCGCCACCGGCACCGGCACCTGTGCTATGAGAGCTAGAGTTCGAGCGACCCGTGGCCATATCGTCGTCGGAGAACGGCTCGCCATTCTCATCGACGAGGGTGGAGGAGAGCGCGGGGGAGAGGCGTTGGTGTTGGTTTACAGAGGGGGAAGTTACGGAGCGGGCGTGAAGGCCTGGGCGGGGGAGGGAGGAGGCGGGTACGGCTGTGAGGGCAGGCGTGGGTCCAGGTGCGGGCGCTGACGTGAAGGTTGTGAACGCTGCGGGTGTCATAACGCCGGGATCTCGGGCTGGGCTCAGTTTGAGATCCGAAAAGCCGGATTGAAAGGATGTGACGGAAGCGTTTCTTGTTAGCGATTTGTGCAAGATGGGTGCTGTTTGTTGGTCGTAGAGATTTTCTCGCACATCAAGCGTCCCCGTTGAGTAGGAGCCATTTGTGTATCGCGGAGCTCCGAAAGCAGAGGCATTTGGTAGATCTGTGAGAGTTTCTGTGTCGTCATCGTCTTCGAAGAAATCGTCGAGGCTGTCTAATTTCATAACTAGTTCCCCTATATGGCTGTCCCCGCGCGTGTCTTCTGATGTCATGGTTGCGGTTCTGTAATCCGATATTGGACTGAAAGGGAATTCTTCCTGTCGGAATTCGAACTTTGGCGAGGGTATCTGGATAGCATCTGGGTCTTCCAGGTTCCCACAAGTGTAAAATACGGCGTGGACGTTCGTTCTGGTCAAGTGCGAGTGATGAGCAGGAACAGGAATCGACCATCCGCTTTCCTCGGGGATCCCGTACAACGACTGCGTCTTCTCGTATTGCTTCTTGAAAGCACGGCTTGAATGCGATCCTGCCATGCTCATGCGGAGATGATGTCTTTCGAGCGGAGTCGAAGCACCAGTCATGTTCATAACGAAATCTAGAACCCTCAGAGCCTGTGGGCAGAACTCGGTCTGCAGTAGTCGCAGAAGAGGAGATATGAGATCCGGTCCTTTGGTGGCTATTTCTGGTTTCCTCATGTCGATCTCAGGGATAATAACGCACAGCACTTCCATTGTATTGATCTTCATCCAGTCGATCTTATTCGTCAATAGGCTGAGTAGGAAAACCAAGCTACCGAACTCAAGATCTGGAAAAAAGGATGAGCGGATGGCGGACATAGTTTGGGCAACAAAGTCTTTGTCCACGCGGTACCTTTTGTTGGCAAAGCCAAGCAAGGCCTGGGATAAATTGGTGCAAGTGTATTCTTCTGCGACCTGAGCTAGAACTTCCGCACTAGCGCTAATAACAGGATCTTTGGTCGGATGATCAAATGACCGTAGGAATCTTGGCATGTTTGCGAGTATGGTATAAACGAGACGGCTCTCATCGCCCACAATCCGACTTGGTGGAAGCACGACTAATCTCTCGAGAAGGCGCAACGATCGATCTAGGCAAAGGCTCGACCGGACACCTTTGTAGACAAGCTGAGAAAGCCCTTCAAATAGTCCTTCCCATTTTTCGGGGCAGTTGTCCTCAAGGATCTGAAGGACGCCTGCATCACCTAGGTCGATCTTGTCCAAGAATTTGTCCAGCATTAGCATACTCTCCATAAATTCTCCTTCATGGATGGTGTCCAAGCAAGCGCAAGTTGTCCAGAAAAGTTGGGGGTATTGGATGAGGTCCTCAGGTTGGAGAGCTTCAATGATGGCCCGCAAAGTTGTGAGAATTTCCATGGAGAAGGTTTGGATGTCGCTCTCATCGTCCGATATGGTGTTCGAAAGCCTAGCTAACATATCCGAAAGCATCTGCTGGTCGAGAGAGCTCAGAATGCAACGGAACAACTGGAAAGATCGACATGCCAAATGCCGTACTGGACATGAGGTTGCCCAATTTAATGCTACCTTGCCCCAAGCCTCCCTCAATCCAGGATAGGCGAGTGAAAAGAATTTTAGAACCTCACTAGCGACATACGTCATAGGTTCTGGTACCCTGGTGCTAAAGTCTTCCGCATCTTTGCCATTTTTATCATCATAATTCCACACGACCTTCGCGTCGTGCCGTCGAACACTCTCGATAAAGTCTTCAATCGATCTCTTGTCAATGCCGGTCGTGTTGTCCTCGATTTTTGATATCACCAGCTCATGTATCAGGTGCACCAGCATCTCTCTAGCTTGGTCTTGGACAACGGGAGTGTAGTGATCCCACAACACAAGGATGACTTGGAGAAGGAGTGGGACATATTCACCAGAGAGCTGAACCGGAGACACCATCAAGTCTACAAGCAAAATGAGGCAGATCTGACCTAGAGCGAATCCAGACTGAGATGGGTTAGCTCTCGATATATGAATGGACAGGCGAGAACTTGCCTGTTTGTTGCTACTCGGCAACACCGCAGCCAAGTCAGCCAAGTAAGGAAGCTGCGCAGCATCGGGAGGAGGCGGTGTAGGCTCGCGCTTGTCTCCGACCATGGATCGCGGGTTAATTTGCATGAGAAGGAATTCGACGACCTTAAGTCCCGCGGGAGTACTGGAAAGATGGACTACTATCTGTTTCGAGTAGTCCACAAAATTTTGTTCCCGCTTGTCTAGACAAAGATTGATGATGAAATTCAGAATCAGCTGGACGTTACCAGCATATGGTCCAGTTGCCAGAGCCTGCCAAAGTGCTTGAATCTCGTTGTGGAGTGCACTGCCACACCGGACCGTGATCTCGAAAAGATTGACCAAGAGCATGTAGGAATTGGCAGTGGGCCCACCACTAGGGTTGACCTGCAGCTCTACAGTTTGTACCCAAGGCAGCATGGCGGCCACCATGTTGCGTTGGTGATCGGGCTGCAACTCTTTGAAGTAATAAGAGAATTGGGAGAAGACTAGGAATGCAAGTTCAGAGTGCTGCTTTGCGAGCCTGCGAGAAGTTTCGAATTGAGCAAGCTTGTATACTGCGATGGTTTTGTCCGAAATGCTTATATCTAGATCTTGCAGTTTCGAGTTCTTCTGCTCACGGGCCTCGAGTGTCCTTAGCATCCGAGCAGATTTCATCCGCAATTCGTTATTTTCGTGACCTAAGGTATATAGACCGGCGCTGAGGACCTTCCAGAAAGGGAGACTGTACTCTTCGCCTTCGGTGAGCACCTGGGTGACAACTTCAAAGTAGCTCTCGAGAGCTTTAGACGACTTTGAAAGGTAGCACATCTCGATTGCTCTGTCCAGAAGATAGGGGTGCTCACGGTTGTGGATGATGAGATTCATCAAAGCACGACGTCCGATGGCGTGGGTTCTGTCGCTAGGTGTTTCAAAAATGCTATCGATCCAGGACAGCATGCGCCGAACATCGAATTGGAGCAGCACTTTGCTGTCAGTAGTGATGCTCACAGGCCCACCCTATGAATAAGTCAATATAATGAAAAGTATAACGAGATGTGAACTTACACAAAGAGCAGCCATGGCACTTAGCGCTGCAGTACGAAGGTCTCGTTTCTCAATCTCCATAGCTGCGGTTGCAATGCCCTTCTTGCCAAGGTCTGCTTCACGGTCGAGCATTGACCGTCTCATGTTCTCTTCTCGCTGCCGAATCTGAGGCTGATTTGCCGAGTACCCACACCAGTCTTCCATCAAGGTAAATGCAGCTTTCCGAGCCTGGAATGGCATCCATTGAAGCGGGTCATTAGTTTTATTGATACCTTCGAAAAGCACCTCAATTAAGCCACAGTAATGAGTTCGCAGTTTCTGAAAGTCCCACTCGTTTTGCACCTCCGCATCACTTAGAAATATTCGAAGGTCTTTTGTGTAGTTCATGAGGTTATTCAGGATCCACTCGTCGTTATATGCCTCCGACAATTTGAGAAAGTGGGACGTGAGCTTGTAGACATGCGTAATCTCTGTCCGGAGGTGGTCTGTACGTCGGTTCCGGCGCGGACTACTCGCTGTTCGGGTATGCATTCCCAAACGTGTTTTTGCCTCTTCTGCGCACGCGGAGGCGTGACCTTGTAGCGATTCTAGAAGCGTGCGATATAAATTGATATTTATGGAACCAAGACCAACAACCGCGGCATCGCGGATGGCGGTATTATCAACGGAGAGAAACGGGAGGACTTTGGCGAAGAGCTCACTAGCTGTATACACCTTGTTCTGACTCTTCTGGGACGACTTTGAGCTTTTCCGGGAGTGTTGGGCAACTTGTGTGTGAAGAGACTGACCACTAATCCCTAGATTGGTAAGAGTTGTGAATGCGAAGATGAGATACAGTTTCCACTGTTCGACAACGATCTCAGGTGAGGTGGTTGCGAGCCGACCCACTATTTTAACAAATCCGGTATCGAAAGTAGCATATGGACTAGCTCGAGGTCCGGGTTCTGTCAAGGATATCAAGGTTCGGTGCATTTGGGTTAGTCTGGCGCAGACAATATCTCGTGTAAGGGTGACCGCAAAAGGGCAGACCTCGAAGCTGATTCGTACCAGATTGGGGAAGATCTTGAACCAGAGCGTTGAGTCGTACGGTACATCGCTGCTACAAAGCTCTACTAGAGTGCTTTGGACATTGCTCTTCCTCATTCCTCTCTGGAGGCGGCTTCTCTCAGCAAGTGAAAGCTTCTCGTCGCTAATTTCCATGACCTTTTGCGGGCTCCCTTCCATTACGCGAATGATCCTTGTGCTGGAGCCACCAAGTGCTGTATCAAACTCGGTAATCAGGCGAAGAACTGTGACGGCATATGCCCTCACACGGCGGGAAGGAGAGCAAAGGAAGAAGAGACCATGCGACTCAATCTCATCGACGTGAGCCCAAACTCCGGAAAGATCGAGTTGAGCGCCTCGGTTACCAGTGACACCATCATCAGGTGTATCAAGGGCAGCCTTTCGGGTTTTCTGCTTGATTTCCTCGATCCATATCTCGAGCAACTCTACGTACAGTCTTAGTGTGCTCTCAATATGGCCTGCCCCTAACATACCACCATCCGACATGGTTGCGTAGCGGTCGTCAAAATTGAATATGAACCGAGCGAACCCGATTGTCACTTGCTGAGCATGTGATTGGCGGGCGATGGATTTTAGCGACTGAGCTGATGACGCAGCGATGTTACTTTGAACGTGAGCAGTTCCTGTGCAGAGAAGGTTGATGAGGGAGTTGAATGGGATGTGAGGAGACAAACAGCGAGGCAGCGCTTGCACTGCGACGTGCAGTAAGTCGTAGAAACCTTGACGTGGATCGGCTGAGCTTTGATGGTCTTCCCTTCTCCCAAAACTGAATGCATCCGACATGGGGGTTTTGGGGGTTTGGAGCGAGAATTTCTCATCCAAAACGGCCTGCCCGCCAAAAGCATTGTCGCAGATGATAGTTATCTCTCCCAGTATCTTACAAAATCGGACGTAATACTCCTTTGCCACTTCTGCAAAGCCTGTGAAGTTCACTGGCCGAGACAGTCTCTCCTCTTTGATGAGGGATGACTTGAGGGGCAGGTGTCGTAAAGGGTGGGGACTGGCTGGGAGGATCGGTACTTCGTTTGGTTCGACAAAGCGATCAGAATCGAAAGAGATGGGGAAGGGGGGCTGCTCGCCCTTTTCCAAATCAGCCATAATGGCAAGGAAAGATCGAATGCCAATAACCATTCGATCTGGCTCCAGATTTTCTACCCGAAGTTCTCTACCCGATGAGAACATCTCGGAGTTTAAGAGAGGAAATATGATGTTCTTGAAACACAAGTCCTGATATTTGAATCCAATAATTCGGGTAAGTTCTATGAGAGGCTCCGCAATAGTGCTCTCGGTTGATAGGTACGAGCGTTTCCCCGGCTGAAAGACCATGCGAATGATGTCCTCCAATCTTCGTACGGCAACGTTGGGAGGTTCGCTGTTCGCCCTGTATAGGTACGTCCATACGAGTTGACAGATGCCTCGTAGGGCAAGAGCTCTTGTTGCGCGCTCTTTAAGCCTCGGTTGCGTGGACATCGCAAGTGATAGCCACTGAGCTGAGAATGTCTCTGTGGGGGAGACACACAATAGCGCCGACATAAGGGGGAAGGCCTCTGACCAGTGCTTCGGTTTGCTCAAAAGTAGCGAGAGCCTGGGCTTCATAGTATCCACCACAGCTCTCCATTTGGGCATGCTGAACTCCGTCGTTGCTCGGGCCGCGATGCGCAAGAGGAGCTCCTTGAGCACCTGACAGTATGCATATTTTATGGCCTGTCCATGAACGTTGGAGAAAAGCTTGGAGAGTGACTGCATGAAGTCGCAGGTACGGTCCCAGGCATCTTCGGGGAATGGCTTGACTCGGAGATTCCGCATGCCGCGTACGAGCAGCGCGCCTTTCATCTCGATATCCCTATTGATCTGTCCCTTCACCGTGAAATGGCTGTCTACAATCTTCAGGTCAGCTATAAATCTTTCCTGGACATTGTCGAAGATAAGCTCGCTAAGGACACCAAGCAATTGACCGTAGATAACCCAATTCGCATGATTCAGAGGAGATTCATCGACTTGATCCGGGTCGACGGTAGTCAATTGGCCGTAAAAGAGACCAAGTAGACGGTCAGCCATCTCAATGGTGAGGCAGTGTAGGTCAGTTTGTGTTATGATCTCAATGAGGACACGGCAGAGAATGTACGTTGAAACAGTTGACCGCTGCTCTGCTTGTGTTACTGTCTGTTGCAAAGCAATCATATGCTCAGGCCCACTCATGGGGGGCGCTGAGGCCTGGCCATCTCCGAAATTGTGCAACGGTTCGGTATTTCGACGTGGAAGAACTGAGGTAGGCAGTGACGTTGCTTGACGGGCCTTTACAGATTTAGCAAGACATTGACTGAATATAATGGTCTACGCACAGTGGCCAACCTGATTCGTTGGGTGTTGGCATCTTCGCTTTTGGCCTTCCGCCAGAGCATGATCGTATCTATTAGGGGCTTCGGCTTGTGACGTGCGATGTGGCCGAGGGCAGATATAAGTTGGTCAAAGTTCGGATCCACACCCGGACCACAGAACTGCTCTACTCTCGCCTCTGGCTGGCCGCGGTCGGTCATGCACTGGCTGATCTTCTGGTCTGCCTGGCCGACGAACTGCGAATTATCCGTCAGCAAGATTCATAGCAACATGGACTGTTTGACGCACTGAGTTGAACAGATGGTGCAACGCATACTCGCCCACCGTCTTCAGCTCCTGTGGATGATGGTGGTGACGAGACTGCGAGCGGTGGTGGACATGGCCCTTCCGGGACGAACGTCCGCTTTGCACCCTCTGGGGCTGGCGCGTTGTCGAAGCATGGAGGGCATTCGCATCGCTTGCACTCGGCGGTGCGCCCACACCGCCATAGCCATTTACTGGACCGGCGCCGGCTTGTATCCCATTCGCCGTAAAGGCTTCGGTAATGTTCTCTTGTGACATTACGGGTCCATCGAGAGGCAGCGTGCCGCTCGCAGCGAGGACCTGCGGGCTTAGCGGGCTGGTCGCGGGCGAATTGACGAAGCTGGTGTTCCGCGAGTGCTGTATGCCATGCACAATGGATGTCTGGCGGTGGTGGCCGTAGGACAGAGAAGGCTTGCGCTCGATGCCGCGGTCCGGGCTGGAGTTGCTGCTGGGCACGACGACCACAGGAGTCTGCGACCGCGGCGAAATAGTGCGTGCAGAGGTGGTGAGGGCCCGACCGCGTGTTACAGAGGGGGGTGTTTCTATATGGTGCGACAGATTCCCAGCGTGTCGTGGTTGCGGCAGTAGTGGGGAAGAAGCTGCAGGGAGTTGCACACGGAATTAGCAAGTAGCAAGTCATGAACACGAAGAAAAAGTGTCGACGTCGAAATAAGCTCCGGCCGGGCACAGTAGCCCACGTCCGCTGGCAAAGGCTCCCGGCCGTGTTTTGGAGGAGTGTTTCAAGGCGGTTTGAAGACGGGCTCGGTGTGTTGAAAATGAGAAACAGATACTCACACATCCCGCCGGGCGGCCTGAGAGCCTCATCTGCGCGTGGGTGAGGGGATCACGAGCGAGGGCAGCGACATAAGGCTGGGGAAGAGGGGAGAGGTGTATACTATGGGTGTATATGGGGATATATGAAGTCAGGCGTGGCATCGGATTACTGCAGAAGTCATTGGACCCCCCTGTGAGCTGGGCGGCTCGTTCCTGGCACTATACCCGATTGATACCCGTGATCGCTCGGGGCTGCTATCAATACGGCTCGATGCTGGGTGCAGGAAGCGTGCGCTTATTGGGGCCTGATCCAAGGCCGTGGCTTTCGCAGAGTCTAAATTGAAGCTTAACGATCGGACAGTGAGGTCCCTGGGTGTGCGCCTCTGCCAGACCAAATGGCACATGATAGCACCTTGGCGCACCCTTCGGCCTTGGCATCCCGTGACAGCTGACTTCATCAAGGGCTCCTTGACACCCACGGGCTCCGTTCGCAGAATCACAGCCAGAGGAGGAGCCAAAGACTCATGTACCCATGCCCACCTAATACGCTTGGAGCACTGATGGGCCACTCGGCTGACTGTGGTGTGCACTCCCATGTAACGGCATACATCTCTGCCAGTCTGTCCGAAGTGCGCCGGGCCGAGTGTTGATGTAGTTACATTGCTGAGCTGACTACACGCCAACATATAAGGCAGGGTTGGCTCCTGGAGTTCCGGTCGCACAGAACATTATTACCTCCAGGATCTGTGAGGCACACGTCTGCTGTTTGCGAGGAGCCCTTCATCACCGCACGCCCATCCTGCGATTCTCACTCCTTACCCCACACAACCGAAGACCTTTTGACGCTGTGGGGTCCCAGCTCGGCGTCGCGGGAGTGGCAGCGAGTGCTCGGGAACGACGCGCGGAACAAAGAGCCGGCTTGTGTGGCCAACGCTGCTGGAATATTCTCTCCGCCCCAGGCCTCGCACCACAACGCTGCGAGCGGAATTGCAGCGTCCCGGTCTCGCCCCGACACATCCCCGTCACCCAGCTGTTGCTCGTTTTCTCAACACATCGTTCAAAGTGGTGACTTCACCAGCCAGCGCCACGGTTCGTCCGACGCAGGCAGCATCAGCACAAATAGGGGCCGTTGGACTCGCTCCTCCTTGATCACGGAGCTGTCAGCACGCTCACACTTATATCAGCCGATTCTTACCGATAAGGCGGTGCAGGCGTAAAGATACAACAGCAGGTCGGAGACTAGCACAACCGATCTTCCACCGACCTTCCATACAAATATTCGTCCGCTTGTTCTCTTCCGGCTTGATCTTCCACCGTGTCCTGGAAAAGCGCCTCTGATTTCCCTAGCACCTTCTCTCTAGTCACCCCACCAGCACCATGGCACAACTCGACACGCTCGACATAATCGTCCTCGCCGCACTTCTGCTCGGTACCGTTGCCTACTTCACCAAGGGCACGTACTGGGCGGTATATGGTGACCCGTACGGCAACTCCCTGGCCACCAGCAATGGTGCCGCTAGGGCGGGCAAGTCGCGGAACATAATCGAGAAGATGGAGGAGCAGGACAAGAACTGCGTTGTCTTCTACGGTAGTCAAACGGGCACCGCCGAGGACTACGCCTCCAGGTTGGCCAAAGAAGGGCATTCAAGGTTCGGACTGAATACTATGGTGGCGGACTTGGAGGACTACGACTACGAGAACATGGACAAGTTCCCCAACGACAAGCTCGCCGTGTTTGTGCTTGCTACGTACGGCGAGGGAGAGCCAACCGACAATGCAGTTGAGTTCTACGAATTCATTGGCGGCGAGGATGTGACCTTCAGCGAAGGTGCGTCCGCCGAAGACAAACCTCTCCAGAATCTCAAGTATGTCGCGTTTGGTCTTGGAAACAACACGTACGAGCACTACAACTCCATGGTTCGAAACGTGGACAAGTACTTGACCAAGCTTGGCGCAAAGAGGCTTGGAGCTGCCGGCGAGGGTGACGATGGCGCTGGCACCATGGAAGAAGATTTTCTGGCCTGGAAGGAACCCATGTGGGCCGCTGTACAGGAAGACATGGGCCTGGAGGAGCGCGAGGCCGTGTACGAGGCCGTCTTCGAGATCACTGAGAAGCCCGACATGGATGCCGAGGAGGACGAGGTCTATTTGGGTGAGCCTAACAAGAACCACCTGGAAGGTGCTCAGAAGGGACCATTCAACGCCAACAACCCCTTCATTGCCCCAATTGCGGAATCATCTGAGCTCTTCACCGCCAAGGACAGGAATTGTCTGCACATGGAAATCAACATCGCTGGATCCAACCTATCTTACAATACTGGAGACCACATTGCAGTCTGGCCCACCAACGCTGGAAAGGAGGTCGATCGATTTTTGTCCATCATGGGTCTCGCCGACAAGCGTCACATGGTGATCACAGTCAAAGGTTTGGATCCCACCGCGAAGGTCCCCTTCCCGTCTCCGACCACCTACGATGCAGCCATCCGCTACCATATGGAGATTTGTGCCCCTGTATCGCGTCAACTTGTGTCTACTATCGCCCAATTCTCTCCCAATGACGACATAAAGGCGGAAATGGTCAAGCTTGGAAGTGACAAAGACTACTTCCACCAGAAGGTAATAGACCGCAACCTCAACCTGGCACAGCTTCTCGAGATACTTTCAAATGGCGCGCCGTGGACAAAAGTTCCTTTCTCTCTCATGATGGAAGGCTTAGTCAAAATCCAACCACGGTACTACTCCATTTCCTCGTCTTCCTTGGTTCAAAAGAACAAGATCTCAATCACGGCCGTCGTTGAATCATTACATAAGCCCAATACCCCACATGTCGTCAAGGGTGTAACGACAAATTATCTTCTGGCTTTGAAGCAGAAACAGCATGGCGAACCAGAGCCAGATCCACATGGACTCAACTACGCCCTCACCGGACCTCGCAACAAGTACGATGGAATTCATGTACCCGTGCATATCCGTCACTCTAACTTCAAGCTCCCATCTGATCCTTCGAAGCCAATCATCATGGTTGGTCCGGGGACTGGTGTCGCTCCATTCCGAGGATTCGTCCAGGAGCGCGCGGCACAAGCGAAAGCAGGCAAGAACGTTGGAAAGACAGTTCTATTCTTCGGATGCAGGAAGAAGGAGGAAGATTTCCTGTACCAGAATGAGTGGGGTGTAAGTTCACCCTCTTCGTCAAAACTCAATGCTAATCATTTTGGCAGCAATATAAGGAGGCACTTGGTGACAACTTCATTCTGCACGTTGCTTTCTCGCGAGACGGACCAAAGAAGGTTTATGTCCAGCACAAGATGGAGGAATGGTCCGAGGAGATCAATAAGCTCCTTGAACAAAAGGCCTATTTCTATGTCTGCGGTGATGCAGCAAACATGGCGCGCGAGGTCAACACCTTGCTCTCCAAGATCATTTCCAAGCACAGGGACGTGTCAGAAGCAAAGGGAGAGGAAATCGTCAAGGCAATGAGAGCGTCCAGCCAATACCAGGAAGATGTTTGGTCATGACCGATTCCCTCAATATTCTTCAGCATTTCAGGCAAGGCTTGGTGGGTTAGATTGGAGCGTATTCGGCGTTTGCTTGTTGTGTTCTACTCATCATTAGCGCCGATGTGGGAGGGCTGCGATTGTAGATGCACGTGGAGAATGCAGGTTCATATCACTTCACTTCACTTCTTTTTGTTACTTCAAGATCACTTCATACTGCATCTTGTGGCTCACATCCTCACCTCTATTCGGGAAGATATAGACAACAACGAACCAGGCAATAATTAGCGAACAGAAATTCCTGCAGCTCCTTGCCCCAGGCCAAAAATGGCAGCGGGTTGATTTAGGATAGAAATTTGACTCCTGCGAAAGTCTTCCTAACCCTGGTAAGAGGTTAAATAAAGATACTACACCTCAGTTAAGTGCCGTGATAATCGATAATAACTGAAAATATCCTCCCCGTTGATGCTAACTAACTAACTAGTTAACTAACCAACTAAGCAAGTTAGTTAATGTCGTGAGTCCTTAGTCAGCCCCACTAACGACAGTTACCTCCTGATTCGTTGCTTCTCAACCTCGTCTCTCTTCTCTCAACAACGTTGAAACTTATGGACACTCCATAAATGGATTAGGGTCAAGCACATGGAACATACGCATGTAATACGCATCGAAAACTTTGCGGCACGCCTCCGTTATCTCCTTGAAAGAAGTCTGGAACACTTGTGATCTGTCAGATTTGTCCAAGAAAAAAGAAACAAAACCTCCGCTAAGCAAACCAGTGACCTTTGCTCCCACGAATTATCAAACCGTCCAAGTCTAGATGAGGCTTCCGTTGCGGGATAGTTGGTTTTGTACCACTAGGGACACGCAGACAGACGCAGAAATGGAACCTTTTTAACCCATTTCCTTGGCCCGGCGTGCAGGGCCCGATCTTCGGGTTTGGGCTCGACTTTGTAAGTGGAGTTTCGAGAACTGGGAGAATGATGCGAGGGACTGAAAGGAGATATGTTTTGATGGGGAGGGTAGGTGATGAGACGCGTTTGCAATGACAGGATCCATACAATGAGTCTGCTTTGTCTGATCAATCCGGTTTCCTGGTTTGAGGTCCACCCTAACCAGGGAGAGTGGGGCAGGCGACGAGGAGAGGAGAGGCTAAGTGGCGGGTCGCTTTGGCTCTGATTTTACAATGACAAGAAGCAGGTTGAGCCCGTTCTCTCCGAGCGTTCCAGTTTCTGGGTATGAGGTTCACCCTAGTAACACCGCAACGAAAGAGTAGGAAAATATAGACATCAACCAAACGACATGCAGCGCCATTCGTCACACAGCATACACGACATACGAAGGCTAATATAAGGGCTATTACAGGTGGACCATGTGATGGGTTCCTCAGCCGTCCTTCATACGCGATTATTCCGACGGGATATAATAATCGCGACCAGAACCCGATGCTTCGCAATCCCAATGGCCAATTAGTTGCCCGGAAGTATTCTCGATTCCAAGAAACCCCCCGGCTATTGCAACCGTTTCAGCGGAAGACTCATTCCCGGACAACTGCAAAGAACATCCTGCGACACGACGATCACCAGGATATGCGCCCACGGTGCACGCGAAGCCGCAGGCCACGCTCTTTTCAGCCAGGATCGTAACACCTTTCTCAGGCATCACTTCAAAAAGAGCATTACAGAGCGTTTAAGACATGTGGGAACCTAACTGGTAATGTTAGAGGCCTCTTCCAGTCTTTTAGCTGTGTACCAGCACGCTTTAGCTCTTCGCGACGATTCGTAGTGTTGATATCAATTCTCCAAATTTCCTTGATTCCGCAAGTACCTATGTCGTGCGAACGGCGTACCGGCCACTCAATGTCTCTAATGATTGTAACGTTCCTATCCTGTTATTAAGAGGCTGGAATGGCCTTGGGGCTGTCAAGGCGCTCCCTTTATTCCCTACCAGCACCGCAGAAATACCGCAGGCTTCGATACAGCCGCAGCAATTTGATAGATGGATTGTCGCATCCAGGCGACGGCATATGAATGCCCAGGACGATCACCTGACAAGCATGGACCTTCCTGTGGAGTTTTGTGTACAGTCGACTCGAGGCCTCGATCGTCCAACCCCGACTAGCGACGGCTTGCTGCTGGCTGCAACGGACCCGCTCGCCGCGGGGTGACAAAAGCGCTGCAAGCTGCATCCTCCCGCAAGGTTATTTCAAGGTTTCGCACAAGCATCCATCTGTGGTGGCCGTTGACTTATACTCGATGTAAGAAATTCTACCCTTGTCCGTGTAGCCTGGCTAAATTTCTGCAAGTTAATCTGGTGTCAAACGTAGAGATACTCCCAGTAATCCCGGGAGGGTAGGCCATTGCGGGCTCCCGATCTTGCAGGTAGGTACTTCAAATGCGTAGGAGTGACAGGTCACATCCTCTACGCGCAGAGAGCTCCCCTCAACAGATGAGGTCTCCGATCAGTCTTCTAGACAATTGAATAAAGTCCAGTTATTACGGCAGTTTGACATGGCTCAGCCCTACTGCAAGGGGCGCCGGGGCTGCATTTGCCGTTGCCGCAGATGTAAGTAGAAGCTTGACCGCAGTTCAGTGGCGCTGGAGGTTGGGGAAATGCTACAATGTCGTCCTAGAGAGGCATGGTGGACAGTAGCGGGCTGCAAGTCCTGTGCACGACTGATGTGACCTCGCACCGTCTCCATTCACTTGCAGACAGCCAACCCTAGCACACACATCGAGACAGGAACACAGGCTGCACTGATGATATTAAGCAGCGCCTCACCCAGCGCAGCGAGCAGAGCAGCACATGCACCGCAGGTTGTTTTCCGCAAGCAAAGACAGACATCGATATTACAACAGCTCTTTTGTGGTATTATTTAGAGACGTCACCCGAGGCCGAACGAGACCCTACTCGAAGCATCACACCCGGACCTCTCGCAAGAGTATCGACGGTTACCACCTGCATTCGTATCGTTCGCTATTCCTCCGTGTACATCCTTAGGCAGGTGAGTTGGTCATCTCGCAGTCAAGGTTCGACGATGGAGATCGGTCGCGGAAGGTAAGGCTCAGGGTGTTTACCCCGACGCCGGAGGTCACCATCAACATCTTTCACTGCTCCTTCCCTATCGTGCTCGCTGAACGGCACTAGCGCCGAGACTGCCCTTTTATCACGGCCCTCGCCCCGAAAATTTCTTCTCTTCTTCACACCACTTCTTCAACACCACATCGACTTTCGTGGCCACATTCTTTGTAGCTTTTCACGGACCGTCTCAGTGACGGGCCTGTCTTCTTCAGACAGCTGTACTAACTGTGTCTCATCAGCTTTGGAGTCAAGTCACTACCTCGTTCTCGACATTGCCAAAATTTGCCATCTTCCCGCAAGTAAGTCCGCCACTTCCTTCCAGTTTCACTCCAGCCTTCCGATCTCGACTGCCCTCACGGCCGACTCAACTCCTCACCGCTATTCCCTTCACGACGGGAAGAACTTACTCTTCTAACGGGACAGACTCCGGCATTGGCCTCGAGCTAATAATCTCTTCGTAGAAGACACTCATTTCCTCTACACTACATCTCAGTTCCCAGCCGCTCGATCTCGGCATTGCAGCCGCGCAGTTTGCAGCCTCGTCTTGATTCCACCGGCTGTATTTGACCCAGCGTCTTACCGCTATTGCCATGGCTTCCGACAGACGTCAGAACAGCTACACGACCTCTTCTGGCGGCTACAAGGGCCAGATGCATGCCATGTACGCACAGCCTGCTCAAACCCATGGAACGGGCCAGTACCTTTCGCGCGGCGGTCTTCCAGTGTCTCCGCACATGCCAGGAGGCGATGTGCAGAATTTGGCGAGCAATATGGGAGCCATGAATCTGCACAACTCGTACGGCTCCGGCAGCACATCGAAGTCCGGAAATACGTACGACTCCTCGAGTTACGGCAGCCTCCCTCTCAACCAAGGCCAGGGCCTTTGGGTCCCGAACCAACATGTCATGTCCAATATGTACCCGGTCATGCCAAACGGAGCTCCGCAACAGTCTGCCATGCCGCATTCTCCAGGCATGTACAGCCAAACTGGTACATATATCCCGCAGACGTACCAGTATGGTCAAGCTATGGTGGACCACAGCCCCATGGCTCCAGGCTGGGCCAGCCGTGTTTCTTCAGGCGATATGCCGTCACTGATGACACCTCGTCGCGATTCAATCTCGTCGAATGAGAACGACATTCCTGGAACCCCCTACACCAGCACTGGTGGATATCGCTACGGAGCGACTACGGCTATCATGGACCGCTCCCCGAGCGCGGTCTATACGAATAGTGCTACACCGTCACCCTCGCAATTGACCCACCCGTATCAGCTCGTTGGCTCCCTGCAGAAGCAACCCTCTATGCCGACCCTGTCCGCTCAACTCATGAACCTCTTGCAACAGGATCCGGCAATCCCTCGTGCTATTCCAGCTCCTAGCTCGCCACTCAAGCCACTAGACAGAAGCCTCGAAAACAAGACCGGTGAGACTAACGTGTACATTCGAGGTCTGCTTCCGGAGACGACGGATGAGATGCTTCACACTTGGGGTAAGCGCTTTGGCGATATCCAGAGCTCAAAGTCTATCATCGACTTGAAGTCCAACCAATGCAAGGGGCAAGTCGTTGATCCAACTCAACTACTCTCTGAGCCCCGCTAACGATTTGCTGCAGCTTTGGTTTTATCAAGTACCACAATTTCGAGGACGCTGAGAACTGTATTCGTGGCTTCCACTACTTGGGATACGAAGTTAGCTTTGCTCGGGTGAGTTGCTCTTGTTCCCAGATGATTGTATCGTTGCTAACCACTTGGAGGAATCTTTCTATGCGAAGCTGAAGAAGTTCGCCGACGATGGCAACACCAACCTCTATGTATCCAACATCCCTAAGAATATGAATGAGCATGTCAGTCCATCCTCCACAACTTTCCGCCCATACCTACTCTTCTTTGGACATGTTTTATCCATCCTAGGCCTCTTGCACTTCTTTTCGCTTCCATTGTGTCTATGAACTTGTTTACTGACTCGCACAGGAACTGGGTGCCATTTTCGCTCCGCACAAGGTGTGCTCTGCTAGGATTCTTCGCGACCTCGCTGGTAATGGTCGTGGAGTTGGCTTCGCTCGGTGAGTTTGGATCTCTAACCTTCGTACTATTTAACCTCTACTAACAATGAGCAGTTTTGACTCTCGCGACGTTTGTGAGGAAGTCATCCGGAAATTCAACAACACACCAGTCGCTAAACCGGGCGGCGAAGAACATCTCATTCAGATCCGCTACTCTGACACCCATGAGCAGAAGATGCTCAAGCAGCAGACCGCTGCTGGTCGAGTCTTCCGTGCTGCGGAGTATGAGGTTGGCGTGGCTCAGGCCCGGGCTATGAGTGCGCCAGACCGATACTTAACCATCTCCCCGGACCACCAGAATGCCGCCAATGAGTTCGAAATGTTCCTGCAGAACTCGGCGTGAGTGATACAATTTGATCCTTTGTGTTGCCAACGGGCTTGCTGACTTGAACAAGGAACAACGGGTCATATGTGCAACAGGCTGCACGTTTCCGAACTCCATGGGCCCCAGCAGTGCCGTCAACACTGGGTATGTCACGCTCTGCCATGCATCCCATGGTCCAGACTGCTATGGCCGGCGGAATCAAGGTCGACCGAGATGGAGCCTCCGATCATGGTGTCGACATCAAGACCAACCCAGCGACTCCAGTCAAAGTCGAGGATACCTCTACCTCACCAAGCAGGGTTTCAAATCGAGGCGATTAACGGACACGGTTTCCGCTTCAATCGTTACGTTGTGCGTACTCGCCATACTTGTCAGCACCACCGTGTACAAGTTATTCTTCGCGTGCCGGTTTTCCACATATGCATCAGCAGCAAGCAGATCGTACGAGAGTATCTTCGGCATCGCGTAGTTACGACGAACTTCTGATCGCGGTCTGACATGAGTGGACGAATCACGAAGGCTTTGTCTTCATCTTCTACATATCACGGCCATTGGACATCATCACCATTGGGCCACTTTTTCAACACTAATTTCTTTCTTTCTTTCATTTGTTTTCCCACGACTACACTTCCTTGCTTTATACACTTCCAATCCTTCACTTACCTCATTTTCAGTACAGAGGTGGCTCACTACTTTGGCTTTTTGCCTACACACCCATCCTTCGACCAATTGTCGGTACATTCCCTTTCCCACTCCCTTGGGCGGCTTGTTGCACGGTTGGCGAAGACTCCAGGTCCTCACGGCAGCAATGATTCATGTACTACCAGTTGGGGCGGATGGACAGGATGCTCAGGTGGATAATGATGGCTCGGGTATTTCAGTCGGGGAACAGATTCTGGCGGCGATTTCGACACAAAAGTTTTTATCCGAGGGATATGGATGCCAACAGCTTTCATAGTTTGACAGACAGTATGATAGGCCACTTTCTCCGCCTGCAATGGTTGAATGAATAAGGCGCTGTGTGAATATTTGATGCTGTGAAATCGCATTCTTTAGTTCTGTTTGTGGCATGGCCTTCACTTCTTCGAGCTACTCGCCTCCCGTCGGCATTCGAATTCTGATAGCACTCCGCTAAAGCATAACCCCTAACTAGACATCGAAGCCAAAGCTATGCTAAAGGTAATTGATCGTGATTATTGTTTTCGATCACGACTGATCTCCATTCACCATCGCCCTAGGGGGGCCCTCATTTTCGTTTACGGCATGGCTACAGGCCATTGAAGGGTAACAAGCGGACACAAGCATTCACTATCTAAGTCTATATATATGCTGCATAACTTTTGGGGTATCTATGAAAGAGAAAGAGAGGGCGGAACCAGAGGAAAGCAGAGGACATAATCAGATTGCCCACCCAGCCTTCGCTTTGGCGGCTTTGGTGGATATAGTGGGTTTCGGGGGAGGTTTGACTTCGGATAGAGAGGGTAAGGGGTCGTTGTCCAGGATGTCGAGGATTGTTATCGAGGATGCGAGGGGTTGGGTGGATGTGGCAGCGGCGACATCTTCTTTTATCGCAGTTTCTAGGTCTGGCGCTTGTGCCTTCCCCTCATCACCTACACTACGAGCCATATCCTCAGTCTCATCCCCATCTTCAACCTCCTCCTCATCATTATCGTCATCCTCCCTCTCCTCACCCCCGACATTCCCATCCCCATCCCCATCCACACCCACTTCCTTCATATACAAATCCAACTCCCTTGCCATCTTCCGACTAAAGCCACTAGCCTCAACGTCGACATCGAGTCGCTTTTTAATGACTTTGGTGGAATCTGTGAAGAAAGGCCCGGGCTCGTCGCTCGTGAAGCCAAAGCGACGGGAGAAGAAGCGCTTGATACAGGCGACGTCCCGGTCGAAGTAGTATTCGGCATTGGGGTGGTCGATGGATACCATTTGGGGGAAGTCGATTATGGTGGGGACGAGGGCTAGGGGTTGAAGGGGTTCTTCGGAGGCTGAGGATGTAGAGGGGGCTTCTTCGATCAGGACATTGAATTCGTTGAAGTCGCCGTGGATCAGGCCGTGTTGTGCAAGCCGCACGATCAGGGAAATCAGTTCGGCGTACAGCCCAGCCGGGTCGCCTACGCTGGAAATTTGCCGCATGGGGAACGCGTCGACGAGTCCCATAATTATGGTGTGTCGGTTATGGGCTACGGGTTCCGGCACCGGGAAGCCTGCTCTGCGTAGCGCTTTCATGAACTCGAACTCTTTCAGTGCGGCCAGCCGCGACATATACATCCACGAGCCAGAGGACCGATTACGCAGATAGTCGCGGTTGGCCTTTACGGTACGGAAAGATATGCGGCCAAGACGATGTATCTTCAACACCAACTGCTTCCCTGTCTCACTGGCGCAGACATAGATGTCGCTCTCTTTGCCCACGCCAATCTGATTCCCAGCCGAGTAGACCGTCTTCGCCTTGGTGTGGGTATGCAGCGCGAGATAGTCCAGACCCCCGTACGTGAGCCGGTAGCCATCATACTTTGCGTTCTTGACCTTGGCGATCAGTCCGATTTTCGCAAGCGCGGAGATGCATCTATGGACGCCGGTGCCGGAGCGGATGGAAGCAATTTGGGCAATTAGCGGGGTGGGCACGATTTCGTGGTTGCGGGAGCCCATTTCGACCTACATGTTTCTCCATCAGTTGTCAGATTTGAGGGCTGTGCGGGGGACAATGTGGGAGTGACGGACAGCTGTGAGGACGCGCCAGTCGTCGGAGGTGAGATAACGGATATTTTTTACGTCGAGCTTCATTCTGGCAGTATTTTGGGCCTCTATGCAGGTGCAGGAGGGAAGTTTACAGGGGACTGGAGAGGACAGGGAATTTCTTGGACGATTCCAGAAGTGAGAGCTTCGACCGAGATGCGATCGGCAGCCGGGCCTTGGCGTGTTCGGCGTTTGTGAAATGGAGCTCGACTGCCACTGTCAACACACCCATTGCCACAAAACACCATCACCCCTCCACTCTACAGACCTTTTTTGCACGCTCCCTGCAAGACCGCGCTCCCTCGCCCGAAGACAAGATTCTCGACTGCTGTGTCGGTTTTCAGCCTCCAGTTGCAGAGCGGAGTCCTCTTTTCGCCGTCCGCCCCAGCTTCCGTTTGTAATCACCATGGCAAAGGACGACGAGAAGAAGCCCACGGCCGCCGAGAAGGGCAAGGGGAAGGCTGCGAACGGCGAGGCGGAAAAGGAGGCCAAGAGGGATAAGGGCGGGAAGGACGGGAAGCCCATACAGGACGACAAGAAGGGAGCACCGCCGGCTGGTACGTCGGTCTCGCACGCGGCGAACTGCTTGCCGTGGGCGCGGAATTTCCACTGGATACCTGCTGACCGGTGCTTGTAGAGGAACTCAGCGAAGAAGACCAGCAGCTCAAGAGCGACCTCGACATGCTCGTCGAGCGGTTACTGGTACGTTGTCGCTGTCCCCTCCTCTCTCCTCTCCCCCCTCCCCGCTGCTGCTGTCTCGCCTGCATGTCTCGTCTGCCTGCCGCTTTGCGCTGACCTGGACCGCATTCACAGGGCCCGGATACCAACCTCTACAAACCCGCACTCGAGCAGATCAAGGACTTCATCAAGACGTCGACCTCGTCGATGACGGCCGTGCCTAAGCCGCTCAAGTTCCTGCGGCCGCACTATGAGAGTCTGGAGAAGGCGTACCAGGCATGGCCAGCCGGGGACGACAAGGTATATCCTGCATCCTGCATCTTGTATCTGCCGCCTTCGAGACACTGATAGATATAGAAATCCTTCGCCGACATGCTCTCTGTCCTCGGAATGACGTACTCGGACGAAGACCGCCTCGACTGCCTGAAATACCGTCTGCAGGCACCGTCCACAGATCTTGGCTCGTGGGGCCACGAATACATGCGCCATCTTGCTCTCGAAATCGGCAGGGAGTTTCAGACACGGCTGAATGATGACAAGTCGACAGATGATATTACCGATCTGGCTTTGACCCTCGTGCCCTTCTTCCTCAAGCACAACGCCGAAGCGGATGCGGTCGATATTTTGAGCGAGCTGGAGATGATTGATCAGATTGAGCATCACCTAGATCAGGACACTTATGCCAGGGTGTGCTTGTACATGGTTAGGTAGGGACGAGCATGTTCACGCGTGAAGGGCGCCTGCTGACCTAGGATAGCACTGTCCCACTGCTGACCTACCCTGACAACGACAAATTCCTCAAGACGGCCTACTCCGTCTACCGGAAATACGAGCAATACACACAAGCTATGATCCTCGCCATACGGCTGGACGACCGGGATCTAATCGAGCAAACTTTCAACTCCACCGAAGACAAGGCGATCCAGAGGCAGATGGCGTTCCTGTGTGCTCGCCAGCGGATATGGTTCGATGTGTACGATGATGATCCAGAGCTCCTTGAGTGCTTGAGCAACACCAAGCTCTCGGATCACTTCAAAGCGCTCGGCAAGGAGCTGAACATTCTTGACCCCAAGACTCCGGACGATATCTACAAGACCCACCTCGAGAGCAGCAGGACGGCAGGCTTGACAAATACTGACTCTGCTCGGCACAATTTGGCATCTGCGTTCGTTAATGCCTTTGTCAACGCTGGGTTCGGGAATGATAAGTTGATGCTGCACTCGGACAGCAAAAACAGCTGGGTCTGGAAGACAAAAGAGGAGGGTATGATGTCTACCGCTGCCTCGCTGGGTATGCTCATGCAGTGGGATATTGAGATGGGACTGGACAAGATTGACCCCTACACCAACACCAGTGAGGACGTCATCAGGGCGGGCGCTATGCTTGCCACCGGCATCCTGAACTGCGGTGTCCGGATGGAGTCAGACCCCGCCCTGGCCCTGCTTGGCGACGAGGATAATCTTACAAACAAGAGCGTTAATATCCGGATGGCTTCCATCATGGGTCTTGGGCTTGCTTATGCAGGTTCGAATAAGGATGAGCTACTTGAGCTTCTCCTTCCTATTGTTGCGGATACAGGTCTTGATATGCAGCTCTCAGCCATGGCCGCTCTATCGCTCGGAATGATCTTTGTCGGGTCAGCTCATGGTGAGGTCACCGATGCGCTGATGAACACTCTCCTGGATGAGGACCGAACGAAGCAACTCAAGGACAAGTGGACTCGCTTCATGGCTTTGGGTCTTGCACTCCTGTTCTTCGGCCAGCAAGAAGAAGTCGACGTCATTCTCGAGACTCTTAAGGCTCTCGACCACCCCATGTCGAAGCCCACCTCCGTCCTCGCTGAAGTGTGCGCGTGGGCAGGGACCGGAGCTGTGCTTAAGATCCAGCAACTGCTCCACATCTGCAATGACCACATCGAAGACGACAGCGAAGAGAAGAAGGGCGACGAGCTGCTCCAGTCGTATGCCGTCATCGGCCTCTCATTAGTCGCCATGGGCGAAGATGTGGGCCAAGACATGATTCTCCGAACATTCGGCCACCTCATGCATTACGGCGAAGCCAACATCCGGAAAGCGGTCCCGCTCGCTATGGGTCTCATTAGCCCCAGCAACCCCCAGATGAAAGTCTATGACACGCTCTCTCGATATTCTCACGACAATGACAATGATGTTGCTATCAACGCTATTTTCGCAATGGGTCTGCTTGGCGCTGGAACAAACAACGCTCGTCTTGCGCAGTTGCTCCGGCAGTTAGCGAGCTATTACCACCGCGATCCAAACGCCCTTTTCATGGTGCGCATCGCCCAGGGCCTCCTACACATGGGCAAAGGCACGCTCTCCGTAAACCCCTTCCACACAGACCGCCAAGTCCTGTCCCGGGTCGCAGCCGCTGGCCTACTCACCGTCCTTGTCTCCCTCATTGACGCGAAGTCCTTCATCCTCGGCGAAAACCACTATCTACTGTACTTCATGGTCACGGCTATTTCGCCTAGGTTCTTAATCACCCTAGACGAGGACCTGAAACCGCTGACCGTGAATGTGAGGGTCGGTCAGGCAGTGGATATTGTCGGTCAGGCTGGGCGACCCAAGACGATTACAGGATGGCAGACGCAGAGTACTCCCGTGTTGTTGGCGTATGGAGAGAGGGCCGAGTTGGAGGATGAGAAGTATTTGAGTTTGTCGAATGTGTTGGAGGGGGTGGTTATTTTAAGAAAGGTTTGTATCTCCCCGGCTCTGTCCCATTGCTGAAAACTGTGGTTCAGATGTGACTAACGATTAAGTAGAATCCAGACTGGGAGGACTGAACGCGAGAAGAAGTGAGGATGGAAAGGAGGAAAAGTGGTGTGACGTGGCGTTTGCTGCATAATATGCAGGCACGAGAAGCGTGAGAAGTCATTGGGAGAGCATCACTTCACATGGCATCTTCTGCCAGAAGGGGACTTTTTGGGGCACTCTAATAGAAGCACGATGCCCGGGCCTTACGCAAGTGAGGACTAAGATGGGTAGTCGTTGTAATTATAGTTGCATGACGTTCGCGAATGAAAGATTTGGTATTTGGTATTATTGCTACAGTGTGATGTGAGTGTAATACAAGTGTTAGGAAGTGAGAAAGATGAATGCATTTTGGAGTAGTCAAATATGGCTGCTCATAACGTTCTTCGTGAACACCATCTGTGCCAAACGCCAAGTTAGGTTTCTCCTCAACCACTATGACTTTCCACCCTCATTGCGCTCAGGGTTGCTATCAGCATCAATGTTTCCGCGCTCAACCTCCACATTACCAACTCTCCCAACCGGTTCCTTTCCACCAGTCTCTCTTCCCCCACGGTACAGAAACCCACGTCCTACATCGTACCACAGATTTCATTCTCCCATCATCCTCCCCGTCATTCACACGCAATATATCCCTCGACCTCATATCCCCAATCTTCTTTCTCACCTTCTCCTCCCTTCTAACCTGCCCCTCCTCCCACCACATATCCCCCAAGCTTGGCATTACAGCACACAACCCGTTGCGTTCCATCTGTAACGTGTGTTCTGCGTGCAGGTTGCTCGGGAGTAGGTATTCTATTGCCCAACCCCAGCGTGTCGCGTTGGCCACAATAGAGGGTGGAGGTTATGTAGAGGTGGTGGAAACCAGGGGGGTAGAGGAACCAGGGCATGGGATTAGTTTGAGTGTACTTATGCTTTACGCCGAGGAGCATTAGTAAATACGCTTCTTTTACTATTTGGGTTACGAGTTCTTTGAAGAAAGATAGGATGCGCTCTAAAGGTAGAAGAACTAGTGTAGATGTTATACATGAAGAAAATGAGAGGGACTTTTGATGCTGGAAGAGTGCTAGAAAGGGTAAGTTGCAATTTGTTGTATCGAAGCATGTATGCCACCCAAAGGTTGGTTGTTTTTCTGGTATAGAAATGTGCATATAGGAAAAGTGTTTCATTAGTCAAAGACTGCATATTACTTCACTTGTACATGTACACCTCAAGCCCAATTTGGAACCCACCTTTCACAGTCCTTAAATAGTGAATACCAATAACCCTTCTCCCCTGCGTAACAAACCCAATGAATGAAGGGAAGCGTTCCATGCACTCATCCTCAAAGCTCAGGTATACTTCCCTTCACATTCAAACATCCTCTCCACACTGATTCCCAACTCCAAGACCTGCCCCACAAATAACATCCCCCCAAGTCGCCAACAGCCCTTCTCCCTGAGCAAACATTCACATCCATCCCTAAAAGTCCCTATCTAGTCTCCCGCCCCTTCGACACCCCAGCCACCCCTCTACTCTCCCCTTTCCACCTCAATCCCCTCCATCCCCTCCATTTTACTCTCCGCTTGTATACCGCTTCGCGCCGCCTCCCCAGCCCTCCCTTACCGCGATGCCCGAAAACAAAGCCTCGTTCACCAAGCCCGCCTTCTTCCCCCGCAACTCGCGATCTCACCCGCGCCCAAATCCTCGTCATGAAGCGCGACTTCGAGGGCTAGGGTTGGGGGTTACATCACCTCTCCGCCACAGATCCTATTTACATTGCTAAAAGGCACCTCGCAGATTTTACGACTTACGAGACAAAAGGGGAGAAGCAGTTGTCGTTGTGGTAGGTGGGGCAGGCAGAGACGTGGTGTCGGATCGTCCAAGAAGATGCAAAGAGGAAGGAGGAGGGCAGGAGTGCTGAGAAGGAAGAGAAAATGAAGGAGAGGAGTGGGTGGAGAGGGCTAGGAGGGTAAAGGAAGAGGTTGTGGGACGGGGGTCGAAGGCAATAAGAAGTCAGGAGCAGATACTACAGAGTCCGAGTAGAATCCCTGAGGAACCTAGGGATGGCAGTGACGGTTTTCGGCATCCCAGGTCTGATAGGTCAACTGTAGAATCCAGGTGGTCGTCTACGACACTTACATCATTAACCCAGAAGTTGAGTCCTAGGCGTACGCAAGCGGTGCTTGTGTCTAGGCCGGACCATAGTGTGTCTGATGCTTATATGAGGTCCTCTAAGTTCCTTCATGGATTGGTTGGTTCACGAAAATCCGTGAAGATAGTACCGAACAAAATGGCACCCTTGGCACATTTCTGGATTACCCAAGGTCTGACGTGACTTCCGCAAGCCACCAAATGGCGAGGGATGCAAAGCTGTGTGTCATACATGAATTCACACTGCATATATAATCCGTGAATGCGGAATCTTATATACCACACCTTTTTAAAAGATCTTGGGCAAACTGACGCACTCTCCATTTTTTTAATTCCAACCTCTGCGTCAGCATATATCCACATAGAACCCCAATCAGGGCTTCCAACGGGCCGTACTACGGCCCGTACAAAGTGAACCGTAACAGCCACGTGTTCAGTACGAACATACCGAGTTCGTGAGCCGCACTGTACGTTTAATGATGCCCTAGGCACGGTACGTAGTACAGATTGTATTACCCTTTTATGAAGCTTATATTCATTCTAAAGGGGTCTAACAAGCAGTCGGCCTGCAGGGAGCGTTTAGGGAGGTTTCTATGGCTCTAATTAACTAAAAGTTTTGCAAGGACGCTTAAATCTCTTTCTAAGCGTTTTGGATAGGAGGCAGCTAGAGGAGCTTGTCGCAGGGGTTATCTTATTCACCATAGCAGGAGAGTCCTCTGCGCAGTGCCCTAGCTTACACAAGCGCAAGAAGGCGTCAAATAAGCCGCAGCTCTACTATAACTCTATAAGAACTGATCACTGTAAAGGTCACCCCTTACTACGCGGAGAACCCCTACAATAGTGGCTTATTAGAGGCAAAACAGCCTATTCTATCCATTTTAAGATTACTCTTAATTTCCTTACTATCCTAGCTACCGGTTGCGAGTGCAAGAGGTGTTTTAGCGCAGTCAGTTGTATAGTAACTAACAATTAAGGCTATTTAACTCCAGAAGAACTGGCTACAGCACAAAGTAGGAAGCAGCAAGCTTTTAGGCCTCCCTGCTCTTGTTACTAGGAAGAATTAGTTATCTTACAGTTAATTAGACCTTAATCCTGCATCTCTAGAGACCTAAAATCTTAGCTGTTTTAACTAGAGTACAGCGTACTTTAATTCAATTGTACTACTTGTACAGATCACGTGAGCCGTAACAGTTACAATACGTACACCTACCTCTCCTCCTCCCTATCGTACGAACGCACGCAAAATCTCACCCGTAAAAGCCTTAAAATTGCCCAATCGTACAGTACTACGCCTCGTTGGAAGCGCTGGACCCGAATCCACACCCAGTGAGATCCTCGCAATGGGTGGTTATCCATACATCATCGAGGGACCTCGGCTAGTTGCAGATACGTGGTCCTAGGCCGGCTAGTCACGGAGCGGCCAGAAAGCGACCTATATATGCAATACCTCTTGCAGCGAGAGGCGAACAAACACTTTGGAGTCCTATTTATTATATGTGGTGGGTGGTGGTGTGAGAGAATAAGGGGTAGGGGGGAGGAGCGTGAATAGGCAGATAGGAGAAGAGTCAGAGGAAACATTGTGAATAGGTCTAGGAACAGCGAAGAAGAAAGCGAACGCCTGTTAAGAGAGCGGGGTGAGCGGGGAAGAGCCACGGCTGGCAGAGAGAATGTACTGAAATTAAAGCAGATGGAGGACAAGACGCAAATGGCGGGGGAGAAGGGAGGGACTTGAGGAGAATTGCGTGTTAGAAAGACCTTAGTTAGTGCGAAGGTGGTAATGGAATACCAGAACAAGGAAGTGTTCCAGGTAGAAGGATCCGTGAAGCGTGGTTGAATAGCGGCCCCACAGGTGGACCTCCTGTTAGGTTCGTAGCAAACATAGAAAACCTGTAAAACAAAGTAAATCGACGGTGAAACGTCATCACAAGTCAACATAGACGTACTGCTCAGAAACCTAGAAATGTCTTTTCTCTGTGTCTTCCTTTCTTTGATCTACTACCCATGTTCGTTGAAGAACCTGCTCAGACATCAAAATGCCTTACTGTCTCCACAATCCCGACATCCCTGACCATACCCCCGCCACTAACAATTTCAAGGAAGTAGAACGCTTCCAGCATAGCGGGTGGTATGTCGAACATCTCCTAAGTGAGGGCGGAGAGTCGCCTATGCGACCCCGCGGAAGAATGTGTTCCAGGTTTACGATGAGGGGATTGTTTAGCATAAATGCGATGCACGGTCGGCTGCAGTGACCTAGAGATGTTATTTAATATGGTATTGGCCAAGTTCTGAGGAGCAGGTGGAGGCGGAATGATAACGAGCGTTATGTCCTAAGGCTGTGGTATACGCTCCTACCAAGCGGGTCCGTACGAAGGTTAGGCTTCAGCATTGGTTTCAGGCTATTGGAAATGTGGATAGAGATACACTTAGTATGTACTCCTCAAGATCAGACTCATCTACGGGGGCTGATAAGAGGGGCAATGATGATATGGAGGTATTTTTGAAACTGGGGCGAATCCTGCTGGAAAGAAACCCTCCTCCGAGGTATTAGGGCGTCATCCCCACAATTCCGCGAAGAAATAAATGGTGACCTAGCAGCAAAAGGTGTGGAGGGATCCCCAGTCGCGGTACTCTTCGGTTATGGACATCCGGCACTGCGATATCTATTACAAAGTTCCGAATCGCGTTTGAGTCATCCCCTGGAACAAGTCCTGCAGAAACAAACCACGGCGAGATTCGAAGGGAAGCAATCCGTACCTGGTCGCCACTTCTCTTAGACTGCCGAATGGGTGATTGAGGTTAAAGGAAAGCCCACTGGAAGCGAGAGGTGAGTTGTCCACGATAAGACCAGAATGCAAACTTAGCTGCATCGAGCGAACGCTAAACCCAAAGTAGTCAACATCACGTAAATCGCATATCCCTGTCGCCACAATAGGTATTCCCTGTCGCCACAATAGGCATGCTGGCGCATGACAGGCTCTCTCGCCTGTTTGGCGCCTAAAGTTCGTAAGAACAGTATCGCTGCTGACCGGCAGGTTTTTGTGATTGGGCGCAATTGGTACAAGGGGTGCGGGGACACTGAGAACGATTTTCTAGCTGTTGAATAGTGGAATGATCTTGGAAGAAGGTTCGACTTAATCACTCGCTGCTGCACTTATAACTAGGACTATCGCCAGAATTTTTTAGTGAGGCTTATCATCACCGATTCTTCTGACTTCAAAAGGGGCAAATTCAACAATAAACGAATCCTTAGTACATTGATACATGCAATAAGAATGCCGTTCATAATCTATGTTCCACACTCCAACCGACCCTATCTAACCGAAATCTCCACAATCGCCTCTGACTGTCACTCCTGGGGCTGGCAGGTGGAATCACGCTCATCCTCCGATTCCTACACCTGCGAAATTCAGAGACGGGAAAAGCAACTCAAGCAAAGCGAGCTCCGAATCTCACTTCTATCTGTTTGGAGTCACGAGTATACTAGAAGACTAGGATTGAAGAGCACGGATACAGGGAGAGTTTATTCGAGGAGAAAAAGCTTGGAAGAAGAAGCTTTTGGCGTTCCAGAAACTTTCTTTGGATTTCAGAGGATGCGACCGGCGAGGTGCAATTTCCAGCCGTTGGAAACGTGGTTGAAAGAATTGGAGGAACTGTTACCGGCATTGGATGTTATAGATGCTGTGAGAACAGTGGTTGGTGAGGGACCTGGGGGAAGAGGCAGGCCGTGGAGATCCAGGGATGGGGATGTACTGGTTGAGCTGTACGCGAGACAGACCGTTGAGGGTGAAAATCAAAATAGGAGCGTGCTTCCGAGATATGAGCGTGGTGAAAGACCGCCCCCCTATGAAAGCTGCCCGGAAGAAACATGAGTTTTCTCATGCCGAACTGGTGTACTGCGAGCACCACAAATACGACAAACGAGAGAATTGTAATTGCCATAGCGACCAACAGACATGTTGCCATTACTTTGACCGTCCACATTTCCAATACCCTCCTCCATCTCATTCTTATTTCCTATTTAGCTTTAGCTAACGCTAGGCCTGAATATCCAAATTTGCGTATGGTTGAGGGTGCGGAACCAATATGCGACCGTGCGGGTAGTAATGCACAATTTGAGCATAAGCTTAAAGTACGGGTAGCCTATGGGCAGATTCCCGCTTTCACGAAGGGAAGCATGCTATTTATTCTACTGCTGTACCTTTGTCTCGGAAGTGACAAGATACCGAGTCAGTCATTCATGAGATGGAACACGATGTGCTCGGGTGCAGGCGGTGGGTAGGTGAAGACTGAATTTGCCTTTTGGACGTGTGAACCCCTAAAATACAGCAAAAAAAAAAAAGTTTGGTGACAGATATTTCATACCCCTATTCCAGAATTTTCACGATCGAATAGCACAACGCCGCCAAATATTACCGTCTTAGCCCTGTACCACACGCGGCTAGGACGATCACTGAGTCCGCACAGATTATGAATATGTCCAGGATGACTAAGACTTATTTTTGCGGCACCAAGATGTAGTTATTTCAGAACGTTGACTGAAGGGCTGTGGATTACAAGGCCAGCAAACTAAGCGGATCATCTAAACTTGGAAGCGAGTATTAGCATTCTGAAAAGCCTGCGCTAGCTCTACATGGATCTTTAATTTAGAATTGATACAGTTGAGGAGGGGGTAGTAGATCTGAGCATTGAAGTGCTGCTCCCTGAAGTCATTGGTCAAAGCCAGAGATGTCGGAGTTAGCTCTGCGCGTGTGGCAATTTCTGGCTTCCAGAATGTTTCGTGTACTTGCATTCGTTTGAGAGTCCCTACTGTTAGTATTCTATCTACAATTTGTGCGAATGCCTGCCTTGAGGCTTCGGTAGTGAGGATTGCAGTGACCAAGGTCGCTAATTTGGTCTACTTTGAAAGATGGAAGTCCCAACTAGAGATCCGAGCCATTGGCTTTTCCCATGGAAGGAGGTAATACTCTAAAGGGAGTTGCGTGATTTGAGGCGTAGCTTTACCAGAGTTATATCTCAAGTTAGGAACAGTTTGCATTAGATAAGACGTATTAGCAATGGCGACTGTCATCATGCGAGAAGCAAAGCGCTCGAAACTCCACCATCTGGTTATCAGGCCCAAGCGTTTCCTTAAGTCATCCTTCGCTGCGCGGTCAATCCCGCGCATGTTCCAACCCTTCTGAGAGCCTCGTTATCGTCCGTGCTTAGACGTTAACCAGTCACACGATTTAGAAAACGGTGGTAGGCGTGTCCTATTCTTTACGCCGTGTCTGTAATGTATTCAAACTAAGTAGTTGCGCAATATTCGAGGCTCTAGCTTGGAAGCATGAACACTAAGGAGGTCTCTATGCCATTCTGCCTAGTACTCCAGGACAATGGAGGTGATTCCGACGACGCCAACCACAGTTCTGACGCTGTATGATAGCTAAGAATCCCTAATATAATATATTGCCAGAGTTGGACCTTGCGGGTACAAGAAAACAACCTCGCACAACTTATGGGTCATCAGTGAACGGCCTAGTTAGTGTGCAAGCCAAGTGCACTAACACCTCTAGTGTTCTTCTGTCCTCTTACTCTGGATTGTCAGGTTGATTCCCAGACACTACCCCCTCTAGCCGAGGCGTTTCAACCTGTGACATTCCAGTCTCCCGCTGCCTCCACAAAACATATAGCTGGTGCACTGTCTTGCTTTTTACAGGACGGAAGGAGCTGCTTCGCAATCACCGATTTACGCGAGCTCTGCGGAGTTTCCTCTTAGACTAATCCTAATGCTTCCTTGAGAGCATCAAGTACAGGAATTAACCTCTAACTTATCGGAACTTCAAAGCTGCGTCTTGGTCTCCTAGATGGGCGTTTTGTTGATATATTTCCTACTTTGAGAAAAGGCATAACTCTATGCCTGCAAATACTACACCTCTTCTGACGGATTGACTGGATTATCTCTGACTTGAGCTCATTATTGAAAACCTCTGTGGCTTCAATAGAAGGTGGAGATTCTAGCCATGGTGCCTTCGATTATCTACCTGGTGAATGATAACTTGGTGCTTATGAAATTGATGCTGTTTTGATACATTGATTCGTATTAGGGCAGAGATACTAAGGCTGCGAAGACTTGAAAACCATATGGGTGCAAATTAGATGAGAGGTAACTTCAAGCTCCTGCAAAAGACACGCGTTGACTTTTGACTCTATCCTGGCTGCTTGCATGGCGCACGGACAGCACAATTCCTGCACGTGACAGGAAGAAATCACATACCTCCAGGGGTGGCGGACTGCTTCCTCAAGTAGGGCAATCTGTGTTCAAATCAACGCCTTCCTTAACATCTAGAATATTTTGAAGTTTCAAATAATCTCTTTTCTGAGGACTTGATTGCCTCGAGAAGCCCAAAATAACCTCACCACTGGCCCGGCGCTAGAAGCAATGGTTTGTGAATTTGCCGGGAAGGTAGGTTCCAATACTAAGTCTTGATATTTAGGGTGGACTCTTGGAGGGTAAGTTCGTCAAAATAGGATAAGAAGAGAAAGGAGATGTCCCCTTTGTCATCGCCCCTCACGTCAGTACAGTAAGCCTCGGACCGTCCCGCAGCCCCATTACGTCAATGTCTCGTGGTCTCCCCAAGCTTACCAACCTTCAGCTTTCCACCCTAGTCTACGAATATTCTCTTCATATCCTTAATTTCCCCTTATTTGTTTATCGCTTCATTAATTGAAAATGGCGTACACCATCCTCCTCATCGGTGGGCACGGCAAAGTCTCGCAGCTCTTGACCCCGCTCCTTCTGGCGAGATCATGGAACGTGACAAGCATGATCAGGTCACTAGATCAGAAAGATACGATTGAAAAGCTAGGGCAGGGGCATCCAGGGAAACTGGATGTTCTGGTCAGCAGTGTGGAGGACGTAATGACCGAAAACGATGCGCGGAAGATTTTAGAACAGGTAAAGCCAGATTGGGTTGTTTGGAGTGCCGGTACGTACCGCGAGAATCCTTAGAATCAGATACTTCTCTTTATTGCCAGACTTGGGCTCCGGATAGAGTTCTAAGAGAAGAGGGTGCGTTGTATATACCTTTCTGGTAATTCACCTCCCCTGGGTGGCTTCCTGGCCGGCTTGACCTGTAATTGAATGCCATTTGATAGCTTCTAAACTTTAGCACATTAAACATCAGGCCCTAACCACAATTCAATTCGCGATGCAAAGGAAATCTCGCTGGCAACATTTCCCTTGGGTTTTTCGTATCAAACATCTCATATGAATAGGTCTTTTTCAGGTCAACGTAGACACAAGATACACACTAACATCAATTAAAGGCGCTGGAGGTCGTGGTGGCGCTACACGCACTCTCGCGATAGATCAAGACGCTGCGATCTCATTCACCAAAGCGAGCATCCGCATACCCAGCATCAAGAAGTTTTTGACCGTTTCCTACATCTCCTCGCGCCGTAACAAACCTTACTGGTGGTCCGATAAAGACTGGGCCTACGCGCAAAAAGTAAACAACGAAGTGCTTCCTACGTATTATAAAGCCAAGGTCGCAGCTGATGAGGTTTTGACGGTCCTTGCAAAGGAGAGGTTTGATGAAGAGGAGAAGAAAGGAGTTGAGGAGAAAGATAGGTTCTGTGGAATAAGCTTGAGGCCTGGTACTTTGAGCTTAGAGAAGTCCGGGGGTGTGAAGATGGGAAAGATTGAGTGTGAGGGTAGGGTTAGCAGAGCAACAGTCGCGCATGCAGTGGTGAGCGTTTTGGAAACTGAAGGTGCGAGGGGCTGGTTCGATATGCTTGATGGTGATGAGGATGTGGGCAAGGCTGTCGAAAGATGTGTGAAGGATGGGGTGGATTGCGTGGAGGGTGAAGATTTTGAGGGGATGAAGGAGAGAGTTGGCAAGTTGTAACTCACGCAGAGTCTTGTTCTAGAAGGCACTGTACACATAATTTGATGATTTGACACAAGGCATGCATTGAGAGCCATGCCCATAGCAATCTAAAAGAATCAGGTCTACGACAAGGCCCAACACAGCCAAAGAGTAATCAAATAGCCATAATGATTCCTTAATGTCGCCTACTTGTTCTACCACCTCTTCATTTGCTCAGCCTTTTTCGTCTCGTATAGATATATCCCCTTTCGTTTTAAGTTAGTAATAGCTCTGAGTAAAGCTTCAAGATCACGACTACGGTTCTCTGTGCACTAGAGTTTAGGATTCTATTAGAATGCTTTCAGAGTGTCCACAACATCGCTATCTTTCGAGGCAGAGATGCAATTGGTTTTTTCGAAACACTGTAATACATCTAAAAAAAGCCTTTGTTGCGTACCGTTTTCTGTAATATAGACCTTTAGGGGAAGTCTTCGTAGAAATAATAGCATGTTATGCCAGCTCCTCCAGGAATCCGATCATGGTCTCCGTCTTTCCTAGTAAAGTCTTTACCAATACGTTATTGCAGATAGAACATATATTTGATTATTTAGAACTTCTTAAACCGGAATATCTGACTCGAAAGTGTGTAGTTCATAATTCACTCTGTTGATCTTTTGCTCCAGCAATTTCGAAATTTCACTTACCAGTTTTGTCTTGGATTTACATTTCACTGTCGTATTGACTTTAGGATTTCGTTTTTATGGAACCACGGCCTTCTAATTTCGATGATGTACAGTTGTAACACTCTGTTCAGGCATATCACCTACTGAAGGAGGAGCACATATCCCTAGTCAGACCTCGTTGCATTCATCTTCATTGTCGTACATCTTTGATAAATATAATTCATACACGATACGGGGTCAATATTAAGCGTAAGTTGGAGTCATCCAAGGAAGATTGCCGTTTTCCGAGCAACTATACTTTACATAATAAGGTTGCCTACTGAGTCCCCGGAGAAGATTCTTCGTCTTGGAGGTCTTTGTCTGTCGCTGTAGATGTATTATGTTAACCTTTCTAACACCTTGAATCTATCTAGGGTTATCTTTAATCTATTACACTGTTCTGCGTAGTTGGATTCAGCATTAACTTTTACTTTTCCCCCTAATGCACGGCTTATAGTAACGCGGGGGTTCTCCTCATATTTGATCAAATCGACAACCTTAATTGGCAAGGGCCTGTAATACTAGTTGTGCTTGGACATGCGCAAAGAACTGAGGAGGTGAACCTTGGGAGTATGGAGTGTGGTATGATGAAGAAAGGCTAGATGGAAAATTATTGAGAAAGCTGTAGGTATAGAGCGAGGCGTGACGAAGGGGGAGTAGTTGGAAAGCCGAGGCTTACTGAACGCGGAGCGACATAATGTTGCCTCCGAGCTGCCAGGGGTGCTGAATACCTGGGGGTGTATGTATGACCTGGAGGGAGAGCATCTGTGGCTATACAGGTACTGCAAACTTTGCTCTGGCTCTGCGCAAATGTTTGGACTGAAGAATACGACGCTGGAGCTCCTTGTTCGTTCCTATGGTTCTGGAAATACTGCGAGTGTGTCTGGGTGGAATAGTTTCCGGAGTGGTCAGGTTGCATATTGAAATGGTTTGATGAACATTTGTGTTCTATCGTTGATCATACTAGAGACCTGAGTGCTCTGGCTTTGGTGCTGAAGTTGCAACTGGAGCTGTATCGAAGGTGTACTCTGGAGCACCGAATAGATTGTGTAGAAGTTATGAATATGTGGGAGAAGAAGGAAAGATAAAATCTACGAGGTCGTGGATGCCTTGTACTCTAAAGTGGAGTCAAGGCCACAGGCTGTGACTGAATCCGGAGTCTGGCTCCACCTACACAGTAGAGGAGCTCTCCGCCGCGATAGGTTGAGAAAGGAGGACAGGACGATAGTAGGGAATGAGAGAGAAAGGGCCTGAGCTTGCAAAGGCGTGTGTCGCAATCGTCCTAAGCAGGCTGATAACAGTTGTGAATGGGAATAGCTAAATGCTATGACGAGTACTTGTAAGAGGGCAAGTCCCGACTGATGCTATTTCACAGATGTATATGTGACACCTTGCGCAAAAGGGGAATGCATTCCTTCCGGGGACCACTATGCAATCCTGGGCTCGACCACAGTCAAGAGCAAGCAAGCTATTGGAAGAGCAAAATACCCTGGAGCCAGAGCGTTGGAATTAGGAAATAGTCGTCTCGTCTTGAGACTGATGTCCCATCAACATGGCCGCATAGCAAACTGTTAGGCGTCCTGGAGCATCTATCTAGACAGAAATTGAGAAGCGAAGATTAAAGAAGGCCAATTTACGCACGAAGAGGACACTAAGAGGAGATTACCTGCTTAGTGCATGCACTGGCATGCGCTGCAATTAAGCAAGCTTGTGTTGCAAAGCTCCCGAAGCAACGATAAACATCCTCGGCGAGGGAAAGTTCTCAAAGGCTATGGACTGGGCATCCGATACCTCTTTATCTCATTACTCTTTTGAGAAAATCTCTAAGATTATTTCATGGGCTACTAGATCTCCTCTTGTAACCTTTGATTGTAGTGGCTTAGGTATCCTCATCCAGGGCACGTTTTAAAATGGAAGAGAGCGTCTGGGGTTGGAATGTTCCATAGAATGAAGAATTAAAGATGAGTTGTAGCAAGAATATACAATCAGATTGGACGTTGGATAGAAGTTTCTGATGAGTACTTAATGAAATTGCCTCTATAGCGAGAGATGCCAATACCTGCAGGAGGTGGTGAGGTTGAACACAGAGGCAAGGCTGAACTGCGAGAAACAAAGCTCAGACCAAGTAGTACTTACATAATCGTGTCAACTTCTCTTGGCATTGAAGCTCGGAATTGAAATTCACATCCAACGTATTGCGCCGTTATCTCTCACCCTCCTCTCCTTTCTGGCCGCTCCTATTACTCCCTTTTTTCCATCTCTAACCTCCCCGAGTAGACACTCCTCCGCCGCAAAAATGAGGTTAACTACGGACCTAATCAACTCTTCCCTCTCCTACATCAACCTCCTCGGTGAGCGCGAACTGGACCTGCGAGGTGCGTTTTGGAAAGGACAGATACTACACTTGCCGAGCTCCATTGATATCAATTCTTCTGTATACATCTAGGTCACAAGATCTCCGCTATCGAGAACATGGGCGTAGCAAAAGTAACACTCCACCCCACTTCAACCCCTCCCGATTCGATTTTTTGCAAGTCTAGTGTGTATGTGACGGGGCTGTGGCCGTGGCTGATTAGGGCTAGGATAACGATGCGATCGACTTTACCGACAACGATGTTGGATACCTTGGAAATTTTCCGCTAAATCCCCGTCTGCGAACTTTGTTCCTTGCGCAGAACCGTATTGCGAATATCCAGCCGTCGCTTTCGTCCTCGATTCCCAACCTCACGACCCTCGTTTTGACGAAGAATCGATTGACAGAGCTGGCGGACTTGGACCCGTTGTCTGGCTTTAGAAAACTGGTATATCTGACCATTATTGGGAATCCGGTGGCTACTAAGGAGGTAGGCGGCAAGCGAGTAGTTATCGTTGCGAATACCACCCGGCAGTTCCTGCCAATGTGAAATGTTCAGAAGCTCACAGGTTGTAGCATTATCGGTATTGGGTTATCTGGCGATGTCCATCAGTGCGCCATCTCGATTTCGAAAAGGTCCGTACCTCGGAACGCGAGAGGGCAAAACAGCTTTTCGGGACTGAAGAAGACCCGACAGAACTTGCTTTGAAGGTAACTGCATATCTTACCTTCTCTTCCCGATGTCCGTGCTAACGCTCTCTTCCTCCAGATCATGGGGAACAAATCCAAGGGCTTCGTCGTCCCCTCATTCGCGTCTAACGGCGAAAAAACATCTCAACAGCGCATCTGGACTGACGAAGAGAAGCGGAAGATGAAGAAGGCAATCGAAGACGCCCGCAGCATCGATGATATTGGGAAGTTGGAGAAGGACTTCTCCGAGGGTCGCATCCCGGCCTGGGTCCTGGCGCTGGAGGATCCAATGGAGATGTAGGCACATGTAGGAGGAACGGAGAGATGAACAACCAAAAATGTTGTGCAGATTTTAAGATGTCGAAGATCATGCATGGGCAGAAGCATAAGTAACCGGTGTTACGCTGGATCGGCGTCTTGGACATGAGGGTCCTGGTTATGGATGGGAGTTTGATGGATATGGGTGGGCTGGCAATGGATATTAGATTCTGTCCATACAGTCTGCAAATGGATGCATGGCATAGCGCACCGAAGGCTAGCTCTCCACCTGGGATGAGCACGTGTTAGTAGCCAAAAATCAATAAACGAAGCTTACCCTCCATTTGCTGTCTTGAAGACGGACCGATTTTAACTAAAGCTATCTTGGTATCGTACACTAAACGCCTCTTGATGCATGATCCATAGAACCTGACTTAGCCTACCCAGCCAGCAAGATACCCATTTGAGATCCCCAAGTGAAACCCTACGTCCACTTCACCACCGCCCACCTCTGCGTCCAGACCCTCTTCCACCACCACCGCCGCCGCCGCCGCCTTGCGCGGGCTGGCCCCCTCCACCACCATACTGCCCGCCACCTCCTGGCTGCCCTGGGAACCCACCCATCGACGCCCCTGCCATCTGCATGAACGTGCCGAAATCCATATTTTGCATATCCACCCCCTGTGCCTGCATCTGCGTCATCAACATGTTGATTTGCTCCTGAGACATTCCACCGGGCGGCATGCCCCCCATATCGGCCGCCGCACCTCCTGTCTGAGCAGCCGGCCCAGTTGGCGCACCAGGAACACCTGGCCCGCCGCCGCCGCCAGCGGCCGCGCCGCCAGCAACAGGGTTTGAAGGGGCGGTGGGAGGCTGCATGCCCGGCATGAACATCTGCTGGAACTGCGCGGTCTCTGCCTTCTGGGCACTCAGGGTGGCCGCCATGGACGCTTGTCGCTGGCGATACATTTCCCAGGTGAATTCGTCGAAGCCGTAGTTGAAGTAGTCGGATTGGTCGGCGCCGGGCAGACGCCAGGGTTTTGTTGATTCGGCTAGGTCGGCGTCCATGTCGATTTGCGTGATGGTTTTGGTGGTCGGAGGGTAGACAGGGTCGGCATTGACGTCCAGGTCCGAAGTGCGGACCGCGGGGTACGCGGTGCCGGGCAGTTGGGGGTGGGCTGCAGCGGAGGGGGTTGTGGTGGAGGGTTTGCTGGCTGGGGCAGGGGGGTGGGGGGGTTGCTCGATCTTGATAGCCTTGGATTCGGTGGGGGGTTGTTGGCTGCATGTTTGGGTCAGCTGTGTGCAGGTGAATGGAGCTTCTCGGAGGACTCACAGGGAGGGCTTGGGGGCGGGCTGAGGCCTGTCAATGATGATTTCGAGGTCCTAGGATATGTGAGCTCCCAATTGAGGGAATGTTGGTGTGCAGGGTGCATACGGAATCGCTCTCTTCCTCCTCGCCCGACTCGAGTCCCTCATCCATGGGCTCATCCCCCTGCTCCCCATCCGACTCGTCCTTCACACCGTGCTTCTTCGGCTCTACAGACACGCCCGCGGTCTCCGACGGGCCGTAGAGATCATCGTCCTCACCGTCGTCCATAGCTCCTTCCTCTTCCCAAAAGGCGGGCGGCTTCCCCTTCTTGAAGTCCCACGGGATGAGCCGGTAGCCGGCGAACTCGAGGGCGTTCTTGATGAAGCGCGCGCGCGTGATGACGTTGCGGTGCTTCTCGCGCTCGACGTCGTGGGTGGGATACTTGAACAGGTAGAGGAGCTTGCCGCGCTTAAGGCCAAAGCGAACGGTATTGTTGTTCCTGCGGAGGAAGGTTTAGCCGGGGCTCCATTTTCCGCCTTGTCAATGCGGCTCTGCGCTGCTCGATGGGGCTGGCCCAAGCACCCCGTCTAATGCGGAGCTTTTTGGAGAGCCCACCCAAACACACCAGGCCAGCGCCGCGGGAGTGGAACGTCGCACAGAAAACGACTTACGCGCTGACTCTCTCCACCCGACACACAGCTGTGTCAACCTTTTCATTCTTCCCGATCTTCTCCTTGATCATCCCAATCTCCCATTCTCGACGTGCTTCTACCGCGCTGTAGCTGGGGAACAGCTCCCCCGTGTACGCACTCATCGCCGCCGCGCCAACCGGCCGGACCTGCACCAGCCACCGATTCGAGGCCGCTCAACGTCGTCGTGAAAGCTGCCATTGTATATATTCAGTTTCACTTCCTGCCTGTTTCGGAACCTCGCATTCACATACCCGACCGATAAATACCACGCTAAAGTTTCTCGCGAAGCAAGGGCGGGTCGCTGCAAACGAAGACAGCAACAACAATGACCGGATTCGGACGCTCTAACTCGCTGAGCATCAACACCAGCGGCTCCCTCTTGTAAGTATATATACATTCGCACTTCATGATAGCACCACCGTCGCCTCATCCTTCAGGAGCCGAGGGTGTCGCCTTCTGGCTCCTTTCCTGGGGCCGAAGGCACTGGCACTCATCATCGCCATCGCCGTAGTCACGCATACGGGCCACCTGTACCAAGCTAACAGACCTGCAGCGGAAATAATGCTGGCCAGGGACAACAGAGCGCAGGGCTGTTCGGCGCCTCATCCTCGCAGCCACAGACAGCCGGGGGGCTCTTCGGGTCATCGTCGCAGCCTCAGACAGGAGGATTGTTCCCGCCGCCAGGTGGAGCCTCACAGCCACCCCAATCTGGATCGCTGTTCGGGCAGCAGCAGCAGCAGCAGCAACAGCAACAGCAGGCAGCGCAACCTGCTTCTGGCAGCTTATTTGGTAATCTGAATAAACCCGCTGCTGCGGGTACTGGCAGCTCGCTGTTCGGCTCGTCTATCGCAGGATCGCTCCCCCAGCAGTCTGGCGGTCTATTTGGGACCGCTTTGGGTGCAAACGCGCAGACGCAGACGCAGACGCAGAACCAGAATCCAGGCGCTTCCCAACCCGGTGGATTATTCAGTGGGGGTCTCGGGCAGCCACAGAAGCCCTCGCTCTTGTAAGTCAGGGAAGTGTGTCTTGGGTGGCACGGAGCTAACTATATCGCTGTAGCGGAGCGTCAACCCAACAACAACAACAACAGCAAACGAATACCCCCTCGTTGTTCGGAAACACAAACACCGCGCAAAACACATCTACCCCCTCGCTGTTTGGCTCAACCCAGCAGACTCAACCACAGCAGCAACAGCAGCAGAATACGCTGTTCGGCGGCATGTCGCAGAGCAAACCCTCGTTCCAACTAGGCGGGCACACCATTACTGGTGGTCCCGCCCTAGCTTCTTCGCAACAAGCAGTCAACATTTCTGGCTGGGAAGCCGTGAAGGGAACGACGCGCTTCAGCGACCTGCATCCCAACCTCCAACGCGAGATCGAGGCAGTCGACCAAGAGCTCACCAAGCACATCCGCTCATGCGAGCAAGTCCGAGAAACCCTCCCTTCCCATGGCGACCGTATTGCTACAGTCGCACCAGACGTCGCCTACATCTCGCAATTCCTATCTACCGTTGAACTGGGTCTCGACAACGACTCTGCCAACATCGGCTACCTCAAAGACCTCGTTAGGAAAGCCGCCGAGGACGCAACGCAAGCCTTCCGTGTCATCAATAACATGAAGCTCCCTGCCCAATTCCACTATTCCCAGCGCAGCACCATGCAAACCTCCTCCTCCACCCCTCCCCATCCTTCCCTCGACAGTGCAGATGACCCGTCAAAACCCGTAGATCTGATTTCTTACTTCTCAAAACACACAGACGACCTCGGCCACACGTTGGACCTGTATCAACGCCAGATCCGTGAGATCGAAGCGCATCTACGGACTATGGAGATGGGCGCTAAAGAGCGAATGCAGCAGCTAAATGGGAGTAGAAATGGGGTTAGGGATCAGAGGAGGGAGTTGGTAGATGCGTTGAAGGCGATTGAGAGCGCAATTTTGGAAGCGGCGAAGAAGGTCGGGCAAACGAGGGATGCGGTTACGAGGGAGACGCTAGGGAGCGTGGGAGCGGCGTTGTTGTGAGTTTCTGTTCACGGGTGTTAGGGACTAGGGAGGCATGAGCTCGATGGTTATTGGAGAGCTTTTGAAGCATATTCGGTCATGCATACACGAAAAATTTGTTTCACCACCTAAGGCATGATATGTCTCGTGCATCATTCATGCACTTTCGTCTGGCATGGAGGACTGGTGGGCTCCTTCTGAAAGCAAAGCAGCGAGCGTTCTTGGAATATATGAAAAGTAATAGATACCCATGACTTGAAACCTGAAAGTTGTTGAAAGGACTTCACGTTGAATTCAATCTTCTGTCGTATTCTTCAATTTGGAGATGCAGCTGCATGTTTGTATGCAATACGAGGGTAGTCAGGCACCTACATTTGGTCCAAGGACTAGAGAAAGATAGACACCTTCTCGAAGCGGATCTTTAAGTCAAACACTATGTATCCAGATGCAAAGCATTGTGCGAACAATGTTCAACCTAGGCTAAACTTTCTTTTGCTTGTACATCATGCACAATTCATTGAGGAAAGGACGAAATAAAAAGTTGGAAGGAATGGGTTTGTGGCTTGTGGCTTGTGGCTTAGAGGGAGCGCAAGGACGAGCAAGTGTGGCTGTTGTCTATGGCGGATTGAGAAGGATGCGGATAACAAGGGAGAACCTGCCACAGTGCATGCCGAGAACATGGGTGATGCCACTTTTGGGATTCCTTAGCTAGCTTCAAGTTCAACATAGCCCTCGGTAGCACTAAGACAGTGTCCGGCGATCATTAAGACAGGCCCGTCTGCCTTCTACAAAACAGCGCAGTGGTGATAGATGCTTTAAGCATGGTCCAGCTCCAAGGATCTATCTACCCCTTAGACGTGGGGGTTGACGTAACCTCGGCCCATAGTTACCGTAGGGCTACCGCTGGCAGAGGATTGTCCTACCGGGCTGGGTCTTAAGACTGGATAAGTCGATCAATGCGGATGACTGGGAGGGAGACGGGGATGGCAGTGTAGGCTTTATGCGCGTGCTTCCTTTGACATGATGCGCAGTCATTCAGTCAAGCTTGCGGGAAGGGCCGCGGGAGTCTAAGCCCGAGAGGATCTAGGTTTGGGATCCGTTCATGCGGATCGCTGGGTGAATGACTCGAAGGGAGTCAGTCAAGGCGATGGCGGATTTGGTAGCAGCTTCGCGCGAGAGCAAGGGTATATGGCGGTGTGCAGACAGGATTTCTTACTCGGTGCCGATTCCGTAGTGTCTCTGGAGTTGAAGGTGAGCTGTGCATTGATTGAGGCGTTAGTGAACTGCATAGTGATCGTGTTGCATCAAGCTTGCGCGCTCCCTAGTTGAGCCAGTGGGGTATGTGCACAGTGGAGCGCAATTGAAGATGACACCCAAAAGGCCAGATATAGTATCCTAGCTATCTTTCCTGGTTTAGAAAGCATCATGCTTGAACAGACCACTCGATGCGCTCTTGTGTTGCGGCAAGCGACCTCACAGCATTCCAGGATTGTACGCTCACGTTTCCAAGCCGAAACAGTAAGACATGGGAGCCGGATGTCTGGCCCAAAGGATGCAGAGCCATCTGCTAGCGTGAATCTGTGGACGGTTTGGCCCTTTTACTGACACGGTGATTATGTGCCCGGTCCGGAAGAACAGAAGAACGGATTGGGGCTTCAAGCGCGTGAGCATGCCCTCAGAGAGGGAGGAACCGAAATGCGGCTCCGGCAAACCTGACACACATCGATGCAGAAGACTTGCATGGAAGGATTCTTGGACTAACAAGCAAGTGGGTCGGCGGCGCCGAAGTCATACTTTATTGCGAAGTGTTTACGTGTTTGGTGGTGAGGGTGGGCTTCCAAACCTTAGAAGTGGGAAGCCCGGGAGGAGAGCGTAATTATAGATGTCAACCTGGCTTGAATTAGCAAATAGTAGGTATCGCATCAGAGCTTGTGATGGCTCCGATGGATACGACAACTGACCCCCGATCCACACAGAATCACCTGTTGATCCCGGAAGAAATCTCCATGACCATAGCCTCGGAGTCTGAACCGAGTCGTTGGACCCAATATGAAATCGACCATATCTACGAGCGTCAGGTGAGCAGTTGGGCGTTGAAAAGGTCCGAAATGCAGGTTCAGATCGTGTAGTACGAATGAGATGTCGTCGAGTTTAACTCGATGAAGCGTGAAGGATCGTGGAAGCCTGAGGGAAGCCTGAGGCTAACGTAGGGCTGACAGGGATATGTGTCAAAATAAGCTTAACGGGGATCATGCCAATGGTGAGACGGGCCGTAAACGGCATGTTTCGTTTATTCCAAGCTCCGCCAACACCAAGTTACATCGTATTTGGTGTGTGACTAGCTCTTCCAGGCAAACGCTAGTATTTCGGATTATCAGTTTCGTGCAAAGCATAATCGTCGAGCGAAGTGTGATGCAATAACATAATCACTATATGCCCGCTGTCGGTAATTCGTGCAGGGGGAGGCGGGGAAACGTAAGCTGGGGGCGAGGCGAATCTCAAGGCATATCCCTGGTGCCCTTCAGTATTTTGATGAGACGGACAAATCAAAAAATAGACATTTAAAATTTCCTCGATCTGGAAAGTAAGGGTATGAGCAGTGGACATCATCTGGCATTGCGCATTGAGATCACTCGCCTTGGGTAGTGGCTTCATGTTTGAAGAGTGATGAAACGAATCCTTCGAACAAGTTTGTGGGTGAGACTGGGGCATCATTTCGCATTCGCACCCATAGCTTTATCTGAACGGGCTGGCCGAAGATGCGAGGAAGAATGGTTGAGCCGTTGTGTGCACACTGCTCTTCGACACGGTCAGGTGTTTGAAACAACATGAGCTGGTAAGGAGAAACAGAAACTCACGCTGGCTTCGACCCACGACCCGAGCCCATATCGACTTAGGTGAAATCTACTCAGGTAAGCGAAAAGAGGCAGTCCAGAGGATGAAAAGGGAAACCTGTCTTGCTTTCGGAGGCACAGCGGCAATCCCCCCCTGACTAGGGTTCATAAGGGGTTTGTTCTGGCGCTTCTTAGCCCGGCGCTGGAGTTGAACTCAGCACCTCCTCACAATCACGGGATGTTAAAGCATTGTAAGCCTTACCCATTTCCACACCTTGCTAGGCAATCTTCAATTGTGAAATATAAGCAAAATCAACAATTGATATACCTCATAAAAAGAGATCAACCCAAAGGAAAGAAACGGAAAGGGGAGCTATATCGGTTTAATAAGTAGTCTGCCTGTTAAAGATTGTCTCCACATTTAGCTTGTGAACATCTATCGATCTTGGCAACGAGACAATAACGAGATACGTTGCGTTCCTTTTAATTGTGAGAAGGTTGGCGAAGCTAAGCTCGATATCATAGCAATTCTGAATTTAGCATTCGCATTGCAGTTCAGTTGAAACGAATCGGGGGGGTGACAACAAAACGGGCAGTGGGAATCTGGTCAGCACCGAGCGCTAGGATCTTTCGATTAAATAGTTGGTAGAAGCGAGACTTTGAAGAATAAGGTCTGTCTGCTCTGCGATGAAGATGAGAACGGATATGTTCTGCGTAGTTGTGGAATGTGTGCAGTGCGATGATGTTCAGAAGTTGGGACTCGAAGTGGAGCCCCGCTTCATCCTCTCTGGTTGGAGTCGCGGATGCCAACCCTCTCTCACCGGACCGACCATTTTGTTTCAATCTCTTCTCCACTGCTATCACCTTCAGGCCTCAAGAAGGCGTAAGACCCGAGCCACGATCTTTCTTTTCTTCACTATTTCTAACATCAACGTTTCGTCAAGAGGGCGCACATATGAAGGCTTCGCATTTAAGGAAGTAGCCCTTGCGCCTATTAGTCGATGGTCAATCTGCAGGCCTTGTTTTTACTGCTCTTCTCGAACTTTTGACTTGGAAGAACAAAGAGAACAGGTGACAGAGACAACAAGAACTAGATTTAGACATATCGATGCGAATCGTAGCTCAACGAAAAATTACCGAGAGATGTGCAGTGGCCTGTACAGTCAAAAACGAAGTAAAACCCAGCAATTCGAGGTTTCTTGGTGGGTGAGATGGATAGAGGGACATTATTGATAAGTGAAGTGTCACATCGTGATGGAAAGATGCTCGGATAAGAGGTTGAGGGGATTTTCGCGACTCCTTCCCCATTTGGCCTAGTTCACCTGCTTGCGGACCACATCTCCGGCCCGACAAACCACCCGACCGAAGTTCTGAGGAGCTCTCCAACTAGCCTATTAGGACTTTGCACGGCCAAATCTCCAACAAGTCAATATCACGCGTGAAGAATGATCACCCTACCCAAAATATGCGCGGCAATCAGGCAATCTCTCTTGCAAACCGGCCGTACACGCAAGACGCTTAAGCCACAACTTTAACGAAAGGGACAATGTTAGCCCGCCGCCGCCTCAAACACGCGATATTTTCTCGTATCCGTCTTCAAAAATGCGAAAGTGCTGCAAGCCACAGATCGCTTTCAACCACATGAGAGCGCCAAAGCCTCAATTTTAGACGATAATGACGAAAACTGCGAGATCCCGCTTTGTTGGTCTTCGTATGGTATTTGAACGCCGGTGCCTGCTAACGTGTAAGATGCGCCTCTCCTCCAGGTGACAATACTTTGTTGATTCTTATACCGTGCGTTTGACGATTTCTTTAGTCGCGCACATATACTGTCCTTCAATTGTCTTTGGAATCTCGAGTTCCTCAGTATTAGGGTTCCCCTTGCATACAACGCTTCACATAGCCTTGCATTAATTTGCGTCTTAGAGTCCTACACCCCACTTCCTGATCCCAGCACCTCTAAGCAACAATGCCAGTTGCAAAGTTAGAAGGCTGTGCCCCATGGGATCCATCTGGCGGACTCAATCTCTATGGCTATCGTCCCCATCTCGCACCTGGGGTCGCTTTCTCTACTCTCTTCGCTCTATCCATGATCATTCACACTGGGCAAGCATGGTATAAGAAAAGATGGTGGTGTTTAGTGTTTACGGTGGGAGCATTGAGTACGTATTTCTTCCCACCCCTTTAATACCTGCTTAATATTTTGTTCCAACATCTTAAATCTCCCTTCCCTTATCCATAAGCATCACCCCAATGAATACAAAATACTAACAAGATCACTCTCTAGCCGAGCTGATCGGCTGGGCCGGCCGAACCTGGAGCTCCCACTGCCCCCATAACCTCAATGCTTTCCTAATGCAAATCACCACGCTAATCATGGCGCCCACCTTCTTCACTGCTGGCCTCTATATTATCCTCGGACGTCTCATCACCATATTCGGCCGCCACACATCCCCCATCACCGCCGTCATGTATCTCTGGATATTCTGCACGTGCGACGTTCTTTCGCTGGTCGTGCAAGCCATCGGCGGCGGTATGGCCTCCGTCGCCGTCTCCGCCGACCCGCCCCGGAAATCAGAGACTGGGACACACATAATGGTTGCAGGCATTGTGTTCCAAATGTTCAGCATCTCTGTCTTCGTAATCCTCTTCGGCATATTTCTATCGCGCGTGCAGCGCGATCACAAAGAAGGCAGATCCAAGGGTCTGTCACGCAAGATCTGGGCACTCATCTCCGCGAGTGCGTTTTGTACGCTGATGATTTATATAAGAAGCGTTTACCGGACGGTGGAGCTGATGCAGGGTTGGAGCGGGTATTTGATTACGCATGAAGATTATTTCATTGGCTTGGATGCGGTGTTGATGTTACTGGCGGTGCTGGTTTTTAATTTCGTGCATCCTGGGTGGACGTTGCCAACGGCGAAGGAGCTGGAGGTGAGTGGGCAGGCGACGCCGGTGAGAGGGAATGAGGAGGAGGAACTGGAGAGAAAGGCCTAGTTTGGTGGGGTAGGAAATGCATCGATGAGTGGGTGGGTGAATACACGCATAAGAAGGATTGTGGAGATTGAAGATGAGTATTTACGGCCGCAAAGCGGCGTTGGCGCCCCGGCGTTATATATCCCCTTGGTCAAATATCCTGATATTGTTCTCCATATATTTTGTCATGTCATAAACCTAGAAATAAACTACAGGGTAGGGAAGACGGGAGACTTGTTATTCCTGAAAAGATAGATAGTTATAATTGCTGTTGGAAACTAAGATTATCTTGTCCTAAATTTTTCGCCTGTGCCTTTGAGCGCCGTTCCCCTTCTATCTTTTATACACTATTTTACATTCACATGTTTGGTCAATGTGTATGGATAGCAGAGGTCAATGTGGGATCATTCACAGTCAAATGGCTCAAAATCTGAAGAAGCAATGCTTCCACAAATGATGGGGGACTTTCACTTGCCATCAAAACAGAATGCTACTTCAAATCACTCGGGCAATATAGGACTTGTATGTGGTCAAACAACATCTCCAAATCCACTAACCTCCACTCAACCTAACCTCCACTCAACCTAACCTCCACTCAACCTAACCTCCACTCAACCTAACCTCCACTCAACCTAACCTCCACTCAACCTAACCAACTCTCCCAGCCTCCACCACCTTTCCTCTTCCCTCTTTCGCACAATCCCCCTCACTTCCCCGCGTACTCAAGCGCAAACCTCACTGCTGGCACCTCCTCCCCCTTCCCCAACACATCGGGTACTGGTCCCACTGGCGTAATCGCAAACTGATTAATCTGCGCATGACTCTTGGTATAATGTTTCTTAATATGCTCAAACTGCGTCGTCTCCTTGAATGCGGGGATATCCCAATACAAATGCCGGAGCCAACGATGGAGATAAGGGTATCCGGAGCGGATGTCGCGAATGTTGGTTTTGAAGTGCTGGACATAGACAGGGTCGAAGCGAATGAGGGTTGTGTAGAGGCGGATGTCGGCTTCGGTTATGGTAGGGGAGGAGAGGAGGTAGGGGGTAGTGGAGGTAGAGAGGTGGGATTCGAGTCTGTCGAGGGAGGTGAAGAGTTGGGTTACGGCTTTAGTATATGCCTCTTCGGTTCTAGGGGGTGGTTTTGTTAGCAGATGCAAGGCTTGCAATGTCGAAGAATTAGTGAGGGGAAGCAAGTGTAAATAAGAGGGCCTTACGTAGCAAATCCGCTCTTATACACCCCATTATTAACATCATTGTAAACCCATTCATTCATCCCCTCAATCTCCTTCCGCAACTTCTCCGGAAACAAATCTACACCCTTGTACTCTTCATCTAGTATATCATCAAAAGCGTAATAAAACATGCGAATAATCTCCGAGCTCTCGTTGTTCACAATCCGCTTCTGCTTCTTGTCATACAGCGTCGGGACAGTGAAACGACCAGCATATTCAGGATTCTGCTCGAAGTAAATATCGCGGATGTGTGTATATTCCGAGTGCAAAGGATCGGGTAAAACATTCTCGCCAGGAACATTTTCGTCGGATGTTGCGAATCGCCAACCTGGAATACATTAGAATTGACTCAATTCAATTCCATTCAATTCAATTCAGTGCCAAGTGTTGCATGTCCTCCTTCGCCCGCTTTCAGAGCAACCCAACTTCCCTCCTTCAGGGTAAGAATAAAACAGCATGACTTACCTTTCTCACCCATATGCCAATGCACACTCGTAAACCCAACAATCCCTTCCAGCCCCTTTAACTTCCTCACAATTAGGGTCCTATGCGCCCACGGACACGCATACGACACATATAAATGATAACGATCTTTTTCGGCCGGGAACTCCGCGCCAGGCTTGTTTTCTATCCAGTTCCGGAATACGGATGTTTGCCGCTTGAACTCGCCAGATTTGTCGCCTGGTGTAACCCAGTTGAGGATGCTGTCTTTCTTGTCCTGCGTGGATTGTTAGAGAGAGTTGTGGGGTACAGTGCGGAGGGGTTTTTGGGGGGGGAAGGAAGGTCTGGTCTAGATGGCTCACCATTGTTGTAAATATCGTCCGTGTCAATGGAGCAATCGTCGTAGGAGCCACAGATCTGGAAAGATGAGTCCCAATGCTTCGAATTCTCGCCAGCGCCGAGCTCATGAAATGCCAGTTAACAATCGAAAGTAAAAGCAAGAAGGATGAGAGCTTGACGAGCACTGGCTTGCTGATCATCCACGTTTTCTACGGCAGTGTTGAAGTATTTAAGGAATTCAGTCACGGATGAAAGAAAGCTGGAGCTGGGCTGGAATCTGACGCGGGGTCCAAGCTCCCCACCAAGCGGCATGGAGGTGCGTCATCCATCGCATCGTGGCCGAAGCCGAGATGGTTTAATCAGCATTGGAAAGCTTGACAAACGTCTTGCTAAGATCCTGCTTTGAAGCAAATTACGAGAAAATTGTAGAGGAGAATCTAAGAAATATTGAATATACGAAAGGAACTATAACTACTAACAATTTACGACAGTAAACGCTGACTCGTTGTGAATGTCTGAATGCAAGTGATGCAAGACGGTGACAGGGTTGAATGCTTCTGATTGGTTGGTGGAGCATTGTGGGTTTGGATTCGAAAAAATGGCTTGGAGAGAAATGCAGCAGCGGTTGTATGGAATGAAACGCACTCCAAGAGTAATTCGGCATTGGGCCCAAACTTGACTTGAAAGTCTTCTCTTTGTAGCTCGAACGTTTGTTCTCCATTCCAAATAGTGATTTTGTTTGTTTCGACTTCGGGGACTTTGATGCGCTTTGACAAATCCCATTCTGCAGTGGCTGGGGTTTGGAATCATCAAAACGAACAGAATAGATTGAGGGGTGCATGGATATTGCCTGAAGGGTACAAATGCGGAAGCGAATCCGTCGCTTAGCACGCTGTGTGATATTGGAGGATCTTGAGGAAAGTCAAGGAGAGTTAATAGGCCATGTCCATTTGATGTTCTGGGTATATTTGATAATATGTTGTTGTATTCGTGTCCTCTCACGAACCTGTTCATACCAAGTCCCAAACATGACAAGCGTGAAAGAGCCGACGATGCTTGACTAAACAGATCCTCCATCGTGTATCCATTACCATTACCGCGAACACCGTCCCAGCCGTAAAACATTGGAGAGAAATTCTCCGGTATAATGCGTAAATAAAGCAGCCACCCAACCGAATCCGACCAAATGTCCACGTATTATGTCCTTGTGGGATACTAATAAACGCCCGGTACAATGTAATGATAAGAAGTGATAGAGGAAAGATGAATGACGAATATGGCATTCGCTTCAATCCATGCGGTGGAAAGAGAGAAAAGGATTCAGAAACAAAAGGCAGCAAGATCAAGGAAAGTGTTATAGTACAATCGCACGTGAAGGTTGCTGAGTAAGTACCTGACGTGCTCGAAAGCTATCGTCGCGCCATAAGACGCAAGAAGGGAGTCTGGACTCTAGAACAATAGAAAAGAGAGATCTACCGACCACAACTGAGAGAAGAAAATCTCACTCACTCTACTTCCGATAGCCATCGCCGAATACCCTCTTTTAAAGAGGAATCGGTTGCTGTCCTAGTAAGGGTATCACGGCTCGATTTCTTGTCCTCATGGGATATTTGCTTTAAATCCTCCTTCATATTACGCTCTGCGGTGACATTCTTGACGACGGACTCGAGGGCGTCGAAAATGATTCCCTTGCAATCGATTTGTGCAACCTCGGTGTTATGCCCGACATCAGAACCAGATCGTGTGTCCCGCCTTCCGCGTCTAGAGCTTGACCTGGACGAGCTAGCCGACTCAACACGGGAGGCTTGCCCAGATTGTGCGAGCACGCGATCGACTGCGTCGGTCAAAGTTGCATCAAAGTCCATGATTGGTTCTTCAATGAATTCCTCCTTCAGATGAAGCTCAGTCATGGTTGGAGCACTAATAGTCCCGGGCGCACTGTACGGATTGCCATACTGTGAGCGACCTGGAATCCCAGATAAGCCAGGAGTCAATGCTGGTTGTTGGAACGTTGGTGTGGGAATCATCTTCACAAGTCTACGTAACCGAATGCGTTTAATGCTGAAGCTCCGAGTATCTGCTACCAAAGCTGAGCACACATCAACCCAGCGCTCAAGCGGACCTTGTTCAAAAGTTGAGGTTGCAGTTGATGAGATTGGTGTCGGCTCAGCACTCATAGCTCTCTTGATGTCACGGTCCAGGTCGGCATACGGCTTTATGGCTTGAACCGCAAAGTCAGGATGAAATTGCTTCAGCCATCCGGCAGCATTGACAGGTTGATCAGGCTCGCAGTAGGGAATAGAGAAAACTGACGATTCACCGAAGCTGGAACCGTGTTGGCTAGATGCTGATGGATAGCCACCCAAGAGTGGTGATTGTAACGGAGAGCCAAAATCAGGAAGGGGTATGTCAACATCGATCACCCCATCCTTCTCGTTCACTGATAATTTCAGGGCCGAGTCAAACTGCCGGGGTCGCTCAGGAATCGGCCGAGCTGCGGAGGGAGTGACACCGCTGGATCCACCGATTGGATGCGTCTCAGGGGAGCTTTCGGCGGTCATGATGTTGCTCATAATGGAAGGATCGTAAACATCAGCACCATCTCCGAAGAGTTCTTGCTCCATTGAGAGCTCTTGGACCATCTGCTCGAGCTGTGAGCGAGGGTGCTCAGATGGCCGATACCCCATGCTGCCGGTTCCGAGGCCATCATCTGTGGTCTGAAGAATGTCGCTCTGATCAGTAGTTGATTCACGCCGCCCACCACTCCAGAAGCTCATGAAGCTTCCCCATCGACTCGTATTCCCAGAGTCGGTGCTAGGGCTACTAGTATACCCTGTGCCACTTCGTTGTAGAGTATGAATCAAGTTAGCGGAGGCAAGGCTTTCGCTGCTTTCAGGTCTATATTCGGGAGACGGCCCAAATGACTTCGTACGAGGGACTGTGAAGTGCGCAACGGGTACCGTGTCTTGTGGATCAGTATTCGAGATGGTAGCAGTACTGCTCTTCGTTGTGGTAGCACTATCGGACATGGATGGAATCACCAAGCTGGTACGTATGGAGTGAGCTGATGACCGACGAGAGTGTCGGGGTGCCTCTGGGAATTCGGCCACACTTGAATCAGATCTGCCGTTCGCAGATTCTAGAGTTGAAAGACTTGTTCCGTTCAACGCAGGTGGCTGTAGCCGCATATTAGTCAAGCTTTGCTTACCTCGCGGCCGGCGATTGATTTGGCGGCGCAAGGAATGCTTTCTTGATGGAGGCATATTCGTTGGAGGCGACTGTGAATACGCACGGAGCGACGCGGATGTGCTTGGCCGCATGGGAGAAGCCCCATCATACAAGGTTGAGGAGTTCGACGGTAAAAATGCAGCAAGAAGGAATATTAGCCTTCGGGCGGCCATCTTGTCTGGGGAAACAATCACCGTCCGATTCGAGATGGTAAGGTTCTCACCAGCACTCGACTTCTGCTGCTCTCGGTGGCGTTTTTTGTGCCATTTCGGTCCTAGGTGGTTAAGCCATTCCGTATGATTTCCAAGGAATGCAGTCAGCAGGTTAAAGAAGAAGAAATTCTCCTCCCGTCGCCCCGCCCATCTGCCAAGCCATCTTGCTTCTTCGCGCCACACGCCCCATTTCCCTTGACCCGTCAGTACCCGAGGAATTCTCATCCCGCTCACAACGCGGTTCCCTGCTCGTTCCACTGCCTTCCTAATATCTGGGTCAAGTGCAAGGGCGTTAGGCTGCAACCTCAAGGCTCGACGAGGCGGCTGAAGAGGAGCATCTCTGCTGGTTGACCGAGGTGGCTGAATGCGAGGCTGTTGGAGGACTGGTGGTGAAGTTGTTTCCGCCATCTTGAAGTGGGCAAGGATCCGCTCCTGGACGACATATTGGAGGCTAGTGAGAGTGCGTGTGATGACATCCCAATGCTGACCAATAACATCCACACGGTCATCGACATCGCTGTTCAACGACGTGGACAGAAGTGACTCAACGCCGAAATTAGAGTCAATGATCGCCCATCCCGCACGACGGTCCGAATCCAAAGAAGATCCAAGAGAGTCATGACCAGGATTAGAAGTAGATGCGTGACTCCCTCCTTTCACAGGGCCAGGTCGAGAGGGAGGACGCATGGTCGAGGGTGACGAAGCCACCGGAAGATGGAGGATGATAGTGATGGCGTACATGGGTGTTTTCCGCACCTGAGGGGGCTGAGGGAGTTTCTGGGTCACGGGCTTCCCTCCGGTTCGAGGGAAAGGGAATCCATTGGCCTTTCCCAGCGAGCTCTGGGGCGTTGGGGTACGAGAATTAGACGAGTCCTGATCGTCCTCTGGGAGAGTGACAGAAAACATGCGGGTAATGAATATGGTGCGCCTCCGAGGTTCCTTCGATGCAGTCTCGGTGGATTCTAGGGCTGGTCTGGGAAGCTCTGGAGGCAGATTCGATGGTGTGAAGGATTTGGCCAAGTGACTTCTCCTCCGAAACCCTTCAGATCTTCCCAGAGAAACCGTAGCATCGTGCAAATTTGGGGTAAGCGGGGGGGGATCGGCAGGTCTAGAATCAAGCGGTACAATATGAAGCTTATTAGAATTGCCCCGGTAGTTCAGTGGCGTATTCCCAAACATGCAGTCTAAGCAAATGTTCACTACATCCATAGACTCTTTCGCTCGAGCTTGGGCATGTGCTTGTGCCTGGGAGTGCTCGTCAATATTAGGCATCGAGGAGATGGAGTTGCCGCGTATCCGAGCACGTGTGAAGGCGCCCACAGTGGGTGACCGAGGTGCCGTCGACTCTGTCACGAGCGAGGACCTGCGGGCATGCAAGCCGCCGAATGTTGGGCCAGCGGTGTTGACACCCCCAGCAGCACCAAACACTCTCGCCCTCGCATTTGGCTGGGTGGGCGATTCAGTGCGCGGCGGACTGGGCTTCGAATCGAATAGGATAGTCCGGGGCATGGGACCAGATTCATCTTGGGCTATTATGATTCTGCAGTCTCGCGGGAACTCCAGATCGATCTCCGGCTGCGGACCGTCATAGCCGCTCCCTAAGGTGAGGGACGCTCCGTGCAGCGGGTACGGTTGGCTTTCGTGGTGATAGAGGGTGTTCGTTTCGGGATAGAGCAGGTGTCGTGTATGAGACTCTTCGGTGGCAGAGTCGAGCGTAGTGCTTGGTGACGGGTGTGGCGCTCCAACACCTTTGCGGTTGCTAAAGAACTGGCCCAGCATGTCTGCACCGGGGAGCAGCCCTCCATGAAGCTCTCTTAGCAGGTATTGAAGGAGCCGTAGTAGTACGGCTGGTGGACTCGGACGGAGTGAAGAGCCGGGCGTGGACAGCCCATGGCAGACGGCGGCTGAGGGTCGTGCTAGGCGGCAGCAGCTGCGGACGGCGATGCTGAGCAGTAGCAACGCGGGCTCCGTGAACTCAGAGGATGCCCTTGGGTGAGGGCGGCTGACTGGCGGTGGTGTCGTCACAAGACAGATGCGGCGGAGAGCGGCGTGGTCGGACAGCGCAGGCCGTGGACGCTGGCTGGAGAGTGAATTGAAGCTGTGTCGCGTGGGTAGAGGGCGAGCGGGTGCGGACCGAATGTTGAGGCGTGGAGAAAGTGAAGCTAGCTAAGTGCTAAGTAATACAAGAGCGGTGAAGGGACCTCCGGGAAAGCCAGAGGCGAGCCGACCGCCGCCATGCCACCATGCGTCGTATATATTCCTTCTGCGACGGCGGGAGGCCAGCCACAGCAAGCAATCAGCGGGAGGAGGGCCGCTCCCATTCCGAGCGCCTCACGTCTCAAGCGACGCGCGAGATATTGATGAGGTGAGGACTGGATGCTGGATGCTGGATGCTGGATGCCGGATGCAGCCTGTGACAAGCCCTCTACCGCTGCAACACCACTATCACGATTCACTCGCAATCACCTTGCCCGGAGTGGTCCGCATCCCTACCTCCACGCGCAGATCAAGCCCATCAGGGGGTCCCTTGGTCGCAAGCATCCAAACTGGAACCCACCAGCAGGCACAAACGGCCCACGGCTGGCCAATGCCATGTCCGTGAGCAGGCAGATGCACACACTCATTGATGGAAGATAGCACCGTTGTTCGACGCGACGTCGCGATATCAACGCTCACGGCTATTTGCAGCTCCCACGTCAGCCCTTTGAGCCCCGATGGAGAACAGCGATATTTTGCACTCCATGCTGTGCAACATGAGGCTGAGGTCATTGGATCGGCGAAGGCATGACCCTGTCAAAATTGACTGTGCTGTTGCCTTATCCTACCGGCCTATCTGTGCTGTTGTTCTCTGGTCAAGATCTGTACGACAGGACATGGGCGCGCGCATTTCCCATCCTAGATCCCGCGCCTCCAGGGATGGATCCCCGTCCTCACAGCAATTGACTTTGACTTCTGCGCTTATGAAGCTTTGCTCGTGCTTGGTCCAGTCCTAGGTCATTATAAACACTCAAGCTGTGGTCGCGGCACTTCTATTTGCTATATTCGAGCAATGTCTCAGAGAGCCGCCCTCCAACCTCATCTGCGGATCGTGCTGCGTGCCGCAGGGATGATCCGCACCCAGGAGCTTGGGACGAAAGGCGTTGCAGTGGTCATGCTGCACTTGATTGCAACCCAACCGTCACAATTAAATAAAAGAACCTCCAAGATACTTCCAGACTCTAAGATCAGTGGTCCTCTTCGATGATCCCTAGTATTTTACCTAGTTTGGTAAATTTGAGATCCAAAAGTGACGTATCGGACTGACCGATCCGAAATGACAAGTACATTGCCCCTATGTTGAGAGAGCTCATACCGACAAGTACCTGTCACTTGAGCAAGTCTCTGTCACTTTTTGACAATAACAATTAAGACGGCTCTGATTTCTTTATTCACTCCTGCAGCTCTTGAGATCAGAAATTTAAGAATCTTCGTTCAACGCTTTTCAGCCGTCTGCATGAATCTTGATATTACGCCTTTCCAAAAATCAAACAACTTCAACGCAACAACCCCCAAATCCAGCCCGCTTTCTCCCTGGCTCTCACATCACAGTGCATAGTTCTGCATGACGTTCCATTCTCACTTCCGATACCGGCGTCACCAATCAACCACAGCCACATCTCTGATATTCCCGAACATCGCAACACTCGCAACAAAACGCGCCGAAACTCGGGCCTTGCAATATGCGCGCAAGGCTCCTAAGACATCGACACGCACGCACTTCGTTTGAGCATCCCACAGTCCTGGACTCGCTGCTCCACCCTTAATGGCAACCCGGTATCTTAAGATTACCAACCGCCTCAAACCTCAAATGCACCCCGCTTGGTTTTCTAACTCGCCTATGTACCCCAGAGCCCCGACTGCTCTTCGGCATGCAGTCCCTGTTTGGGGTTCTGGATGTTCGGTGTCTTAATATCCGCATTATGGCTATATTCACTCTTACAACTTCATGTCTCGTGTCGACTTCTTCAAGATCTCCCCATCGTCTTCGGCCGGGGATCGAACTGGTCTTCACGATAGGCGATGCGATGCGATGCGATGCGATGCTCCTTGAGTGCATTTTCGTAAGTGGCCGCAGCCTGCTTCCGGGGATCTTCCCATCGAACCAGGTAGCTATATATTAAATCCAAACGGTCTGGAACAATGTCGTAGGTTGGTGTTCGCACGCGAGCTGGCTACCGGTTAGAGGCAGAAACAAATTCAAAGAAAATAGAAACGTGTTGATCTGTAAGTTGCGCTCCAGGTGCCGCGATTTCTTCCAACCGACTCCCGCTTTCTGCATCCATGCAATACGGAACCGCAGTGCCCTTATTAACCTCGCATCACCAGTCACCTTTCCTTTTTTTCACATTCCCTCCAATTGCAAAAGAGTGATTTGACGGGATTAGCTCCGTGAGGGCGAGTAGATGGAACGCTTCTTCAAGTTACGGATTAGGCGTTCGAACATTCCCTGGAAAGAGCCCTGGAGGTTGCTGATGCCGCACGTGCAAGGCGTTCGCATGAACGAGCTAAGGCGTTGTGACGGGGCTGAATGGCTTGAACTTTGTTCGCCCAAGCGAAAGCCGCAAGAAAAGCCGAAGTCTCCACCCTCCTGCACACCTCACTCCACCTGCACCATCCCCCCTAATTTTCTCAACACCAGGAGTTTGTGGCGTTGAGAATTTTCGCATCCTGGTGTCTGGACGGGGCTGGGCTGGATTGCTATTGTTGGAATTGACAAGGCCATGGAACCTGAGTGAGTGTTTATTTGAATGGGTGGGAAGGGAGGTGTGAGGGATTTCCAGCCAGAACTTCCTAATCTGTAAATGCAGATGTCTGTCTGCTGATGTTCGGCGCCTTCCGAGTTGCACAAGTTTCAGTCTGTATGTGTGAATCTGATGTGAGGAAGGGACGGAGATAGGCGTGTATAGCGTCTGCGAATCAGTAAGGCTTCATGACATGAATCTGGATCTTTTCTTTTATCAAAAGCAAGCCAAAGTAGTTCGCTCATCAATAATCACCTTGATCTGAATCTGTAAACGGTTCCCTTAAACCGCGGTAGTTGCACAGCATGTTTGTGCCTGCTGTCCACAACATGTCAACCGAGAGACTGGCTCCAATGAAGATCTTGCCCTAGTTGAATGCATGCTCTACACGCATCTGTTTTAAACCACGTCGAATTTTTTATATGGATATTTTTGCGCAAGTGCTAACCAACAACATTCAGTAAAAACATAAAATATCAACACGATCAATAAACGTACAGCTAGCCATCAGATATCTTCACAACCGTCGCCCCCCTTCTTCACATGCCCATCTCCAGCCTCCAAGTCTCCCCCCAAACCCACTCCTACTGACGTCTTATCCGCCGTCACACATTGCGGGCCACCGGTAACGTTGTGATTAACACGGAGAGTTGAGCCGACATATGCGGTTTCGGGTCACTACATTATGCGGTGTGCCTTGGACACAAGACACGGAGGAGGGTGCTGGGATTGGAAGGTGGTGCAATGCGACGGGTTGACGAATGGATGACGAAAGGACAGAGTTCAGTGGGTAGATGGTTTGGATTACACACACAGCGCGAGAAATAAATTTCGATGAGTTCGAGTTCGTGGTATTAGACAAATCCGAGTGGAGAGAGGAAAATGTGAAACATGTATTTGAGCCTCAAACGCCGAGAAAATTAGTAGATGTCTGTAATACTCCAAGAAAAGTTGCTCTAAAATCCAAACATCCGTCATTAATCTCCCTAGCCTCCCCGTTTTCCTCATCTAGTAAATTTCATCTCATCTCAATCTCCTCTAGCACTTGAGAATCCCGCCTCCTAACCACCCTTTCAAACCCTCCACCTATAAGCACGCCTCCATCAACTCCCTGCCTTCCATTATCCTTTAAACTCTCCCTCTCCCTCAAACTCCCCGTAACACTCCCCTCGCTGCCCTGTCTCTTCCCCACCCCCATCCCCACCCCTGATGTTCCCACCAAGCTACCACCCAAAATCCATCCTCCACTCGCAGGGCTCGCTTCGCGGATACTGATGGCAGGCGGCAATCCTAAATTCGGGATATTGTTATCCAGCACCGGCGTTATTCGAGGAGAGGGGCTTGGAGCTTGTTTAAACGCCTCATCGTAGAATGATTTAAGCGCAATCGGGTCGGAGCAGAAGGCCTCGATGTCATCTTTGATTTGTTCTGGGGTTTGCTGGAGGGGGTTTGCTGAAGCCGCTGCAGTTGCGGCTGAGGTTGTACTTGTATTTGGCAGCTTTTCCTGCAGCGCCGTGTGCAGGAGCGAAGAGTCTTGGACGGGCCGCGCGAGGGGCGAAGCGAAGGGAGAGCGGTGGGGATTTGAGCGTTCTACAGCATTTGAGGGACTTTCAGTAGAGGCAGACTTTGTAGTGCTGCGTTTATGTTCGTATGGATCTGTCGGACGGAACTTCGTTGTATCCTTTGCCCGGTTATGTGCGAGTCGATTTGCGAGAAGGAGGATTGAGCCTTCGTTTGTGATTTGGGCGAGAAGAGTCCCGGAGCGGTGGATGAATTGAGTATACTTATAATCTGGTCTTCCCCAAGAGTACGTCACGTCTACATCTCTAGGGAAGCAGTCTGCGGCCTCCATGTCCAAGACAAAGTTTAATCTGCGTAGCAGAGCCTTGTGGTACGCGAACTTGTCCGTCTTGGATTGCGGTAGAAAGTGTGCCGTATCCCACACCTGCTCAGGATGTTGCTTTGGTGGTTGGAGCGCAAGCTTGATGGTGTACGGAGAGCGGAAGGGATGGTGGTCAATAATATTGGACGCTTCCGCAATAGGCACTTCAACGAGTTTGAGGCCGTACTTTTCAACGCTAGTAGCCCATGTGACAATGGCATCTTCGATGAGCTTGGCTGTGACATTCATCCAGTCGATGCGTATGTGATAGCAGTTGTCTGGATTATGCAAGCGGTCATAATGTAGAGATATGATCTCTGGGCGGTATGAGCGTTTTCGGGGATCAACATCGTAGCGCATTACGCGTGATAAATTGACGCTACGTTTTGGGGTAGTAGCCCGAGTTGGCGTCTTTTCTCCATCATTTTCATCTCCCGAAGCATCTGATGAATCATCCGTGCTAGTCCTAGATTTAGTACTCCGTGCGGTAAGAGGTGACGACCGTGGGCCTTCTGAAAGAGGCGTTGATGGAACGGAGCGATCGGTCCTCCGCATACCAAACCAGCCAGTGCGGGGTTCTGGGCGTGGTGCTCGATACTCGGCAGCGATTTGATAGAAGAAATTGCCATCACGGAACTGATGCCTCTTCTGGACGTGCTGAAATAGCCCTTTATCCATGAGTTGGTTTCCGAGATTGACAGCTTCATCTCGAGTGTCGATATCTTTGAAATTCGACTGCAACCAGGTGGTGAGATCGAAGCCAATGAAGCAGTTGTAATGAAGTCGCCAATGCCAACGACGGTCCAGCATCTGAATACCCTTCTCGCCTTGAAGATCTTCCGCAAGTCTCTTGATATCTATATTCGAAGTATGATATTGGTCTTTCTCGGAGAATAGAGAGGTTTGAAATTCGCTGTCACCGTCAGGAAGCAGAGCGCTGTCAGGGCCTGCTGCTACGATGATTGATGGATCGCGGGTGTGGTACTCGATGGCAAGAGGGTTTGGGTCTTTCTGCTTCTTGGCTGTTGTAGCTTGGAAGTGACGTTCTTCGAGAGGAATGTAGCGGTATCTCTGCCATACCTGGGTCAACTTACGGATACCTTCTAAACGAATCTCTTCCTCGGAATCCTCCGTCAAAAGAGGCAGTGGGCGTCGATTAACAGTAGGTAGCTCGACAGGAATAAGCACAAATCTAGCTCTCCAGAAACGCAGTATTTCGGAAAATTCATCGTGGTAGCCAGCCAGAAAAGTATCAATAAAATTCCAGTTGTACTCCTTCCGCGAAGGTCGTAGCATGACATGGCGAACTTGATACTTATCTTCCAATGCAGTACGGATGAGTGGCTTGTAGGAAAATGGAGTGTCGATGCCAGCAGAAGACTGCAAAGCTGTGGTAGGTTTCCGACTGAATCGTTTAACTTCAACTTCACCGCCGGCTACACAAACAAGCTGATGGATTGTATTGCCGACACACATGAATACGGTGTCACCGTCTTTAGACATGTAATCGGGATGAAAGACGTTGGACAGATCGTGTTCACGCCCCCCAGAAAACTCTGCGACAGCGGGGCCGACAACGATCTGGAAGCCATGTGAGAGTCGGAAAGCGATGAGCTCACGAATGAGGGACTCTCGAGACTTCGGCGCTTCCAACATCTCGTCATCTTCGTTCTGGGTTATCTTATATGGGCTCTCGTTATACTCCGTCGCAACTTGCTCTGGCGTTGGAAAATACTCGTTGGTTAATGGTACTGCTGCCGGGGAGCAAAGAGATTTCCATTTCACCGAAGATGTTCGAAGATGCTTCGGGAACACGTGTTGCCATCGTCGGAACTGGTTGGCGATGTTGACGCTATTTTTCTTTGGGTTACATGGGTTTACAAGCACCGCCCAGGGCGCAAGCGAGCTTGTGGGAGACAGTGTTCGAGGGATGTCCCTGGCACCGCCGCTGGTTGATATGTCCAACTTTGTAGCGCCTTGTTCACTCTGCGCTCTCGAGGCTAACAAGAATGTAGATCCAGGGTCTTTTGTTATAGAGCTAGGGTGCGAGGTGGTTGACGGTTTTCCAGTCTGAGTACCTTGTGCAGTTTCGGCAGATTGAGGTGCATGGTCTGAGGGTGATTGAACAGAGGGGACGGCAGCCCGGGAAGGCGTTCTTATTGCAATTGGTTGAGATGGCTTCTCAACATCTGTCACCCGGGTACTGGCGAGTTTTGCAGCTATTGCACCTTTCTGGTTGTTCTCGACGGTGAGTCTGGCTGGCTTGACTTTGCCCGGTGTAATATCAATCGTAGCAGTGCCTGTTGTTGGCGCCGCCGTCCCACCTTTCCCCCCAAAACTAATTTGTCGAAGAAACCATCCCGTTGATCTAGTATTGATATCGGGCTTGGTAGGCGCAGCTAGGATTGTAGGTAGAGGTGGTATGCCGGTTCTTTTTGGGGGAGTATTTCCTCTACTAACGGCCGGAGACTCATTCGGAGTGGACTGCATTGATCTACGGTGGTCGGTTGAGTCTCCAGAATCCCCTCGTTGATGGAAGCCAGGACGTTGAAAGTCATTAATCCGCGTCGAGGTCATCTGTCGATAGAGCACATCCGCACGCGGGACGCCTTGTATTTTGGCCTCGGGACCTCTGTAGATACTTCCTCGTGGGGACTGAATCTCAATCTCCCGTGATCGCTCCCTCACCAAGGGAAAGTTAACTTCTGGCGGGGGTCTGACGGTCTTTCCAGTTGAAGGACCAAGGCTCCTGACTGAAGAAGACAAGAAGGAAGTATCTTTCGACGAAGGTTCGGGTGATTTGTCTTTGCCCTGTATTGAATGTCCTTGCAGAAAGCTCTGAACATGAGTGGATTGCGATTGCCCATCCACCAAGGGTGAGAAAACATATTCGTCGTAGGATTCCATCCAAGCCTTGTGTAGAGACCTTCGACCGTTAAGCTGCTCGTCTGTGTCTGCCTTTTCCTCTTTTGATGAATAGGAACCCTTAGCATTCGTGATAGCGATGGTATTCACGGGCTGTGCTTCGGTCGTTCCTTTGGGATCATCGAATTGCTCCCGTAGAATATGCGGGTAAAGGGTTTCTTCTTCCATGTATGGAATTGCGATATCGCCAAGCTCGTTTTCCATGACCCCCATCATCTGCAGTTCATACATTCGACAGCGCAGAGAAAAGTTACCCCTCCTCCTCTGATACTTCGTCACCGCTTTCATAGCCTTTCGAGGTTTCGAAAGCTCAACGATTTCATCAGATGGTCCAGACCAAAACGACACATCAACCCAGTGTGGCATAGCATACCTCCACTCATCAAGTTCAAATGGAGATACGAGTGGCGTGTCATTCGAGATGATAGGAGGAGGGAGAGCTAGAGATGCTTCAACCATTGATCCGAAGTTTGGATAGTGTTGACGGGGAGTCTTATCGTCTTGCTCATTGAAAGCGTCCGTAGACCCCTGTCTGCCACGAGGTGTGCGATGTTTGACTGGCTTGGATCTCGTACCAGACATGACTCGGGGGGTACGGTATTTGAACAGTGGAACTGAGTGTAACGGCATCGGTGAGAGACAGACCAAGTCGATGCCGATACCGGATCCAATAAGCGTATCTGTAGTCAGTTTCAACATGTTGTAGTCTACTTCAAAAACACCTGTTCCTGCAGTGATGACAACGACAGAAATCCCGGTCCGAACTAAGTCGCGATCAATGTAGTCTTTTGCAAATTGCGCTGCAGCCAGATTAATGGCCTCCAGGACGTTTCCGTGAGTCGCAGTCGATGGCTTGCCCGCGATTATGAGTTCATCCGCCGTAGCATTTTCCTCGCGATTTGTGACATGGCTTTTCGACCTCGGTACAAGTGATACATCTCGAAGAAACGTTCTGAACTCCTTCTTGAGCTGATATAAGATGTTGATCCAATCTCCGCTAGCCATGTCGCTGACGACAACGCGATAATAATCTCTGGAATGGTGGGACTGTGCCTCGAAGCCATTGTTATTGGCCGGCTCACCAACATGATCCGGAAATGACTCTCCATCATATTCCATCCTAGTGAAGAGAATGATCGTAACTAAATGTCGCGCATTTAGTTTCATCCATCTCTTGAAAAGATCGGGAAGAAACCCATTCACAACCTTGTTGAACATGATTTCACCTGCGCCTTCTGCGTCAAAGTCCCACATCTCTTTAGACATCTGAATGAAGAGCACGTAGCGAGCTGACTCACTACGAAATACGGGTTTGGTCATTGACGAGAAATAGCCGGAGTGTGTCGACTGCCCGTTGATGTAGACATTCCTGATTGTGGCTTTGATGGTGCCCATGAAAAGCAGCTTTTGTCCTCGATAGACCGTGCGATTGCTGAGTTCAGAGACGGACATCCGCCACATATCAGCCCGAGCAAGATATTCGTCGCGGAAGGCGACCTCCACATGGGATGCAGAATGGGTATCTTCATCGGCCTTCCCTGGATTAATTACAATACAAGAAGTAGACCAGATTATATTCTTACAGGAGTTACAACAATCTGCATGCGGCTACGCAAGCCGAAGACCTTCGCGATCTTTTCAGAAAGGGAGACCTGCAAGCACTCAGTCTTGGTCTTGACGATTTATTGCCCGAGACTTACTTGCAAATTGGGATGCTTAGATTTCAGATCTGCAGAGAGTGGTTTCGCGACAAAGATATATGACTTCTCGAGATCGACCTCGCGCCCTCCTTGGAGAGGTGCTCCATTTTCATCAAGAGTAATCATCACAGACCCTCGACGAGTCCGCCTTGGTTGATCTTCCGGCATAGCATCCCTAGAAGTATTCTCGGCCTTTGCTTGGCTTGTATCGTTTTGGGGGGTATTTGCAGCATTCTGGAAATCTCGAATGACCGTAGCCTGCTTAAGAGCTATGATCTGTATCAAGGAGCCAGGTGTTGCTGGGAACTCTGGGAACTTTTCCCCATTGAAAACGACATCATCTCTTGAGAAATTCTCGTCATGCGTCCAAAGAGTGCATACCTTTTGCACTCTCGTACGTTTGACGCTCAAGACGGATTTGGACATTGTAGCACCCGAACATTAACGTCGACAAGGGAGAGTGCCTGATAGCCTCGCAGGTTCCCATGTTTTCAGCCTGAGAAATAGGTCGAATGCGACTTCATGAGGCCTAATCGAAGTATCGAGTTTCGCTGAGCCTTGTTATGGATGAGCCGTGGCTTTTGATCCCATGAAGGGTGGGGTATAAGCAAAGATTGAAGTTAAAGACAATCAAAAGGCAGTGATGGTAAGTGCAAGTGAAGCGATGGAGCCAAAAAGCGACCTAATGGGGTGTTCCCTGTTCATTGGAGATGGGATATTACGATGCAAGAGATGAGAAATGGATGATTGGTGGTGGAAGGGGCTGCAGGTAAGGTTGGCGTTGGTTTCGCTTGCCTATTTTCTGCATCCATTCACCGCCCTTGAAACAGGGCTAGCGCCAACATCCGGACCATGGGTACCAGAACCTAACGTCAACCAGATGGAAAAGACCCCTCAAAGTTCCCTTCCTCAGTTGGGCTAGAACGAACGCGACAACACTAGGACTGCGCTTTGTAATCTTCCTAAAGAATAGTAAACCAGAAACATAGCGAAAGCCTCAGATGTCAGCATCTCAATTTCCCTAGCCTTAATTTATCTAGTTTGCGAGCTTGTGATTATTCCCCTCCCTTAGACCACCTTCTCTTGGCTCACCTCCCTATACTGGCAAACATCATGATCATCTTCAAGATACATCATCGTTATCTCAACGGTGTAACTTCCCTCACTAAGATAATGTATATAAAAGAAAAGGCACTACAAAAACCTCCCCCAGTGCCCCGTTTCGTTATTAGGTTAAACCAAGGTATGTTCTCTCCAGTCAAGAAAAGGAAAGTGAAAATGAATCTACTTACCAGCCTCTTCTTTGACTTAGTTTCGAACCCCACAATGTGATTGTCGATATCAAAGGACAGCCACTTCCTGTTTGCGAAGGACCGTCAAATATGGCTCTTACATGACAGGGCTTCCAACGGGCGGTACTACAGCCCGTACAAAGTGAACCGTAACGGTCACGTATTCAGTACGAATGTACTGAGCTTGTGAGCCGCACTGTACGTTTAATAATACCCTAGGTACAGTACGTAGTACAGATTATATTACCCCTTTAGGAAGTTTGTATAGTGATTTTAGAGGAGCAGGAGGGCTGGCGAGCAGAAAGCCTGCAGGGAGCGTTTAGAGGGGTTTCTAAGGTTCTAATTAGCTAAAAATTTTAAGCAGACGCTTAAAAAAAAAATTTTTATGTATTTTAATCTATTTATCTGCTGTCTATTACTTTAAAAATGATTATTACTAGTTATTTTCTATTATAGAGTTGTCTATCCACGCGCCTTGCTCTCTTATAGGCCTTATCTAGTTAATTAGATACTAGTCTTGTAGGCTGCAGCAGTAGATAGCTATAGCTATATTGTTTAACATCTACTAAGGGAGCATAAGGTTAGCGTTAATAAAGAGCTCTTACCTAATAGCGTACAGCTACTGCAGCATCTATAGAAGGCATCTAGAGGCCTATTATCTTAGCTATTTAACTAAAGTACAGCGTACTTTAATTAAATTATACTACTTGTACAGATTACATAAGCTGTACCGGTTACAATACGTATACCTACCTCTCCTCCTCCCTTTTGTACGAACGTACACAAAATCTCACTCGTACAGGTCTCAAAACCGCCCAATCGTACAGTACTACGCCTTGTTGGAAGCCCTGTGCATGGACTCGCAACACCAACCTTCGTCACCGCACTTTTCGGGACATCCTTCGGGGCCCCATCACCAAACACTTTGTTCAATAACTTATTCAACAGATACTAGCTTCTGGTGAAGTATTTATCTAGCATTTGCTTCTACTCTAGATCTGGATTGCCACAACCTCCTCCACCCTACTCCTAAGCAACACTGAAAAGGCCACTGAAAGGCCAGTAGGCTGGACTAGCTATGCCAGCGCCAGGAATAGTAAACGTACCAACAGCACCTAAATCAATGCCTAGACAGCCGGTCACGATGGCCAGAACATTGGGTTCAGAGTTAGTGTCGGCGCCGCCATCCTAGAAAAAGGATATGGTATCGAGTTGAAAAATGCATGAATGGTGAGGCCTTGGTAGAATTCGTGCAACACAATAGCTGTTTCGCGAAATTTCTGAGCCGTGTAGAAGAGGAACCCTTCGAGATTCTTTGGACGATCATGGCAGAGATAGTCTATCATAAGTCTCAGAATTATTATCGACTGTGTTTGGAGTGATGTCTAAGTTAGGTTGAATTGTACTTACGATAGTTATCATTCATAGGCTTACAAACACCCAGCTGATCCACACAGTCGAAGTTAGGTACTTTTTTCGGACATATGTATATGCCGATGCGGTTTACCCATCTGCTACATGGGGCAACTTGAGCCGCGCCGCTTCAAGCCAATCCTCCACCTCGATCTTGTTCTAGATTTGTTAGCTGTGTTTTTTGCCACTGTTAATTCTATCGGCGAGCGAGCAGACATCTGTGCAGCCTTATAGATCAAATTTACCATCCAGGACATATATTGACAGGAGACTGAAACTGCACCTAGCCTCCGAGGAATTGGAGGGAGGCTATGAGAAGGACTGCGAATCGCATGAAAGTATAGTCGTTACTTAAGTACAGACAAATGAAGGGAAAACGAAAGTACATCGTCTCGATCAATTGTTCGACCTTTTGTATTTTACAGTTTAGACGCATGAAGAAAAAGTTACCCAGGAAGAGAAGAAAGCTAATAACATTATGTCTTGCCCAACCAAAATCCGATGCGTACTACCGCTGATATCGGCTTGCGCCTAGAGTCCGTTGCCATATCGCCAGCACCATGGGGGGTAGCAGGGAGACTGCAGGTTAACCTAAATATGTAATCTTCAAAGCTGCTTGAGTCACGAATGAACAGCAAATAAGGCTCTTTCAATCACCTTGCCCGCCCTTCAATCTCGACTTAATGGCGTGTGCAGTTTTAGATTCTGGGGGCCTTAGAATTGGAAGCCTGACCACACCATTTTAAATGGTAGGGTCTTCAATCCGCGAGGCAGCATTTTCATGTCTCCAGGAAGTGTAAAAGTGCTCATTAGGCCTTCAGCTCTGGAGTACACTCTTGGTGATCTTTCCCAGCTGGTTTGAAGACACCCGATGTCCTTCAATCTTGGGTCCTCACGGCCCTCTCGGGAAAGCTGAGCATCCTGTTATGCACTGCCTTTATCCCCTCTCAAAATACCAACAAACGCCAAATGTTGTTTTCATTTTAGCTGGCAAACAGGACACGTGCATGAGCTCAATAAAATACATGCAGGAGGCGCAGAATCTCCTTATTGCAGAAGGGATATTATACACACGAAACTACACGTCGACCGCGTTCTGCTGTCCGACTCGTGTTAGCATATTGACTGGTTTGCATGCACACAACCACCAGGTAGTCGATGTGAATAGGGTAGATTTTTCATGATTCCCCTCTTTCCCTGGGGTGATGGAGCGCTCATTCCTAAGACCACCCAAATGCCGACTGGTATCGAGTCCTAGCTAGTGGTTTAAATGGAAACTATCTCCCGAATTAGTTACGCAACCAGAGATACCGGACTTACTACACCAGCAAGCTCTACAATAGAATGCACAAGGTAATAGTAGAGAAGAGTGCTGCTCTAAGACAGAAGATAACCGCAAGCCATCTGTGCTCCTCTATTTCCAGTCGTTGCAAACCCCTCCGATTATAGGAGCACGTAGGACTTGTTGGTCAATAGTAATATGTGGCATTGTTTCAGTCCACCCTTTCTGCATCTTGAAGTGACTGGGATGACTTGGAATAAATAAAGATCCTCCATAACAAGTACATAGCTGGCGTGGTGATGGACAATACCTATGGGTGCCTTCAAGGCGGCTGTGAATGGTGAGGAGCTATGTTCTGTCGGAATTGCTCCAGTTACTCCCAATACCCAAGCTAGAACGAGTCCGGGCCCACCTTCACTAGCAAGGAAATATAATGGCACATTTCCCGGTGCGAAGATTCCGCCTGCGAGCGTTTCAATCCTTCCAAAGTTAGTTCACAATTGCCTAATACTTACATACTCACATTCTAGGCTATTTTCAAGTTTGAAACTAAGCTGATCGATGAGCAGAGATTGGGGCAAAATTTGCGCGGGAGTTGAATCAGCTCAAGGGTGATTAAGTTCACATCCTTCAACGTCACTATCAGTGCGGTACTGAAGCCCTCTCGTCTGTAGACAATCTTGCTATCTACAATCCAACACGTGCCTTCCTGTGAGGCTGAAAATATGAGCCTAAGTCTCCAACCCAGCTGCTCTTCACCTCCTACCTCTGCTACATTAAAGCAGCTGCTCAAAACTGGATTGCCCCCCCTCTATCCCAAAGCCCCAGTGGTCAGATTCAGAATCATTAGTTACTGTTGCAGTTAGGGTTAGAGTTTCCAATAGCCTCTTAAACTTCTTCAACCTTACATGTTACATTTTCAATTTCTACAGGAAATATGGAAGCAGAAGTTGTGGCTCTTATCACCGATGATGAGAGAGGCGATATCGAGGACGCAATCTCTGAATATCTCTCACTAGATATGAAGCTCCGGTATGACCGAGGTAGGATTCACTAGATATAATACATCGCGAGCAGTATTTTATGAGTATATACTACGTATTGAGCAAGAGTGCCGACGGACCTCATCAGAGAAAAGAAATGGCTTCCGACCTAGTATAAACCGATCATTGGCTACCTAGGGAATCGTAGGTATGCTAGCACCTAACTCTAACCAGCGTGCCTTCTATCTAACAGGTATCTGTATTGTTGCAGTATTCTGATTGGGATGGATAAAAAAGTCTCCTACTTTAGGGGAGAAGCTCAGGCCCTCAGGTACCCGATCGAGCGTGGGATAGTCACAAATTGGAATGGCATGGGGAAGGCCTGACATCACACTTTTACAATGAGTTAAGGGCTGCGCTAAAAGAATATCCAGCCCTAATGTCAGAATCTCATACTAACTCTCAGGGCAACATGGAAGTAGCCAACTGTCACGCGCGTGTTCAAACCGACTTATCCCATGTCCAAAGGGGAAAAAATGGCCCAGATCTTGTTCGAGACGTTCAAAGCCCCGGCACTCTATGTTTTATCCAGCTCATTCTTCGCCATTTATGCCTCTGGCTGAACAACGGGAGCTGTCGTTGAATCAGAGGACGGAGTTTACTCATATGGTGCCAATTGGCGAGGGCTTCATGGCTGGTCCTGACCTGGTTGTCTATCTGACGAAAATGCCGACGGACCGGTATACCTTCGCTACTTCAGCTGAGTTTGCTGTAGCTCAAGCATAAAAGAGGAACTGCTCTATACGGCGCTTAGCTTCGGATAGGAGATTGCACTAGCATTTAGAGAGGAAGGAACACCGGGAGTATATTCTCCCTACGAGCTGATTCGTTTGGCCGGTTTCGTGATACTAGCTGTGCCATGACTGCATTGGTGGACATGGCTGTGGTCTCGGGACTGGCATTTACTAATGATCTTAGAATGGAAGGTCCGTGGTCCATAAGCCTGTCTCGAGAAACGTGGTGTCGGTCTCTAGACCCGATAGCTATGGTAAGTTGTGGACATGCGGGTGATACTGATTTTAATCTAGCCTGACTAGTTATTCCGTCCCGAAAGCCTGTGGCTAGGCCTAAGCTCGCAAGTCTAGAGAAGTCTTATGAGCTACCAGATTGGTACTCGCATTCCATTATTCGGCTCTGGATAGGTGAGAGACCGGCAATGAGTTGGAATGTAGCCTAGTAAAGTATATTTACATGTTATAATTCTAGTTGTTTCTATCATCTATGTCCATGCCGTGAGCGAGTAGCATCAACAACTTTGAGTCGAAGTGTTTTTGACTTAATGGCCTCAGATAGTTGTGTGTATAGTGACCGGCAGTCAGTGCCTGGAGTGTCTTATCTATACTTTTGTAGTTTGATTTGAAGAAAGTAAATGGTGGTTACAAATCGAACATGGTCGACTTCCGCTGCAACTCCTCATTTAGTGTGGAACATGACTGGGGTAGAATTAATCTGTTAACCATCTCGCTAGAATTAGGGAGAATGTTAATAAGCTGGAGAAGTTCGCCCCCCCTTGTTATGCTCCACCTTTAATGTCAAGATGCAGTACACCCCATAGCCAGAGAGATGAATCGGAACGCAATCAGTTCGTACTTAGGAAAGCAAGGTCTTTCTGGTACTACCAACCCTGGCTAAATAGACAGCATATTATATTGCATAGGGTCAAGAGCTAGTGAGTGATAAACCCAAGTATATACGCCTTCTGCCAAGACTAAAAGTAAAAAAAAAGAATCTCAATTATTTGAACGCAATGACGAAAGCCGAGAGTAAGTGGACCTGTTATTTTAGTCTCATTCTCTTTATAAAACTACTTAGTAGGCTAGTAGTCGGCACATGGTTCGTAGGTAGCTTGTACAGGGCTTTATGCTCACACGTGGCTGATGTGATTGGAGAGCCGGGATGATCCATAACTCGAAAGTTGTCCTTGGCAAGGGTCCAGGCATCGATAAAGGCCCTGTGCGTGACTTCCTTTGTCTTCGGGATTTGGAGGGAAAGCACAGGCAGATGGTTGGACGGAGCCTTCTCTAGCTCGGGAAGGTGATAGTGAGAATGCGTGATTGGAATGTCATCCGTCCAAAAAAAAATTTTTTTTTTGTCGCCATTCCTGCGGTGTGTATGCACCTTGGGATAATGGATATCGACCGGTCGTCGTGTCTCTAGGTTTGTCACTCACGAGCGATGTTTCGTTCGTTCGTGCAATGGACCGGTCTAGTCTTGGTTAGATATCTCGAACTTATACCCATGATCCTTGTGCTTCGGTTCTAAAATTCCTGGCTGCTCATTGGTCGAAATGAGAAAAATGAAGTGTGATTTATGGGAGAATCCCTGCTGATTCGACGGTTGAATGAAAAGATAAAACTGAGGATGTGATATTAAGAAATCCTTGGTAGGTCTTTCATCGGTCGGAGACGGGAGCTTGGAAAGCTTCGAGACTTTTGAAACGTGGTTGTGGGGGGCATCGTGATCTTCTTACGTAGTAGTCGTTATCTCTTGTTGAGTCAATCGAGTGGGTTCATGGCCGTTCCTCGCACAACGAGTCCCATGAAGTTCCCTGGATTGAGTGCCACCGAAACACTGCCTGTTACTGCCACCACTACAGGGGTAGTAAACCTTGCCATGCATGAGGTTGTTTGCCTTCATGCCGGTAGGCTCGCCCCGCGCCGCCATATCGTGTCCCTGCCATCCAATGCAATGCAATGTCCTTGTCTCACACATGCGCGCCGGTATCACGAATCCCCCTTCAGCTTCGCCTCAATCGCCTCAATATCTTCTAGGTCCTCAGCGGAATCAATCTCAATTATCTTCCCCACCTCGGCTGTATTCCGCATCAGTTCCTTTGCACCAGCATACAGCATCCTAACCTCGTTGTTGCAAGTGACGGGAAGATAGTACAGCATAACATAGGGAACAGACAGCCGACCAGAATCCTAGCAATGGCGGTCAGAGAGAGGCCTATCATAGACACAGAGGATGAAGATGGAGGGGAAATAGAATCGTTCGTACGAGGGTTACAGGATAGCTAAGCAGCACGAATCTGGGTGCATGGTCCGGTAGTTCATCGGCTAGATTCTGCAGGTTTGAGTATACGTCGCCGTCTACAGGCTGGATCTCCATCGTCTTTTTGTCGATCTGATCTGGAGAGCAAACAGCGTATCAGCACGGTTTGCAGCTACGGCATCGGCATCGGCAGTGGCGGATTGCGGATTGCGTATTGAGGATTTAGGTTCGGGACATGCAGCGATGCGACAAAGGCGGTTGCAGATGCTGCGGGCGGATGTAGAAGATGCATGCGTACATATGACAGCCTGGGGGTCTTTCGCCCGCGAAGTGCCCAGGCGGAACTTGCGTAGCTTGTCCTTGGTCTCTTGCGAGAAGGTGTAGAGACGGGATTCGGAGGCCTGGGGGAGTCGGCCAAGGTTAGATCGTCTACTCTACGCACAAGCCCAGGGAGAACTATCCTGTACTTGCCATTGTAGGAAAGTGTTTACTTGAGAGCAGCCGGGTTTCAACAAGTTAGGGTTTGAGGTGTTTCGCACGGAGGGGAGAGGGGAGAGGGTAAGGCTGAGGGGTGAATGGCAGAGATCCCTGAATCGCTCGCGTGTTGCGGGGCAGATTCGGTGAAACGCACGCCTGTCTTGACTCGCGGCAACCACATCTTCTCCACGCTCCGTTCTCCGTTCTGGAAACAGTCTCCTTCATGCAACTAGCTATTCAGTAGCCCTCTCACCTAGCCACCTCCTGAAACTCTCTTGATGTTCAGCAGACTCAATCAGGTAGTCAGACACCTCTCGCGCCCTCTGCCGAACTTTGCCCACGTCTCTGCAGCGAATCCCTGGGCCTCGTCCATTTCGTCATCAGTCATGGCGGCCGCGACTTCGATGCAGAATAGGGGGCTCATTCACACCGCTGCATGTCTGATTATCGGAGACGAGGTTTTGGGGGGAAAGGTACGTTTTAATTGACTTCGTGTTACATTAAATGTTCGGGAAGCTAATGCGCGCCTCTGAAAGACAACCGATACGAACTCGGTATGATTCACCTTCTGGAGTCCAGCTTGGCCTCAGCTCCTGACTTGACTAGGCCTACTTTGCCAAATTTTGCTTCTCCCTAGGCATTAATTTGAGGAGGATAGAAGTCATTGCTGACGATGAAGACGAGATTGTCGAAGCAGCGCGTAGGATGTCAAAGAACTACGACCTAGTGGTGACATCGGGTGGAATTGGTCCAACGTATGTCTGTAATGCTGTACTCCATCCTCGCTGACGCCGACGCCGTTGCCCAGACACGACGACATCACCTACCAGTCGATAGCCAAAGCGTTCAACTTGCCGTTAAAACTGCATGGCGATGCCTTTGAGCGCATGAAGCGACTGTCGAAACCGCACCCATCACAACCAAACTTTGACTGGAACACCCCCTCGGCCGCACTTACCGCAAAGAAGCGTATGGTAGAGCTTCCGTTAGATGATTCGCGGCCATATGACGAGCAGGTGATTTTCGTCAAGGACACTCTATGGGTGCCAATTAGTTGCGTAAATGGCAATATCCACATACTGCCTGGCGTCCCGAGTTTGTTCCAAAGCATGTTGGATGGACTGAAGCCACTCCTTCTGCCCAGATTGACTGATCCAGAGGGCAGAGGGGTCCATCGAATCCTAATCTCAACTCCCATGGCCGAAAGTGCTATTGCTGAATACCTGACACAGCTGGCCGCCAAGACCGAGCTCAAAGGGGTCAAAATAGGCAGCTACCCAAGATGGGGCAAGGAGCACAACACAGTCACGCTTGTCGGCAGAGACGTCGAATATATGGAGTCTCTGATCCCGGAAGTGGAGGAGGCGGTTCAGGGGCGGCGGGTATTGGTGGAAGGGGAAGATGACAGCCCCGAGCAAGACGCAGAGGCAGGCAAACTCGCGTCCGGCTGAACGGACAGCCATGGCTCAGTCCTTATCTTGCGGGTTGCAACTGTAAATATAGGGAGTGTTGGACCAGGAGAAGACATGTCGTCAAAATAGAATAGGGTCGGACGCTGGACGAGGCCCCAGAATAGACGTCAGCGTGCTGCGAGGGCCTTCGAGAAGGGCTGCAGAATGTGTCCTGGCGCTCGCCAATTAAGCGCGCCGAGCCAATTTGTGCGACGATAACAGAACGATATGGCGATAATGCAGGTGATTGTTTTTTCGAATACAATAGTGACCTGTCAACGCGCTCCCGCCCGCCTCTCGTGGCCGGAAGAACAAACCTCTCTTTCGCGTGTGGCCCTCGTGGCAGGCTGTGAATCGAGTGGGCGCAAGGGCGTCCTGGAAACGGCGGTTCTACAAGACGCATGCATCCGCAGAACCCCCCCGGTGAAACTGACCTGGGCAACGTCTGCCGTGTGGTACCTTGGGATCCGCTTTTGCGCCGTCGCGCCCGCATGAGGAGCCCAGTCATGTGAAATGTGGACTATGGACTGTGGCATGCGGCATGTGGAATGTCGAGATGTGAAATGGAGAAAGCCAGGAAAAAGAGGAGTCCGGCCACATCATGCCCGGCGCCCACCGTTGACCGTCTGCAGGGCGTGCCACAGGCAGTCGGTGGGTGTGCTTTAACCGCACGACGGGGCAGGCCAGTGGGTTTCTTTTGCGAGGACCAGCCTCAGGGCGAAGGCAGCGCTGATCTCGCGGGTGCAGCAGCTGCAAGGCCGTGTTGCAGGGGGGCACGGGCGACTTGTTCCTCGCTGTTCGTGGGTGCATCCTTTTTCGCTCAAGCATTGCGGCCGCAGTGTTCACCCTCTGCACAGGCGCTAACAGGCCCCGTCACTACGAATCAGCTGCCTGCGCTCGTGAACTGAACCTGCTGCAGTGCTCAGTGTTGCATCCTCTCAAGACTCTCTCCAACACCACCGAGCTAACGTTAATTCTCCCATCCTCCCCTCCGTCGAGCACATTCCCGTCCCCCTCGTCAATTGCTCCGTGCTGCCCCTTCTTGTCCTACTACCCTCCGCTCCTTTCACGCCTCGTTCCCTCCCTTGGTCGCCGCCGCCGAGTGCGAAGCCTGGCTCCGCTCGTTTCCCGCCTCCTCATTTGACCGAAGAGCTCGGCTTCCTGGGGTCACCAAGCGCCCGACGCTGCGAGTTTAAACCATCGCTTTTTCCCTCAGGACGCTTCCTCCTGGCCCCTTCCCCACACATCCACAATGGCTTCAAAGGTGCGTGTCGGACTCGTCCCCGCTGCCTGCCCTGGCAAATGCTGACCCCAGTGCGTCTGCGCAGTTCCTCCGAGAGTATAAGCTCGTGGTAGTTGGCGGCGGTGGTGTAGGAAAGTCGTGCTTGACCATCCAGCTCATCCAATCCCACTTCGTCGACGAGTATGATCCAACCATCGAGGGTGAGTCCCCGGTCTCCCGCTGTACGCTGCTATTCCAGCATTGGGCTAACAGCGTCGCCTCTGCAGATTCCTACCGTAAGCAGTGTGTCATTGACGACGAGGTCGCCCTTCTCGATGTGCTCGATACGGCAGGCCAGGAGGAGTACTCGGCGATGCGGGAACAGTATATGCGGACTGGCGAGGGTTTCCTGCTCGTCTACTCGATAACGGACAGGCAGAGCTTCGAAGAAATCATGACGTTCCAGCAGCAGATTCTACGGGTCAAGGACAAGGACTACTTCCCCATGATTGTCGTGGGCAACAAGTGCGATCTCGAGGGAGAGAGACAGGTGTCAACACAGGGTGTGTTCTATCATTGCCGCCATGTTGTCGCTATTGTGGCATGCTAACCGCTTCGGCTACCAGAGGGCCAGAATCTAGCACGACAATTCGGCTGCAAATTCATCGAGACGTCAGCCAAGTCACGCATCAACGTCGACAACGCCTTCTACGATATCGTACGGGAAATCCGCAGGTACAACAAGGACATGTCACAATACACGGGCGCCCCGGCGGGCGGTCCCCCCAACGGAATGTCGAAGATGGGTGTAGACGAAGATCACGAAAAGAAGGGCTGCTGCGGGTGTGTGGTCATGTAGGAGGGTTATCGGACAAGAGTGGTAGTTGTTGCGCGCACATTGTCTACGTTGGGAGAAGAGCAAGACGAAGAAAGATACCTGTCATTGTTTGGTGCCATCACATCTCGGAAGACGCATGTTGACGTTTTCCTCCGTGGGGCAAAAGAGGCAGACCTTCGATACCTTTAGCACTTTTGCTGTCAGCTTTTAGCTTCTCTTCGCGGGTTGGTTTTGGGCCCGTCGTTCCCTTCTCCGAACACTTTGGGTTCGCATCACTTGTCTGGGGCTTTCGGTGTTGAACAACGGGTTTCTTCTTTCTACTACATGGCGCGTCCTCCAGATCATAAGGTTCCCCCACTATTTTTCCTTGTTGGAATCCAAACCTTTCTTATTTTACATGGCCGCCGCTTTTGGACCGCCTCGACTCTACTAGACTCATCTCATGTCATAGCATTTGGTAATCTGTGTTTTCTTTTACGACTCTGCTCCAGAGCGCCAGCTCAGAAGATGGCCATGATAGGTAAGACGTGGCGTGAGTATCCTCTAGATTTCCGAAAATGGATTACTCGCGTCTGTTCGCTTCTTTTAACCTTTCTATGAAAATAATTCAACGTCATCCCCCATCCCGTCTCTTGCCGACTCTCACGCGATGTACTTCTATCCCTAGAGTACATAGCTCGTTCTCGCTGGGTGCGGCAAAACTCTAGGCTGCCCGTCGTTGCTGCTCGTCGCCCCGCTTCCTTCGATCCATTGCTGCGGTCCCAATGCAGCGCGCGGGCTGCCTCAAGCCAACCACCCACAGCCGCAGTTCGTAACTTGCCCCAAAGATCCACCATCATCAACATGAAGCTTGTCTGGCTGCGTGGACACGCTGGAGCTTGCACACTCACGGCCAAGATACCCGTTTGGAGCTACCTTCCTCACCGTCCTATGTGCAATGCATGGTCGTTCCAGTGACGCCATCTGAAAGAGAGGCAACGACTTCACCTGGCACACACTGACAGTCGGGACAAGCCACCAACGGCATTCTGACCAGCTGTCCGGAACGTGAACCACGTTTCTCAGTGTGCGCGATGGCCGCCGGACTGGTGGGGTTAGAGTAGTGTGGCTTAATAAGCTCGATGCTGATGCTCTCTTTCGGATTCCGCTACGATGGAAGTGGGTTGGGGGATGCAAGCCTTACGGAACATCGCCATTATCAGCCCATCATTAACGATAACACGTCGAGTTGAGGAGCGAGATAGCCCCACCGCGGACTCTGCGTTGTACGCCTCTTGCCTTCATCTACGCATCTACATACTAACTCCAATTCCGCCTACCGTATTTGGACCCTCCCCTCCTCTCGACCCCACCAATGGACTCTGGAAACCCATCCAAGGCCTGTCTACTGCAGTCCCAATCTCCTGGAACACCTACCCTATCCATTTTCTCCGTCTCTGGTTCTGCTGGCCTTTTCATTTAGGCTATTTTAGGAAAGACGACCGAATTACTGTGCATTGCACTGCGCCGCACCTTCTTACCTGGAGTAAGAACTCCAGCGCGAGTTCATATAGCTATGCGCTGTTTTTTCTTGGAGGTGGCGTTGGAGTCCGGCAATATATTGACTGAGGCACAGGTCTGCACACCCCTGTTTTCTTTTTTTTTGGGGGGGGGCAGGGGAATTGATGGACGAGCTCTACTTTATTAAAGGCCGTTTCTGCGGCCGCTTCGTTCTGGCCCCACCGCAACGGTAAAAAAGGTCAAGATTTCTCGTGCAGAAAAATTAACACCAGCAAATGGCGACTCGGGAATGGGGGAATTGGATAAATCGCTGAGGGGCTGTCGATGGTGATTCGAGGGTTGAAGGGATGGAGGGTGTGGATTACCCCATCCGTGCGCGGGCAGCCTAAATCTTTACGCAGCGAGCGTGCGTTTGATCTTCCGTACCGAGCCTACCGGGTTTGAGATCGAGGGGCAGATAGGTGAAATGGGAATAGCTGTTTTGGAATTTATGAGGGTGGTTATTGCGATCTACAGCATATCTAGGTAGTGTTGAGGAAGGTCACTAGTTTCGTGAACCGCTTGCTCGAATTCGAGAACATGTCGAGAGGATGTAGGCCTCTGTCTTATTTCGGATCATGCTATATTCGTCACTCGTGGTATAATCCCGCACCCGATACTTTTTCTCGTCGAGACGCAAACGTCGATTTAAGTTTGGGGACAAGCGGTACAGCGGTTCACACGTCGTCGACGCTCCTCACCTCCTGCATCGACGCGTTGAACCAGACCTATAGGATACTCCCATTATGCATGAGCGTGCCTTGCACTAGTCCTGCACTTCGCAGATGTTTGCATATAGTCCGTCTATCACTCCAGCCTATAAAAACCATCTCCTGCACCGAGCGGAAACTCGGGAGCGGGAAGGATGGCTATCGGTGAGTGGAAAAAAGGTTCGGCTCGACCCTCTCCTCTCGTCTGCTCTCCCCTCCAGCCTCCCGCCCCCCATTCCTCCACTCCAGCTTGATTGATCAGAATCACCCTTTCGAAACGCGCTCGGCGTACTCGCCGAAGCCATGAAACAGTATCACAGTTTGAAGCTGCAAGAAAAACGCGCGTATTCAGCGAGGCAATTATCATTTACTGGAGGAGCTGCAGATGTCTGTAATAGACCCTAGATCCTGGCTGCTTTTATCGGTGAGAAGTGTGAGTTTGTAGCCGTTCGGCTTTTGACACCGATCACCAATGACAGTTGATGGATGGATGGATGGATGGATTGGAGGAGGATAACGTGGCAGCCTCCCGCAGGGTTCGTCTTACGTGGGTGATAGGAAGGAAGGGAATTTGTGAGATCTGCACTCAGTGAACATATTGCCGGACGCAGGAGATAGGAGATTTTGATGGGATTGGGGGGAATATGACGTGCAGCAGACCTCGTGGTTTTGATGTTGAATGTCTCGGATATTTTTGGGGATCGTAAATATTGAGAAAAGTTCGAGATAGATGAGGGTGGTTGATTTCGTGACCGTTTTCGTGAAGGTCAAGATGGGGACATCGGAAACGACCATTCACAATAGACCACACCCACCCAACGCTGCAGCGGAGGTCCTGAGAAGATATCCTTGTAGCTCTCCCTTAATGCCTTGAAACAGGCAGGAACGCCCTTCCTAAATTGGCCAATACACCATCCGGACTCCTCCCCCTGGATCTGCCTAGTCAAGTCACGAACCTGCCCGAGAATACCTTCCCTCTGACAAGTCTCCACCCAGCTCAGGAAGGACACTATTTTACAGTCATCTGTCAGCACTGTAATAATCTCATCTAAGAGCGGAATACCCCATCGAATAATCCTAGGGTCGGCGCTGTTTACCACGCGACATATCATCACGATCCAACGTCAGCACCATGGATGATGGCCAGCCAAACCACGGGTACGGGTCGGCTCGTGTAGATGACGTTCGACGGGAGGGGGATGGCGTTCCAGGTGTGGCTGATGAGGTAAGATGTTTCTTATCTCGTGCGCAGGGCTGGGTGAAGGATGTATTGCAGGTTTGTGGGCGTAATATTGGAGGGGATGGTTGGGCCAGGCCAAGGATTAGATGCAGTTTCCGTTGCAGGTTGAAAGTCTCCGAATAAGAGCTGATGATAGCGATATACTAAAACACCTGATTTTGCAGCGATATTGAGGACCCTGATGAAGTATATACATACCTATTAATCTTTGCTTTGTTGCACGACCTTCTATACGTTTGATAAAAGTGTCTCTACATGTCCTGATGTTGTGGGTGCCGCGCACGGAGCTTCTGGCGTCTGTCCGAGGATTTGGTTCGCACGAGAGCAAGGCGCAGGAATAGGCCTTATAATAAGTTCTGCTGTACAACGTGACGCACTTATAAGCTGCCGTGGCTGCGCACCCTCGTAAGCTGCGCACCCCTACCAACAATAAAAGCACGTCGCTGAACGATTGCCCTCCTGATAACGATTACTCTCCTGATAAAAGATTACTCTCCTGATAAACGAGTACTCTCCTGATAAACGATTGCTCTCCTGATAAACGACATAGAATATGTTAGTGTTAATGGCTAACTTTGCAGTAGAGCTGCATCAACGATACGAACCGCAATACTAGAAGTACAGAGCCGAGATGTGAGTAAAGTGGTATGGGGTTGAGAGGAGGGCCGGTCGATGCCGTTGTGGTAAGGACGCAAGGCTCTGAAAGGGAAGTAATCAGTGCCTTGAGTCAGTTGTCTTAATACACCTAGCCTCTCTGCTCAAAATTACCCCAGAAAATTGCCATTGTCGATGGAGTATATCACATTTAAGAAAATGCCAATAGCCCTCTCGTGCGATCCCATATCCGAACTAATTTATCTAGAAGGCATTTTGAAGTCGTAGAGCCATCGAGATCTTGACCGATCACGATGCCTGCCTTCAAGAAAGATAAAAAATACATGACCGTCACGCAATTTTCCAAGCCAATCCAGCCCATCTCGCACCCATGTCAGTTCTTCAGCTGGTTCGGTGCAATCAATGAGTAGAAAGAGTTTAACACTTTAGGAACTAGGCACTAGACGTTCTCTGAGAGAGAGTCCTGTGCCAATGGCCACTGACCCTTAATTAGACCAGCTAAGAAAAGCTAGACTGAAGAAGCCGTCTGTAATCATAGCTTGTGAATCCCCAGTCCGTCCTCTCCACAACTTTAGTTGTTGCTGCCTATCCTGCAATGCTTTCTTACTTCACAAATGTCTCTTACAAGAGTGTGACCACTCTCAGTCGACCACCCTTCCTGCTAGCGGTGGCGACCTAAAGTACAAAATGATTTAGGTCTCATCTAAGGGCTCCCTGTAAGCGTACCTTTATGCCCTTTTTTTATATTAACCTAAATAGGTATCCTGGCGGTTTTCGGTGGTAGTTGAAAAGTCGCCCTTAAATCCCGGGTCCAGCATTGGCATTTGCACCATGGTCTAGCAAGAGCTTAACAGTTTTCGTGCTCTTTTGCCGGACTGCTTCTTAGAGTGCGATAGATACGTTGTATATATCTGCGCCTACTTCCAACATATGTGGCCCCATACCCCTCATGGATAATATTATTGACAGCTGCACTGACCTTTAACAAGACGTTGATTATATCCGTCCTGTTCACCCTAGCTGCTCTCTGGAGTGCCTTACAGCCAGAAAAGCTAATATCAAGCCCTTCCTCTGGCGGTTGTCACACAATGCCACCTTGTACGGTTTTGCAAGTGGCTGCCTTGATCAACGCGTTGTCGATTGAATGTTTTTTTTTTTTTGGATTTAGGCCGACATGCTACTCAAGGTATTTCAAGGAAGGAACCTGAGAATGGTAAGGCAGCCGGGGAAACTTGCTTCGGCACCAAATACAGATCCGGTATCGAATTCGTTGCTTTATATTTGCGCATAGTAGTCGGCACCAGCTCACACAAACAGCCCATGATAGCTAAGTTTTCCGGGCGAACAACCCCGAAGGGCAGAGTTGATCGTTATTTGGGAATGCTTCCATTCTGCAGAGTGGTGGTTCAGGTCCCCCACCTATCCAGAAGAAGTTGAAGGCATTGGACCTGGTGTCACGGATGTCCAAGGAGTTCAAAGAAGTAGTGGAGCCCGCCTTCAAGTAGTTATAGCCGCCATGCCAGCTGTGAGATTCTTGCTTTGCGACACATCGTACCGCTCTTAGCACAACATGAAATGGTTTGGGCTCATGACGCAAAAACAGCCGAAAACATAGACTCACAGTGTAAGCAAGGCATAAAGATGGAGATTTTAGCAAGCGTCGTCGTGTTTTCGACAGGACCACTTACCTCTTGCAAGAGCAAACAAGGCTTGGGTATAAGCGAGTTCATTAACTTGGTGAAAGCCAAACGAGTGTATTGAAAAGGCAGTAGAAGGCCCAGCCTTAGAACTTCACAAGGAACTAGTCCTAACGAGGATAAAGGGTAGTGCGAGGGCTGACAGCACCTGTGATATTACTTTACTTTCATTCTTCTGTCTTTCCAGCCAACTCGCTTAAGGAAATAGTTTTCTATTTTCTTCTCTTTTCAGCCGTACGGAGAGGATAATGGGGGTCACTTCGACAGGCTGCTAGAACGCATCATCGTGTTACGGTGACGATGTATCAGGCTTGAACACTAGATGAACAGGCATCGGGTTCAGGAAAATAATAACTACGTACGACTATCGCGATGGCCCAAGAGGATTGCTTGAGAGCTTGCAAAAATGCGGCTCAACTCAATCTGCATAGGGGCTTCGGTGGATAAACTATCCACTGAAGGAATCGCAGAACGCTAGCAACGCGCACAGCAGTACCGTCACACAATAGTTGGTTGTGTTCTTCCAGCAACTAGGGTAAGCGAGGAGAGGCACGCAACAGCGAGTGAAAGAGCTTGATTGCGGAGAGAACGAGTATATCTAGCTGCAGCTGCAGCTGCGGCTTCACAGTGAACTCCAGGCCCTGATTCGCCGTCGCACCCGTAAGCCACGGCTGAAGGTATTCGTACAGATACGCTGGCTCTTTCTACTTCTGCGTTCAGACATATAGAAGGCTGCAATTTATCAGGCTACCCAGCGTGAAAGCTTAAAACGTGCGAACCCTTCCTACGTCGTCATCTGTCTTCGCTACTGCTCCTCGTATGTCTACCTACATTTCTAAAGTCGTGAAGACCACCTATCTTTTTGAACCGTTTCTCTAGAACCCCTTTCGAAGCAAGATGGAAGAAAAAATCCCTCGAGAGCAAAAGTAAGTTTCCCCACGCGGGTAGGGTATTTTCCCAATTCAACTTCAACCTATTCACTCCAATTCAGCTGCGTGTATATCTACGATTTTGCACCCGAGAGCGTCCTACACGAGAAGCGAATAGATATTGACCTCCTTCAATCGGCGGAATATGACTTTACAGAGGCGAGGCTCAGGCCATCGGACGCGCAATTTCGGTGGATCCACATACCCGTGAATGATACTAGGATCGTTGAGGTAACATGACCACTGCAGTTTAACTACTATTTTATTAATGAATTGGGATGGCTTACTGGAAGCGGGGACCTAGAACTGTGTGAAGACCCTGGTTGGGGCGGACCACGCTCAGTCTCTCCCAAATACGTGGCTCCATAAGCTTCGACCCACATCATCTATTCCGAAAGATATCGTACCGGATCATGCTCACTTCATGGAGCCATCATTCCAGATACACACCGCCGAGGAAGAAAATAAAGGAGGTAATTCCACTATACAACCGTCCTTCACACTCTACGTAAGTCTCCGCCTTTCAAACATTTGCGTCAACAGGATCGCAGAACAGTCTTCAAGCGTTCGTACATATATGATACTAATCGTGAGCCGATTATAGCTTCCGTACTTAAATTGGGAAGTGTTCCGAAATATTCAAGGTCGTAAATCAGACACGACAAACAAAAAAAACACTTCACACCATCCGAGGAGGACTTTGGATCAATTTTTCTACTCTGGGCTACGAAATACGACATACCGGGACGCTGGACAAACTGTGTCAAAATGGACGGGCGCAAGCCCGGGTGTCAATGGAAGAACAAAGGCAGTGGAGGACAGCTACGTCGTAATGGTGGATCAGCTCTGGATCTGGGCTTTAGAAGACGGTGAGTAAGGTTTATTTTTGTTAAATATCCTTTTGCAAGACCGGTGTTTAATCTCAGGGGTTGCCATGAAAACTTCGTCATGACCTCCTGGCTAACAAGGTTGACAGCGACCCTAGTCTCATGCTTCCCATCTCATGGTTTCCAGTTCTTGGGAAACTCCAGTGGAACAAAATATATTGATGTCATGACATCGGTAATGTCGGACTCCAGGAAGTGCCAGGACTTGTTCGACCTGACTGCTTTGCTGGTCATGCATTCCGTGACTAATGTTTTTGCGGAAGAAAATGGCAAGTTTGCTGACATATTAGCTATATATAGATGGGCAATTTCGATCAAGGTAAATCATTCTGAGGCTGCTTTGATACGTCGACTTGAAAGCCCTAGCTAATCAAATATCCGTCCAGACAGCCCGCCACACCGAGAAACTCGAGGCTTTTAGCAGAAACCAGTCCTCTCATAATGCAGAAGAGATTGGAGTTGAAGGGATTGATGAGCTGAATCTGACACTCGAAGTGGCAGATATCCTTGACGAGCTAAATATGCTGCTACTTCTGATGGAGAACCAAGCTGATGTATTAGCTTCGCTCCAGAGGAAGCTATACCACTTCAAACCCATGGCGCTTCACACAGCAGGAAGAGGGGAACATGCTATCATGATAAAGGACAGCAACCTGGGCAGTGTCCACGTATCAAACTCTGGAAATATAGAAGGCCGTCTATTGTTAGAGGATTCGAAAGTGGGATCTCTCCATATTGCCAATACAGAAGGAACTCTTCCAGGTGTCCGGGCGATTGATGGGAATGCTGGCATTCTAGTGCAAGAAGCTGAGCAGAGGCTGAATGTCGAGAAAGCTAATCTCGAGAGACTCCGAACGCATGCAGCGCGGACACATGAGATGGGTTGTAACCCATCCTATTAATTGCTAGGCAGATCTCCGATTAGAAGGGCGTCACTGAGAGTTTCAACAGCTTATCGAGTTGCTTGATTTAGAGCAAAAAGCCGCCAGTCTGGCGGAAGCCCGTGCGACTACCAAGCAAGGAAAGGCTATCATGCTGTTTACCATAGTTACGATCATATTTGTTAGTCCTAACTTACTGCTTCTAGACTAGCTAGATACCTCATACCCTGCTAATTCAACCAGCTCCCCCTCTCATTCTTCACTTCGTACTTCGGCCAGAACGTGTCCGAAATAACCGGAGATAATAAGAACCCAAAATCGAGTGAGCTTTGGAGAATAGCTGGTGCGTCCTTTCCCGACTAATTGGAACCAGTCAAGAAACCGATGCAATACGAGAACAAGCTGACCTGTTGTGGATTTAGGCCCGATATCGGTGGTTGTGATCCTCTTCGCTCTTGTAGTAGTGTACTTCATCATGTATCCCCGCAAGAAAACACGGGAGGAATGGATTGAGATGTGAACGATATCTTCCTTGCAGTTTTCCGAATAATTCGCAAATTTAACCGTCTTATGTTGCTATAAAAGTAGAGTAGGCATTTTCGTGACAATTGCTCTTCCAACCAATTTGGAGCCTTTTAGTATCGAGGCCTAGCATTGAGCTTAGACAGTATATGGATAACATATGATTCAGAAATCTAGTATTGCTACCCTCGAAGTATCGATCGTAACATAAAGCCGTGTCAGAGACGACGATCGGCATCAGTGTCAGAACTGAAATGGCATGGATATGCAAAGTCGAGCTTGATGAATCTTAAAACCCTTAAACATTTATGTGCAGATCACTTGCTACACTATTTTTATTGTTATCTCTATTCTACTGGGCAGCCGGGGGCCAATGTGAATATCGCTTTCTAATTTGCCACTGCGAAGCTTCGAGCATCCTCTACTCATAGAACTACGTTTTAAAGATTCGCCACTTGAGCCTCATTAGAGGCAGATGAAAATCCCGACCATGCTAGTAGGGATGGCCAACTGTTCTGGCTACACCCTTGTAAGATGGCGAATTATGTAGCCTTTTTTAGAGAGTTGAGTTGGTTAAATAGAGGCATGGCGAAAGTTAGATCTTAAGGCTGCAAGGCACATTTAGTCTCCTTGCTAAGGCTCTGCTCAGCTACAGACCTAACATATTATAGTAGTATTGTAAAAAGTGTGGAGGATAAAATAGCCTGGCAGTAGCTGTTCAGAAGATTGGATGAAGTGACTCTGCTATCTAGGAGAGTTGAAGGCTCTCCTTATATACACCGAGCTTTGGAACATACTATCTCCAGATCCCGAGCCGCGTCCCAGGCTCCGAGCCCCAGCCAAGGCTCTCAGTGTACGCGACAAAAAGCAACTCTTTATAAACTAGGAATATACGTAATTCTCTACATAGGAGGAGTCTTAAACTGTTAGGAGTGGCTATAGCACAGAACTTACATAGAAATATAGTAAATATTAATGTGTGCACAGAGTCTAAGTTTGCTTAAAGTTAAAGTATCAGTTTTCTTGGCACGGTGGGTTTTCTCGCCAGCTAGGGAGGGACGTTAGCAGTCTAACTTACTAACCCTCTTCCTGAAACCAAGCATGATGCTAAGAAAGTCTTAATTCCCGGCGGAAGTAAGATCCTTGTTCTATTTAGCACAAGTGCTAGCAGGCGCACTCTCCTCAACCGCTCCTTCTAAATTTGGAAATGCCCAAAACCCAACAGGAAGGCCATGTTCCCTGCCTCCTTCGTTCCCAGCAGCTCGCGATCATCTTCAGAAGGGTGTACAAAGACGAAGGCCAATTTACTGACCGGAGATTTGGTCTTCTATCGTGTTCGGAAATCGGACTCGATAACGTCGGAGTTTTAATCTATATGTGCCTATTTCGAGAACAGCTTATCGGAACGCTCCTTGGAGTACGAACAAAAGAAATATATGGTGTGCATGTAATTAGGTACTAGTTGCCCCTCGTTCTTTTCTCTGAGGGTGTAGTAGACCTCGGATATCGGATTTCGAGCTTCCACGGGTCCGGTAGGATTGAGGGATTGTGATTAGGAGCATTGCGGTTGGCGATCTAGTGGGCGGGGGGCTTTGTGTGGCTGAGAGGAGCTTGGGAAAGACCGAGGGTAGGAAAATGAGGGACATGTGGACGTGAGCCGAAGGTTATTTGAGGGAGATTACCAGTATGACTCCGCTCTAGTTGAGCTCATTTGTTGAGGAGTAGGCTGGTACGTATTAAGACATAGAGCATGTTACTGCATATCACATGACATAAACAAGGCAGGTGAAATCTCTCAAACCATTTGCGTAAGGAATTAGAAGGGATTAAGCGTGGATAACGTCTTTCATATACCTTATCATAAATAGCAAGGTGAACATAAACTCTGCTAGAAAGGCTTCACTGATCATTATTTTACCCCGTTTACACTATTTTATCTACTATTTATCGGGTTTTAATATACTAAAGAAGCCAAAATGGAAAACTATTTCTCTCTACGTGGTCTATGAGTAAGAAAAATTCCAGGGTCTTCAAAAATAAGCAAAGTAAATGAAGAGTTAAAAGCGCTAAAAGGTAGTCTGTGATATATGCGGAGAAAACAGAAAAGCTTAATATGGGGCGTTTTAAAGCTCTTACAACAAATAAATGAACTCATTTAGGACGCAGATTTCTGTAACGAATCTCTGAGATGTCGTTGAGTCGAATGTTACTCTTTTCGTCCCCAAAAACCATCCAAAGACCGCCCTCTAATTTTTTATTTATTTCAGAAAGTTGGCACAAAAGACACGATGAGATAGACAATACTGCGGGGATTTAAAGAAGGATAAAAATTGAAATATATCAAGATAGATATCCTTAAACTAATTGCCTCGAACTGTTAGTACCCAATTTCACATCTACTCCCCCGCAGGGCCCGTTAAACTAGTTCCCAACTTCGCCGGAGAACCAAAGTTCGGCGATCCATCCGAATTCCAATTCACGATTTGTCCCATAGTATATCGCGTACCATCGCAAGCACCACCGCTGTTGGATGTGGCATGGTAGACATTCCAGATCTGGCTCCCATCCGGACTTTGGAAGAACCTGCGATCCCATTAGTGATTAGGTTCCTTACACTATCTACTTTATTAAAGAAAACTCACCCATTATGCCCGGGTCCGTAATTCCCATTTGCACTAGTCAAGAACGGGCCTGTTTTACTCCAACTACTGGATGATGCCGGATCACCAGACCCATTCCAAGTAAGAAGACCAAGAGAGTAGGAACTTGTCCAGCAATAGCTCGCAGAGTAAGCGAGAAACGTTTTTCCTCCATGATACATGGCAGCAGGGCCCTCCATGACTGGATTCCCGACCTTTTCCCAGGACTGCGTCGGCGTGGATAGGACTTTCGATGTGCCAATTTGCCCCGGAGATATAAGGGGAGCGATGCAGAGAGACTGGAGAGAGCCGGAGAAGCAAGAGTAGACGAAGTAGTTGCCCCATGAACTGAAACGTAGGATGCTACCATCAATGCCCCAGGTGTTCGTTAGTTGGGCGAGGTAGCTGAAGCTGTCCCAAGGAGTGGCACCGCCTATAAACTCAAGTTCTATTAGTGATCTCTGTCACTTTATTCAATATTTGACTCACCCTTCAGAACATGGGGACGTTGACCGTCCAGATTCGCACTATTCCCTGCGGTGTAATAGATATACCAAGCGCCATCAAAGTAGTGAAGTTCTGGCTAGAAGCATATATCAGCACAGTTTTGGCTACTTCCATTATAAAATACCCACCGCCCAAACGTTGCAGCATCTTGACGATGTGCTGTCCGTCCAGACAACCTTCGTTTCTCCAGTCTTCAGCCCGTTCAGCGTTTTCGCTCGGGTAATTTGAAGATTCGACCACGTTGTCGTCATCAAATAATAATACCCTCCCGACCATGCGATATGTGGATCGGACCCATCTTTCGTTTTAAGGGGATTTGAATATGTAGCTGCGCTGGAAAATGTTACCAATGCTAAAAAGAAGGCAATGAGCGGTCTGGCGAAGTGCATCTTGAGAATATAAGTCCTTGCAACCCGAGAACCAGAAATCCTTCTACGTCCATATAGACTGGACTCAAATGGTGATATTAATTGTCAAGGATTCACGTGTTGTTGACCAGATTTTGTTCTTGCTAAGAGTCCAAGTTAGTTCCTCTTATTTCGGTACTACGTACTCATGAATTCCACGAATCGGGGTAGCTTAATATCATGTTTTGTCCCCAGTATAATGCGAAGTTCCTTGGTGTTGTGATTTGCCTGGTTTTGAGATTGCTTGTGATTGGTGGATGCCAGCATCCCGTGTTTCGCCAGTGGAAAAACATAATTTCCCGACCCCGCCCAGGACGGTTATCGGATCTTCGGATGGAATTTCTTTGGACTCTCGAATAGATTCCAGATTACTGTGGCGAAGGTTCAGGGTCGTGGAAGGTAAGATGTGCTTTCCTACGAGTATGTTCCATGATCCATTGAGCTATTCCCAGATATTTCAAGGCTTAGTTATTGGACTAACTAGGTTACCTCGAATATATCGCCTGTAATTCAGTGATTGCTTTTCGACCGAGCATATATAGACCAACCGGATTACTAAGTATCCCTAAGAATGGACTCATGTACATAATAGATTCCCAAGCGTTCGGTTGAGACATGTTTTTCAAGGCTGTGACTTTAAGACAGTACCACTGCAAGGACTGTTTAGAAGAAGTGGGGTATTCAAATTAAAACGCAGAATTGAAGCACCGTACGCTGTCAAGATATTAGCTAAAAGCTATTTGTTGAAAATTTACTCGTGGAGTGAACTCGCCCTTTAAGGGCAAGTATAGAAGACTGGAATCAAAGTTTTACACTTCGTACCGACACCCTTTTCATTAGTTGTCCTGGCATTCCCAACCCGATCTTGTTGAGGTCTTCATTGGCCTTTCGGTAGCGGGAAGTAGGGAAAGCATTCAGTTTCGGCTGGCAACGTCGATGTTGACGTCGAACTGAGGCTGAGGAGATGTGGGTTTGCCTTATGTTTTTTTTGGCAGACATAACTGAGGAATAGCAGCTGGATTATTGCATGTTAGGGCTTATAACATTTATCGCATATCATGGGACATGACTGGGGTAGATCTGATGTCTTAACCGCCGTTCCTTCTCCTATAATCTTTCCAGGAGCTAGCCAAAATTACCTGCCAGAATCCTCACACCTCTCTTCCGTTTTCTCCCGTAACACTCTTTCAAATGCTCTCATTTATTCCGAATAGTTTCCTTCAATATAAAAGAGGGCGTGTGGTGAAGTGTTAGCACACTCGCTACATGTTCCCATTTGATCTAGCAAGAAGCTGGAGGTTATTCAATGACGGAAGAGAAGCGAAATTTGGGGGCATGTGCGCAGGAGGCCTGGGTTCGGTTCACAGCAAGTCTGCGAAATTATTTTTTTACTCTTTCTATCTTGATGCTGTGTTTGGAGATGGGCTCCGGGGTCTTCCCTTTTTAGTTGTGGATTTGGCGTCGTGTGATCAACGAAGGAAGAGCAAGTGTTGTTTTGGGCAGTAGGGAGTTTCAGAACCCTCCCTAATTTGCCTCGACATCTTATCGGCACACTACCGTAACCCTTTAATAGATGCTGAATTGCAGTTGATAGAAAATAGAGAACTGAGCCAGGGCTGACTTCAAAAATTACGATTCCGAGGATTGCGTGTTTTCCATAAGGGTAGCTCCTCGTCCGACGTAGTTCGCGGAGAAAGCCTCGTCAAGGCAGTGCCAACTTTTTGCCATCTTTTTATTTTTGCCTATCCCACTCCTGCTCCATAAAAACCTCTCCTTCTTCTCCAAATACCCCTGAAGTTTCTTTGCCCGCTCCCACGCCTCTTGAAAGACCATCGAAGCCTCCAATTTCTTCTTCGCACCCATGTGTCCTTCGCCCCTCTCCAAATCCTTGTCCTATAACATTGGCATACTTCATCTTGCCTGTGCGATTCGTATACTGTTTCGCTCTCGTTATGCCTATTTGCAGGAACTTCTAGCACATCTCTCTGCCGACGAAATTGTCCGACTCGTTTGGGAGGAATTTTTGGAAGATTTACCGTGAACTTTGGCGCGGGATATAGGAGGTTTGGAAAACTTGAGTGGGAAGATATTGGATTAATAGGGTTTAAATGTTAGGACACCTTATTCGCGACGAGCGATGCGATAGCTCATATTTAAGCCTTATGAGGGCTGGTGGTGACGAGGGCATTTAGCAAGGAGCAAATAGACTGAGAGACTTGAGTTGGGTGAAGCGTAGGAAAAAGGAATGAAATGATGCGTGAGTTTGAAGTTTTGTAAAAAGATGTCGAGAGAGGTGGTATTCCGAAGTTGAGGTCTTGGAGTTGTCATGACGTAGTGCAATTTTGAAGTCCGAAACTAAGAAGAGAAAGAACACGAACATGACTACTCCATGAAATGCCGCGGAGTTGCACAGGGGGTGGAAATCCAAATATCATTCTGCAAATATCTCGCGAAGTCATATTGACGCGCAGGCTTAGATGCAGTCCCCCTGAAGAATTAATATTGTAGGTGGAACATCAGTAACAGCGTGAAAAGGAGAGCCCTGAAGATACCTACGATAGAAGAGGAATGAAACGTCGTGTGATCAATGGTCTGGCGGAAGAAGTCTTGGCTAGGTTCAAATGACCTCAATGAGTTCCCAACCACTTCAGAGTTCAAGCCGACAGCAGATTTGAGAGACTGCGCAAGTGAATGCAACAGGAATGGGAGTTAGAGTGGGAAATCTATCATAGACTATGGAACGGCTGCAGAGTAAGGTTGTTTCCCCTTTTAAGAGGTGATGTTTGAGAGTCACACCTTCGCCCCTGACCTACCCCACTGCTAATTATAGCTCTCCAACACTTCTAATACAGCCGAGCCTCTTTCCACACAAAGGAAGCCCCACTGCAGTGCCGAAATCGTCGCGGAGACCTCCTTGTCAGTATATTGTTATAGGATTTTATTATAAATATCAAAAATTTTTCAATTTTGCTTAATCTTGAGAAAAGTTAGCCCATGGTTGTGTAGTGTAGTGGTTAGCACTCGGGATTTTGATTGATTTCAATGTCAAAATTCTTCCCGCGACCCCGGTTCGATCCCGGGCACGACCTTGTTTTTTGCCATTTGTCCTACATTTTTCTTTTTGGTCAGGTAGCTAGCCAGGGAGTCTCTGGAGAATGGAATCGAAAGTGGGAGGTGCTGTCATGTTAGGTGGAAGCACCACTCTAATTTGTGCTCCTGGTCTATTTATTTTTTAGGCTCAGGCATGAAAGAATGCTCAGGGTTTTATGTGTGGAGGTGATGCTTGAACTCCGCCCACATGGAAAACTGAAAGGTGATTGGCTGATCATTTGTGAGGTGCCCGACACCGAGCTCATACTGCTAGATGGGAGATACAGCGCCTTGATGTGCATAGAAAGCGTATTATTCACTCACCCAATTCAAATTAGTAAAGTCTCGAATCTTTTCTAGACCTTCTACTTTGGATACGATACTCGTACTTTGCGCGCGAAATGCCGCCATCAGATTGTAGGCTCGACTCTACCTCCTTGCCCCATCATTATGAGTATATCATACCCCACTCGATGACTGACCGCAGCTTATCTGTGATCAGTTTTCCGATCTGGGATCTTTTGTTTGTGCCCCCATCTGGAAAGATGTCATACCTGCAAGGATTCAAAGTCGGAGCATATCAGACCTCTGGGCGCAATGACAGTGCTTTTCGGCTTCAAAATCGTTATTTATTTCAGCCGAGAGACGTTAAATTTTACAAAGACTCAGAGATCATTATGTCTGGGTAGGTACAGGATCTCAAGATCTCCATCTTAGAGCACTATTGCCCATAATGCCTATTTTCCTTATACTCCTAGCAATGCGAGAGAAGGTAATTAGAAGCTGACTACTTTGCCCTACAGTGAACAAGACTATGACGCCTAAGTCTCCGGCGCTAAAATCCAACCCCTTGATTCTCCCACAAAACTTACGCCCCGCACACCAACCACGGTGTCGTTGGCGAAGGCGCAGATGTCGAACACACATGAATATCCAGCCCTTGAGTGGACGAGCAAAAGGTGAGGACTCAGCCCACGCCCACACTCCACCAGCCTCGTCCAGAGTAGCGTCACAGTTTGTGTGTTAGAGTAGATGCTAACTGCTCACATCAGTGCATCATCACCAAGCCCCCCACGCTGATTGCTAGGGCGTTGTCTGGTGCGAGGAAGTTGTCTAAAGCTCCAAGTTTGCGCCTCTGGCTGGTGGGTTTGAGCAAGGTCTCGGACATACCTAGGGATTCGATGATGAGTGTGAATAAGACGTATAGTAATCTGTGGAGTGGGGTGAGGGAGGATGGAATTTGAAGGGGTGTAGAAGAGGGTAACGGTGGGAAGCCTCCCTATTGTAATGAAGAGGGGGTTGAAATGGTCCTCAGGCCCTAAGGCCCAATGAATTCGCTGTGTTTTTGCTGTGCTCAAATAAACATGGCTTAAAGTATAGTCTTGATTGATATTTAGATATCGTGCTGCTGCATTAAATCAAGGACTTACTGGACCTAGCTGATTGCATACCAAATAATTGAACTAACCAGACCACCAAACAAGCTAAGAGCAAAAATAGCGGCTGTTGAGCTTATAACAAGCCGCCTCGAAATCCTCGTCATGCCCTGGATCTCAGCTTCTAGCGTCTCTGCCATCTTCTCTTTAGAGAATTCCGATATCACCCTCTCCCTACCCCACTTCCCCATTTCTTTGAGCCGCTCTTCTCCGGGTCCATCTTCCAGCGCTATGCGCATAACCTCCGTCCAATCCTGCACTTTCTTCACATCCCTAAGCCAGCCAGTCTGGCCACTAATCACCGTCTCTGTTGGACCGCCCTCGTTGGCTGCTAGTACGGGTGTGCCTGCTAACATAGCCTCGAGGGGCACGATGCCAAAGTGCTCGTTGCGTGGAGTATATACGAGGAGGCGTGAGGTGCAGAGTAGGGTGGATTTGAAAGCGTTCGGCACGGAATGAAGGAAAAGAATCGAGATGTCATCCGGGATACGCTGAGCAGTTATTAAGGTCTTCGCGGTGGCATGCTTCAGGTTTAGCGAGTTGGCGAGTTCGCAGAGCTCAGTATACGTGGAGATATTTTCGGCGACCCGTGGGTCGTAGCCGCCTGAATGAAATCGTGAGCACACAATACGCTAGAGACTTGAATCCTATATAAATGTACCTGCTATGACAAGCCTCGTGTTCCTCCGCTCTGTCGGAGAGAGCCCAGCGTATGCCTTAACCGCAAGGGCAACATCCTTTTTTTTCTCAAATCGGTTAATGCTCAGAAGAACCTTCTTGTTGCTCCATAGTGGCTGTATCTCCTCAATCTTATCCCTCGAAGTTGTATCCACGCATGGGTATACGACGCCCGGTTCTCGGTGCTTTAGGCTAGGGAAAGCTTCGCCGAACACGCTCTTCGTGAACTTGCTATTGACCACGACAGTATCGCTACATCCAGTGCTCCAGCTCTCAAGCCAATCAAACGGCCCCCTGTATAACGCTTTCAATATGCCTCCCTTCTTCGCGAGGAGTTTGTCTGGGAAATGGCAGTAGAATATGACCGGGACATTGGGCTGCAGCTGTCGAAGGAGCGGGATGCCGGCACTGAGCTGGTCTACGAAGAATGATGTAGGCTTGAGGTCTCGTAGCTCCGAAGAGTACAGCGCAATCTGCACCAGCAGGTGCAGCTGTCGAAGGATCGCACAGAGGATCGCAAATCGGCCGAGGATGGTGGGGGGAACGATGGTGTTTCCGCGTACTCGAACGTCAAGGGTTCCTTTACGTTACAAAGCGAAGTCTCAGCTACCTTCGTTCGAACATGAGCGGTAGGTGGTGTGAGGCACGGGGAGGAGCTCACCATCGCGCGCTTCATCGAAGCAGTGTTTGGGATCGCAATGCGAAGTAAAGATGGTGACCTTGTGGCCTCGATTCTGGAGGCCGACAGCGGCGTCAATAACGAGGCGTTCAGCGCCGCCGATCCCCAAATCTGGGTGGAAGAAAACAATATTCTGCGTTGTGGAGGTCATAGTTGTAGGCATTCGTGGACAAGCTTGCCGATGTGTTGCTTGAAGGTTGGCGGTAAATGACATTTCTACTTCGGGAATAGTTACCGAGGAACCCTGGAACACTGGGTGAAAGATGACCTCGAAAGCTCCCCACATGATGCAGCTCACTTCAGCATCACCATCTAGCAAACATCAAATTCCCGCTGGAGTCCATTACTCTTACACCGCATTTGGATCTGTGAAATCTGGCTATAAGAACCTGGCCCGCCTTCAGTCCCCCAATATGTGGAGTGGGAGGCAACAGCACCACAACTTCCTTCCCTAAATCGCACTTTTGTCATCCGCCATCATGGGGCAAGGCTTCTCCCTCACGACCCTTTCAGCTGGCTCGGCCAATATCGACGTACCCGAGTTAGCTGATCTCCAATATGAACGCGCCCTTGGAACCGCGCGGTTCATGAAGACCATTAGAGCACGACATAAAGATGGCCTTGTCGTTGCTAAAGTGGTTATGAAGCCATATGCCGACTTCACTCTCGACCAGTATGCTACACAGCTGATAAGTGTGCCTCCCATCGCATTTCCCCACATTTCTTGGATTGCTAACAGGCTAATAGATGAGCGGAAGTTGCTCGCCACTGTTCCTAATGCTCTGGCATACCATCGCATTCTTGAGACGAGTACGAGCGGATATCTCGTTCGACAGTACATTCACAGCTCTTTGTATGACCGACTAAGCACTCGTCCGTTCCTAGAAGACATTGAGAAGAAGTGGCTTTCGTTCCAACTTCTATGTGCAGTCCGAGACTGTCATGCCCGAGGCATCTACCATGGTGATATCAAAACCGAAAATGTTCTCGTTACTTCATGGAACTGGCTATATCTAACAGATTTTTCCGCTGCCTTTAAGCCCGCGTATCTACCGGAGGACAACCCTGCGGACTTTTCCTTTTATTTCGATATGTCCGGCCGTCGCACAGGCTACCTTGCCCCGGAAAGATTTCTACCTCCCGGAGTCCAAGCTGAAGGAGAGCAGGTGGTTACCTGGGCCATGGATATTTTCAGCGCTGGATGCGTTATCGCGGAACTTTTCCTAGAAGCACCCATCTTCTCCCTCAGCCAGTTATTCAAATACCGGCAGAATGATTACGACCCTGCCCACTCCCATTTGAGTAAGATCCAGGACGAAAGCATCCGGGAGCTTGTCACCCACATGATACAACTCGATCCAAACTCGAGGTTATCTGCCGATGACTACCTAAAGTACTGGCAAGGGAAAGCCTTTCCAAACTACTTTTATGGGTTTCTTCAACAATACATGCACTCCATCACGGACCCTTCATCGGGTCGAAAACCCGTAACGACAGTATCTGAGCACCTGGGGGAGCCTGATGATCGGATAGAGCAAATCTATAACGATTACGACAAAATCTCCATCCTTCTTTCCGGTAACGAGGGATACGAGCCTATCAAATCGCAGCATTTGCCTCCGAAACCCAACACCAAGCTCTTTCCGCTCTACATAGACATCCCGAATTACCAGCACCAAGCATCCCCAACTCGAAGCTTAGCTGTCGATGACGGTAATCTCATCTTTCTTACGATTGTCGTCTCTTGCCTTCGAGGAACAGCCAGAGCGTCTGCTCGATTACGGGGCTTTGAACTGCTTTTAGCATTTTCGGAGAGACTTACGGATGAGGCTAAGTTAGACCGGGTAGTTCCCTACGTGATCAATCATTTGGCAGACAAATCGGAACAAGTCAAGATTGCTGCTCTACGAACGGTGACCCAGATTCTTGCCATGGTTCAGGTTGTTTCACCCATCAATGCGTACATTTTCCCTGAATATGTACTGCAGCGACTCGATGCTTGCCTCCCAGATTCATCTACGCACCCGAGTGCTCTCGTTCGCATGCACTATGCCTGGTGCATCGGTACTTTGGCTACAACGGCAGCTAGGTATCTAGACATGATTCAAGCCCTCCGCGCCGACGGCTCTCTACCGACCACCGACCCAGAAGCGGAAGACGATTCCCTGACTTCATCTGCTCATCGCAATCTATTCGATTCAGATCGACAAAATCTTCTAATTGCTTTCGAGAGACACACGAAAATTCTGCTCACGGACCAAGAGACTTCTGTGCGGCGTGCTATGCTTAAGTCTGTTTCTGACCTTTGCGTATTCTTCGGTAGTCCTAGGGCAAACGATGTTGTCCTAAGTCATCTAAACACATACCTGAACGATCGGGATTGGATGCTTAAATGTGCATTCTTTGACGCTATTGTAGGTGTTGCGGTCTTCGTCGGCGGTGCGAGCTTAGAAGGGTATATCCTCCCTTTGATGGTTCAAGCATTAACAGACCCAGAGGAATTCGTGGTTGAGAAGGTCATTAGAGCCTTTTCCTCCATTGCGGAGCTTGGGCTTTTCCAGCGATCGAAAACTTGGGAGCTGGTCGATATTGTCGCACGACTAACCATGCACTCTAACGTCTGGATTCGAGAAGCCGCTGCCCAGTTTATCTCTGCCGCTTCAAAATATCTATCTGTGGCTGACACACACAGCATTTTGGTGAACCTCATCAAGCCATATCTGAAAGTGGTTCCATCTGGGTTTTCCGAACTACGGCTACTGGACTCTCTGAAGAAACCATTGCCTAGGCTGATATTAGACATGGCATCCAATTGGGCGATGCATGCCGAAAGGGGATTGTTCTGGATTCCAGCCAAAAAACAACAAACCTTCACTTTCGGACTCACTGAGGATACCGTTCCAACCGTATCAGGACGGGAATTGGACCTAAAGATACTCCAGCGAATGCAAAGAAATGAAGAAGACGACCAATGGATCATGAAATTACGCAATGCTGGGATGACACTGGATGATGAATTCAAGCTCGTCGCACTACGCGAGTTTATTTGGAGGGTTATTCACCGGCGCAGAACCGACAGTACAAACTCCACTCCTTCGAGGTTTAATAATATTGTGGCCTTGAAAGATCTTGAAATCATTCCTCAAACTGTGTTCTTTGAGAACAGCGCACGGCAGATAGTGGAGCAAGCACATCAGTCGAGATCTCGAGAAGAAGACTACACTCAACCCCGAACAATTGCGGATGCTTTACTTGACGCATCTACCACCGATGCCGACACAAGGGCGGTGGCTCAAGGAACAACTCGTGCTGATACTCACGCCGAGAGGTTGATTCGCGAAGAATCAGGGTTACAACGAATTTCCGTACCTACCTCCCCAATGCTCTCATCGCCTCCCGGTGAACCAGCATCGGCTCAAGATTCTCCAACTTCCGACCTAGACCGTCGACGAAGTTCACTTCAGGTACCAAGAAGTTCGTCGAGAAATCAGTCTCTGGCCGGGTCCCCAGGCACTGGCGATCATGTTCATCCACTTCGTCACAAAGGCAGTGCAATAACCCTTCTCAATAGAGGAGACAACAAAGCATTAGCGGAAATCGGCACAACTTCCGCAAATGCTTTTGGTAAAGTTGACGGTGCGCCTGCACACGATGCTTCTCGATCTCGTCAGCCTTCACTGGCAGTAGAACAACGACGACGCAGTCCGTCTCGAATACGGTTTAAAGAGGCGCATAATTACGCGGGTAACGACCCTACGGTTCTAAAGTTGCTGGATTCCATTCTACTCGAGAAGCTGCCTCCAGATGATATGGAATTTGGACCGCGGATACAGCAAACCATCCGGCGACAGCCAATCAAACATAAAGATACTCATCAGTCACCAACGGGTATCCCTTGGCGACCAGAAGGCATTTTGGTTGCGACCTTTGGTGAACACACGGCCGCGGTTAATCGCATACTAGTGGCGCCAGACCACGCGTTCTTCATCACTGGATCCGACGACGGAAGTGTGAAAGTCTGGGATACATCACGCCTTGAACGAAATGTAAGTCGACGCTCGCGACAAACGTACAGGCTAGGAGATGGAGTCAAGGTCTCAAGTCTCGTATTCGTGGAGCAAACGTATTGTTTTGTCGCGACGGGCAATGACGGGAGTGTCCATGTTGTTCGTGTTGACTATTATCAAGGCCAGGACGGCAGTGGTAAATTCGGGCGACTGAAGTTTCTGCGTGAGTATCAACTGCCCGATGGTGATTTCGCGGTGTGGGCGGAACATTATAAGGACGACAACAAGTCAGTCCTTCTGCTAGCGACCAATACCTCCAAGGTTACGGCACTCGATTTGAGAACTATGGCTGAGCTCTTCACGCTTAAAAATCCCCTGCAACACGGCACACCGACGTGTTTTTGTGTCGACAGGAAGCACCATTGGTTGTTGCTTGGGACCTCACATGGTGTCTTAGATTTGTGGGATCTTCGATTTAAGCTCCGATTACGAGCTTGGACTTTCCAGGGCGCTGCACCGATTCACAGACTTCTTCTACCCAAGTTGAAGAAACAGCGGTTATACATTACAGGCGGGACAGGTCAGGGCGAAGTAACTGTGTGGGACTTCGAAAAACTAGTCTGTAAAGAGGTTTATCGAACTGGGACTAGCAGAGACACTGGTTCAAAGAGCACCACACTTATCGACCTCGAGGAAGAAAAATCCGGCGGCATGCTTGGCCGTTTTGCCACCTCACTCGAGCCCACTGCCAGCGCAAGCGCCGACTCCGGCATCCGCTCTCTGGTCGTGAATTCCCAGACCATGGACGACAAAGGCGAAGCCAAACACACCTTCATCCTCACCGCAGGCCCGGACTGGAAAGTCCGGTACTGGGATACCAATCGTCCCGAAGTCTCACTCGTTGTCTCAGGCCTGGAAGCCGATGAAGCGAAACCCCTATACAGCACTTCGCAGCCCACGCCCGACACCACCGTCGTCAGCGAGCGATTTTCTCAGCTGCAGAGCCACCAGGGGGGCGTCGGGAGGGATGGAAGAACATCGAATACATCGGCAAAGAGAGGAAGTCCGAAGAGTTCGCGATCGGGATTGATTTCCTTGCAGCAGCAGCATTTGCTCAAGAGTCATTTGGATACGGTTCTGGATGTTTCGTTGATTGAGCAGCCGTATGGCATGGTGATATCGGCGGATCGGAGTGGGGTTGTTTATATGTTTATGTAGGTGCTGGTTGTGGGGAATGGATTAGGACATTTGAGTTAAGGATAGGGAAAGGGAACAGATACCTGGGTGTTTAGATAGTGTATTGGGTTTCGTTCTTATTGAAACCTTGCTGTTATGTTCACGTTACACGCTTCGCTTGTATTTTGGATCTGAGCTTGGGTATTCTTCAAAAGCTCAAAGCTAATGATACTAGGTGGCGTTAATAATGCTATGGTCGGAGGAGGTTTTACGTTAATCTATAGGAAAAGACGTATGAGTTGAAGAAATTATGCGTCTAATCTTGGTACAGTCGATTTCTAGATCCTAGCAGACAACACCCCCAGATTCTGTGAATACTTCAAACATTGCATAACTGTTTCATCTTTATTGGATGGGTTTCTAGCATAATTGTAGCAGCCGCCTTGCTTTCGCTTCGGAAACAGATTTTCCCACCCTTGTGTCCGACCATCATTTCCTGTTCGAACCTATGTGTGTTCAACACTAACTCTGGTATTGTTGGAAATGATGTGAGTTGACTGTTGTGAGGAAAGTCTATCTACTGCTCGACTAAGAAAATAAGCTGGAGGGAGGCTCTGGGTCTCTCCCTAAGCCCTCTGGTCGAGCACGCCGAGCCTAGAGTGATACAAGAATACCCGTACATGTACCCCCACGTTCATCAAGCTATGCTCGGGGAAATTCTTGTCATACTCAAGGCAGTAGATATCAAGAGGACGGTCGTGATGAATGTGACTACAGACACTGATGATCGGGGATACGGGCAGATTGCATCTGTTTTACTGAACGTGCCTGTCCTAGCGATTTTCAGCAAGTTGCTTTTAAGACTGGGGAAATGACAATCCAGTCTTTCCAGGCCTGAGAGACATGTTTGCAGTAGTCACGCATGGCTCGCATGATAGTCGCATATCACGATAGTCACATGTTGCCAAGACTTACACCCTTTCTTGCAAATATATAGACACCTAGGTACAGTACACTCCTTTAGCAATCAATCTAGTTCCTCGTGCCTCTGGTGCTCCTCCTAGCTTCACGGTTATGAGCCCGGCAATCGCTTGCTAGTCAATCGAGCTGTTTTCAACCAAACCAGGGAGCGCTCTTTTGAAGCACTTTAAGCATCCTTTAAGACCAATTAGTCACTAAACTTGACCTCGCGGTCCAAAGAGGCGACCCAAAGTCTCTACCTTACTAGTCGCATCCACCGCGACCTCTACGATCTCCTGAGCACGCTATCAAAGCCCTCAGTCGAGCACCTCCACCTCAAGGACCAATCCATCCACCTCAAGGACAAACTCATCCACCTCAAGGACAAACTCGTCCGCCTCAAGGACAAACTTGTCCACCGCAAGGACAAACCTGTCCACCTTAAGGACAAACTCGTCCACCGCGAGGACCAATCAGTCCATCAATTGCAGTCAATTACTGCTATCCATAGACAAAGTTGTCACAACCTTCGACCAATCACGTCATCAACATGACAGATTCTACTGATCTGCTAGTCTTAAGACTACATTTATACTCAATACAACTAACAACTGGGACAAATCAATTTACACCCAGAAGTCAACCGCGCAACACCTGTTTGTCTGGGATTACTGCAACCCAGAGCTCTCAGCAGCTGAGGTAAAGACGCTAGGAGACGAACCAGTCAAACCAACGTACAGTGACTACCAAACCGGTGTGACCAAACCATCAAATATGGGCCCAAGAAGCCTATCTAATGGTTTGGTCGCACCGGTTTGGTAGTCATTGTACGTTGATTTGACTGGTTCGTCTCCTAGGCATCGTCATGATCCTCGATTAGGAAGCAGTGTCGGAGCGCAACGGTACGAGAGATTTCTGCGCTCATTCTAACTAGAGATTTGAGCAGGGTCTCTGGTATCTAGAGCTCAAAAAGACGCTCAATCAGCTAGGACTGCGCGAGATCCCAGAAACTCCCTGCCTATTCGTCAATGATACGCTTATGGTACTAGTATACTTCGATGACATCGTACTACTATACTACCCTCGCAATGCTGAGGCTGCTGAGCAGTTCGAACATGAGCTTCAGCAAGTGTACGACATTAGGAAGCTCGGCGAGCTTAAATGGTTCCTAGGTATTCGAGTCGTGAAGACTGCTCAATCTATCTACCTAGTCCAAGACTCCTTCATTAACAAGATCGCTACCAAATTCAATCTAGAGCAGAGCGGGAAATAGCTACCTGACATACCTCTGCGGGAAACCCTAGAGCTCTCCACCGAGGTCACTAACAATAGGAGGACCAAGTTCTATCAGCAGCTGGTAGGCTCACTGGCCTATATAGCGTCATTCATGGGACCCGATATCGCGCATGCGCACTCAATACTGGCGCGCCACCTCACCAATTCTGGTCGAAAGCACCTAGCTGCAGCCCTCCACTGCTGGCATTACCTACTCCGTACGAAACATCTCGCGGTAGGAGCGTATGGAGACTCTAAGAGTAACGCATTTTACGAGCTTAATCATGAAGAACCTCAGTTTTATGGAGCATCAGACGCTGCATTCGCGGACAATCCGGCGACTCGCCGAAGCTCTCACGGACATCTATTCAAGTTCTTCGGTCTAGCGGTAGACTGGAAGGCTACCTTGCAGGGTACAGTCACCAAATCGACCACCGAGGTAGAACTCCTAGCTCTCTCCCACCAGGTACTGACATGGAGTGGTGGAAGCTGTTTTTCGTACGACTTCAGCTCCTAATTGACGATACCCCTGCCATCTGGTGCGATAATCAGCAAGCGATAAGAATTACGACAAAATATCTATCAAGGCTTCAAACTAATCTCAAGCATGTCGATATACACCAGAGCTGGTTACACCAGGAAATCTCTGCTGGTAGACTACATGTCAACTGGAAACCTACGGCTCAAATGCCTGCAGATGGGCTCAGTAAGACACTAATCAGACAGAAACATGAGGAGTTCGTACGTCAATTAGGTCTCAAGGATATCTCCGCCAACATCTATACCAGCAACTCCTTGGACAGCTCCAAAGTCACGTGCGACCTCAATTCACTCTCAGAAGACCCCTCACCATGCGATACCACGTACTGGCATTAATTTGGGATAACTATCTATGCGCTACCCATATCTCTCTAATATTTTACTATATAAATTGCCTATTAATCTGTTTGTATCCTATGCAGCTCTCGTTCCGCTCGATCACCCATACATTCGCTTCATTTAAGCTAGGGGGTGTGTTTGCAGTAGTCACGCATGACTCACACGATAGCCTCAAGTCACGATAATCGCATGTTGCCAATACTTACCCCTTTTCTTGCATATATATAGACCCCTAGGTATACTCCTTTAGCAATTAATCCAGTTCCTCATACCTCTAGTGCTCCTTCTAGCTTCACAAGACATCTTTCCACTTTTAGCTACCTTGCTAATAGGGGAGCATGAAGGGACTCCGCGAGATGTGTGTATATACTCCTTAGTAGCTTGCATATTCGAGGCCCGGATAATTACTTCCATAATTGATGTTAGTTTTGGTGAGAAGTTGGTCAACATGGCATCACGATTTGGAAATTGAGTTTCTTTCGTTTACGCGTACTCCTTTTAGGGCTATACTTTCCCTTTATAACAAGAAGCTAATTATATATACTACATAGCTCATATATAAGTAGTATTCAAAGGTGTTGTTGAACTACGTACCTTTTTCAGTAAACAAGGTGGGTGGCCAACTCGCTTACCACCATAGTTATACATACTGATACTCAAGCATCATTTTGTGCTATGTTTATCCTTTTGCTATCCACATTTTAATCTTGCTGTGTTCTCCCTCTCGAACAAGCGTTGTTTTTTCTCTACTTTCTAAATCCCAATCCACGAAACCTACTCTATTTAAGTATATTTGGTGCATTCTTCGCTTTTTATCGACGAGTGCTTTTGCGGGGAGAATTGACTCAGGCTAGCTGTACAGGAATGGAGAGGAGTAAATGAGAAAAGAAACACGACGATGCACATTATAATATGGGGTTCCAAAATTAGTTAGCGGCAGAAGAGAAATAAGAAGAACGAGAAGCAGTTCTCAGCCTTGAAGCCACCAGCTGAAGGAGGGTTTTCTTGGCAGGAAGAGCGCCACAAGACACCTTCAACAAGCAACAGATGAACCCCTACTACCCTTAATACCCTCTATAATTCTAGAGCGAGCAATAGCCAGATCGCAAGAACTCACGGCGATATTGCAAGAGCGGTATCGACATGTCCAACCCCACCCCAATCTCTACTAGAAACCCCCCCATCAGAGCCAGTCACAGGGCTATCCGTCTTCTGGCCGCTGTTTACTCTTGCGCTTGCATCGTGTCTTCATCCACTCGGCTCTGTCTGCGGCGAACATGCCCCACGATACCGGTATTACTATCGCGCACTCCCACTTTCCGGGCTACTAGATTCTCTGCACTTTCTCACGCGGTGTTATGAAAACAGTAGCACAATTGCAGTAATCGCTCGACTAAACGAAAACGACCCAAACCTGATTCATCCAATTCTCTCAATTGATGAACTGGGGACGCGGAGTGATGATGATGACCAGCGTCTGGAACCTGAACATCTCAACCGCTTTCTGGATTTCTTCTTCGATGTCAAAGCCCGGGTTTTCCCAAACATATTTATTGTTCTTGCGTACGTTAAGTTGTGTACTTTTATTGGGATTCCGGGATCGCTCGTGGTTGGGACGGTGTATTTTTGTTCATGGTTCGGGATGGAGATCGTGCTTGTGATACAGCATTTTTCCCGTCGCGGGGAATTGCAGGTTGCAAAACTGAGCCGAGCGATAGCATGGCCAAGACGGGAAACAGAGAGAATGGCTTTGTGGCGGCTCCGGTTCCTGGCCCGGATTCTCATTGCTGTTCAGATTCTAGTAGTCCTCGTGGCTATCATTGTCCTATCAGTGCAGCAAACCACGCGAAATAAACCGACACCCTCCACCCCACCATCACATTCTCACTCTCAGATACTCGCCGTCCTAGCCTGGGGTTTTATCCCCACGCGCTGGACCTGGATGCACGTCGGGGCTCTCACAGCACGGGTTGACAATATGAAAGAATTCGTTGCTATGGGTTTCATCCGGTCCATGCTTTATTTATACTTCGCTCTCATCCCTTATTATGTTGTCGTCTTCATCGTACTAGTTGTCACAACAGGGCTGAATGCTGGTGCTGTTGTAATGGTTGTTTGGTTGCCTTGCTGGACTGGGTTGGAGATTTATCGACGTAAGAGTGGCGTTAAGGAGGCTCTGGGGGTGGGGATACGGTGGATTTTCTTGCTAGGGAATATAAAGGTTGTGGCGCTTGTGATGCTAGTGACTGCACTGATGTATTTTGTTAAGTTCTTTGATGGGGTTGGGACGAGGAAGCGGGGTTGGAGCGATGTCCTGGGTTAATTGGTTTAGAATATGGCAGGAGGCCTGACTTCGCGAAGACACATACCATGTAGACGTACAACCCGTTGGGGAATAAGTGTCAGCTCTATTAAGACTGTTGTTGGCGCTGCTTTTCATCTAGGTTTTCACCTCCTCAATTAGATTTCGCTCCTTGAAATTACTCTAGTTACATTTCCTAGTTACGGCTGCTTTCTCTCATGAGAACTCCTCTTCTGGTGATAGGATTTGGAAACCTCGTGCCATGTTAGCCTATGATGTAGAATATTTTACGTTTAGAAGGCGCGATTGGGCGCAAGACTTCAGTTTCATCCGCTACTGTGCCAGGCATTTTGAGGAGTGATATAGTTCGTAAATATTGTTAACTTTACGATTCCCATGCGTTGAGATTCAGGCCATGCCCATATATACATCTCCTTCTCTTGTTTCATGTCCTACTATTACGAACATATGATACATCCAATTCTCTCCATGGAATTGAACCCCCTCTATACTGCTTGCCTAGTTTCCCTAGCCTGGTTCTACCCCCGCCGACCCTAGCTCAATCCAGCGTCACCATCCATCATCATGTCTCCTCCCCATCTTTCGATATTACCCTACACCTCGCCTTCCTAACCTCTCGTGTTATCTCCCCATCCTCTCCCTCATCCTCCTTCCTCACCCCCAACACCTGTCCAATCAGCCCACCTGGTTTCGGCACAGGACATTCCCGCTTCGGCGTCGACCACTCCCCCAACTCCTTCTGGTTCCGCCGCTCCTCGCTCATAACATCATTGCACGTTTCCTCTCTTGGTACTTTCCTCCGTCGCCGCCGTGGCTGTCCTGATAATGCATCCGGGTCTGCGGAGTCGGCAAGCGCCCGGTTGTCGACGGGACAGGGGAGGAAATGAGGGGTGGCGACCACGAGGAAGGATATCATGAGTGTGGTGGTGAAGAGGGAGGTTGTCATTCGTGAGCGCGGGTGGAGGTGTGGTGGCATTTTGGCGTGGTGTGGGTGGGTTGGAGGGCTACCAGTGCGTGGTTTTGGGAGTCATTACTGTGCCTTGGGATGGTCAATGGGTTGTGGAAGCACCGATGAAGTAAAAGAGTAGCGTACCGGACCAATTGATGTACCTGGAGAGGGATGGACTGCGGGGTGCGTGTTGGCGGGGCGGAGGTGGTGAGAAGGGTTTTGGTTTGGTGGTGGAGTGAGTGCTCACTAGTTCAAGCCTCCGCCAAGGCGCGCTCCGACCGATGATCCCTGCAACTGTGGCTTGCAATCGGAACTGCAGGTGCCCTGTACTCAACACCATGCACTTATCACCAACTTTTTACCTCGTTATTTCTCCCACCAACGATCGCTTTATACGTCATATACACTTCATAGCTCTTACGCGCACTTGCGACACGTGCTTAACCTTCACATCGCACGAGCCGCGACGCACCCCCACGCCACGCTAGAACGACGACAATTCCCCCAGGCGCCACATCTTTCACAATCGCAGCACAGTCGCTGTAGTATACCATTGAACACACCTAATTAGGAAATCACGCGGCTCTACACGTGTCAGCCCTAAGGGCGCATAACGCGCAGCCACAATCATGAGTATCGGCGGTAGCGACTTGGACAAGTACCCACCCAGCCTCTTCTTCTGTTATACACGCTCACGTGTCCCATAGAGCTATCACACAGCTCCGCGCCTGTCGCCCGATTCCAGAAAACCAAGTCCGAGAACTATGCTACAAGGCACGCGAATTGTTGATAGAGGAGGGCAATGTAGTCGGAGTGGATGCACCGGTGACGGTACGCCAAACTATTCCAAAGATAACAGAGAGAGGGCTAATTGAATATGTTTGGATAGATATGTGGCGATATACACGGCCAGTTTCATGACCTGATGGAGCTTTTTCGCGTGGGTGGTGATGTGCCGGAAACGAACTATTTGTTCATGGGTATTACACCCGCTCAGCTCTTGCGAGGCGCCTGAGATGCTGATATGTGTAGGCGATTTCGTGGACCGCGGCTTCTATTCTCTCGAATCTTTTCTTTTGCTTCTGTGTCTTAAAGTTCGATATCCAGACCGCATAACACTCATTCGAGGGAACCACGAGTCGCGGCAGATTACCACAGTATATGGCTTCTACGACGAATGCTTAAGAAAATACGGGAGCGCAAATGTGTGGAGGTATATATACTTCAAAAGCCTATCTAGTGAGATACAATACTAAGAGACATAGATACTGCTGCGAGGTCTTCGACTACCTCGCCCTAGGCGCTCTCGTAACGGGCGCCGCAACCTCCCTCTCCCCTACCGACGGGCCTCTCGCAGAAAATATCAACATCGAGAACTTCCCCGAAGCAGACGCTGACATCGAGATCGAAACCCTCAACGCCAACGGCGAAATTATGTACCGGTGCGCCCGAAACTCCGACTCCCAATCCTCGGTCACATCACAACCAAACTCCAACCCGGCCTCCTCCTCCCCGATTGCCCCAACTCCGTCTCGTGTAGGCGCCGCCGGCACCGGCGCAACATCCTCCGCCAACGGCAGTACCCGCAACGACACGGGCGCAATCCTCTGCGTCCACGGTGGCCTCTCGCCGCTCATCGACACAATCGACAAAATCCGACTCCTTGACCGCAAACAAGAAGTCCCACACGAAGGTGCCATGTGCGACCTGCTATGGTCCGATCCCGACGAAATCGACGGCTGGGGTTTATCGCCCCGCGGCGCGGGCTTCCTGTTCGGCGCGGATATCGTGAAATGCTTCAACCACAAGAACGACCTCAGTCTCATTGCACGCGCGCATCAGCTCGTCATGGAAGGCTTTAAGGAAATGTTTGACAGCACAATTGTGACTGTCTGGAGTGCCCCGAATTACTGCTACCGCTGCGGAAACGTGGCTGCGATCCTCGAACTCGGAGAAGATGGTTCGAATGCGGGGTACGTGCGCAGGAGTAATGGGGATCAGGGTGGCGGTGGTGGCGGCTGGATTCTAGGAAGTAATGTTGGCGTTGGCGGTGTTGGGATTGGGAATGGCGGGCCGACTGGAGGGGGGAATGGGAATTCTGTCGGCGGCTTGAATAGGAGGTTGAGTTCGGTGTTGGGGGAGTCGGGGAGGACGAGAGAGGGGCCGGGGAGGAGATATCGCGTTTTCGAAGCGGCCCCGCAGGATAGTAGGGGGATGCCGGCGAAGAAACCGGTGGCAGATTACTTTTTGTAGAGAGGGAAGGCGGAGAGGAAGAGGGTGGCCGAAAGTCGAGAGATGGGACGTGATGGGATACCCGAAGCCTTTTTTTTTTCCTGCAGATTTTGGGAAATGGGATGAATCGTGTATGGCAGGGAAGCGGGAAACGGGATACACAGTCTTGGACTTGATGGGCCCGGTCTGGAATAAGGCAGAAGTTAGGAACGTGTCAACGCTCTCACTCATTCTAGCTACGGGTTTCACAGACCAAATTCTCTCTGTTGATCCTCGTGGTAGGTCCTAATATACTACTACAATATACAGCGTAATTCTGGAAGGAGGTGCTACATAGTGCTACACCTTCCTACTCTTCGCCTTAACCCTCGCGGCTAACTTCTTCAAATCATCTACACCCGCATCTGCGTCCCCATCTCTCTCATCACCGTCCTTCCGCCTCACCTTACCCCCTTTTACATTCTCCCTACCCCCAACCTCATCCCTCCCAACCTTCCTCTTCCTCCTCCCCTCCTCCAACAACGCCTTCATCCCCTGCGTACCCTTAAATCTCGGATTCGTCGGATCAATCGCAAACTCATGACTTTCATACAACTTTGCAAACCTCGGATCCTGCGTATTAATCTGAAACTCATCTTGAACCTCCCCAGCTCCAGCCACTTCATCTTTTGTGCGCTTCTTCTTCCCTTTCCTTTTCGCCTTCTCTGCTTTCGCAATGTCGTTCATATCGAAGTGACGGATATTAGAGGACGAGGCGTTGTCGTCCAGCATCAGGAGTTCGAGTTCTGCACGTTGGGCGGCGGAGGTAGTGGACGCGGCGTTTTCGAGCATGATGCGATGTTTTTCTTTCTTGGATTTTTTTAGTTGGGATTTTGTTGGGTTTTTTGCGGAGTCAGAGTCGAAGAAAGGGTCGTTGAAGGGGTCTTTTTCATCGTCCTCATTCAACGCCATTCTCGTTGCAGGTTTAGTAGCTTCCGTGGAAGACTCCTCTTGGTCAGCGATGAGACCCTTGGCGCGTTCCTTACGTTTTGCTTTCCGCTCTCGTTGCTTGCGGACGTACTTCTCGAGCGTGGTTTCCTCAACTGGAGGCTCATTGACGAACACGGATCCTTTGGGTGCGTTGGCCGAAAGTGCGGCTGAGAATGTGATTTCCATTTCTCCTTCTGGTTTCTTGAAGTTTCGATCCCGCTTATTATTCCTTGACCTCGAGTTTGAGTCTCTTAGCTCGTTTGGCGCACTGAGACCTAATGCGGCACGAAGCGTAGCAGCTTTCTGCGATTTGCGGTTGTTTTGTGCTTCATCTTCTGATGAGGACGAGTCAGTTCCGATGTAAGCTTGGAGGTCGTTCTCATCGATTTCCTTGCGGGAGAATGCGCGTTTCTGGACTTCCCTGCGTGTCGTGTCATCGGCGTCCCAAGTCAGCTTGACTTTAGAGTGTGTTAACGCGTCGGTTGTAAATTCGTTCGGTTTGTACGAATCTGGAAGCTTTTCACACTGGTCGTGTGGATCTTCATCAAAGCTTACACCGTTAGGTACGAATCTAAGGTCGAAGAAATTCGCGCTAGAGAGATATTCTCGACCATCCATGTTGTCGTAGAGGGATTTGGCAACAGTGGAGGAGGAACAGGTTATCACGGCGTAGTAGTAACGGAGACGATCAAGTTGGTAGGCACGTAGGGCTTTGGAGTCGAAGTCTTCGCCACTGTTCTCCTTCAGTAGGTCTTTCTTTATGGCTTCGTCGTCGTCTTCTTCTGAGTCCGACAACGAGGGAGAATGATCCAATGATGTGAGGTTTTTCTTGTTCTTCTCGGCTGTCGAGGAGAAGATGTCGCGGGGCGGCCCTTCTAGTTCTTCTCGTTGCATTCGCTCCAGGCCGAATTCGCTGGGGTAGATGACAACATTTAGAATGCGACCATCGGCGGGGACGAAGGAATTCGCGACAGCCAATATGTCGGTAGCGCGGATGTTATCCCAGTCCATGTTCACTGCCGCTAACCGTGCGGTGACTTCTCCCATGGGCACCTCGCTTCCTTGCTCAGCCAGTTCTGCCTGTTCCTCCACCTCTTCCTCTTCCTCCCCGTCCTCCCCACTGGAGCTCTCGTCCGATGAAGAACTCGACAACCCCCCGTCTCGTATAGGATCATAATTTTGGCCCTTCCTGTCCACTTTCGCCAACTCTTTCCTAATCGCCTTGTCTCCCTTGTCGTCTTCCTCGTCTTGACTCTCCTTGTCTACCCGATAGAATCTTTCCAGCTTTTTCCGTCCCTCACCTTTTGTAATTTTGCGGCCATACCTATCAACACTAGCTTTTGTATGGAAATCATCGTCGGTGAGGAGGCGTGAAAATCGAGAATCGAGCTTCGTTTTGGCGTGTTTCTTGGAGGGAAGACGGAAGCGAGGGTCGGTTTGGAAACTGGAGAATCGCGAGTCACTGATATTAGATCCCTGTCGATCTAGTGGACGGCCTTTTGATGCCTTCTGGCGTTGTGGGAGTGGCATCGTGGAACGTCGAAGTTATTAAAGTGACAATGGCACTTCGAATGGAAATTTGGAGATTCTAAAGGCGGTGAAAGCATTCTGCCAAACCTAGCGCGCCAAGTTATTAGCCGAGGATCTTATCGATAGGGAGCGCATCGGTTAACTTTGGCCAGGCCATGGAATTTCTGGGGAAGCAGCGTCACAGTTGGGGTGGATGGTCGTGTGAACAGCGTTCACTCTCCACATACATCTTCGCTCACCCTATTCACGCCTCCCTAATTCCGTGAAAGCTACCAACACTCTATTTAAAACCCTTCACGTTACTTGATCCGACTCTATGGCATATTCACGGCTATTCACGTAAGCTGGTTCTTTTGTTGAGCTCTCTGAAGTGGCAGCGGAGGAAGGGAGTTCGTTAATAAGAGACCAGAACTCGCAGCCTTACCCTTTTCTCGGTGCTGTCCCTCGGCGGTGGATATATAATGCTTAAATCGAGGGTTTTGGCATCGAAACAGAAGGAAAGGGCTGCCGGGGATTACAGTGTGTCAGTGGATAGGTCCGGCAAGTGCCCTTCTCCAAGTTCTCGCAAGCTGCAGATGAAACAAGCATTTTCATCTGTCTTCCTCTTATCGACACAGCACCCACCGCATTTTTAAAAGGCTAACATCGCTCTCTCCCAGGCGGCGGTATTTGAGTGAATCCCCTCGCCCTCCATGCAGCTTTGAATTCATGACCACCGGGAAATATATGGCGGCAATCTGCTTTGAGTTTGGGTGGCCTGTCTGCAATACTTTCGTACCCGAATGACACAGCTTTTGTTTTGGCGGCTCACTCTCCGATCTGTCTTGGTTGTTGTGCGTTGATGAACAGCCGTAGGTGAACCAGGTGATATTTTGACTAATTCTTCCTCACCAGGAGTGCGATACCTCTCGAGCTCCTAAGCGGCTACATTCCTTGAAAACTAGAGCAGATCAGGTCGTACACAGTCGCATTCAATATCTTGTGCCACGCTTATCAGCGGCACTTCGACAAAATTCATTCCACCGGTTTGCACATTGTCCACGGGAAACCGTTCAACTCAGGAAGCAGCGTTTCGACTTTTCGACCACCTTGAGTCTCTTTATGAAGAGGCCATTCTTCGGACCCCACTTTCTTGGGAGAGCTTACTCAGCTTCAGCCAGCCATGAGGCTGAAGCAGTTCGCAATCTTGTTATGATTGGAGGATTGGTCGCTTGTCATGCACTATTTTAAGCTCTCACGGCAGCCTCAAAGGGCACGCCGACACTAGATCAATTTTTACGCCTCGCTCAGCCACTGGATTCCCGGATGATTCACTCTACTTTGCATGAGCGGCTACAACTAACACGAATGACGATTGTTTTTCGTGACCGATCTTGCATGCCTGTGTCTTCTCAAACCTGTAACTCAGCTTTCTTGATACGCTCCCAATCCTTCGCGTCTGGACCGCCCTTGAAGAGCGAATGCGTCCTCGCTTGGGCCAATTAGCTTAACTAGTTGCAGCACTTATCGGGAGAAAAGCATGGAAAGACACCCGTGGACGTGCGGACGCAATCAAGGTTGCAGGAGACTAGAACAGTGCATTGTCCCTTCAGGAGAGCCACTCCGCCCCTCGGGCGAACCGCGCATGGCGTAGTTCAGGCGAGTAGAAACTTATTCCACAAGTACACGCCAGATACTTTGGACACACATGGAGGGGGAAGCTGAAAGCTGATCTTGCAATCATAGTATTGCTTCTGGCTTAGTGCACCTTCCCCCGCTCCGATTCATTTGCTTGTTCTCCCCTCACCACCTCTGTTGTGTCCGCTTTCCCTGATCAAGCTCAAAATGGGGGAGAACTTCAAGTATTACGATGTTGAAGACTACAACAGCTGGAAGAGGAAACAAGGGAAGAATTTCAAACGCCCACCTCGAGCAAATTTTCTAGCAGCAGCGACTTACATCAGGAACCTTCTTGATGGGAAGTCTTTCAACTGGGCCGCCGTGTGCGGCCTCGCGATGCTTTGCCTAGGATCGCGTCGAGAGATGCATGACATTCACATCGTGTACGATGACCGAGATTACCAGCGCATGAAGATGAAGCTGGAGAAAGACCAGCGGTATGTTTAACCCCGCGACACGGTCTATCTGAAGACTAATGAGAATAGAGCAAGGCTGCCGAAGGGAATGAATTCACTCTTCCCGGCTAAGATCTTACTTGGGACCGGACCAAATCACAAGGACTCCAACTGCACCGAGAATGCAGATGTTGAGATAAACTTAGTTCCCCCAGGTAAGGTCTCTAGTTCATGAGCACTTGGACTTATACTGACGCCGGCAGGGTCTCACGGTACCCCTCCGAGCGATATCCTACGAAAGAACCAGGTCCTGCTACGTCTGAATATTGATGGTAAAATGGACAACTTTAAAGGCCTGAACATGCTGTACTTGGTGAAGACATTGCTTCAGTTCAGCAGAAGTCAAGATTTAACCTGGGATCCTAAGAAAGATATACAGTTTTTGTGCGAATCTTATGCTCAGGAGGTCGGCTCTATTAGGCACCAACTAAACCCACAGGAGCTTCGCGATATCTTTTTCTCGTCATCATTTTTCTCACTTGGTCTCTCATCTATGGAGCAACAAAAGTGTACTCTCGCTTTACTTGGCACTGATAGCGCCCCGACACCTAGGACCGTTAGTTCGAAAGGGCAGGTCCTGAGTCCGCCACTTGGAGCCCCAGGGACGACGAACAAATCAAACACCGCGTTGGGGCAACATTCCAAGCCTCCTTTGCATTCCTATCGGTCTTCTGCACAACTCAACATTGGTAGTCAACAGCCTCGACCCCTTTTACAATCCCATAAGTCGTCCATACAGCTTAACAGCCGGGGTGAGCTATCTCCACCCAAGCCTTCTTCAGCTCCTACTAGCAGTCATTCTTCTCCTCGCCTTAATGCTTCCCCCATGAAATCCCCACCAGTGGATATGCGCCACTCGGTAGGGCCACAGTATCAGGCAACTCACGGCTATTCCACGGGAGCAGGCTCTCGTTCAAGCTCTCGTCCGAGCAGCGCTCATCACACGCCACCACATTCCAGAAACTCAAGCCGGAACGAAGAACCTCTGGTGAGCCCTTTAGTAAGCCCTTTAGTAAGCCCTCTGGCGGTTCCAAATTCGGCTCTGCGCCCTTTGTCGATGGGCTTGCAACCACCCGGTTCAAAGCTCGGTAGCCAACCTATGGCTCCTACTCGGCCCATGAGTCTTCAAAACATCCGAAATGCCGCGAACCCTCATCCTTCACCAGGCTATGGATCCGGTCCTAGTCCAGTCCCGGTGGGTCGTGGGCATTATCCCACTGATGCAAAGGGTCTTCATCAAGGAAGGAGCCCTGTTCCAGTTCATGCTCACCGGCATTCCCATTCGGGCTCGAGCGCTGCCCTTCAGCCTCCCAATTCTTCCCATGCCGCTCCCCAGAAAGGGCCTCCGGCTATCGCCCCTCAAACGAAAGTCTCTCCTCCGACAGCTGCTCAAGGACTTCCACAAAACATGGCACCAACGTCGAATGTTGCAGCTCGTAACACTCAGATAATGGGAAAGCCACTCGGGGGACAAGGATTGCCTCCAAAGACCTTGAGTGGTCAGCAGGCAGTGTACATTGCTGAACTCCCAGCAACCCAGCCTCCTAGCAACACAACTCAAGTGAAGCCGAAGCCTGTTCAGCCTGCGCAGACGGCTACTGCTTCAAGATATCATACCCCACGGACTCAATCCCAGCCCAGAAATGCTCAAAAGCCTTCTCATGCAGGTGGCACAGGTGCTGCGAGCCAGGTTATGGTTTCTTCCACAGCAAAAGAGCCTATCAGCCAGCAAGTTCTGCCAAATAATGGCGGTGGTGGCTTTCTACCCCAAACCAGAGCCCATGCTACTACATCCATTTTCGCGTCGTCCCAGGCAATGGCTGCCGGATCATCTGGCGTTACGCCATTCCGCTCAGATGCCCCTCGTCCGGTACCGGATTTCATCCCTCCGCAGATGCAGAACACGACAAACGCTCCACAACAGCCAAATCATTTCGTAAATCAAACGAGACCGACTCAAAACAATCTTCCCGTTCGGGGCATGCATCCGCAACCCCCAGTTGCAACTCCAGCTACACATAAGTCTAGTGGGCCTTCCATGCCGGTTCAAGCAGCCAACCCTAAGTCTCAGACCTCTAGTGTGTCAAGGGTTCCCGAAAGCCTCATAACTGGAGGAATGGGAGGCTCATTTCCCCACCCGGTGCAGACTCCACAGGCAAATAAGCTACCAAATGCCCCAGACGTCCCAGTCTACAAGGCATACAAAGCATATAACGCTGGATCATCGCATGCTTCCCACCCACCTAGCCACCCTCAACCGCAACCTCGGGCGAACGCTGCAATGGTAGCTACACTGATTCCTGCTGCTGGACCCGGAAATCCTGCTCCTCAAATTCGCATTGACCCTACACCTGATCAACCACTTGAACCTCGACATCAATCTCAAGTCCCAACTGGGCCAGCAAATACCCAGAAGCCATATCAAGGCACAGCCCCTCAACCTCCTATGTCAACATCACAGAACCCAGTCACCTCAACCGGATATGGTCTTCCACAAAGTCTCATGGCTGGTGGCACAAAATCATCACCTCCAACAAATCCAGTAACAGTCAGACCTATTTCACATCACACGAAAACCACCACCCTACCTGACTCCAGATCCCAAAAGAAAAGCGAAGGCATGGTACAAATTGTAGGACCACAAGCGACGCCAAGGCAGAATGCGGTGCCCAATAAATCAGCGCCAAAGCAGGTATTCCAGGCATACGCAGCGAATAAGCAAACACCCCATAGCGGCTTAAACCTGGCCAATACTCTCCCAGCACCTCAGCTCCACACCAGTCCAGGAAACCAAACCTCATTAACAGAATCCAAGAGGGAGGCACAAGAAGCGCCGATGAAGGACTCAATGACTACCAAAGATCAGGTACCAATACCAGGAGCGGATGCGACAGGATATTTTGCATACCAATTTACCTCGCACTCGCCCTCACGCCAGCCCGAACCATCCCCAGAAAAAGACAGGGTGAAAGCAGACTCAGGAACCTACATGCACGAATACACCTACACCCACACCCATATCTCCCCTTCAGCTCAAGATCAAACCCTAATTCCATGCCAAAATCCCCCGCATCCGCAATCGTACCCGCAAATCCAAGACCATCCTCACACTCAGCGCCAGCACCAACATCATAGCTACATAACTGATTACAACTACTTCGACCAGAACCAAGCATGGTATCACACAACACCCCCATTATCAAGTCACGGGTCAGAAATCGTGGAGTTGGATGCAGGTGCCGATACGACTGCTACCGCAAAATCTGGATCTGGGTTTGGATGGCAGGCTCGTAACAACGAGGGAAGCGCTTGGCAAGCCCAGGCGCAGTCGCAGTCGCAAGCCCAGGCAACGCACGAGCTAGAAATAAGTCCACGGACGAAGACGGAGGATTTGGCACCAATTCCTCTAGTCCCCCTCTTAGAGACTTTCGGGGGTTTTACAGGCAGTGCTGGTAGTGATGGTGATCAGAAGCAGAGCACACAGGTCCAGGGCGTCGAAACTTCACCCCAGCAAGATCTCTGCGATTTGAAGAAGGCGTTGGATGATGCTATTCACTCCACAGAGAAAGATACGGAACATGAACCCAAGGACGATTCGGAAACTCAACCTCCCGAAGCTGTTGATCATAACATTGACGATGCCATCAAGCAGGGAGGAGAAAAGGAGAACAACCAAGATGGTATTGTCAATGCGTATATAGACCAAGGGTATTGGCAGCATAACCAGAATCCCTGGGATAATGCGAACAACGACGAGAAGCGGCACCAACAATCACCTGATTACAGTGGTGGTGAGTATGGAGAGTATGAGGAAGGTGAGGACCGTTTTGTTCACCGGATGTAGCTCGGCCGAATCAGTGTATAGATATTAGTTTTTTGTTGTGCATGTAGAACGATAATGAATAGATGTATAGCACGAACAGTGCGTTAGACTTCCAACTGTTTCTATCCTGTGCCGTAGGTCGGCGACATTCATCACTTCAGGTTCAAGTTCTTTAACCTGACAATCTTAAATAGTTATACGTGGTGTCCAGTAGTATGTAGCTGAATTACGAGATCTATCTGTCTACTAAGTAGTTTAGATTGAAGAAAGCAAAACTGTTGCAAGGAATCTATTCACATGCCTTACTTCTATTAACATCGGCAAATCTTAACGAGATCAATCCCGTCTTGGCATTGAAATGTTAGATTTTGTAACTTGGACGCATGTATATGCAAGCATCCGTTCCAGGAGGGCGAGAATCAGGCCTAAGAAAGTAAAATGTCGGCGTCTAATGTTGTGTTGTAAAGAGTAGCCTCTCCATGTCCCTTAACCCTGTCTAAAAAGATGTGAGGGTAGTAGTCACGGTGTCATAGTGCACCGCTATCTGAAGATCTCCTCATTTGGGCAGCTTATTTTTAAATTACGATATGAAGTAAGTGCATTCACTCATAAATTTCGCGCGCAGAAGGTAACAAGTAGCAAGACAATCAAGGGACAGAAAGATTACAAAGAAGTTAAATCACTACCTAGAATTACCTGCCCACCTGTAATATCGCGTTGCAAGAAGCTCCTCCTATACCGCTCTGCTAGAAAAACACCAAAAAATTGAGTAGTGAAATTAAGAGAAAAAAGATGTTGACACAGCTGTTTAAAATCTTCGTAAGTACAACGTGCTTATAAAGACACTGCCCTTAATATCCATAAGCCTCTCTAAAAAAGGATCCCCTCTCGCAACACTATCCACCAGAACGTTAGGGACATGAGCCTATCCAATCGCTGTTACGCTAAAATACCTAAATTAAACTATAAGCATGCTAACCTGCCTCCCTGCGTAGCAAGACACCCGCCGTGCCAAGACAAATAAGGAGTACTTTAACTTCAAGCCGCTTAAACTTTAAGCGCACAACAAATCTTGCTAAAATCCTATAAAAACAGCGTGCTGTAGCTAATTATAGATAACGTATTCTACTAGCAAGCTAGTTATTTTTTTTCTTAGCGTAACTAACACTACGTACAAAACGCAATGCTAAAACAACATAACACTATATTAACTTATTAAGGCAGAATTAGCCTTGCACTCTCGAATTATAGCTTACGCGAATTTAAAAGTGTATAACACGCTACTATAGCTTTTAATATACTATGTTAGCAACTGTAAGGACAGGGCTCTGTACCACTGCGCTAATACAACT